AATGAGCACAACTGCAGTGAAGTCTTCTAGATCAATATGAAAGCAGTCCAGCAGGTAACGTAAGAAGGGGAGTTCCGCAAGGGGCTCCAACATCGCCTTACCTAGCTATAACAGTAATGAAAAAATGACTGGAAGACCAAAAAGCAAAAGCGGTATCCTATGCTGACGATCTGTTAATCTACGGAAACTCACCTCTAAAACTCCTTATGGAAGACACGTACATAGGAGTAGTAATAGCGTTAAATAAATCGGGCTGAGTAAAAAAAGATGGAATATGACTCAAGGAATTAAAGTTCCTAGGTCTCGTCTACAATCCTTGAACGGGAGACATAAGATCGGAAACCCGAAAAGGAAAAAGCACAGCAATACCGGAAAATATAAAGTTATTACTAGATGGTATGAGATACAAGGAAAGCGACAAGTGACTGGAAAAGCTAGCAACAATAAATTTCTTTGGGTGAATCCAAGCGTGCGCGTTGAGCCGCCCTTTGCAATTCCGATGCTGCGGCATGGGGGTCTCTGAGCTTGGATACAACGGTGGGCAGTTGGGCTGGAAACAGTTGCGATCGGCATGTTCTGCGGCCGCTACTATGTATGGTGCGGCAATTTCTCGCAATGTGGGATCCATTCGCCAATGGCCTTTCATGGCCAGCTCTTCTATCCTCGTTCTGTTCCCAGCAGAGCCAGCAGAGCTGGCCTCGAAAACGGTCATCTGTCGCCTGCATGTTTGTGGTCGTAACATCGACGGCTGAAGCTGGCATTGTTGCTACATGTGCGCGATTCCACCTCCCTCGTGCTTGCATGCAACCACGCCAGGCCAGGTTGCTGTGACAATCCCGACGTCGGACACGCAAGGGAGCGGTTTCGCATGCAGTGGCCCAGCTTGGGCCTGGGCTCTGGGCCTCGCGCGGCTGCAGGACACGACGTGGCCGGCGTCACGTCTCTGCCCTGTCGTCTGGGCTCTGGCTACTCCTTTTTGATGCGTTCTGATGCATGCAGCAGGTCAGCTGCAGGCACTATTGAGTAAGATGCATCGTACACAGAAATCACAGGCGGCACGCAGGCGCTGGTCCCCCTGCTGCCTGTCGCGCAGCTCTCTCAAGCTGTCAGTGGTCTCTGGTCGTCTCCGTCTGGCTGCTCTGGCTGGAGCGCTTAAATCGCACGTGTTTGCCGCGAGGCGGAAAGGCTGGAGTGGGTCGTGGAGCTCTGAGGAATCGGAGTACGACATAATATGCTCCGTACGAGTAGAAGTATGGAGTATGGAGCACGTCGTAGGAGCTGACGGGGCAATTGTTCCGGGCTGGGTGTTTTACGTGCGAGACAGCACTACGACTATGTAGCAGAGTATTGGGGCATACTGGCTTTTTGGCCAATTAGACGCCAGAGACGGCGGCAGTGGTTGCGGGGGACTTATTCGAGCCGTGGGCTAGCGGTCTCAGCGATGGATTCGTGGTGGGATCGACATCACTTTTGCGTTGCGCTTAGTGCGGGCATCAGCCAAGGCACTCGGGGCTTATCTTGTTTTCGACCAACAGACATGTCTGAACAGTCAGCTGATGTGGCGGTTGCACCACGTTTTGCGTATGCGTTTGTGTGCTCGCGTGCATGCATGATGCTGGTGCTAGGAAAGAGACTGTACGGGCCTCAAAAGCAGAAAGATGCGCGACATCTGACAGGTCGACGACCGACAGCCCCAAGGCTGACCGTGATCAGGAGGGCGGTCAGGCCTTCTGTCAGGCCTCTGTCAGCTGCCTTATTGGATTGTTGCATATTAGATTGCATACATCATACATCATACATCATACATCATACATCGTCCGGCACCCTGTCTCAGCCGCTCCGTATGCGGCGTGACGGTCGTTTTGCTGCAGCCTGACCGCTACTTCTTTCACATATATCTTACCATGTAGAGCTATAGAAAGTCAGGGCAGACGCGCCAGGACGAGAGACAGTATCTGCCAAAGCGCACAGTTGCACCTCTGTGTGAAATTGGCTGCAGAGCTGCAGTAGTCTCAAAGGTCGCGGTGGATGGACCTCTCTTGTCATTCTCCGTTTGTATTTTTTCTTTTTTTCCCTTTTCTTGTCATTGGTGCCCGGCCACCGACTCGACGGCAAACTCCTCTGACCGGAAGGAAAACAGGCCCACCGGCTGTTTGCTATCCTGTTTTCTGTCCCCCTTTCCTGCTTTTCTGCTTTCCGGCTTTCTCTTGTCTTGTCTCCTCGGCCTGCCCGACCCTTCGGAGATGGCCTCTCAAACGAGACGATACGCCGACGCAACGGAAACGCAAATTATCTTGTCAGCACCGCACCAATGTCGTGAGTGTGATGGGCTAACTCTGCTTGCCAGCTTTGATCTACAAGGCAGTTTTTTGCCCCACCACACACACGTACCCCCCTTTCCTTTTCCTTCGCCCCTACCAATTTGCTTCTTTCTTTTCGCCATCTTCTCTCCGCCTAACTCCGTCATTTATTGCCTTCCTCATTTGGGTCCTTTCCCAGAGAGAAATGATCTGCAGCATTGTGTCAAGTGAGACAGGCAGGGATTGACATGCCTGAATATACAATGATAAGCTCTGAGCCCTCGTTGCAGTCCCGGACTCGACGCTATATTAAGGATGCGCTGAGACTGCATCTGCGGTGATGAATTTCTGCCATGTAAGATGCTATGGCCGCGTACCTCAGCTGTCCTCCTTGGGCGTGTGTTGTGCATATGCGCATGTCGTGTTTCATCTGCGAGAAGCCTCTTGCATCCTTCCAGACCGTGATGTTCTTCTTCGCCGTGGCGGTCAAGCAGCAGTGACATTGTCACAGTGGACGGCACAGTAATACACGGTACTCTGATGGGCTGCCGTCCAGGGCACAGTGTATGAACGTCTAACTGTGCTATCGGCAGATCGATGTGAGATGGCGGATGATCGTATCTTACAGCAGCAGCCTATCGCCGCCAGCATATAAGCCGCCAGCTGGTGGGTGCGCACTTCCGTACTCCGTCGTGTAAACATTGCCCCGGCCTGTCTTTCGTTCCCCCTCCTTCCCGGTGCTTCTCCACGGCAGGGCCGGAGTCCATGCGCCACGCGGCTTGACAGGTCCAATCAGAGACGCACCGGAAGGCTCAAAACGACCGAATATGAGATATGACAGTCGAGAGGGCACGAGCCATGGTCTTCCATCTTATCACTGGGCCCGGGTCCGATGGTGGTGCTTCGAGCAAACAGAAGCAGGCCCGCTTTTCGTCTCGAAGCTGAGAGCGCAGGCAGAGATACATGCAGACCGGAGCACAGTGGCATACCTGTCTGTCTGGCCTCTCGACTGGCACAATCGTGTGTGTGCACTCTTTTCAAGGAAAGGACAGTCTCAAGGGAGTTCCCAGAACAGAGTACATGGATCTTGTCCCGAAATAGCTCCCTCCAGCCTATGGCACTTGCCGTTTTGGCTTCCGCTTAGCCTTTATCTCCTCCTTCCTCTTTCCACTCCTCTCTTCTCGTCCGCTGCTTCCTCCCATGTCTTGTCTTGCCTCTTTCCCTTTCCCCGCAGTGACTGTTCTCGGCGAGGCCTCTTTGGACAAGAGGAGTGGCCGGCAGCTGGCAAGGCTTTGGTGGTCGCTGCAGGTAAGGGGTCAGCCCCTTATTCGCAGCTGCTCCCCCTCTTCTCTTGCCATTTTTGGTAAGCGCTCCCCGTTCCCCATCTTTATTCTTATTCCGTTATCCTTCTACGACTAGTCTGGTGTGGTTTCGTATCAGCAGATGGGCCGCAAGCCTCTCGCATTTGCATACTCAAAAGAGCCGTTCACCATTCGTAAACTCTGTCTCGGCACATGCCTCCACTTTTCTGTCTTTTTTCATTTTCATTTTCATTTTCATTTTTTTTTTTTTCTGTTCATCTGTTCTGTCGCAATGTCATATATCCTTATACACCCCTGCTGGCTGCGGAGAAACGACCTAGGCCAGTGGCGTCTTCAAAGCGAGGTCGCCCAAAAGCAAGCAATAATGGAGAAGCAGGATGGGTCATCTGGGCAACACGGACGGGGATGAGCTATGTTAGGAGCCTCACCGCGTCTTCCTCTACGAGTATACCTGCAGCAGATGCGTTAGCGGGATGATGTGGTCCCGGTCTGGTTTGTTTTTCTAATTTAATCGAGGCCTACCAAAGCCTGCCACGGTCACGGGCGACGGTCGAGAAGGCCAGTTGGGCCAGACGAGCATGCAATGCGGCCGAGGCAAGACAGGTGACCGGCGAGCGGCAGACGTGAGAGGACGAGAAGCGAAAAATAAACGAAAGAAAGCAGAGCAGAGCAGATAAGGCAGCACTGCTGGCAGTCAGGGCCACTTTCCACAGGGCTACTCGCTGTCGCTGAGGGCTAGACGACCAAAGAGAGACCTTTCCGCTTTGGGAAGCCGACTGCTGCTAGGATTCACACGCCCTACGGAGTAGCATGTACCCACCACCACGACTGAGAGCAGATGCGATCGATGGTCACATCGAATCGCATCTTACATGGCCGTGCTCCCTCTTGCATTACACGCGCCCCTCGCTCACACGTACCCCCCCTGGTCAGTGCTCCTTGTCCGCCTCAGCCTCCTGGGCAGGTCTTCAGACGTCCGTTCGCTCTGCACTTGCACGGAGTGTCAAGCCATCATTTCCTTTTGCCTCTTGGCCACTTGTCTGCCTTTTTGCTCCTTACCCTTTGAGGCGCCCAACTGGCGCCTGCCTGGTCTTGTCCTCCTGTACATTGGATCGTCAGTCGGGCCGGCTGCTGGTATAAGACCGCTGCTTTTTCCCCACCGCCGGACCACTTCTCTTCATCCTTGTTTTGCTTCTCAAAGTGTCTGCTAGCAAATTTGTCGATTTGCCCGTTCGTCTTCCGCCAGCCACGACAGCGTCTCGTGTTTTCCATTCTCCTTTTCTTTTCTTCCCAGCCTGTAAGTGTTTGTGCATGTCTTCCTGCCCATTCTCCCGGACGTTTGAGCTGAGCAGACTTTGCCTTGCAGCCCATCCAAGCGATGCAGCCGACTCTCCGGGAGCTGTTCAATTCGCACGCCACTGAGCCACCTGGCCAAGCCTCGATGACCAGCCAGACGAACAGCCGCCTGCCTTCAATGTATCGGCCACAGCAGCAACATCACCCGTTCGAGACGCACCCGTCACCACAAGCAAACAGTGGAGCCTCTGATGTTTTGCGGCTGCCGCAGATCAACATGCTCAAGGAGCCACCGGCACCGCTGTCTACGGCCGTGCGGACGCCCGTGGCCTTTTCCGGTTTCCGCCACGAGAACAGAGAGCGGCGGCTAGCCGGTGGTAGCGACGAGTCGTCGGGTGCCGGCCGAAGCACTGGCCGTGGAAGAGGTGCTGCAAGTGAACGGCGAGCCGGCTCCAATTCATCGCAAACGGCCACAACAAGCAGCAGCTCGTCGTCCCGGTCGTCTGGCCACACGCCCGAGTCCATTGCCGCCCACACGGCCGCAGCCCAGCGATCGGTGGCCAACTCTGGCCAACCCAAGTTTGTGGTGATGACCGGACCGGCAATCGAACATACCATTAGCAGAAGCAGCAGCAGCAGCAGCAGCGCTAACACCGACTGCCACCACGACCACGGTCACGACAACTGCTCGTTCGGGTCGCAGCACTCGCCCACAAGAAGCGGCGGGCGGCTCCGGTCGTCGCTTTCGTCGGCACAGAGCAGCAGCCGGATGCAGTTCAAGAAGACGGCCGCCCATCGCAAGACGGCTTCGTCTGTCGCTGCAGCCAAGGCAGCCGCGGCCAAGGCCGAGATGCTGTCCAATGTGTCGTACACCATCGACAAGGCCGACGGCACATCCATGACGTTTTCGCGCCGCAACGTCTTTGAGACTTTTGACATCTCACCGGCTGCGCTGCAGGCCAACGCGACCGCCATGGTAGCGTCTTCTTCGTCGTCTTCACGGCCTAGGCTGGTCGGGAACCACGCCGTCTTCCGCGCTTCACCACCACAGCCATCGGCTGCGTTTTCGCGCGCCCAAACGGCCATGGGATACGGCGGTGCTACAATGCAGTCGCCTCCTACGTCCCGTGCTGTCCAGGCTCTTCCGCCCCTCTCTGCCGTTCAGCCGAGACTACGGTCGGTGGTGCCGCTGCCGTCAGCGTCTCAATTACAGGCACAGCAGCCGCCGTCGGACGACGAGTCGTTGGTGCTGCCACCCATCACCAACCACGGGTCCATCCTGGCGGACACTCCGCGCTTTCTGACGCTACAGCCGTCCAACCAGGTTGGTCCGGTCCAGTCGCTGGGCCGCTCGTCACAGGTGGCGCGGCCGGTCAATGTCGTGTTTCCGCTCGTGGTGCCCTCGCGGAGCCCAGAACCTGGCTCTGGCTCTGGCTCTGGCTGGGCTCAGTCGTCCCAACGGCTTAATCATCACGACGTGTACCAGTCTGAGGCCGCGCTCGAGATCGTTCCGCTGGATCGCCGCGGGTCGGTCAACCTGATGACGGTACCGGCTGGCATCAGGGCGCTCGAGCAGGACGGCGGAGAGGCCAAGCGGTTTCTGCTGCCGGACCACGAGCCACGCCTCAAGCCGCATCCGGGCCGGTCGTCGTACGGCTTCCAAATGGAGACGTTTCAGCGGACATCACGGAAGCAGTACCAGCAGCAGCGACATCGCATGCATCAGCAGCGGTACCGCCAGCGGCAGCAGCTGCAGCAGCAGCAGAAGCGTCTACAACAGGTGCAGCGGCACCAGGAGGAGCAGAAGCGTTTGCGCGAGGAACAAGAGCAGCCGGAGGAGCAGGAGCAATACGAGTTGGCGGCACCGGTGACACAGCCACAAGGCTCTCAGCCACATCAGCCTCAGTCGCGGCTGCAATACTCTGAAGGCGTCTTTGTGCGCTCGGCCCTGCCACCGCAGGTCCTCGGCGGCGAGGTTGCGCTCGATGACATGCCTCAGGTGCACATCGTGCGTGTAGGCACGGTCCATCCGCCTTTTGAGCCGTTGCAGCCGCCGGTGCGTGGAAACATCCCCGGCTTCCTGCTGCTGCCGTCCAAGAAAGACGGCACCGGCTGGCTGCAGAAGAGCGCGACGGCCAGCTATAAATGCTCCACGGCGGCCGAAGACGGCCATCAGGAGAGACAGGAGCGCACATACGTTCTCGTCAGTGCAGCAGAAGCCCTCCGGCTCAACGAGGAGCTGGCTGCGGCTGTTGGCAGCAGCAGCAGCAGCAACAGCTCGCTCATCGAGACACTCCGCAGCATCGTTCCTCACAGCGGTGTCACGGGCAGCGGAGACGAGGCGCTCACGCGGATGGCCCTGCAGGCTATGCAGAAGATGGCGGGTGCGTCGCTGTCGCCGTCGGCCTCGACCCTGCCAAACGAGTACGACGAGGAGATCACTGGTCGGTCCATCACCCTGGCCATCTGCATCCTCGTCCAGCAGCAGCAGCCGGGTGCACAACACGCACTGGACCTGCGTGAGATCCACTGCACCATCAGCAGCGACGGTGCAGCTCCCCCGTCTATTTCGTCCTTCTTGTCGTCTGCCTCACCTTCCTCTTCACCAACGTCCGCCTTCGCCAGCACGACATCCCCTCTTTTTCCGCACGGCCTCGCCAGCCGTGTCATGATCCCCAACGTCGTGGGTCGCCGGCTGTCAGCCTCTGTGGCCGGCACCTCGCCCTCGACGGTCCTCTCGGGCCAGCTGGAGCCGGGCGAGAAGCTCGAGATCCCACGGCTTACCATCATCCTCAGCGACCACTGGTCCAGCTGGACGGTGTCCTGCTCGGTCGTGTCGGCGACCAAGGTTCAGAATTGCCTAGCCGCACCCGAGGTCCGCGACCACCTGCAGCCGGACCACTACGACGGCCGGATCTTGCCGACGGCCAGCCTCAGGATCGTTCAGCGCGGCATCTGTCGCCATCGCCACGTCGCGGCCACCACGTCAATCCACCACCGGATCGTCATGACGCGCGTGTCTCGCGGCATGCAGGACAATCAGGTTGTTGAGGAGCGGGTCTTCTTCCTGGCCGGTGCGGTGGACGGAGACGGAGACGGCAGGACGCCGGGCAAGGATGCAGACGGCAGCCTGTGCGTGCTCGCCGTCTTCTCCACGGCCTACTTTCTACAGGTCGGCCGGCGCAACGAATAGGGGGCGGTGTTGTAATGGTTCAGAGGGCTGGGAAAGCGGCTTGTCTTGCTCTGCTCTTTGTTTTCTGCATTTTGTTTGGTTGCACTGTTTATAGTATCTACCAAGAGCCACGGCGTTAGGGCAAAGGTCTACGGCACATGAATGTTCACGAAGCGAAATGGGGCATAATGGGCACGAAGGACTAGAGAGGATGGCGATGAAATTGACTGGCTTGTGCTCTACTCCGTACTCTGGCTTTTTCGTCCTGGCGACCGGTCAAGACAAGCAGATGACGGCCGGCAGACTGCTCAGGCCTCACCGCTTTCTTCATCGGTCGGGAGCAGCGGCCAAGATGCTAAGACGATGTAGTTAGTCCGCACTACTCCCATGCGCCTGTGGGCTCAGCACTTTGGGCTTCATCGAGTCGCAAGGCGTCAACGATTTGTGCTCGGCCAGGCGCAGACCGAGGCTGGTGAGCACGTCGTATTCCTTGCAGCCCAGCCGATGGACATCCGCATCGCACGGTCCCTAGCCCACTAGCTCTACCATATACCACGGATCCACTGCTAACCGATGCCAATATGCACGATACGTACTCCGTAGAGCTATCTCACTACGGAGTATGCGTCCAGCAGACCGTCCTGGTCTGGCCATGGCAGGAGACACATCCGAGGCATTGGCATACGAGTACGAGCCGTACGAGGTGGTATTGCTGCTCAGTCGAGCGTGCGCTCGCCCTCGTGCCAGCCATGATATCCGAGCAGCCGCTGTTAACTCCACGGGCCTAAGAATTGTCCGGCGTCGCATCGTGGCCCTCTCGGTCAGCGCTGGGTTACATTGGGCTCGCCGAAGCAACCGCACGGACATCCCGAGAGAGTGGTCGGTCCAGAACGACAGGACCGGGGGGGAGGGGGTATGTTTTTTTTACCTGTTTTTTCTACTCGTACTCTGTTGTACTCTTCTGCTCCAAGCGGCCACGCAATGCCATCGTCACGTCGTCGATGGGATCGTTGGGGCGAAACGCCATCAGCAGAAAAAGCAAATATGCCTTGCGCCATTCCTGGGCTCGAGGAATGCCCGAAGCATCGCCGCCCGTAGATCTTTGCCACACTGGACCCATCGTGTCGACTGCATCCTCCCTTTCGGCTGGCCTGGTCCCCCGAGTCAGTCGTTTCAGTTCCAGCAGGAAGAAGCAACGGCATCGACCAGGCTAAGATTCGTGCAAGCCTCCGACAGGGGCTATCTGAAGATAAGATACATACTTGGTACATAAGATACGAGCTCAATTTCCACGAAACGGCCTCCCGCGAGCACTCTATCGAGCGGATTACACATGCGCTAAACAGCCACCAATTTAGCTAAACGACCCGGAAGCTAGCCTCCCTTATAGCCTTCCGCTTCTGTCCGCTGCTGTTGGCACAGCTTTTGCCTACATACTAGGGTCCCCCAGTCTAGCTTGTCTCTACGAGTACTCCCTCCTCCCTTTTCTCTCTGTTTCCCTCTTAGCTAGCTACATAGTACTATGTAATAACGTGTCGGCCTTTGGGCCCCCCTCCATCCCCGTTCTCATCTTTGTTTCTCGCTACCGACCATTCGGCTCGTGCTTGCATGATCCCTCTACGATGGTTACCACTCCTCTATTCCGCCACCGATCGAGGGGCAAGAGGAGGGGGGAGGGGGGAAGAGAACGAAAAGTTGTGGAATGCTGCGACTGCCATGCGCTCATTTTGTTTATTTTATTTTCGTCATTTTATTTTGTTTATTTTCATCCCCGCAATAATGAATTTAATTGACAGTGATAATCATCAGATCAACCCATCCACTGATCAGTCAATCAGCACTCCGTATCCGTCTGCCATTTATCTCTGATACGTGGATCAGATCGCCGCAATTCCATGTTTGGCCTGTGGTCTCGGTCCCAGCAGCGGCTCCAGCTGATCCAAGACCTTTCTTTCGCTTCCCCTTCCGGAGGCCCAGAGGAACGAACGGTTCTGCATTTTGATTTCCTGATCGTGCTCGATCTTCCAACTCTGGTTGGACTTGCCGCTTAGCGGCTGATGGGCTCGTAGACGGACCTCCTTGGCCTTCCTTCTTCTGGCCTTTTCAGCGAGTATGGTCGATGATCTGCCTCCATACAGCCGTGACAGCCCTCTCTCGTCTGGCAGCCTGCATGTCTCGTCGTTCTTATCTCTGGGTCTCAGCCGCTTCTGGCGACGCACATCTTGACGGATCGCCACGAGTCTCACCTAACGGACAGCAGGGCTGTATGGAGTACGGATAGCAGTCCATATCGAGTGGGACACCGAGCGTCTGGCTTGTTTTTAGGCCTTTGCCCATGGCGCGCGTGATTGTGCGGGTGGGGACGAGGCCAGATGGCCAGCAGGGGGAGAATCCGAGGGCATGAAATCTCGGCGACCATTGGCTCGAGATTTTTGCGTGGATCCCAGCTAATAGCTCTCATATTACTCCGTATTGCTATGTATGGCCGCTCAGCTGAGCGTGTCCAGAGCGTTTTCAGGTGCAGTACTATGTATTGTCCATGTGCGGATAGGCACTACTGCCATAGCAGAAATGACAGATCAGTTATGTCCCTGGCAAGCGTGGAAAAGTAAAAAATAGCGACAGAACAGGGAAAGGGGTGTTTGAAGGGGGGCTTGAGCAGCGGAAAGGGAAAAAATAAAAGAAAGGAGAAAAGGAGTGCTCGGGGAGAGGAGATGGGGAAGAAGGGATGTCTGCATACGTACGGAGTACATCTACGTGATCGGAGGAGCTGATGAAAGGCTGCAGAGGGCTATCACCACCCGGAGCAACATGGCACGGTGCCCTACTTTTACATACCGAGAAGGGTAGCAACCAGGGGGACCTCAAGCCCGCGTCCACCACCACCACTACAGAGACTCGTACGTCGTACATATATAGAACCTCTGTAGATTCTGGCTCGTTGCGACCCTGCTGGCCGCCCCTCTTTTCCTGCTATGATCCCTGCCGCTCACAACGCCTGCAGCTGAAGCCACGAGCCAGCAAAGCCCAAAAAAGCTCGTGCTCGCCAGACTGAATGCCTGCCTGCCTGACTGCCGCACTCCATTCCTGCCATCCTCCTTGCTAACCGTCTCCTGGCTCTCCCGAGGAATGGAGACCACGGCCGCCGAACGGGAAAGATTACGCTGGGTCCTGTTTATTATTAGTCGGGTCGTATTAGTACAGTACCAGCTTGGTAGATTTCAGAACCCCCCCCACATCAGTGGATAGAAGCCAACCCGGCACCCCTCTCACCCCTTCAGTTGGGCCGTCACCATATATCTTACGAAAACGCTATTTCTGTGGACCAGGCCAGCAGACGGAGGGAGGGGAGGGGGGTGTGAACTAGGTTCCAGAACAGAAAGACAGACACACGACAGACCATATAAGCCCTCTTGGTCTGCACCACCAAACAGATCTGTGGTTCTTCCGATCTTCTCCTTTCCTTCTCTCTCATCTGCATCCAGTCGTATCCGGACTCTCTTACAGCAAGCTTCCCCATCTTCCATCTCCGCCTCTTCCTCTTCTGCACTTTCGCCCCAACGCCAAATAGAAGAAGAAAACGGCTAGCCCAACATGTGCCAGTGGACTCAGGTATGTGTTTCCCCCCCCCCGGCCCAGCGGTCTTCTTTCTCTGCAGTCCACGTCGATCCTTGTTGCTGACACAGCTGGCAATGGGTATAGAGAAACTACAGCTGCGGCCATGTCCGCTACGTTGCTGCCGAATGGTGCCGGTCGTACCGGATGCGCAAGCAGCGCTGCTCCGTTGACGTGACCAATGTCGAGGACAGGTGTGACGAGCTGTGTGGTACGTCGAGCTTCCAGATCCTCCCGTCTTTCCGCTTTCCGTCGTCGCTTCTGCTAACAGCCGCAGCATCCTGTCGCCCCCGCCAGGTGACGCCTCAACATGCTTCCTACATCAACAGCATATACAAGGACCTGTGCCAGAAGCATCCCGACCGGGACTGGGAGAAGATCCGCGTGCTGGCCGAGCCCGGACCGCACGAGCGAAAGTGAACGACCCCTTCCCGCGAGCGTGCGGACATAATGATCTTTGGGCGTCTACGGGGACTATCGTGTTGGGAGGAAAGCTTTGGGTAATCGCATGGGCACTGGGCGGAGTGTGGGAAAATGGGCGCGCTTCTGTCGCACGGAACTGGTCGGATGGGCATCTACTGTCTGGCCCATGTTTGCTTTCTTTTTCTTCTGTTTCCATCTGTCTTGCTTTGGTCCGGTTCTATTGGCTCTGTTGGCGGCTTGTCTATGTCTGTTGGCCTGTCTTGCCCGGTTGGCTGACTTCTTTCTCTTGTTTCTTGCTTTTTTCGGCCTCGCAGAGAGGGCGATTCCTCCGTCTCGTTATATACCCCATTGCCTGCGACTTAGCTGCCGGACAGCAACGGCAGTCCACAATGGTAGCACAAAATAAATATACTGCATGTCTGTCTGCAGTACTCCGTTTAAGAGACAGCTTATTCCGGTCCAAGCAGGCGGGGACTATCATCCGCGACCCCTATTCCCGACGCAGGCCAGCGGCAGTAGCCCTACTCGTACTCCGTATTGCCGTCGTATCCCTCCTTTTGCCTGAAGGAAGCAGACTAGCGCACGGAGTGATCCTGTGGTGGATGGTGATGGACGGCACAATTCCGTTGGCACCTGTCTGTAACCCTCCATCCCAGAACCGGCAGAGTGAAGCGAGAAGCCATCAAAGAGCGGGGGTCTCACCCAAGAATTGTTTGGTATCACTCCAATGCCCGTTGGTCACAGCTGTGTCTCCATCACAGCCCATTCCGACTAGGATTGGGTTGCTGGAATACGACGCTGTGCTTCCCCGGACTGACCTCCCCCACGTCTACTGACCATCTGAGTGCCAAAAGCGCACGCAGTCAGGGTGCCTGAAGATTGCTGATACAGGCCCACCTGTGTCGGAGTCCCTATTACCGGTAGCCGCCTACCATATTCGGCATGCCCAGGTAAGGTCGTATTGCGCCTCAGAGCGGTGATAGCTATTTTTCTCGCACCACTGTTGCTTCGCCGTGCGAAACCACTGCATGCGTGCCGACATGTCACTGCTGATCGACCGCATAAAACCGGGCGTTATATCCAGCAAGTCTGGTCCAACAGGGGTTATGTCCTCACCGTAGCAGAAACCGCCTGTTTCCAACACCCTTCGACGGTCACATGACACAGACGAAAAGAACGCTACCAAAAAACTGCACCACTGGTGATCCGGCTCGACTCCGTACGGAGTGGCCATCGCGCGCTGGTCCAGCTTCGTTGCGAGCGTCTCGTTCCGCCGGCCGGGTGAGCTAGTTCAGCTTGGATCGCATGGGGGCCCATGTGCCAGCTGATACTCGTACTCTACCCAAAGCAGAGTGGGTCTTGCCCAAAGCTGTAATATCCAGCTGGAGCAGAGAAGATTCGTCATGAAATTGCGCACGCTCAGCCAATTTCTGACCCCTCTGGCACAGCCCCTGTCGATGGGGAGTTGGCAGAGCCAGAAAGTCGTTCCGATCAGAGACTGAGCTGGTTGGGCCCTTTGGGAGGCGTTTCCGAGCCCAGGAAGACAAAGAGAGGACTATACACAGCAGACCCGATGCGGGACGCTCGCCCTGGATATGCTGCCCTGTTGCGCTTGTCTGCAAGCGCAGATGGAGACGGCTACAAGACGACGCCAGGGCAGCCGTCTCGCGTGGCCTGCTTCGAGGAGGCTGACGCAACGAGGCCGCCGGCGCGAGCAGCCAAGCAATCAGTGCAGTCACAAGAACAGGGCGCAACGGGGCATGGGGGAGGGCGAGAGGCGAGAGGCAAGAGACACAGACACAAGTGGAAAGATAACGGCGAAACACAACAACGGAGGACCGAGGCGGCCTCCATTACACAGCATATACATGAACGGCGTACAGGGTACAGAGGCCTCATAGCCACCCAGCAGGAGGAGCAGCGGTAAATAACAAGAGAACAAGAGAACGGGAGAACAAGTGAACAAATGGACAAAAAGAGCCGCCACTTCAAATGTCCGCCCGCTGCTCCCCAACGGACGGACCTTTCTTTGGCTTTGGCTTGTCCGTAGAGAAAGCCTCTCGAGGACCGGCAAATGCAAGAAGAGAGCAGCCAGTTCAAGGTGGCAAAGGGCTTGCTACTATGTATCTCGACCAGAATTGTGATTGGGGCGGCCAAGGCGTAATGGGTCAGTCGGCTTTTTGATTTGTCCACGTCCATCCAATCGCTCAATCTGAGGCGAACAAAGCCGGAAAGCCCAAACTGGCTTGAATTAACAGCCCGCCCCGTCCCTCCTCTCTGGTTCTCCCTTTTTTCCTTCTCTTCGGCTACGTAGGGAACAGGCTTACACGCACGCCCTTCTCTTCCCGTCCTAGACTAGAGCAGGGCTTCTTTTCATCTTCCATACCTAAACCGAAATTTCTCCGATACATAGGCGTTTGGCGGCTTATGTCAGATTCCTCAACGTTTTTTTATTCGATGCCCTGGATTTAGGATTTATGCATTTCATGACTGCATGCGTACCAACTTTATCGACTTACGGCTCCATTGTTCAACACCTCCCGGCGAAGCAACGCTACCTCTTATGTATGTCGTCACATCGACCTTTCAGCTTATACGGGCCGGTCTCAAGGCATACGGATTCACCGCTCTTCTGTCATATAATATTCGCCCGATAAAGCCCAATCCAGAGCTTGTATCTTTCCGGTACCTTCAAGCTTGCATTTTAAAACGCCGTATGCAATATTTGCCTCTGTGCTATCAAAATAGGAAGCCGACGTGGCAAGTTTAGATCCCAATCTGCATATTTCCGCCTCACTTTGCTTTACCTCCTTTTAGCACACCCAAGCTTCCACTTTTCCGTAGACCAGCACACAAGCAAGAATCTTTGTGACTCTTGTATTTTTTTTTTTAAAAAAAAATGTATAGGTGTTTATCCGCCTTCAGAAGCCAGATGGAGAGGCGAAGTATAAAGGTCTACTTCAAGGCTCTTCGGCTACCCGTGGCTTTCCATTCCCTTTCACTTCTATTCCCTCCGAAGTGCACATTCTAGAAGCTTATCCCACGAGTGTTTATCTTATGTAATTCTTGTGGCGCTGTCCCTTTCGCTCCGTTATCACCACTAGCATGGACAACCCTGTCATCAACGACCTTGAGGTGGTCCTCAAACAGATGTTCCAGTTCTGGTACTACGTCGGATTGCTGCTACGGGTCGGCCTGGCCGGCGACATGAAAACAAACTTTGTGCGGCTGCTGCGCACTCTTGAAGACCAGCCTCTGCTTCCCTTCCTACCCATCAAGGATGTTTCCGAATCGGGGTGGAGTATCAAGAACATCATGCTTGACAGTATGGACAAGGCCGAGAGTGCTCTGCGGCTTCCACGCCCGAGCTCCACCAGCATGGCAGGCCGCATTGTGGAGGTTTCGATTGCTGTTTCAAGGCTGGTGGCTAGACCACAGCTGCCATTACAGCCACCGGCGACGAGGCTGTCCACACCTAGTCCACCGACCTCCAGCGGTCTGTATGGGGGTCCAGTTGCAGGTCGCCCTTGGTATCCTCACGGTCATATCTCGACTGGTCCATCTTTGTCTCAGGCGCCGTCGTCGCCGTCCCCTCCTGTCTTCTCACAGGGCCAACAATGCGCGACTGCCATGACTGTCATGACAGACATGCGGGACGAGTACTTCCATGGCGCCTGTCACGTCACCACCGAATCAGCGGAGGAGATCTTCGAGCGGATTCGCCTCATCGCGCCTGAGGCTGCTTTCACTTATACACACCCGGTGCCAGACGAGAACATCCCCCTCATAGTCTGCTCCGTCGTCGCCTGGGGTCTTGGCTCCAATGCTAAGCGGATCACACCGGCACGACTGTCCAGCCTGACCTACGGCCAGATAGTCAATGCCCTGATGCTGTCTGGGAAGCTGCTGTACCGGCCCGCCTATCCCATGTTGAGCACACCCAGACCCAGTCCGGGAGGTGCTCTCAGGCCGGCCATGGGATCATCCAAAAAAGTCGAGTATCCTTCGAACGTGGCACTCACGTCTGGCACACGTCCGGGCCTGTACCGCCCGTCTCAGCCGTACCCAACGCCAGACCAACCACGCGGTATCGTGCATGGGCAGGACTCGCAGTCGCGATGGGTCCCTGACATGGCATCGGATTCGCGGCAGGGTCCTTGGGGGTTGCGGCAGCCCCCCATGTCCCCAAGCGGCGTACGGACCATCTCATCGTATAGTGGCAGCGACAGCAGCAGCAGTGGTCGCGCAACCCGCAACAGCGATAGCGACAGCAACAGCAACAGTGACAGCACAAGTGAGAGTGAGGAAGAGCACGTTGATTGTGTCCGCTCAAAGAACTCAGGCAAGAGCAAGCCCAAGTGCGAAAAAGGCTGCAAGACCTGCAAATGCAAGGCCAAAACGAGCACTAGTGAGAATGAGAGCAAGAATAAAAGCAAGGACCAAGAAAGCTCGACCAAGCACGGAGACCGGCACTCCAAAAAGGCTGGGGACAGTGCTAAGAGGCGTCGACACCTGTGGGACGATACCCATTCTGACTCCGTTTCGGAAGACGACTCAGACGCATCGTCGCAGGGCAGATCGGTCACGGGCTCAAACGTCGAATCAGACTCTGAGGCTGCACTTTCTGGAACAGTTTCGGCTCCGGCGATCGTTGCTGTCGACTCTGGAAGTGATTCGAGCTGCGAATCTGGCTCTGACTGTGACGGCTGGACGAAAGAAGACGCCAACCGCAAGAAGAAGAGTGGACGGCGGACCGAGAAGGCAGCCATGAAGTGCTGCCATAAATGCGAGGACTGTCCTGACGATGACTTTGTGATTGTGAGCAGACACGGAGGGAAGGTGTAAGATTTATGTGTGTGTTTCTGTGGATGTCTACTTGCTTGTTTCGGTTGCTCTTGCCTTTGGGTGTTTTTCCTTTGTGATGAGCAGTGTGTGGTTTCCTTGACTTCCCAGTAATTTGTATCCTGTTGCCTTTCGCCATTGCTTTCTCATAGACCCAAAACCAAAAGTTCCTCTTTGTCTCACAGAAGCTGTAACAGGACAATTAAAAGTGTTGCAGATGTCGAAATTCTTGGCAGAGGCGTCCCCAGAGGGTTGATTGTGCTGATACAGGCATGATACGAGCAGATCATAACAGCTACAGTTCCTGTTTGGTTTGACGGGACACAGTAACTTTAAGGGGCACGATCTTCGGAAGTGTATCAATTTTGGCCTTCCTTGCCTTCTGCAAGAAGGCGTGAAGGAGAAGGAGAAACGCGGCAGTAAGGCTTTCCTAAAATATTGCATCCAAAAGGTAGGATATCGTATCCAATTTGGACACTCTACAGAATCGCGCTGACCAACTCGGCACCCGCAGCAAAGCCCACGCCCGTCACAAAGGCATTTCCCAGCTTGCCACCGATCTTCTTGCCCGTCTTCTTCATCTTGTCGTCCTCGGGAGGTGCAGCACTGCCCTCGCCGTTGGCCGGCATGGGCTGGTTGGGCTGGCTGGGCTGGTTGTGCTGCTCGTACTGCGGCTGGCTATACGAAGGCTGGCCGTAGGACTGCTGGCCATACTGCGGTTGACCATACGAAGGCTGCTGAGCATACGAAGGCTGGCCATATGGCTGCTGGCCATACGGCTGTTGTCCGTACTGCTGCGGCTGGCCGTAAGACTGCTGCTGGGTGGTCTTCTCGGCAAAGTACGGCTGCTGGTACTGGTTCTGGTTCTGGTTCTGGTTCTGCTGGCTGTAGTAGTCGGGCGGCCCGCCGTTGCGAGCTGTGGCCTCTGCCTCTTCTGCTGACGGCACCCGGCCGGCGCGCTCAAGGTCGGCCAGTGCCGCATCCGGCTTGACGTACTGTCGCGGGAAGATGCCCACCTGACCGGAACGCAGGTTGCGGCCCAACCACCAGTCCGCGTTGACCTGGCTGTACACGGCCACGGCCTCGCCCCGCTCGAAGCCGAGGTCGCCCTCGTTGGGTGCATCGTAGCGGTACTTGGCTGTGGCATAGCCTATGGCTGTGCGGCCGTCAGCATCGGTATCAGAGGCCGGATCTGGGATCGGAGCGGGTTCCGGCTCGATGGGCGCTGGCTGGGGCGTGCGGCGGGCAGGCAGCGGAGGCGTGGCAACAGCGACAGGAGCAGCAGCTGGGGACATGGCACGTGCTGCTGAAGTTGCTGCTGCTGCACTCGCTGGCGGTCCGTCACGCAGACTCCATTCCTGTGGAAGCATGCCGTGGATGTTGGTAAAGGCGTCGTCAGTGATGGCACCCTTCTCGAGCAGGGTCTCGAGTTCCTGAAACACATGTCAGTGGATCTGGTCGTCTGGCACTGGCACGTCACCTTTGGGCCCATACATTCTTAATGTTCCGCAGAGACCGGTTGACGTCCATTGCCTTTTGGCGGATGGACTCGCCAGCACCAGTCGATGGCGCTGCCCGATACATGGCTACTTTGAGGCCGTTCGGATCGGTAGGAAATCGGTACAAAGATCGGCAGGAGAAAGCAGTAGGAGAGTCGAAGAGCAGGTCGGACAAGTCAGAGGAACAGGGCGAAAAGGGAAGGCGGTAGAAAAAAGGTAACGGAAGACGGTGAAGTGGATGGGATCCGGAAAGCCCAACTTTGTATGGAGTACTCCGTACGTGATATGTGTATGCAGCAGGCAGTGGCGGGACAGCGTGGCTGTGCTGAGCACTGCGGCGGCTTCGGCGGGTGGAGAGCTGTTTCACCCGCTGTACTATTCGTGCACAATTATATGCATATATGGAATATTGCATGTAAGCAGTTACCGTTCATGCCGACACATGCATGCGCACAACTTAATTGTTGCAGATATATCTCTTGCTGCATAAGTCTCGATTGAATAGACTGTCGACAGCACCACACCTCGCTGGCCACGCTGGCCATTTGTGTGTCAATGCACAAGGAGGACATTGCGCCCCGTGTCTTACTAGGAGCACTGACAAAACATGTTGCACATTAAGGAAGTCGAAGTGCAGGCTCAAAAAGAAGGCAAAAGACATGGGAAAGAAGCAGCCGAATGAGTCACTGTGAAACTCGCACAGGAGATTGTCTTGACGGTTATTTGTGCTGTCATACTCAATTTTCATAGAAGACGAGCCAAATGGGTAGTAGACAAAGGCTGAAATAGAGCGTAGATGCGGGGCGAAGGGATTCATGAAAAAGGTTGAGGATCCACAGCGGCTGACTGCGAAGAATGACAGAGTGTCTACGACGTTAGAGAAGGAGACAAGCGAATCGTGGTCAACCGAGTTTTTCTCTTTTGCGTAGTTGCCAACACAGTCTATTACGTACATACGATATGCCTGGAAAGTCTGCTGTTGTAGACATATGGAGTTAGTACCGAAACGGACCTAGATGTCGGATACGACGTAGATTGGGGAGAGACCAAGGGCCTCAGCGCGGAGGAGGCAAATTCGGGCACGGCAGTCAAGGCCTGGAAGAAGCGATGCGAACACTTGCATTGCATGGGAGGATCATTAACCATACGGTCGCCTGATAGGGCGTGAAGAGCTGCATGCCAGGAACACGATGTCGCAATTACGCTCTCCGGTCTCGTTAACCCTTGGAGATCTACCCCAGGATCTGCTGTAAGCAACTTGTCTGATTCCAGATAGACAGAAACATCTCTTTACAGGTAAACGAGTAAGATACAATGCGTCGAGCAGAGTCAGCGACGTCCATCTGCAGCATGTCTCATCTTCGCCGTATTCGGTATGCGAACCGAGAAACCGGCATAGGTACGGAGTACATACTTCTGAGATCGGTGACCGAGACCCGTGGAAGAGGTCTGGCAAGCCAGACAGTCAAAGTGAAAGCCAGCTACCATCGCCGAAAATGGAATATCTCTTACAAGTAGCGAGCTTGCTCCTGCTCACTCACTTCGTATGCGGCGACTAAATCTGCTAGCCAGGCAACGGCGCAATATAAAGTATCCTATTAGCGGGGTTGGCCAAAGCGAAGAAAAACTCTGTCTCATCAAAGTAGCCCTGCTTCCTTATTTGGCGGGTTTTCTTTTTCAATGCAGAATTTTACCTTGTCCTTGCTCTGTACAAATCTCCGGGTCTGCACATCCCCGTATCCACCGAAAATCCACCGCACATCCCATGGGACAGGGGGTCTCGTGCCCTTTCATGTGAGTGAGCACGGCTTCATTCCCCGGAATTTGGCCAAGCACAATTGTAACCTCATCGTGATCCTGGTCACAGCACTGGCCATGATGGCAACGATTTAGACGAGAGCTAGGCCAGAGATTGTCCGGATTTGCCTCGGCTTCGACCCAGTAGCCCTATCCACCCGTAAAGGAAGAAATTCTTGGAAGGCTCGCATGTGGTCTCGTGTGGTCTCGGGTTGTCCATGTGGTGTGATTCGTCGGCCTCTAGGCGGGTTCCCACTCGGTCTCGCGCAGATTAAGTAGCCACGACCGTTGCTAACCGGCAACGGCTTGGAAGCATGCGGTGTTTCCCCACCCAAATGGCACCACGATCCGTCTCCACATGGGCACAGCAGCCCACAGGCAGCCCACTGCAGCTGATAGGCAGCCCACTGCAGCTCACAGGCAGCCCACTGCTACTCCTCACGAACCCACAGGAACCCACAGAAGTCGGATTCGCCCCTGGGGGGAAGAGACGCCAGCCTGACTGAGCATGGCCTGACGGGTCCCGGGATGGGCGAGCCTTTTCGTCCCCTTCCGGCGGGTGGCCGCAACAGCGGACAGACGGAGAGCGAGCCGGAACCGGCAGGAATTGTTGGCTGATTCTGAAGATTTTTGTCGCTAGGGTCTGCGCAGCAGCCAATGGCAGCACAGGCCTGACGGCGAGTTCTGGCCCCCCCTGGCCGCGCTCTAGCATGCGAGAGTGGAGAGAGGTTCCCCCAGGACTCATCGGTGCCGGCATGCTGGTGGCCGTCTTGTGCTGTCCAGATCCGCTGGGATTGTCAGCAAGATTACGGAGTACGGAGCACGATGCTCGCTGGGCCAACCAGACGACAGCTGCTTTTCGTCTCAGTGCCTGATCAGAATGACCCGCATCTGGACACATGGAGCTCAGCGGGAGGTACCACGAAGACCGCCTTCAAGGTCGTGGTGCCCAGCACAAACGGATCCAGAGCAAAAAAAGGCCACCGTTGCGCGTCCATGGCTCCAGCAAAACAACATTGCCGGGCCAATTGACTCATTTAAAACGGGAGCCCTCGTAAGGAAGGTACAAAGGACCGGAGAGACGCGGTTCCGCTTTAGGACGATCCTGCACCCCGGAAGAATTCGCTCAGCAGTGGTGTGCCAGCCACGGAAGGTCCAACCTGTCCGGCCTGTTTACTCGTATTCCGCTGATTCTTTATCAAGCCGTCGTTTCCAAAGCGTTATTTTCATGCCGTCTCTTCTTCCCTTGCCCTCTCTCTCCTCGTCGAGCCTTTTTTTGCTAGGTCCAACGTCCCCAGACAGTCTCTGATTCCGTCTCCCGACTCATGACATTTTCCAGACGATGGCCCTAGGCCATCGTGCCATACGAGTACCTCCTCTTGTCTTCACTTACGGCTTCGACAGCAAACCCAGGCAGAATCGGGTGAAAGCTCATCACTATTCCGTGGGGGCCATTCTCACCAATCACACAACATCAACTACAGACACGCAGACACGCAGACAGTCGGAGCGATATGGGCTGGAATGCCTCGTTCCGTCACCGCCAGGCCGAACCGTCTTCCGCGGGTCGTGCCAGCGTCCCCAAAACCAAGAAGACTTTGTTTCGAAAGTTGGCCTCTCTCGCCAAAAGGAAGAGCCGCCAGCCAGAGCTGTCAGACGAGGCTACTCTTTCCCATGCGGCCGCGGCCGGTGAAACCACCACGACCGTGGAAGCGGCGCCCAGGGCTCCACTGGTCGTCCATATCGAGGCTCGCTTCCCCGGCTCGGATGTCCTACCCGAACCCTGCATATACAGCCGCGAATACAACAGTTCCCCGGATTTCGTACCGTCGGAACGCCTCTGCAAAGGCTTGCTCCGACGTATCGACCACTGCTCCCGTGAACTCATCACCCGCAAGGATGTCAAGGCTCTGCTGCCACAACGCAGACATGGCCAACTGTGCTCTGCTAAGCCGTTGCGCTACGAGTTGCGTTACCGGATCATACGACAAGACGGCAGCGTCTGGGCTGACAAGGTCTACACTTCGTACCAGAAACAGGAAGTTACGCGTGCCAGTACTGGTGGCGTTATCCTTGCCATCCATCGCATCGTCGGTCTCTTCCTCTGCCGCTACGACCCCTCCTTCAAGTGGGCAGAGCTTCCGACCGGTGCACCGTCCTATCTTTTCAAACCCCAGTCTTCGGGCTCCGAACTTTCCCACACCGCCGTGGGAAACCCGATTCCCCTATCCTGTGTCCCAGAGGCGCGCTTTTTAGATGCCTCTCAGTCCTTCGAGGCCATCCCTGGCTATTCCATTCACTTCTCTTTCCGGAGCCACAGCCGGACCCGCTCAGAGGTTGAATGGAAGCGCAACATCACGCTGCAGAGTCTGCAGACGGCACCATTGAACTTGCCTCTCGCTGAAGACCTCCTCTGGAGATCGTTTGATTCTGTCAACAATGCCTTGGAAGGCCGTCGCGCTGTCTTCTTCCACGAGAATGCTGCCGAGGATCTGCGAGATGGCGTGGATAACCTCAGCTTTGATGAAGATGCCCTTGACATTGAGCTCCGCATCTCCAACAATCTCGGTCCCGACTACGACCATCTGACCCGGTCCATTCGCAGCAAGTTAGGCCTCTTCCAGCACCCCGATGCCCGCGACTGCAATGATTTCGTCCAGAGCGTACAGAACAACCTGCTTCGCTTCAGGGACTTCGCCGATGGCCAGATTGGTGCGCTGCCTGATTTTGATCTGCGTGTTCTTACCCTACATGGCCTTGGCTGGTACACGGATGCTCCTGCGCGCTTCGCCCTCAACCACATGACGACCTACCCTCGGGACACCATTGAGGCACTTCTGGAACGCATCCAGACTGGCATTACTCATGTCCTCCGTGGCAGCGACACATCCATCCACATTGTTGCACATAAGCGGGGCCATCTGGTCTTTGACGAAGTCATGGTCATACGCTCACATCAAGCCACTCTTTTGCCGCCGTCGTACACGGTTGACGATCAGATGAAAGAGACTGTAGCTCGGCTGAAACGACGCATTCAGCAAGATCTTGATGCAATCTGCAGAGACACGTGCTCAATCGACGACATTCCAGAAGATCCCATCAGTGGTGTCGTGGTCACTGAATCGGCAACGGCTGCTGCACGCGTATACACAGGAAATGTCTCAGTCAGAGAGCTTGCGCCTCTGCAGCGTGTCCCTTCCGTGAGGCCGATTTCGCCCCGCGTTGTGGAGCTTCCTGACGACCTTGTATTTGATGGGACCAACTCAGCTCGGACCTCATCGATCACATCGAAGCGCCGGCGTGCGTTTCCTCTCATTCCAGATAGGTTCTCACTATCCTCCTCCACAAACACGAGCATCGCGGCCACCGCCACGCCCAGGCAATCCTGCGAGAACTTTCATACTGATGTGGGCTCGGATGTCGACTCGGAGCCGGAGCCATGCGATGAAGAGGTTGTGCAACCTATAACAGAAGTGCTTCAAGAGTTTGAGGATCACATCGACTATGAAACGACGGCTACAGCACAAGAGCCAGTGGAACTCGAGGTGACCAAGTCGCCTGTTCCTGAGGCTACTGATCTGTCATCTAGGCCAGAACCAGGGGTTATGGTCCATCTATCCACTACTGTGCAGCCAGTGACTGATTGGCTGCCAATTTGGGAAGAATCATCTATTGTTGAGCCGGAAGGCCTCCCTCAAGCTCATCATGGTCAGGAGTCGATGACTGCTGCAAAGAGTGATGTGGTTGAAGACACCAAATCTGAGAAAGAGATTGATGCTTCAATCACACCAGTGGAAGAAGCAAAAAATGACGAGATCCTTAGCGAGAACCTCACGTCTGTGGCCCTCTTGCCGCTCGGATCGTGTCCCGAGGACGGCGATGCTGGTCTCGAGTCGCACGTTGAAACAGAGCCATTGATATGGCTACAGTCGAGCGAATCAGCCTCTGCTCCACAGGACAACATGACCATTGCCCAGGCGGAATTGTTCAAGCCGGAATCTCCAACGCTACCAGAACAGTCTGGCATGTCAGATTTGGAAGCCGAGATATCAGTTGACCCTAAAGTTTCCGAGCTGATTGGAGACTCAGGTTTCCCACCAGTAATGGAAATGGTCGTGGGATCTTCTGTTGGACAATCTGCCGAGCCAACATTGGAATCGGTTGTTGACATCACTGAGAAGCCAACCATCAACGAGCTACCTGGCGAGGAGCTTGTTAATGAGTTGATTACATGTGATGTCTCGGTTTCCAGTGAGGTATATAGGTCCGGGGAAGAGAGTGAGGCGAAGCCTGTTTATGAAGAGGATGTATCGACGAAGTCACTTTTGCACACGGCGGTCGACACTCAGGAGGAGTTAGCTCCGAGTGAGATATCAGTTACCGTGGAGAAAGTTGCCTACGAGAGTACAATCCGTTACAACGAGCTGACTTCTCACGAGGATACAACCTCTCGAGAGGGGCCTACCGTCAACGAGGAGTTGGTAGTTCTCGAGAGACCACCCGTGCTTGAGACGGTCACATCCGATGAGCAAGCAGTCTTCGATGAGCATATTCTTATCCATCTGCCAGCTTACGAACTTCACCATGATGAGTCGGCTACCGACGAGGCGCGAGGCGTTGATGAGACGAAATTTGACGAGCTTGTGACCGAGGAGCCGGTAGTTCAGGAGCCAACTGAACCGGCTGTGGAGTCAGCCGTTGATCTAGTCGCCGAGTCAGCTTTGGAGCCCGAGGCAGCTGCCGATTTAGTTGATGATGCAACTAGGCCGACTACTGCCGAAGAATCCTCTGTTGACGCAGCTTCAACAACCAGAGCCCTCTATTTCGAGCCAGTATTTATTATCGAGGAGCCCGCAACACCGCCGCGTCCCTCAACCCGGGATGAGTCTGTCAGAGGTAGCGCTGTCTCGATGACTGAAGAATCAGACATTTCACGACCCTCTACCCCTTCTCTCAGCTCTGGTGCGGGTAACTCCCGCCGGCCCAGCTTGCTTGAGACTCCCCAAATGACCCGCACCTTGTCCAGTGTGCGCACGCCCGTTATACTTGGGTCTGACTTGGAAACGGACGTGAGCAGCCGTGACGAAAGCAATACCGATACTCCGTTCCTCAATGACAATACCGGTGGTGTAAGAAAACTCTTGGATTACACTCCGCCCCCAAGGCCAATTCTAGTAAAATGCGAGGAGCCGTCCGAAGCTGCCTCTACCCTGTCTGAGGTGCCACTGGACCATGTTGCAGCCTCGACGCTGTGTGTCGAGTCTAGCGAAATTGAGGCTACGCATCAGCCTTTGTCGGAGGATGTCGTTGCAGACTCGGCGAACAAGCTAGAATATCGGAACTTCGGCATTCTTGACTCTACATTCGGAGAAGAGTTTTCGAGGACAAAGCCTACACTGGATCTAGATGTGGTCACGGACCCGGACCTGGATTTGGACGATGAAACTGATGTTCGCGATATTGAGTTGACGCAAGACAACGGTGAAGAGTCTCTTGAGGATGAGTATGAGACTGCCGACGTCAGCCTCCCTGAAGAGCCAGTGTCCATCGCTCTCGGCGAGGACGAAGAAGAAGAACGACCAAAGCAGGCTGTCGACACCTCGGCTCTTTCTGAGCTCTCTGAGTCTCATTTTGAGGAGGCCGTGTCCATATCGGCCTCGGAGACCACAGCAGCACAAGAATCTGAAACGGAGCTCGACGCGAGTTCTTCGCCCGTGTTGACTGAGCCAGAGATAGACCTCGACCAAGCCCAAGAAGCTGGTGAGGTGGAATATCTGGAACAGGACGTCGACAGAAGCCAAGACTCACATGAGGCTGAATCGGAGGAAATCCAGCAGTCCGAAAATGGGCAGTCACCAGACAATGACCAAGTGCTGCTCGATGGGGACCTACCTGATCTTAAGCCGGAACAAATGGAAGAACCAGAGCCAAGCATGCCGGTTACGGACAAGGACGAGACCCTAAAGGCCGTGCAAGATCCGGTGAAGGATGAGCCAGAAGAGGAAGCGAACAGCGGAGAGGTTGAGCAACTGCCAGAGCCCGAGACCACAACGGTCGTGGTCGTGGCTGAGGAGACAACAGCTGCAGAACCAGCTCTTTCTTCACTGGAACCTGAGGCGGAGGTCTCGGATGAGCAGCAGCTGGAGAAGGCCGCCGCTGTAGAGGTAGACGACATCCGCGAAGAGCCGGTCATTACAGAGGCAAGCGAGAAGTCAGTTCTGCCCTTGGAAGTTGCCAGAGAATCAACGGCGTCGGTGGCATTAATTTCGCCCACGAGGGTTGTCAGCGAGACATCGAGCTGGGAAGACGTGGAGACAGAGGCAGACTCGGATGTCAAGCACCCTGATGCTGATTATACGACACGGGACTCGGTCGACTCGGTCGACTCAATTGACGACGGACTGGACGATGCAGAGGAGTTGGACAAAGTGCCAATGTTGCTGGGACAGCGACGGATGCTGTCGATGCCCACAGCTGGCTTCATTGGTCTGCACGAGAGCAGGCTGGTGGAGGTGGGCATCCGGGGGGCACTGACAGGTTCACACGCCTTTGACCGGGCTGCCAGTCGTGTGGACGAGGCTGACAGGGAGGATGAGGAGGATGAAAAGACGACGCGACCACAGACGCCGATGCAATCAGAGAGTTCATCAATGCGAGCATCTTGGCTGGAAGAAGGCCATTCTTCGCCCGGCAAGACGACACCGCGGTCTCAAGGCAAGATCGTGCATCGACGAACGAAGAGCGGGTCTTACAGCAGGGTGGCGTTCATGCTGCCGAAGACGCCCAAGCGCGCGAGGGCGCCTTCGCACGGCCGAGTGCCAGTCAAGCTGATTGCGACACAGTCGAGTCCGGTATCGGTGCCATCTTCACCTACGACGCCTGTGGCTGCAGCTGTGGTGGGACTTCCTGCCGAGCAGGCGCCAGACAAAAACGAAGGCTACTTGCCACGTGTCATGATGATGCTTGCAGGTGTGCCCATGATGTCTCAATTTATGGGCAAGACGGCACCGTGAAGACGGACGTCTTTGAAAAGGATTGAAAGAAAAGAAAAAAGAAGAAGAACCAGAGAGGAAGTATAAACGGAACACCTCGGGGGTGATGGACTGGACAACGAGCCAGTGTGGATGTCTACAGATACCAGCAAGGATCGACTTGCCTTTTCCTTGTGTCATATTTTCCTTTTTACGAGCCGATCAGGCACGACGACTGTCATGATTTTTTTTTTCAGGCATGGATATTTCCGAAGGATGGACGGATGGGCGGGAGGACAGAGCCGGCATTGAACCTTTTCATGTACCGGTGGTCCACGGGAAATGCAGCAATGGCAAACACATTGTTGGCACGACAGAGGGAACAGATGCTGTCGAAACAAGTGGTTCATATTCTCATGGGCCCACTTATTTAGCAGGGCCAGTTTGTTGGCTGTATTTATGTAGCACAAAAGCCTAGCAATTTAACGCGATTAATTACATTATAAGATTACGGAGTATTCGTAGTATCACAGCTCGTCCTTGGGACGGTTGTCCTTGTTCTGCTCGTCGTACTTGGCCGTCTCGACGTCTTCTTCCCACATGCGCTTCATAGGGTTTGGTTGTGCAGGTTCTGCGGGCTGTTGTTGTTGTTGCTGTTGTTGCTGCTCCTGGTGTAGCTGTTGTTGTGAGATGCTGTCGTTGATGATCTGGCCGACCTGCTCGACGAGCGAATCTGACGGAGTAGCCGCGGCCGGGGTCGAATGTGCGACGGCTGTACTGCCCAGACTGGTGACTGCGTTTGTGATGATGCTGCTGCTGCTACTGCTTCCACTATCGGGCCCCTGCGCCTGTGCGACGGCGACGCTGCCGACACGGACGCCGAGCCCGACGGCGGCGACCGAGGCAGTCCAGGCGGAGCGAGCTGGCCACCAGACGAGCAGCCAGAGCGGACCGTAGAGGAGGCGCCGGAAGAGCAGCCAGGCGGCCGTGGCGGCCACGAGGTAGAGTGCCGTCTGCAGGTACCACGTGTCGCTTTTGTGGGCAGCCATGAGGCCGCGAGCGAGATGGCGGGCCGACCGCAGCGATGCCGCAATGTCGCCGTCTGCTCTGGACCCGCCATACCGCTCGCCCAGATCAGCCAGCGCGCGCGAGCTCTCGGCCAGCGTCTGAGCGGCAAAGTCGGACCGCGCGACCTCGCCGGCGATCCGGGCGTGGGTCTGGCGCAGGGCAGCCGTCACGTCGGCAGCAGCAGCGGCTGCAGCGCTGGGCGGCTTCGACTTCCGGGCGCTGCGTGCAGCCGTAGACCGGCGGTGGAGGGCGTGTGTCGGATCGGACATGTCATTGTCATCGTCGTCGTCAGAGTCGGACCGCTCGTCCTCGTCATCCTCCCCGTCGTCGCTCGCGGGATCGGCATAGGCCTCCAGCATGGCCAGCTGCTCTCGTCTCTGGGCCTTCTCGAGAGCCTGGCGGGCGCGCAGCCGGGCCTGGCGAAAGGTGGCATGGTGTCTGCCAGAGGTCAGAGAAGAAGCAGAGAACAAAGAACAAAGAACGGAAAAGACAGAAAGCACGTACGCTTGCAGCTCTCGATCCAGTCGGGCCAGTCCCTCCTTCAGCCGCGCACGGTCGTGGTCGACCACCGTCCCCGACGCCACCGCCAGGTCCAGCACGTCCTCCTGCAGCAGCTCGTGCTCGTCGCGCGCGTCTCGGAGACCATCGACGATCTCGGCCGCCCGATCGGCCACGACATCCTCGTCGGTGGCGCTGGCGCCCAGCCGCTCCGTAAGCCCGTGCAGCTCATCCAGGCTTTCCTGCAGCATCGCCAGCCGGCCCTGCAGCTCTTCGAGCGAGGCCATGGGGTGTGGGCGTAGGGTTGATCGTCGTGTTCGGCGTTGTGTCGGTCGTGGGAAGAGCTGTCCACGGATGCCGTTCTCCGACTAGACCCCACATATGTCACGTGACACGTGATGACCGAAAATTCGCAGTGTCGACGAGGGAATAGTAGCCTCTCGAGCAGACCTTCACCCTCGCCACCAAGACACGCAGACAGGCCAGCCAGACCCGCCGGCGCCATGATCACGCACTTCCTTACCGACGTCAACACGCGCTTCAACCCGTTCTCGCCGCGGGCCAAGGCGGCACGGCTGTTCCTCTCACTGCTGCCGCCACGGGCTCGACAACAGGGTCTCAACGTGACGACACAGCTGCTCGCACGCACTTCGACGGAGCCGAGCCTCCTGCACGTGCGCTTCAGTGCGTTCCTGTTCCTGTTTGTTCATGTTCTTTGATCTCTCTAACGCACACCCAGAGGACGGCAAGGAGATGCAGCTGGACTGCGAGGCCATGGGCATCAAGCGGGTCGTCGAGGAGGTGGACCGACACTCGCGGGCGCTGCAGAAGCAGGCCGACCTGGCCGACGGCTAGCGCAGACGGCAGAAGCAGGCGAATGGCATTGGGCGGCGTTTCTACGGCTGGGTTGCACCTCTTCTGTACGGACGTGGATAGAGAAAGATGTGACGAAGAAAGAGGCCGAGAAGCCTCTCTAGCTGCCATTTGTTGATGAATATACACTACACTCTGCTATAATTCTTGCTTTTCTCGGGGTTTTTCTACAGTCATCCGTCCGGGACTGTGGGTTCTCAGAGCCGACCCGAGGGTAGTCATGCGGAGGCGCCGCTGATGAAGAACCACTTGTCTATCGAGGCGTCAATCTTCTCAGCCGGCAGCTCCTCGTTGGCCGGGATAGGTGGAAGCTGGTCGAGGGAGACGCGGCTGGGCGAGTGGCCGACAGAGACGTTGGCACTGAAGAGTTAGCGGGGTGCAGAGAGAAAGAAAAGAGAGAAAAAAAAAAAAAAGGAAAAAGGAAAGAAAAAAAAAAAAAACTCACGTCGACACGCTACCTGGCTGGGTCTTGCCGGTGATGAGGCGTTCCCAGGCCTCGGCGCACTCGCGGATGACATCGGTGGCGTACTTCTTGTTCTTGCACTCGCCCGTGAAGGCGAACTGGTTCTCGGGCTTGCCGTCGGGGATCTTGTAGATGCGGAACCACTCATTGGTGGCGCGCAGGAGTCCCGGCAGGTGGCGCTCAACGTCCTCAATGTCGTTGAGCTTGGGGGCCAGCGGGTCGTTGACGTCGATCACGATGACCTTCCAGTCGGTCTCCTCCTCGTCCAGCAGGGCCATGACGCCGAGCACCTTGACCTGCTTGATCTGGCCGGTGTAGCCGACGAGCTCGCCGATCTCGCACACGTCCAGCGGGTCGTTGTCGCCCTTGGCCTTGGTCTCGGGGTGCACCACGTTGGGGTCCTCCCACGTCTGCGGGAAGGCCCCGTAGTTCCAGAGGTAGCCCTTGTGCGGGAAGCAGTTGCGGACGTAGCGAAGCTTGCCCTTCTTGATGTCCTGCTTGATCGGGTTCAGGGGCTCTTCCTTGGAGATCTGGGGGGGTTAGCGAAGGAAAAGAGAGGGGGGAGAGGGAGAGAGAGAGCAAAGAGAGGGGAGAGAAGAGATGGAAAACGAGCGAGCGAGCGAGCGAGAAAAGAAACCACGCACCTCGAGCTTCGCGTTGGTCCAGCGCGGAATCTCCACGACCATGTTGAGCACCGTCTGCTCCGGGTTGGCATACAGCGGAATGTCGTGGAAGGGCGACACCGGCTGGCCGTCCTTCTCGACGTACACCCGGTGCTCCAGCGTGTAGGGCGCCGCAATCTTGCGGATCGTGTACGCCATGGTGGGCAGTGTGCTTGAATGGATTCGACGGATGGAAGGGAGACAAAACGAGGACAGAGACAGAGACGAGGACGAAGACGAGGACAGAGACGAAAAGGACAGGAACGAGGACAGCACCCGCTGACCGGCCGCTTTTGGGCGAGAAAAACTGGGCGGGGGTGGGGTCGCCAGCAGCTGCTGCCGTGGCCGGCGCCACCTGGCCCACGTCCACACCGCCAGGCTGGCTGCAGCCGGCAACAGCCGGCACCCGGCTGGTGCCAGCTGGCCGGTCGAGAGGGCCAACATGGCGAAAAGAGGAGACCGAAAAAGGACAACAAGGACAGAATGGACAAAAAGCGACAGCTGAGCCGGAAAGCCGAGGGCGAAGAGCGAGGAGCGAAGACAACTGTCGCCTGGGCGCAACCGCGGCCAACAACACCGGCAAAGAGACAACGGGTGGATGGCAGCAGGGGCAAGGGAAGGGGACAAATGGGAGTGGAAGACGGCTGGCCGGCCGTACGTTGTAGCTCTCTGTACTCCGTACTCCGTATTCTCTGCTGGCTCTGCCTGCAGCCAATCAGACGGCCGCTCGCCAGCTGCCATGACAATGCGTACGGGACAACACTCGGATTTGCCTTCTGACGGCCGAACCAAAACTAGCTACATTCGCTGCATAGATGAAAGAAAGACAGAACGCATTATACATCCTCGCTCGTGTTTCTCAACGGTCTCGCACTTCCATCACCCTCACACTTCACATCTCACCTTCTCTTCACCTCCCACACCTTTCCATCTCCTCCCCTCACTTCCCTCATCTTGCTGGCAATGTTCGACTGTACGTCGCTCCCCCAAACGCCGGCCCCGACCAGCCCTGGTTGATGCTCTGCCGCACAATCAGGGCGGCCGCCTGATGTGCCGCCATCCGCTCCTTCTGACGGTATCGCTCCTTGAGGTAGCCGGCCGCTTCCGGCCGCATCCGCAAAATCCGCAGGATCATGTCGTCTGACGGGTCCGCCTGCGCCTCTCGTCGCTTCTCCTCCTTGGCCTTGCGCATCGTCCCGAGATTGCGGCTCATCATGATGCTCTTGCCGCGTCGGATCGTGCCCATGCTAGCAAACGCGCTCGCCGTCAGTGTCGCTGCTCCCGACCCGGCAAAACCTGGGAATCCTGGCGGCGCCGACAGCGGCCGCGCTGCGTTTTGCTGCTGCTGTAACTGCTGCTGCTGCTGCAGCTGCTGCTGGGCCCGCTGCGCCGTCGCGGCCGCCATCCGCTCCGATGTCCGGATCAGGTTCTCGGTCGTCTCAAAGTAGAAGAAGTTGAGCGAGGCCAGCTCGTGGTACTTGGCCGACTTGAGAATATCAGCCGGCACGCCCAGCACCTCGCCGTTCTCGTCGCGCGCGTGGAAAAAGTCAAACAGCAGCTCGAGCCAGCGGTAGACCACATCCAGCTCCGGCTGTGTCAGTGGCTTCTGCGTCGACGGCTTCTCCGACACCGGTGGCACCAGCAGCGCCTCCAGCGCCATCAATACCTCCTTCCACAGCCGCGTCATCACCGCCATCATGGTCGCGTGTGTCAGCGTCTGGTTCATCACCGCAAAGTTCTCGTTGAAGTACGTGAATAGCGGCTGCAGCGCGTTCTCCACCTCGGCTGCCGTCACTGCTGGCGCTTTGCTCGCCCGCTTCTGCCACAGCGCTGCCATCGACGAGGCCAGCCCCCGGTTCAGCAGCGCCTTGACGGCTTCGTACGACAGCGTCTCGTTGATGTGGGCTACCAGCTTGTCCGTCACCCGTCGCACCATGTCGCGCTCCGTCCGCTTGAGGTGTCGGAACGCCTTGGCAAAGTGGAACTGAATGTCGTCGCGCTCGCCTTCCATGCTGACCCGTAGCAGCAGTCGGCCCTGGGTGTCGAGGTCGAGCCAGAACTCGCGCGGCAGAAAGTCGCCAAAGTGCAGCGGATCCAGCTTCAGCGATGTCCGGCCCACAAAGTCGTGGTCGCCAAACGTGTCGTAGTCCCAGATCGTCGCGATGATGTTGAGCGGCCCCGACACCGTGATCTCCACCGACTCGTCCCAGCGCGGATTCAGGTTGCGCATCACGATTCGCGTCTTGGCCAGCCGCTTTTGGTACTCGTCGCCCAGCACCACGTACGGGTCGCTCGTCCCGGTCGGGTCGCATGCCTTGAGGTCTTCGGCCTCGACAATCTTGATCGTGAACACGTACTTGGCGTTGCGTCGGTCCACTGGCTTGATCGGTCCGTTTTCGCGTCGCAGCACCTCGGCGCATCCGTCCACGTTGACCATCTTCTCCAGCTTGTCCAGAGCCTGCATGGCGTATTCGATGTTGTTGAGCTTGACAAATGACTGCTTATGTAAGCAGTCGAACGACCATACCATTCCAAACACACTCTTCACTCACCTCTGGGTAAAACTGAAATGGCACCGCCTTCTCCTTCGTGCTCAGCGCGTCCTTGGCAAACTGCATCCACCGCTCCTGCGTCGTCTTGTTGGCCGCGCTCAGCTCCTGCTCCGACGGCCGGTCCATCTCGCTGACAAATTGCTGTTCGACAATCTCGCAGTACCGCCCAATGCCCCCGGTAAAGGCGCTTGCTAACGCCGTCATGAACGTGGCGTGGTGCACGTCGTCGTCCCACTCGAGCTGGTAGATCTGGTCGACGCTCTGATTGAAGGCCTGGAATGTGTCCATGATCGACACGCTGTGCCGCTGCTCGTCCGTCGGCACCTCATCCTCGGCTGGCGCCCGCACCTGAAACGGGTCCTGCTTGATGGCCTCCTCGACGATCCGCTCCATCCGCTCCTGTGCGCCCCGGATCCACCGCCAGACAAAGTCCTCCAGCAGGCCTTCGATGTGAAAGGCAAACGGCCGTCCCGGCAGCGACTCCACGTGGATCTTGCGAATCTCCACCAGCTCGTGGTACAGATCAAAGCCGTCCTGCACGTTGACCTCCTCGCCCCGCCCCTTGGCCACTTCCATAACCCGCTCGATGATCGCCTGCGCGTCCTGCTCGAAGCTCGGGAATACCGTCACCACCAGCTCGTTGAACGGGCTGACCCCCATGATCTCTGGATTCTTGCGGTACCGCTTGCGTGTCCGCTCGCACAGGCCCACCACTGCCTTGCCCAGGTTGACCACATGACTAAAGTCCCAGTCGTCCTCCAGCTGCGGAATGTTCTTGTCCAGAAATTCACGGTACGCCGCTGCCGCCCGCTCCCACATCGCTGTCCGAAGTGCCTCGGCAAACTGCTCCACCACCTCCGCTCGCTCCGAGAAGGCGCTGTCGGCCTGGCAGTGGTCCCGTATAAACATCAGCGACGGCCCAATCGGTTTCGGCTTCGCCTCGTAGCACTGCGCTGCCACCTCCAGCAGCTCCCGCAGCATCGCCTCAAACATCTTGCCCAGGATCTGCTGGTACGCCGTGTAGTCCTGCAGCGCCCACCGGCTGTGCGGCATGTCCTGCAGCGGGCTGCCAAACAGCTGAATGTGTGGCGCCTTCTTGTTGTGTGCCAGGTGGTCCACGCTCGCCTTGAGCTTGACGTCCTCAAAGATCTCGTACACCGCCTCGGCCGGCAGCTCGTCCTCCAAGTACTTCTGCGCCGCCACGTCCAGCAGCAGCACCGACCGCGACGGCTGGGGCAGCCGCCAGTGCACCGCCAGCTCTATCAGCAGCTCTGTCGACGGCCGCAGCAGTGGCACTGCCTCGGACACCATCGCGCCCGCATCATCGGGGTGCTGCAGGTCGTGCGTCATCGCCTGCTTGAGTATGAGCCGGTAATAGGCCCGCGGGTCCGGCGGGATGAACGTGTAGTCCGGCATGTCCTCTTCGGTCATGCCGCTGCCGATGCTGTCGACCAGCGAGAGCGCTGAGAAGCCAAAGGTCCCGTCGGCCCCGAGGTCGTTGCCGCCAATCGACGCGCCCGTGTCGCCGTCCGGTGTCGCCGAGAGCATCCGGCTCAGGTCTGAGAACGCCTGGCTCTCCGAGTAGACCGAAGTCGGCCGCATTGCCAGGCCCGACGATGTCTTGGCCAGCTCCGGCCGTGCCCGTAGCACGTCCAGCATCAGCTGCGTCAGCTGGTGCACCTCCGTCTTCTTCCACTCCTCAAACGAGCTGTCGACGTCAAAGTCCTGGCGCCGCAGCGCCCCTGGCATGTTGCTCGTCAGCCGGTGCTGGTAGTTCTTGAGATCCTTGAGCGCCGCCTCCTCCGTCCACTCGGACATGTCGCGGTCAATGTCCACCTGCACGTCCTCGAGCGGCCGTCCAAACAGCCGCGCCACCGTCTGCACCATCGGCATGTCCTTGACCTCGTATGTCAGCGGCACCTCGACCTCGATCGTCTTGTGCTCGCCCACCTGGCCCGTGTCGATGTACAGGTCCTGGTCATTGGTCAGCAGCTTCTTCTCCAGCGATGCCAGCCGCGCCATCAGCTCCGGCCGGCTCTGATCGCTGCCCTGGTCGCGTAGCACGCTGCTGACGAGCCGTACAAAGAGGGCCACGTGGCGATCCACCATCATCTTCCACGCGTCTTCCTCGGCTGTCTTGCCGCGGCCCTGCGCCTTGCTGCTGGCTGTGTAGAAGATCAGGATCAGCGGCTCGATCTTGCGGTCTTTGTCGATGCTCTTGCGGAACGCTAGCGCCGTGAAGGCCGTGTACGCCTCGCCAAACGTCCGCTTCACGGCCGCGTCGCTGTAGCCCGGCATCTTTTCCGTTCCACGCAGCACGCCCTCCATCCGCTTCTCCATTGCCGCCCGGAAGCTGTGCGGCAGCTTCATGCTCGACGAGCCTGAGCCCAGGCCTGAGCCCGAGCCCGAGCTCGAGCTGGCCGGCATCAACTCCTTCATCATGTCGCCCACGCTGCTTGAATACCGCCGCGACACCGGCTTCGGCGCCGCCGCCACGTACTCCTTCCGTTTCTTCTTCGGCTGCAGCAGATAGTTGAGAAAGGCGATGCGGAGGGCATAGCTGTAGCCGTCCTCGGTGCTGACATCGCCGAGAAGGGTGCCGCGCGAGAGTGCCCGCGACCGACGAGCACTCATCCGCGAGTTGTTGAGGCTGTTGCGGCCTGGCCGAGACATGCGATTGGAGTTGGTCGACATGGCTGTGGCTCGGCCAGCCCGTGTGAGTGTGTGAGTGCGAGTGTCTGTGTCGGGAGAAATCGTTCTTTTTCAATCCTGTTTGGCTTCGCTTGATTGCTACACTTCTCTCAGGAGATCGACCCAACGGCTTGGGCAGTGGCCGATTGCTGTGCTCAAACAGATGGCCAGCAGACAAAGAGCGCCTCCAGATTCGACGGAATGCTTAAAGACAGCAGCAGTGGCGGCGGCGAGGCGGCTGCGAGGTTCGCCCTGGGTCTGTGGTCGTGTTGGTTCGGGAGATGAAAGCAGGGGGAGATAGTGTGGCACAAAGTCGATCTGCTGCTAATTACGGCAGGCCCAGAGACGTCATGGTCACGCCCGCTTTGTTTCAATGGCCCCCAGCCCGCTAATTCAATAATATCTTATCTTACGTGAGGCAAGCGCCGTTTCAGCGCCCGTCGGTGGGGGCTATCACAATCAAACTGTGCTGGCCGTGAGCCACCAGCTGAAAAGGCTGTGAGGCTGGGCAGGGACCAGTAGTCTATGGCGTATGCCATCTCGCCTTATCTGCCTCGATCGGCACGGGGCAGCGGACACCGTTTGCCGTCGCCTGGCTGCAACCAGTGCTGGATCCCCATCGTGGCCTCTTGGCCTTATGCTTGTATCCAGGCACCAAAACGGTCAGAGAGAGACTCGCGCCGTTTCGCCGTTTCGCCGTTTCGCCGCTCTCCACGACGGATCACCGCTGCAGCTCGCTCCTGCCGTAATCGTATCGTATCGTGCTCCGTAATATGCAATGCCTGCCTGCTGCCCTGTCCTCTAGCGCTGCAGACCACCAAACCTCGCACCACAACCCCGCCGCCTTGCGCTACGACCCTGTACGTAGCCAGAAAGAGCGAGCCAGAGGCGTCGGTCCCGCCTTCCGTTCCTGCTTGCTGCCCCCGTAGCCTTTCCGTCCTGGCCACTCCTTCGCCGTCTCGCCATCCTAGAAGTATAGTCTCCTCTCTCTCCTGTCTCCGTTCTCTCCGCAAGATATTCTTACCTGCACACCTGCAAGTCACACCTCTCTGCCCGCCAGCTTCTCCTTCAACGTCGACCACCTCGCTTTCTTGTTCGAACCTCGCTCCCGGCTCTCCTTCGACCTTTTTCGTCTTCTGTCCCTCTGCCTGCCTCGTTCGCGCCGCTCCTTTACTGCCTCTTGTCCATCCCCCCTCCGCTTTCCCCTCCTCTTCACGCTGAGGCCCTCCTCTCCCTTTTTTTGCCCACCCTGTCTCTCGCCCTCTCATTTCAGCCCGGCTTCGCCTGCCACATCGCCTCTGTCCACCAGGCCAAGGGCCTTTTCTTTCTTCTCCGCCCGTCATGGGCAATGTCACCAGCCACCCTGACGAGGGCGGCGCCCTCTTTCTTCGCGACCAGAACCGATGTAAGCGCTTGCTCCGCTCGCCTAGACCGAGAAAAGGTTTCGCCAAGCTTGGCTCTCTGACCGCTGTCTAGTATCAATCTCGTCCCTGGTCATCGCCTCCCAACAGCGAAACTCTTCAGTCATAATCACCCCCAATGCATTCCCTGCGACCAGACTCGCTGCCACCCGTTCACTAGGCGAAAACTCCCCCGTGGAATACATACAGGTTCGCAAAGTCCCCACGTTCGACCACATGACATGCTTCCCATGCTCTGGCAGTTGCTGCGCCTGCTGCCTTTACCGACCCTAACATGCTTACTGTTCTTGCTCTCCACAGGATCCCGACTCCTTGCTGTCCTCTGCGCCACCCTCATTCCTGCTCAAGCTAACCAACGACGACGATCTCACCTTCACCTTTAATTTTGTCATTCGCCAGACTTCCGGCACGCCCTCGGCTGCTACTGCCGGCTCCTCTGCTCCCTTGTCCGCTGGCCAAGCTGCTGGCGCCGGCGCGGCCGATGCGAATGGCAGCTCGGCTGTCGTTGATACCCAGATCTGCGGACTCACATTTGTCTACGCGTCATCGGGGCGCGAGGTCGAAAACCTGGTCACCCGCGAGTTTCATGCCGACCCAAACCTCCACAAGAACTCAAACGTCAAACTGGTCGGCGACTATTCCACCGGCGGCAGTTCTTCTGTCTCCTTTAAATGGACCTGGAAGTGGAAGCCGCCCAAGGTCGCTGAGGACAAGGGGTGCGGCTGGCGACACTCCTGTAGCGTGTGTTCTGCTCAGACCTGTTCTTTCTCTCGCTTCCTCAGCATCTCCTGCTAACAAGGCCCAGTTTGTCGAGTACGACTCGCGTGCGCATATGCTGCACACCTTGGCTAGCTTCTCCTTCTGGGTGGCCAGTATGCAAGCCCCATGTCCTGTATCACGGTCTTGTCGCCCTCTAACTGTTTCTTTTAGACGCAAACCCCTTCTTCAGCCATCCCAGCTCTCCTGTGCCCTTTCTGCTCAGCGCTGCCCCTCCCAAAATACGGGTGGCCTCTGCCCAGTCGGTCGAGTCTCGCTTCAGCAATACCGAATTCGATGAGCCTAGCTCGCCCCGCGTCGGCCTTCTGGAGCCGGGAACCATTGTCGCTGCTCTGCCGCCACTGCCACCGCCAACTGCTTCCGCCGTTCCGGCTGAACCTGTCAGAGTCGACATAACATGTCCGCGCCCGGGCGACGACATGACAGCAACTGATGACGGACCCGTTTTCCGTGCCACCATCAAGTCATTGGAGCAGAAGACGGGCAACATCCGCATGCAGATGAAGAAAGTCATCAAAAAAGCCGAGCATGCCCACCAAACCCAGGCAGAGGCTAACGATGCCTTTGCTGGCTTTGTCGACGCCCTAAAAGAGACGTCATCGACAAACGCAAATGCTGTTCAGCCGGCCCTTGACCACTACTTTAACAAGATTGCCCGCGAAATTCTCTCGTATGAGCGCCAAAATGCGTTCAACCTGCAGCGCATTGTCATTGATCCCCTCAACCGGCTGTACACATGGGATATCAAGCAGGCCGAGGCCAAGAGGCGCGAGTTCGAGGAGGAGAGCAAGGACTACTATTCTTACGTCGGCCGCTACCTGGGCCAACGTCACGACTCAGTCAAGGCTAAGAAACTAGCCGAGAGCGACACAAAGTACCAGACAAAACGCCGCAATTTTGAGCTCAAGCGCTTCGACTACTCCTCCTTTATGCAGGACCTGTCAGGCGGGCGCAAAGAACAGGAGATCCTCTCCCACCTCACGCGCTTTGCCGACACGCAAGCCTCAGCCTTTCTCGGCGCCGCCAAGAAAGTGGATGCTCTCCTCCCCCAGCTAGAAGCTCTCTCCAGCGAAGTGCAGCTTGCCGACAAGGAGTACCAGTACCAGCGCCGCGAACGGGAGGAAAAGCGCCGCGTCCTCGAGAAGAGCAACATGTCTTACGTAGAGCCTGACTCTTCCTCGACGACTCATGCAAACGGCTTCACTGTCAGTTCTTTTGCTTCTGCTGCCGCCGCTGCTGCTGCAAATGTCGGTGCCAGCATCAGCGCAAGCGCTGGCATCAGCACCAGCAGCAGCACTGGCACTAGTATTGGCAATGGATATGGCAATAGTGCTAGCAATAGCGCTGGCGCAGGCACAGGCACAGGCACAGGCACAGGCACTGGCACTGGCACTGGCACCAGCACGAGTCACTCCTCGGACACGGAGCTGGGACGGGCTGATAGTATGGGCTCACAACTGCGCACAGTTAGCACAGGCGGGACGATCGGCAACGCTGTCGATCTGTCTCGGTCACCTGGGACCGTTGGCACCCAGCATCTTGCCGTAGGCAGCCCGCCGCAAGCGTCCAAGTTCAAGGGCTTCCGAGATCTGGAGGAGCGCGACCCAGCCCAAAATGCGCTCTTAGAGAAGAACACGACCCTGCGAAAGGAGGGCCTCTTGTGGGCTCTCAACCGACCAGGCAACCACGTCGACCCACGGACTGCCCTAAACAAGCAGGGTTGGCACAAGTACGTTTTTCATAGCCCGGGTGTTGTGTTTGAATCTTCATTACTGACTCCTCAGGTTCTGGATCGTTCTCGACCAGGGCAAGCTTTCCGAGTACAGCAACTGGAAACAGAGGCTGGACTTGCACATGGACCCCATCGACCTTCGCATGGCTTCGGTTCGTGAAGCAAGAAACGCCGAGCGGCGTTTTTGCTTCGAGGTAATCACGCCTCAGTTCAAGCGCGTGTATCAGGCCACGTCTGAGGAGGACATGAACAGCTGGATCACGTCCATCAACAACGCCTTGCAGAGTGCCGTGGAGGGTCGTGGTGTTCGGGAGCGGCGAGCACCGTCCATCTCCCCTTCTACGGGTTCGGCTGCCTTCCCGGGTCGTGACATTGGCTCCATCCTGACTGGAAAGAGCATATCTCTCTCGCACGGGCACCGGAACGCTGGAGGAGGCATAGGACAGTCGATGTCCGGCAACACAGGCATTCCAAGCCGGCGCACTACCGTGGGAAGCCGGCCGAGCACTCAGCGATCTAGCAGCGGCAGTTTCGAAGAGAGGCCGGATAAGCTCTTGCAGATGTTACGCGACAGCGACCAGGGCAACTGCTGGTGCGCAGATTGTGGCTCGGGGTCCAAAGTGGAGTGGGTATCGATTAATCTGGCCATCATCGTGTGCATCGAGTGCAGCGGCATCCACCGGTCGCTGGGCACACACATCAGCAAAGTGCGGTCGCTGACTCTGGACATTACGTCTTTCACGCCCGATATTGTGGAACTACTGCTGCTGGTGGGCAATCGGGTTGCGAACATGGTGTGGGAGACAAGGCTCGACTTGGCACTCAAGCCGACAGCACAGGCAAACCGTGAGCAACGGCTTCGGTTCATCACGAGAAAGTATGTTGACCGGGCATTTGTGGAACCAATTTCAGCGACGCTGTCGCGGTACCCTACGGCGGACGAGACGCTGCTGGCTGCCATCAAGAAGAATGACATCCAGCAGGTCATATATGCACTGGCGCTCAAGGCAAACCCGAATGCGACAGACTTATCCCGTGGGACCCCGGCCGTGTTTCTGGCGCTGGCTGCAGCCGATCCGGCTCTGCCTTCAGGCATGTCGGGGCCGCTGCCATCGCCAGGACCAGTGGCAGACACCAGGCTGGTCCCGTTCCCGATAGCCGAACTGCTGTTGCAGAACGGAGCCGAGATTCCGTCGACGAAGCCGGCAATCCCGCTGGGCCGAAGCGCCCAGCAGTACGTCGAGGCCAAGCGGGTGCGGACAGCCGGGCTGAATGCGAGTGGTCCGAGTGCCGCTGTGTACGAATCTGTGACTGCGATCTCGTCATCGTCTCCGTCTTCTGCGGCGGTCGCAATGGACCGGCTGGCTCGTGAGAAGGAGGCGAGGCTGCAGAAGCGGGTGAGCGCTGGCGGGCGGCTGGCTAGAAGTCCAATCCCCGAGCGGTAGCGCCTTGGAGTCGGGATGAGACATGGCGGCCGTGCAGCGGGAAGCCGTGGCTGCAGCGATGGCGGTGAGAGAAAGCGCCGGAACAACAGCAGCAGCTGGTGCTGGTGTTCGCTTGCATGCACAGCCTCTGAAGAGGCAGTCGAGGCCGAAGGCGAGACCAAGGATGTGGGCTCAGCACGACGGCTGTTGCTCAAGTCGTGCTGAGCCGTTTCTGGTTGATTATCTTTCTTTTTTCCTTTTTTTCGGGGACGAGGGAGGAATTGGTGCAAAGAATAGCCGGGTTCTAATGCTGTAATGTCGGTTGGGTATGGACTATTTCTTGCAGACAGAAACTTTGGGTGGGTGTCTAATGACCTCGGCAACAGCCTCCGCCCAGACGATACGGGCTGCAGTGCTATGATTACGTTTTTAGGCTTTGTTGCATACTAATGTCGTTTGGTTGGCTGTTCTCACGGGTGTTGGAAAGCATATTTGCAACGGGCGGCCTCATGCTATTATTGTAAGATATCTTAAAATCTGATTTATTCCCCATATCTGTAGCTGGTAACTAAAGCTGCAGCCGGCAGTTGTCTTGTACCGTCGCCGTTATGCATGGTGCTGGTCAAGTGAGAGGATGCGGTGAGAAGTGAGAAACGCAAACTTTTGACATGATGAAAAAGGGTGGTGAACGGCCGACCTGCCGAGAAACAGATAAAAAAGACAGACCCCGAAAGAAGAAGGAACAAGAAGCAAGGCTGGCTTTCGTCTCCTGTGAAGATACATGCCCTAGCCAGTTCTGCCGTCTTGCCGTTTGAATCCAGAGTACAAGGACGCCCAAGAAAGCCGAGTGATTATGGAACAGGAGACAAGGGAAGATGGAAAGAGTACGGAGTACAAGCAAATAAAATACAGCAAAATGAAGCACGTGACATACGACACGTGACACCAACGCCTAACGCGCCTTGCCTTTGGCCTTGCCCTTGGACTTGGGCTTGTCCTTGGCCGGCGAGCCGATGTCGGTCTTGGCGATGGTGCTGGTGGCGATGCTGTCGTCGTCAAACAGGGCCGGATCGCCGCGGTCGCCGTGTTCCATAAAGGCGCCGGCGTCCTGGAAGTCGGCCGGACGGGCTTCCCGCTTGTCTTTGTCGGCTGGTTTGTTGCTCTTGGTGAAGATCTTGATCGGCGGTTGCTGCGCCTGGGTGCCCGAGGCTGGGACCCGGGCGACCTCTTCGGCCACCTTGACGCAGTTGGCCACGCTCAGCAGCGTGCGCTCGCGGGCCAGACCGGCGACGCCGCCGCGCCGATTCACCTGCAGCCCGGCCACGCCGCCAACCAGGCCGTCCGTGCTATCGGTCAGACTCGGCGTCGACGAGGTCATCCACGGGTGGGCCAGGCACTGTTCGACAGTGAAGCGCTGTGCCGGGTCGACCATCAGCATGCAGTCGATGAGGTCCACTGTCTTGTCAGCACACAAAACGAGGCAAGCGAAGCGGGAGAGGACAGGGCCGCTCACATGCCGGGTCGCCGACGGAATCCCAATAGGGCGACGGATAGTTGAAGCGGCCGGCGCGGATCTGCTGGGTCATGGAGTAGGGAAAGTCGCGCGAGTACAGCTCGTCAGAAAAGGGTGGGAAGCCGCACAGACAGATGTACAGGACAACGCCCAGCGACCAGATATCGACGGCCTTTGTGTACTTGCGGTGGCGGCTGTCGGCCAGGATCTCGGGAGCGACGTAGCTGGGCGTGCCGCAGAGCGTGGTGGTGAAGGACTCTTCGCCGATGATCTTGGCCAGGCCAAAGTCGGCCAGCTTGACGTGCAGGTCGTGGTCGACCAGCAAGATGTTCTCCGGCTTGATGTCGCGATGCACAATGTTGCGTTCGTGCAGGTACTTGACGCCGGCAAAGAGCTGCCGGAACAGCTTGCGGGCGTCCTCCTCAGTCAGCTTCTGATGCATGACAATGTAGTTGAACAACTCGCCCTCGGGGGCGAGTTCCAGCACCAGGTACACCGACCCCTTCTCGTGAAAGGTGTCTTTGAGACAGAGCACGTTGGGGTGGCTGACGCCCATCAGCACGGCAATCTCCTGCTGCAGGCCCTCCAGCTTGGACCGGTCATCCAAGCCGGGCGGCATGGTGAAGATCTTGACGGCATAGCGCTGGCCCGTCGCCTTTTCCACGCACAGAAACACTTCGGCAAAGTGGCCTTTGCCCAATTTCTGCTGCAGCGTGAACTGCTGGTGGAAGGCGCCGGTTGTTCGGCTGCGCGGATACCGGAACACAAAGCGCGCCCGGTCGAGCACGGCGATCTCGTCGTTCTCCTGCAGCTCGCGCCGCTGGTTGCGGCCCACCAGCGCCTCGTTGACAAACGTGCCGTTGGCCGACAAGTCCTCCAGCACGGCCACCGTGTCGGTGCCCTTGTGCTCGGCAAAGATGAGGCAGTGGCGGTTCGAAACGATCGGGTCGCCCAGCATGAGATCTTCCCGGTGCTGCTGTTAGCATGAGGGACAGAAAACGGCACGGAATCGGATGAATTGGACACGTACCGCACTCGGGGTGCCGCCCTATCAAGTAGCCGCCCGCATGTGCACTCTTTTCCTCGTCCTTGGCCGCCTTCTTCTTGCCCTTCTTGTTCGGTGCGGCTGCCGAAGAGGCCGACGAGGCCGATGGCGCATCGTCTGGACAGGCCATGCGACGCCTCAGCACGAGGCTCTGATTGCCGTAATGTGTCCCCAGCGGAAACAGGTAGCCCCAGACGCCCTCCTTGACCTCGTCCTTGACCTCTTCCGAGAGCGCCGAGTTGGGGTCGACGTTCTGTGACGGAAACACCTGTGTGTCCTGGGGCGGCGACGAGAACGAGCCGGTGGCATCGTTGCCGGCTACATCGCCGTTGGTTGCGCCGCGCGGTGCCACCTGGCTGGGACGGCCTTCGGGCGGAGAGGCCGTCGGTTCCTTGGACTGCTGGTCGGACGCTTCGTCCGTGGCGAGCAGGGTCAGGGGCGTGGGCACCTGATAGCGGCTCGAGACGGGAGTCTTTGGATGCACAGGCTTCGCAGCAACTGCGGCTGTCGATGCGGCCGTCGGTTTGACTGCCGACGAGCTGTCAAGATCATCGGTCGAGTCGACTCGCTGGGAAAGCCGCTCTGACCGTCGTGGCTTCTTGGCATCGAGCGCGACATCCTCGGCAGCGTGCTGAAAAGGCAGACGGGTTAGAAGGTCACGCATCTTGAGAGCAGCAGCAACGAGAAAGCGAAATGTGGCAGGCATTGCGAGCAAGCACAGAAATGGTGGGATAAGCAGCAGCTGCTGTGGTGCCGTTGTGCTGCCACTGCAGAGAAACAAACAGAAAACATACACGAGGCCGCTTATGGCTGCCCTCGTTTCGAGGAGCCATCTCGGGTGGGCGCAGTACTCCGTAGACTGATCAGGTTCTCGCAGCCGATCCGCGAAACAAGTTTACCGGACGGGTGCACGTGTGCTGTTGGAGAAGCGAAAAGCAAAAAGCGAAAAGCGATACGGAAGACAGACGGCGAAAATGGGCAGCTGACAGGGCTCAGCTGCGCTATGTGTGCCTGCAGGTCGTTGCGTGTGATTGAAGATCGAGGAAGAGGAACGTGAGCAATCAAGGAACCGCACGGGCCGTGACGGAGGAGCGGCCAGCGGATGGAGCCGTGCAGAGAGGAAGAGGATGCGAGAGGCAATGCAGAAAAGCTGCTCCCGTCTGTTCCAAACTGCCAATCTTCCGGGGCCATTGAGAGACACACCAGGCTGACTCAACGCGCTGGTGGTCCGACGCGCCTGCCTCGCCCAGCTTACTTCTTGCGCTAAACCCTGGCGGCGATAGCCTTGTATGCCGGTGCGGGCTGGAGCCTAGCTGGGAAGTACTGCATAGCTGCATACTGTCTGCCGTCTATGCATCTACCAGGCATGTGTCTGAATCCTCCGCCTCTGCTCAAGCACTGACCCTGTTTTCGCCAGGGTGATGGTCATGAGACAGCCCATGTGCAGAGGGCCGTCGGACGGGCCACACAGACAATTACTGACGACAAGATGAAATTGGGCACATGTCCAGCAGCCTGACCAAAAGACAGAAGACAGTGGCGATAAAGGCGAGCGCCAAGTCACATGACCCGCGCGTTGGTCTCCAGCGCAGGAGGGGCTAAAACCCCACCACCACTGCACAATTTGTAAATTGAATTTTGCCGAGCCGTTTTGCACACCGCCCGCCAAAAATGCATCCGCCATGTGTGCACGTGACATCCCACTGCTGGAGAGCAGGAGGGGAGAAGATTTGGATAGAGACTGCATCGTAAACGGGAAAAAATTCACATAGGCTCTCGCATCCGCCACCAGCACGATAGTCAGCGCCACCGAGCACCGACTCTGCCTCATCTCACCACGCAGCGGCTGCCGTAGCATGTCGATCGGACCGCACGGCTCTTCTTGGTAGGACCAGAGCAAAGAACGGCGCACCGAACAAAACATCGGCAAAGAAGCCGACCCGGAACCGGAATCCGGACCAGACGACATCGATTCCCTGCCACAACCGCACTCCGTCGGCAGCGACAGCACGTGGTTTCCGTACGGAAACGATCCCGTCAGCAGTCTTCTCGAGGCGACCTCGCGGCGGCTCAAGCACGTGGCCATCATGGCAGCACCCACCACATCCTCGCCTGCTGCAGCGGCAGCAGCAACCACCCAGACGTCGGTGACCGGGCGGCCGCGCCTCGTCTTCGTCGACGGCACATTTGCCGAGCTCGTGCAGGAGCTGGCCGACTACCTCCACGTCGGCGAGGCGGTCGAGCCGCTGTTGGCCCAGGAGAAGAACGAGCAGGCGCTCGCCAAGGTGGTGGAAGCGTCGGCAGCCCTCAGTGCGGTGCCCGAGAAGGAGTTCACCGGGGCCTACAACCTGCTGATCCACCTGGTCGTCAATGAGTCCAAGGACGCGAGCCCGTACCTGCGCACCATCTGCCAGAACCTGCTGCAGCCGGTGACGTCGTCGCCGGTCAACGGCCCGGCACTCGCGCTCAACGCGCTGCAGGCTATCTTCAACCTGCTCGCGCCGACAAATGGACTGCGGTACAACGTGCTGCTGTCGATCCTGCGGTTCGCTCGCGTCAACGGCTTCTACGACAACCTGAAGCCGACGCTGCCGAACCTGCCGCGCTGGCTGCAAGAGTGGGACGTGGACGAGGAGGCCCAGCGCAAGATTTACCTGGAGATTGCGACGATTGCGTCAGAGGGAGGGGAAGACGAGTGAGTTTTTTGACCTTTTCTTTTTCTGTTTTTTTTTGCTCTTCTTTCTCTAACCCTCCCAGGGAAGCATACCAGTACCTGCTCAAGGTGTTGCGGACGTTTGACGCGGCGGACGAGGCAGCGATCAAGTCGGACGAGGCAGCGGCGCTGTCGGTGCGAGCAGTGCGGATGGCGCTGCTGTCGAGCACGCACTTTGACTTCCAGGACCTGCGGGTGCTGCCGACGGTGCAGGCGCTGGCAGACTCGCACGCGGCGTACGCGCAGCTGCTGGACATCTTTGCCGAGCAGGATCTGGAGGACTACCGCGACTTCTGCGAGGAGCACGACGGCTGGGTCGAGCAGGAGGGCATGGACGACGGCCGGCTACAGCGCAAGATGCGGCTGCTGACGTTTACGAGTCTGGCGGCAGCGAGCACGCAGAGCCGCGAGATCGAGTACGGACGCATCGCCAAGGCGCTGCAGATCCCGGTCGAGGACGTCGAGGTCTGGGCCATTGACGTGATCCGCGCCGGCCTGGTCGAGGGCAAGATGTCGCAGCAGAAGCGCCTCTTCCTCGTCCACCGGACCACGTACCGCGTCTTTGGCGAGAAGCAGTGGCGTGAGCTCGGCACCCGCCTGGACCAGTGGCGCGGCAGCCTGCGCAGCGTCCTCGCCGTCTTGCGTCGTCAGCAGGCCGAGGCCGACGCCCAGCGCGAGCGCGAGGCCCAGGAGCTGGAGCGCAAGCTCGCCGGTGCCAGCCTCGGTGCTGGCGGCGACCCGTCTGCCACCGGTGCCGGCGGTGCCAGCAGCCAGCGACGAGGCGGCGGTATCGGCATGGACGGCAAGCCGCGTCAGCCCTTCCAGCAGCGCCAGCACATGCCCCATCGCAACGAGAACGACGATTGATCGTCGATGCCGCTCTGTTCGGTCGGTTTGCCTTGTTCGTTTATGGAAAAGTGGCGTCCATCGGCGGGGATGGTGGCCGGTGACGGAATGCCGTTATGAGGACTTCTTTGCCCAGCTAGAAATACGTACAATAAAAAGAGTAAAACGAGTGGTGCTGTAGTGTAGCTGTATACGAGTAGAGTTTCCCCTACCAGTGCTATACTGTGTACAAATGCTCCAATGCTAAAGCGGCCTGTGGCCTGATTCAGCTACAGTGGGGCCAGGCTGAAAGCCACCACAGTTTTCTTCCGACTGCTCTGCAAAAAGGGGCAGAGCTCTTCCTGTCTCCATCCATTGACGACAGAAAGGGAAGCGGCCGTCCAGACCAGCCAGCCCGTGCCACCTGCCGCGACCATGGCCTCCTCGCTCTCCCGTGCGTTCCTGCGCCGCCAGCTGGCAGCAGCTCCTGCAGCTGGCCGAATGCTCCTGCCACGTGTGTCGGGGACTGCTGCCCAGGCACGTGCCGGACGGTTGGCTCATGCCACGTCCTCGTCGTCCGATACGGCGTCGTGCCTCCATCGACTGTCTGCACGTCGCTTCTACTCCTCGAACAGCTCCAGCTCTCCGCCGCCGCCGCCACCGCCTCCTCCGCCGTCGAGCCCCAAGCAGACGATCAAGTTCTGGCCGTTTATCGTCGTCATCGCCCTCGGATTTGGTGGCTACGCCGTGTTGGTCAACCAACGAATGAGTACGTGATTGGGTAGAGGTTGAGGCTTTTACGCTGTGTCCGCTCTTTTCTACTCCGTACACCTCTGCAGCTCTTCCTCTTTCTTTATCCCCTCTTCTTTTCTCCTCGTCTCTCCTCACCCTCGTCCCTCCTCATCTTCGTCCCTCATCCCTCATCCCTCCTCCTCGTCTAACGTCCTCAGACATGCCGGAAGACCAGAAACGTGGCTCGTCCGAGCCCAAGCCGACCTTCTCCGAGGACGACGTGACGGTCGTGTTCGTGCTCGGTGGCCCCGGTGCCGGCAAGGGCACGCAGTGTGCCCGGCTCGTGCAGACGTACGGCTTCGCCCACCTCTCGGCTGGCGACCTGCTGCGCGCCGAGCAAGACCGGCCCGGATCCGAGTTTGGCCAGCTGATCAAGGACTACATCCGTGACGGTCTGATCGTGCCGATGGAGGTGACGGTCAAGCTGCTGGAGAACGCGATGAAGGCATACGTGGCCCAGAACCCGGACCGGCGCCGGCTCTTCCTCGTCGACGGCTTTCCCCGCAAGATGGACCAGGCCGTCGCCTTTGAGTCGACCGTGTGTCGTGCCAAGCTCGTGCTCTTCTACGACTGCCCCGAGTCCGAGCTGGAGCGCCGCCTGCTCGAGCGCGGCAAGACGTCCGGCCGCTCCGACGACAACGCTGCCTCCATCCGGAAGCGCTTCCACACCTTTGTCGACACCAGCATGCCCGTCGTCGATGCCTACTCCCAGCAGGGCCGCGTCGTCAAGATCGACGCCACCGCTACCCCCGACGCCGTCTTCCGCGACACCCAGGCCAAGCTCGCCACCCGCCTGTCCTTGTGAGCGAGACACACATCCGCACTGCTTCCTTCCAATCGGAATGGCTTCACCTCACTGTTAGGGCAGGTAGCACGTCCACGCTCGTTCATTGCAGATCATAATTGGCCCATGTGCTTCAATTTAATAGTACATACAAAGAAGATGGGTACCTCTCCTGTTGCATTAACGGAACAGCTTTGTATTTGCCTTCCTTCGTCCTTCGTGTCCGATAGTCTTCCATAAAAACGCCTCCATGGTATATGCCCCTCGGTGATTCAGTCCTGCTGTACAAAAGAAAAGAGATAAAAAAGATGGAAAAAGAGGATATAGCGAGAGACAAGAAGATGTTGTATAGCGCGGTTCGGCTACCGCGGGCTGTGCAGAACCGCATCGGCATAGGCGCCGGGGATGGGGACTGCTGCGTACTGGACCTCGCCAGGCGCAATAGGGCCGTGCTCGTGGATGGTCTGCTGTGCAGCCGGTGGCGGCGACGGCGACGACCGAGAGTAGACGGGTGCGGCAGGCACAACAGACTCGGCAAAAGCGGCGCTTCCGAGCTTGGGCGTGGCAGATGGCGCCTTGACGGGCGGTGCCTGCAGCCTGAAAGATGAGGACGGCGCGACGGCCGGGCGCGAAAAGGCCGACACCGGCTCGACCAGATTGCGGCCGCCTGGCGTGAAGGGCGACGGGCCCTCCTCCTGGACGTTGCCGAGAGAGCCGTAGGCCTGGGGCGGGAAGCGTGGTGACAGGGCGTATTGGGAGAAGGCCGGAGACTTGGGGCCGAAGCCAGGCGTGTTGGGGGCTGACTGGGACCGCAGCTGGGCCAGATACAGGTCGGAGCGGGCCTTGTCGCGCATGTCCATGGACTTGTGCAGCTTGCGCTTGGAGTAGTAGCGGTAAAAGATGATGCTGTACAGCGAGATGCTGATGACCTCGACGACGATCTCGATGATGATGCAGATGAGCGACCAATTCTGGATGAGTCAGCAAGAGAAAGGGAGACAGAAGAAGAGAGAAGAAGAGGAGAAAAACAGACCTGCAGACGGCAGACGAGAGCGTAGTGGACCTTGTCCGAGAAGATCTGCGACCGATGGTTGTTCACGCAGGCCCATCCCCACATGTCCTTGTTGTTGCCGCTGTTGCGGGTGACCTGCAGAATGCCGGCCGCGATGGCCCACATGACCATGCTGAAGATGAACCAGCCGACGGCGAAGAGGGTGTAGTAGACGGAAACCTTTTCGGCGCGCCGGTGACCGCCGCGACAGTAGCTGGCCAGGACGAGGATGCTGACGGTCAGGGACACGCAGGCGGCCGCGAGCACGACCTTTTGCGCCCACGGGTTGGTGCCGGTGGCCCACGGCGGAAAGGAGCTCTGGGTGGGCAGCGTCTTGGTCGCGTTGAAGATGCTGAACGAGGCCGAGAGCATCGACAGAACGATGAGGCTGCAGCTAAAGTTGACGCCACGCAGGGCGAACTTGGCCATGCGCACGCGGGTCTTGATTTTCTGTGCTTGTTAGTGACTTGTCTGTGAGAGTGTCCAAAAAACGACTTACAAGATCGCGGGCCTGTTCCTTCTCCGTGTCGGCCTCGTGCCGCTCGAGGACCTGCTCTTCACGAAAAGTCGGGCTGAGCGGATTGTCGAAGCGCCGGCCAGGCGTGCCCGGGACCTTCATGGCGCTCTTGAGCGGTGATCGGGGCGTCATGGGCACAGCGGCCGTCTCGCCACCGTCGCCGCTGCCAATGTAGCCGAAGCCGACGTCGGCCGGCTGGGCCTGGATCCGCACGCCCTTTTCGACATCGGCGAAGAAGGAGACGCCCTCGACGGGCGAGTGCACGGTGGTGGCCTCGGCAAAGCGAGGCGTCCGGGGATGCTTGAGCGAATCGGTCGACGAGCCGCTCGAGGAGGACCGGCTGGGGCCCAGCTTCAGAGCCGACGGCCGTTTCTTGTCGTCCGAAGCCATTTCGGGTTCTGAGGATGTGTAGATGGGAGGAGCAGGCAAGAGAAGAGATGGAAAGGCGTATGAAATATCCACAACAGACAATGCGAAAAGACGACGAGAGAGACCAGCTGTCGAGGGAAGGAAGAAGACGACAAGACCATCGAGAGCCCGGGGGACTGAGCGGTTTTGAGCTGCGGCCGCTGGCACCAGACGGGTGGACAGGAAGGAGGGGGGGGGGAACAAGAGGTCGCACATACGTCGTAAAGGACGACCGGGGGTCAGCGTGTGGACGGCCTTTGGGAGTGCAGCTGTGCATCTGATAGGCCGCACAGGTGAGCCGAGCGTCGAGCGTCGCCGGATTTAGACGCCCAGCACCAGCACTGGGGCGTTTACCGGCAGCCAGTCGTCGGCGCAAGCAGAAATGAGAGGAGCAAAAAGTGGCCCTTTCTCTCTGTCTGCTGGCCGCAACAGAATGAAGCAGAGACATACTCGTACTTTGTAGGCCCAGACACTGGGTGAAGAGCGACATCCGACGGCCGTCCACACCACTGTCTCTGTGCGAGTATCGCATCCGTCAGCAGCGTGAGAGAGCATGCATCTTGGCGCCCTGTGTGATGGCGGACACGATCCCACAGCGGTCGTTGCTGGTGGCCCCATCCCCTTGGCCCTCTCTCTCTCTCCTCTTTCCAGTTTCGAGCAAGCCCGGCAGACTCGAGCAGGCCGGCAGACAAATGCAACCCTGCCGACAGTGATGTGCTCGGCAGGCGGGCAGGGGTAAGGGTGGACATCGACGACGAGCGACCCATGTCGCCATCTGGTTGGGCGAGAGGGTGGATCCGCCGGCCTTACCTACTACATAGTAGATGACTTTGGCTGCCGTTGCAAGGGTCAGCTCCTACCTGCCGCCATCCTGCCCTTCTGATTGGCCTGTTCCCGCATGCAGGGGAGGGGCCTAGCTTCAGTCCTGGCCAATCATCGTCGCAGCCGGCGTGACGACTTGCAGTGTCGGCGGTAATCCGCCTGCAGTCACTCGTTCGTCTTCGACCCTCTTCCGTCTCGCTGCTCGTGAAAATCTGCAGCGCTTCGTATCTTGCTTTCGCGCCCTCGTCTGTCGCAGCGCCGTTCTAAGCCAGAAGGACCTGCATGGAAAGCGTCTGGCAAGCCCGGATCCCTTCTTTCCCGCTCCTTTCTGCCCAGAATCTCGTCACAGTCTCTGCACTCTCGTGCGATCGTTCCATCGGTGCGGCGGCTGGTCGGTGCCATGGCGCCAACCCCATGCTTGCCCAGCCCGGATGGAAACAATTGGCAGAAACGGTAGCCTCCATAATGGAGGCGTCGGCGGACAGAGTGGGAGGGATGTTATCTCACGTCAGGTTGTTTTCGACAATCCTACTCCGGAGACAGCCGGTCACATTGGACTTTCACCATAGCACTGTACCATTACAGATGAATGATTGGTCCCAACTTTTTCCTTTTATCGCAGCCTCTGCAATAAAACATATGACGCTACCTGCCGTCGAGGCGCAGGACCGTTAAAAATCTTCAGGCCGAAAAGTGCTCGATGTCAGTATCTGCGCAACTGGTGCTGTGGCAACATCTTGTTCTTTGCCCTGGGCACAAGAGAAGGAATCGTTAAGCGAAGAATAACATCGAAAGTCGTCGGCAGGGTTTTTAAGGCCGTCGTAAGAAGTAGGCCTCTCTGAATTTACGGATTAAGCACTGCGTCCTGTCTCGTGAGCGCAGGCACATGACCAGGCCAACTATTCCGTCTTTGTTGAAAATCATGTAATGTAGGTGGCGGGATTGTCAGGTCCTCTAGTATTCAATGCTATACCTTTGGAGGAGTACTTAATGTCTGGGTAGGAAGAACCTATTGCCTTTGTCATAATGATAGCCGGAAGTAAGGCGGCCTCAGGAAGGACGTCTTGTACAGAGTCGAGCGGATGTATTGGAAAGAACGAATAAAATTAGTCTGTATCAGATTCCAGGTCTCCATTTGGTTCCTACTATGTAAGATATCTTACATCAAACAGGAAAGAACGAATCGATCTAGAGTCTGCACCAAACGTTCTTTAGGGATCACTCATCAGTATAGGCTTCAACTTGGAACCTGGTGATCTGTCTGTTGATTTATACCAATCTGTCTAATAACGTAGGGGTTGGGGCTTTTAAACTAATAATCGCCATCTCGCCTAAAGCAAGTAATGTGTATTGTGATGACTAAGGAGCAAAGTTGAAGTGTGGTGGATGCAGCTGAAAAGTAGAATTACGGATAGATCTTGACTGAAGCTGCAAACCCTAACAGGAACTGTACATTTAATAACTTCCCTGTTGATATCACATAAGCCAGCGAGGAGGGCACGTAGGGAATCATTAGTTAGCCGCTACCTAATAGCAGATACCAGCTTCTTTCACAGGTGCAATCGTGGTATGGTGATATTCTAGACAATTCCGGCGAGTTTCTGTGCACACCAAGATGAAGACCAGTCAGAAAAAATGGCTTTCTTCCTCAAAAATGGAACTGAGTACCTTTTCAAGTAACATTTCTCGAGGCCCAGCTTAGTCTGTGAATCGTACATTGTCACTTGGAGCAATACAAGAAGCAAGAACAGATTCATTTTTACAACTCTATTCTGACTGTTTGTTGCAGATACGAACCATTAATAGGACAACTAAAAGACTCGCTCGAACGCCATCGCCCAAACTACCAGCGACATCACAAGGCAATTTTAGAATTTGGACACACTATCTTATCTACCAGATTGGGTTAGTGTGAGTCATCTTCGCCTGCCAACCCCACCATTGGCGATGCACACGAAATTTTAACCTTGTCCGCGAAAAATAATACACGTATTTGATATCACGAGAGCCATTTCGGAAACCGATATTTTTTGTAGGTTTACTTTTGGCGACCCACCAAGGTCCTGGTACTGTTCTAGCGTGGCTCTGACGAAGCGGGAACAGGAAGGCCATCCGGACGATACAGAGAATCCGAAGATCAGCATCATGGCAGACAAGTACGACCACGACGACATCGAGTCCGGTTCGGATTCAGGCCCGGATTCGCCCATACTGGAGCCACAGGACGTGTCGGACGGCGATATCGACGAGAAGCCGCTGAAGTCGGCGCTGAAGAAGGGCGGAGAGGTGGCAGTGGAGCCGGCAGTGGTGAAGCCGCCGCTGCCACCACAGACGGATCCCAAGGATCTGGACGTGAGCAAGCTGACGCCGCTGACGCCAGAGATTATCGCGCGGCAAGCGACGATCAACATCGGGACGATCGGCCATGTGGCGCACGGCAAGTCGACGGTGGTCAAGGCGATTTCGGGTGTGCAGACGATTCGGTTCAAGAACGAGCTGATCCGCAACATCACGATTAAGCTGGGCTATGCCAATGCCAAGATCTACAAGTGCGACAACAAGGCGTGTCCACGGCCGACGTGCTACCGCAGCTACAAGAGCGACAAGGAGGTGGACCCGCCGTGTGAGCGCGAGGGCTGTGGGGGGACGTACCGTCTGCTGCGTCACGTCTCGTGGGTTTTCTTGTTTGTCTTTGCGTTTTGGATCGATTCCATCTGTGCTAACCAGACAGGTTTGTCGACTGCCCCGGCCACGATATCCTGATGAGCACGATGCTGTCGGGCGCCGCAGTGATGGACGGGGCGCTACTTCTGATCGCAGGCAACGAGACGTGTCCGCAGCCACAGACGTCGGAGCATCTGGCGGCGATCCAGATCATGAACCTGGACAAGGTGGTGATCCTGCAGAACAAGGTAGACCTGATGCGCGAGGAGACGGCGCAGCAGCACTACGAGTCGATTCTCAAGTTCATCCGCGGCACGGTGGCGGCCAAGTCGCCGATCGTGCCGATCTCGGCGCAGCTCAAGATCAACATTGACGCCGTGCTGGACTGCCTCGTCAACACGATTCCAGTGCCGCCGCGCGACTTCTCGACGGACCCGCAGATGATTGTGATCCGCTCGTTCGACGTGAACAAGCCGGGTGCCGAGATCGAGGACCTCAAGGGCGGCGTGGCCGGCGGCAGCATTCTGCACGGCGTGATCAAGCTCGGCGACGAGATCGAGATCCGGCCCGGCCTGGTGACGCGCGACGAGGCCGGCAACCTGCACTGCACGCCCATCTTCAGCCGCATCGTCTCGCTCAACTCCGAGTCCAACGACCTCAAGTACGCCGTGCCGGGCGGCCTCATCGGCGTCGGCACCCACATCGACCCGACACTCTGCCGTGCCGATCGGCTGGTCGGCTTCGTGCTCGGCCTCAAGGGCCGCCTGCCCGACATCTACAGCGAGATCGAGGTGAACTTTTACCTGCTGCGCCGCCTGCTGGGCGTGCGTACCGCCGACGGCAAGCAGGCCAAGGTCGAGAAGCTGGCCAAGAACGAGGCCATCATGGTCAACATTGGCTCCACCTCGACCGGCGCCAAGGTCGCCGCCATCAAGAACGATGCGGCCAAGCTGGTCCTGACCAGCCCCACCTGCACAAACATTGGCGAGAAGGTGGCACTGAGCCGGCGCATCGAGAAGCACTGGCGGCTGATCGGCTGGGCCACCATCACGGCGTGAGTTTCTGTCCTGCCTTTCCTGTCTAGGAATCTCTGCTAACGAAGCAGTGGCGTCACGCTCGAGCCGACGTTGCCTTGAGATGTTGTTGATACGAGTACGGGTAGAAAGGAGGGCAACATACCCTCTTCCCTCGCGTTCCTGTCGAGACAGATGGGAACAAAAAGCGATGCTTATGATTTATCGGCTAGAACCAGATACGAAGCAGGAAGGATACACAGATGGTCCATACGGCCTACATTATTTGTACATGTGCAATGTCGTTCAATACCGTGCCTCTCCGTGCGCCTCTGTGCTGCCTACTTGCGCGTCTTGCGGGCGTGTGCCACCAGGTTCTCGATGACGCCCTCAAAGGCTTCGCGGTCGCCAATCTTCTCGTCCGTGCGCTTGGTCCAGAAGTCGAGCACGGCCCTGGCCGTCAGCTCGAGCGCCTGCAGCCGGTCCAGGTGGCCACGCAGCTCGTCGTCGGTCATGCCGTCGAGTGCCTCGTCCGTGGTCGCGCAGAGCTGCTCAGCCGCCACGAGGTCGAGCGCGGGCGGTGGTGGTGGGCCCTTGCGCTTTCGTGACGTGTTGGCTGCCGGCCGGCCCTGTGAGTCGACGCTCGTGTTGGACGTGTTAGCGCCAGGCTGTTTGAGCCGTGCGACACCGCTGCCGCTGCCATTGCCGCCTCGGCTGTCGGTCGATGTCCGCGGCGAGTCGCGACGCACCGACAGCGACGGCAGCACCAGCTTCTTCTGCTTGGACGCCGGCAGGATCTCGTCCAGGTCTACGGGCACGCCCAGGCTGACGAGAAAGAGGCGACGGATCCGGCTGCGAATCCAGTCCGGCGGCTGCAGCGGCGGCGGCGCCACCAGCTGCGACCACAGCGATGCGCTCCGCGGCGTCAGAAAGACCGAGCTGCCCAGCGCCGGCAGCGCAAGCCTGCTGCTGCCATCGTCTGCCGCGTAGAGCCCGTTCACGTACGGCGCCGCAGCTCGCAGCACCTCTTCCCCGTCGAGACCCCCGAAATCTGGCACGGGAAACGACAGCGGTGGCGGCTGTGACGCTGCTGCTGCTGACCCCAATGCTCTCGTTTCGGGCTCCTGTGCTGCTGGCTCTGGGAAGCCGCTGTCAAAGTCGCCGAAATCGTCGTCGTCTCCACCATCTTCGACGCCCTCCTCAAAATCGTCAAAGTCGTCGCCGAAATCGTCGTCTTCCTTGTCGACAGCTGCATCTGGTGTGGACCCTGTCCCAGCATCCTCCTGCATCTCTTTTTGCTGTACACTGCTGGAAGACGACTGTCGCCGGGAAGCAGGATGGGTCACGATTTGTGATATTGGTTCATCTACGGGACACCTGTCAATATAACCGTGGTCGGGCGACACAATGAATGAGAGAACATAGAAGAGGAGGAGACAGGAAGATCAAGGAAAGCCGATTCACACGTGTCCGTCTACTCTTTCGTACCAGTAGTGCCTGCTCCGACTTCCACTCTGCCATCAGCCTTTACCACCAGGTCTGGCGCAGGGTCTTCCTGGTGGTGCGTCTTCCCTTCAGGGGCCTTTGCCCCTGCGTCATCCGTCGCTTCCTCCAACACGGTCGTCGGCACGAGTCCGTGCTGCGACACGGGCCTCCCGACCGTGCTGTCCTCGCCCTTGTTGGCCAGAATCGTGATCTCGTCGGGCAGAGCGTCACCCTCGCGCAGCCGATACGCCTCCGTGCCCGGCACCTCGCCGTACGACGGCTCGTCGCTGACCTTTTCCACTCGCGTCGTCGGGATGGGCGAGCTGTGCGGCGAGCCGGCCGGCACCGATTGGGCGTCCGAAAAGTGCTCGTCGTCCGTTTCTGCAGGCGGTCAGCGCTGTCTCGCTCGTGCGAGCAACAAGCACAAGGGGCCCGACAGACGCACCGAGATCGTGCGCGCCCGGGTCTTCCGTGTGCGTCTTCGCCGGTGGCAGAAGACTGTCCCGCCGCTTCGACATGGCTGCTACCCGGAACGACAAGAGAGAAAAAAGGACGATGGGCCAGCCACCAGGACACGGATCTCGCTCTCTTCCAGTGCAGCCAGTGTAGTTCTGTTTCTGTTTTCTGTTTTTGTTTTCTGTCCTGATTTCTGTCCTGTTTTTTGTTCTGTCTTCTCTTTCTGTCTTCTCTTAAAGCTGTCTGCAGGCTAGGCTGTATCCAAATGCAAATCGCCGCCCTCTTGAATCCCAACTTTGGCCTTAATGCCACCCACTTCGCTCTAGATCTTCCTATGCTTATGTCATCATTCTCCAATGTGGGGCTCGCTACACCAACTCGCGCGCTTCCCAAAGCTGCTGTCGGTCGCGTTTATATCTTTAATTTTTTAGCATCTCAAATTTCTATCGTTGCTAGGCAGCTCTCTCTGCAGCTCCTCTTTTGTCGTGACATTATTCCTAGTCATCCCCCTCAATGTAAGATTGCGATCTCGACGCTTGTCAGACGATCCTGCTCACTGCTTCTATTACCCGACATTAGTTTGCCCATGCTAATCTGTCTTGAACCAGCTCGCGCCCCATAGTCCATATCACGACACCTCGACGCTCAGCTCGCTCAGGGCGACGTCCTTTCTCTACGCTACCTCAATTTCCTTTGACAGGGCCACTGGAAAAATGTCTTTTAGCTTTGGCAGCCAGTCGACCGCTGGGTCGGCCACCCCGGCCACGACCACCACCAGCGGTACCCCTTCTTTTTCCTTTGGCAACACCCCTTCCTTCTCCTTTGGCAACTCCTCTACACCGACATCTGGGCCCGGAGCAACTGCCAGCAAACCCGCAGCGACCGCAGGCAGCCTATTTGGAAATCTCGGTGCAACACCCACATCCCAGGCGGCCAAACCGGGTGGCTTGTTTGGTGGTGGCAGTACCACCCCAGCTCCCAGTGGTGGTCTCTTTGGAGGTGCTGCCACAGGCTCCACGACTCCTTCGACCGGCCTGAACTTTGGCTCGGCTGCCGCTGCGACCTCGGCCGGGACGGCGCCCAAAAGTCTCTTTGGTGCAACTACGGCCGGTGCGAGCAGCACGCCGCTATTTGGCAGTGGAAGTGCCGCGGCACCTGGCATCGCGAACACGACCGCCCCGACAACAACCACTGCTTCCGGCGGCCTGTTCTCGACTGCCGGCGCGACCGCAATGACGCCCGCAAAGCCGCTCTTCAGCGGCCTCGGCTCGACCACGCCTGCTGGTGCACCTCCCTTTACCAAGCCCGCAGGAGGGGCTCTGTTCGGCAGCGGTTCCTCAGCAGCGCCGGCAAGCGGCGCCGGTTCTTCGGCTGGCGGTGGCCTGTTCGGTAGCCAGACTGCCAAGCCAAGCCTGTTTCCCTCCTCCACTCCCGCCCAGCCGGCTGCAACGGCGCCCACTGCTGCCGGGTCACTCTTCTCCAACACCCCCACAACCGCAGCCAAACCGGCCGGCAGCTTGTTCTCGTCCGCAGCTACGCCCACCACTACCACCCCGGCAGCAGCTTCCTCTACCCCCAGCCTGTTCTCGGGGGCATCGGCTCCTGCTGCTTCTGGTAGCCTGTTTGGCGCGAAGCCCGCAACCACTGCTTCGACTACGGCTGCGCCATCTCTGACGCCCACGACTGCTACTCCTGCGAGCGGGCTGTTCGGTGGTGCCAAGCCCGCCTCCTCAACACCGGCATCAGCCACGGCTGGAGGACTGTTCGGCGGACTGGGAGGAGCCTCGGCCACACCATCTACCACTGCACCGGCCGCGTCTGCTGCACCTGCTTCTGCCAGCTTATTCGGCGTCAAGCCTGCTGCTGCCGCGACCACATCGGCCGCGTCGACCCCGAGCCTCTTCCAGACGAAGCCGGCAGCTACAGCTGCGCCAGCCACGACTACATCGAGCTTGTTTCCGTCGAAGCCGGCAGTACCACCCACGCCCACCGTTGCCACAAGCTCTGCCAAGCCTGCCGGAGCTACTGCTACCGGTACAACGGCCACGGCTGCGCCATCGACGACCAGCAGCTCGACGGCCGGTCCCACTTCACAGCTGGCCCGGTTGAAGAACCGAACCATGGACGAGATCATCAGCCGGTGGGCGACGGATCTGGACAAGCACCAGAAAGAGTTCCAGGCGCAGGCTGCCAAGGTGAAGGAATGGGACCAGAAGCTGGTCGAGAACGGCGAGAAGATCCAGAAGCTCTATCTGGAGACGTACGAGGCTGAGAGGGCCAGCAACGAGATCGACCGCCAGCTGCAGTCGGTAGAGAGCCAGCAGGACGAGCTGGCCGCTTGGCTGGATCGCTACGAGCGGGAGGCCGAAGAGCTGCTCAGCCGACAGAGCAGCGGTCCGGGCGAGCAGCTCACGGGCCCGGACCAGGAGCGTGAGCGCACGTACAAGCTGGCTGAGCGGCTGATTGACCGGATGGAGGACATGAGCAAGGATATGACCAAGATGATTAAAGAGATCAACGGCATCTCCGGCAGCCTCAGCAAGACGGGCAAGACGGATGACCCGGTAAGTACTCTACGAAAGCACGCCCTTTCGAATGGCAAGCTAACCGCTATTTTTTCTCGTGCAGCTGAGCCAAATTGTCCGTGTCCTCAACGGCCACCTGAGCCAGCTGCAGTGGATCGACACGAACGCGGCAGCACTGCAGAGCAAGGTGGCAGCGGCAAAGAAGGCAGAGAGCAGCCTGGGCGGACAGTACGGCGGCCTGGAGAACGACGCAGCCGCGAGCTTCTACCGGTCGTTTGCAGGACGGCGATGAAACGAACGTACCAGCGCAAGAGCATGTATGGATGTATGCCTCTTTTGTGCTTCCTTTTTATGCTCATTTTGCCACGTCTTGCGCTTTCCTGTTTGCTCTGCATGAGGAGGGAATTGAGGACTTTTGATTTCAGTTGGTAGAGGGACAGTGTAATTGCTCAACCTAGGAAAATTCGGCCTCGGTTTTGTTCATTTGTTTGTTTTATTCAATCGGTCTGATATACATCTACCAAACCGCTCAAGGGAAGATGGAAGAAACGGCATTGCTCGGCCTCATTTGCAACTAGGACTAAACAAGGCTGTTTCCTGCCACTTCCTCGACCGTGGGGCCATTGGCCATTGAGACTAAGCCACCTGGAGATCCTGGCAATCCGAATATATGTCCTTCTTGCTCGTATTCACGATTTTGACATGGTTCCGATTCTGCCGGCGCAGCACATGCGAAAAAAAGAAGCTTATTTAGAGTCTTTGGTAAGCTCGTCACTATAACAGAAAACGTCTCCAGGTTAGCAAAAGCAGGACGCGGCTAGGCAGAGGCCTTGGGAGGACGCTCGGGCAGCACAAACATATGGTCAGCCAGTGCGTTCAGGTGTGCCTGCTGCTCGGCCAGCTTCTGCTTCAGCTCTAGGAGCTTCTGCTTCTCGCGCTGCCGAATGGCATAGTCCTCCGACGCGCGCTCGCGCTTCTGGAAGGCATCACTAGAGAGAGACAAAAGAGGTCAGCGGGGCGCAGCAATGGCAATGGCAATGGCACGACGCCTTGCGATGCATTGTGTCCGACTTACGCCTGGCCCGTCTTGGGGGGAGCACCGGTGTCGCCGGCAGCCATGCGGATAGCCGATGTGGCAAAGGTGCGGCTGACAGGGCGCAGAACCATCGGGCGGACGGTGATGGGAAGTGTGTGGAGCATGTTGAGAGTCGTTGTCTTTTCTGCTTGGGTAGCAATTGAAGTCGGGGGGAAGAAGAAGTGAGGACGGGAGGATGGAAAAAAAGATGGATCTGTGGATTAAGTGCTTCCTGGGAGGCGGAAAAGAAAGGATGGAAAAATCACGCGCGATTGGACCGACCAGAAACGGTCGTACAGGCGGTCGGACGGAGAGAGAAGGGGGGGGGGCCTCTGGAGCTGTGGGGTGCTACTGACCTAAAAGCTCCGTCATCAGCCGAAGGCATAGCGACACACAAGCTGGCCTGTAGGGCAGAAAAATGCTCCGGATCATGATATTCTCAGCTAGCCGTGACTTCTCTCGACCCTTTCTGTTCTACCCTGTTCCATCGCCACGCGAGCCTGGCCCTCACGCGCACTCGTTCCGTGCAGCAGCAGTCTGCAAACGGGTGATCTCGCCGGCCATCGGGACAGGTGATCTGTCGCTACGGAAGCATGTCACGTGATCGAAACGTTGTGCTCCGTCTCCGTCTACATGCTCGCCGGACGGGGATGCGGGCCAACGCTCCTGGCAGCCGGCTGACATCTCGATGGCATTCGACGAAAACTGGCTGCCATGCGCGCGGCTGCACGCCGTACGAGTTGGTGCATCGCAGACGGCCACAGCGTGGGCTACTGCAGGCGCCGACCCCGTATTCGTACTCAACCATCTCTTCCGACACGAACGAGTTCTATTAGGATTGGCACAAGTGACGTTATCGCCCATCTGCCTCCGGCTCTTCATCAGGTGTACGGGACAATTTGCCTCCCCCACTGGCTATTTGCTTTTTGTTGGTCTGGGTGTCCAAGCACAGCCACTACGCCTGCTCGCCCCGCTTGCCCCCCTCCCTTTCAATTTGGTCCGCCTGCCTCTCGCAATTCTAGACGGATCCCTCCATAATCACGGTCACATGACGCCTCGTTCAGGCCGTTCTACACGCCGTTCAGCCCTCCGTGTCCAGGAGAACGCTGTGATGTAGCCAATATGTCCCTAATACCAACGCGTACGGCCCGCAATCCATTGCATCTATGTATAGGTACGAACGCCTATCGGCTCCCCACCATTAATTCCAGGCATACCTGAGCCAGTGAAACCGCCCGAAACTGCCCGCTGAAAAAAGTGTCGCCTCACCTGGGGTGTTCTGTTATTCCCCCTCAAAACCAGCTACTCCCCTTTCCCTTTTTCTCCTACTCCGAATCGCGTCAACAAACAACACAATTCCTCCAAGCTTTTCCCCTCTATCAACCCATAAACCCAACATTTTCCACGAACAAGCCGCAATACCGACTTTTTTTCCTTTCAAAACACAAAGGTACGCACGATTTTTTCCGCCATGATTTACTTAGACCGTCACCCCTCCCTCCTTCGACCTCCAGCTTCGTGCAAGAGAATCGAGTGGAAGACAAAAGAACAAGGAGAACAAAAACGGCGAAACAGGGTTGCGGACGCAGAGAAGTCACAGACGGCGAGTCCAGACAGATGATGCAGATGGCAGCAGGAGAGCAGAACACAGCTTTTCCGCCCGGTCAAACGTCCTCGGCCTCCCCACGTTGCCAATGACAAGCAACACCCCCAAAGGCCATCGCCAAGCCGCTTCGTTCTAGGCGCGTTGCCCATCGCTGATACTGGCCATCGTCTGCGAAAAGCCCCCTGTGCAGGACGCATTCGTAGCGATGCAATCCTGCCAGTGCTGTGGGCTCTTCGTTGCGTGGTTGCTATGCTTCTGATGCTGCCTGGCTCTGGCTCTGCTTGCTCAATCTTAGTGCCATTCTGCGCAGACCCCACCGCATCGGCGAAAAGAAGCGGGGAGAGCCTCCTTTTTCACTCAATCCTGTCTGGCTCGCTGTCTTCGGCTCCTTCTCTCCCTGCATCAGCACCGACATCTCGTCCGTCGTCTGTTTTATCTCTCCAAGCATCTCCATCTGCCATTGTCGCTTCTCTTGCACGAGACCGGACGCGCTTGTTTATCGCTGCCGCATTTCGCAATTCTGTTTGCCTATCATCCTGTCAAAACGTATCGCTGACCGACTGCTTTCTTTGTTGTCGCACCTACAGTTTTTAATCCGCCATAATGGGTCACGAAGATGCCGTCTACCTCGCGAAGCTCGCCGAGCAGGCCGAGCGCTACGAAGGTATTTATTTTCCTCATACGACGGTCGTTTCGATGCCGCAGCGACGAGCAATACTGACGCGTGGCTTCTCTTCTCCCCTCTTCTGCAGAAATGGTCGACAACATGAAGATTGTCGCTTCCAAAGACCAGGACCTGACCGTCGAGGAGCGCAACCTGCTCTCCGTCGCTTACAAGAACGTCATCGGCGCACGCCGCGCGTCGTGGAGAATCGTCACTTCCATTGAGCAGAAGGAGGAGTCCAAGGGCAACACCGCCCAGGTTACCCTCATCAAGGAGTACCGCCAGAAGATCGAGCTCGAGCTCGCCAACATCTGCGAAGACATCCTCAAGGTCCTTGACGACCACCTGATCCCCTCTGCCAAGACCGGCGAGTCCAAGGTGTTCTACCACAAGATGTAAGCGCATCATGTTCACCACCCGTTGCTGTCCGCGGCCATGGCCAAATGACTGACAGCCGCCTGCAGGAAGGGTGACTACCACCGCTACCTCGCCGAGTTTGCCGTTGGCGACAAGCGCAAGGACTCCGCCGACAAGTCTCTGGAGGCGTACAAGGCTGCCACAGAGGTTGCGCAAACCGAGCTGCCGCCTACCCACCCCATCCGGCTGGGTCTGGCCCTCAACTTCTCGGTCTTCTACTACGAGATCCTCAACGCTCCGGACCAGGCTTGCCACCTGGCCAAGCAGGCATTCGACGACGCCATTGCCGGTACGTCTAGCAGAATCCCGTCTGTCTTGTGGATCATGACGCTAATGTGCTCCCATCACAGAACTTGACACACTGAGCGAGGAGAGCTACAAGGACTCGACCCTCATCATGCAGCTCCTGCGCGATAACCTCGTGAGTTTTTCCCCATGTTCAACCCCTCTCTGCCCCGCAGCTGGACAGCAGATACTGATGCATACAGACTCTCTGGACGTCATCTGAGGCCGAGCACGCCGCACCTGCTGCCGAGGCTGCTCCCCAGGAGGAGGCAAAGGCCGAGGAGGCCGCTGCCCCTGCTGAGGAGGAGCCGAAGGCCGCCGAGTAAACAAAACAAACAGAAGCGACTCCTCGTGATTTTCTTGGCTTGCGCTTTGGCCTAGCCTGGCGATCGGTTGATCTCTCTTTTTTGGCTGTTGAAATCCCCGGCGGAAACCTGGATGGTGTCTACGGAGTGTGCGTGTGTCCACGAAGGAAGTGAAGGAAGGGATTTCCTTACTTTTTTCTTCCGGAAAGAGAATAAAGATTCTCGTCTGCATGTTTTAATATATGCTATGCAAGATATTACATTCCCTCCACTTCACCCCCCTTTTGCCCTTTCTCCTTTTCGTTCCCCATCAGAAACAAATATAAAATCAGAAGACAATCTGTTTAGAGATGCAGATCCACCTAGTTTTTTCTCCCCAGACGTTGTCTATCTTGATGTCACTGTTCTGCCGCCTGTCCCAGAAGGGGTGAGGACGAAGAGGTTTGAGATTTGGAGGGCATATGGGAGTCCTCGTTGCGAAACCGGTGTGTCTGTAGCTGACTTATTTTCTCTTTCTTATCCTGCGGCTTTGCTTTCGTTTCCTTGTCATCGCGTAGAAGGGCTAGATCCTACAATACAACAACTGGCTATAGAGAACTGCAGACGTCCAAAACACGAAACCAGTGCGCCAAGTCTCCAAGTATTTCCCCTCCGTTTATATGCTGCTTTGTGCACTGGAAATCGAGCTCCGTCGCTGTATGCAAACGAAACATACGCGCTGTCACGGCACAGTCTAGCCTTCGGTGTCGTCGTCTGTGACGACGGCAAAGTGCACCCACAGCCACAGGCTGCAGTCCTGACACCCGACCAGCAGTTCGGCCGCCGTAGTCTGGGTCGAGGCCGACAGCCCTAAGCCTCCTGCTGCAGACTCTGCCTCGGCCGCGGCCGCCTCTTCTTCCAGGTCGGCCTCGCCGAAGACGAACCCTCGCTCGTTGCCACACCGACAGCCGCGAAACCACTGGCCGGCCGCGTCGTCAAAGGCGAGGTCGTCCAGATCGACGGCCTCCATGCCGGTCATGGTGCCGGTGCCGCCATCGTTCTTCTTACCGGCACCCCCGATGGCGATGGCAATGCCGTGCCTCGCCGCCTCCAGCTCGCGGTCGTATGCCCATCGCCGTGCCGGGTCCGACAGCACGGCCCATGCCTCGGTGATCTGGTCGACCGTAAAGGCACTGCTGCCCTGGGTCGGTCGTGCTGCCGACCGCCTGTCGGGGTGGTGGCGCAGCAGGGAGCGGCGGTACGCCTGCCGGACTATGGCAACAGAAGCTCCCGCTGCCTTTGTCTGGGCGCTCGTGCTACCTCTGTCGTTCAGCATGTGCGGCTGGAGGCCGAGGACCACATAGTGGGACGGACAGCCGACTGCCGTCCCGGCTGCCATTCTGGGCTGAAGAGGGAGAAAGAGGATTCGAGGTCACAATGTCTTTCTCTCGTTTTCTCGAATGCTATAATAGAAAGACTTCCATTTTCTCGTTCGCTCTTGTCGTGGTGTGTTGCAAATGACTAAAAATCCAATTGTAGACGATCACGTGCGCGATTACACAGCAACCTCTAACAACACCTTGATATGTAATGGCATTTACATGATATATATTGGACTGCATACTGACAGATGCTTCTCTCGTTCTTCGCATAGACCTCAACACATGGCATGTCAGACCGTAATGGACCCTACGAGAACGGCTAGCATTTCGGCTACGTTCTGTGGCCAAAATGTCTCTCAGTGAAGGAATTTGTTCATATTTTCTAGTAGTCATACATAGTATTTGGACGTAAATTTGTACAGCTTGAAGGAAGTGGCTTAGAAAGCCAACAGGCTGGTCAACACCGCAGAGCTGGGGATCAACCAGCTTAGTGCCATGAGACGATGCAAGCGAGGAAAACCGGATATTTTGATTGATGAGATCAGCTGGGGTACCGTGTCCAGTTCTTCTTTCCGACCTATTTTCGAGGGGACTTGTGTTAGCAATGGCAGTTCTGATCCCGCCGTCTCCTGACAGAGACACAGCCGCAGCATTCCAGCAGCGCACCTGTTTCCATTCCCGGATGAGCTTGGGCATGTTGAGCATCGCCTTTCTCCGTTCCTCCATCCTAGAGGGGGGCCGGTCAGCAGAGCGAGCACGCACAAACGAGGACAAAGCGGCAATCGCCGGAAGAGGACGTACTTGGCGACGAGGTGGCGCTCGTGCTGGTGGCCCTTGACGCGCTGGCCGACACCGGTGCCCTTGACCCGCACACCCAGCTCGATGCGCCGTCGCAGCCGCTCCTCCGGGCTCTTGCTCGACTCCGGCAGCAGCTCGGCCACGCCGTGGTCCCGCGCCATCTTGGCCAGCTCGGCCTGTCGCCGGAGCGAGTAGACGGGGTCGTGCCAGCGGCCCGTGACCGGGTGCTTCATGGACTTGAAAGGATTGGGCGTGTCCTGCTGGTAGCCCGTCGACGTGTGCGCTGCAGCATCGCCCGAAGTCGTCGTCGGCTGCAGTGCGGCGGGTGGATATCGCGCAAGAAACTGCAGCAGCCGTGGCGGCAGTGTCTTGGCGAGCTGAATGTACCCCGAGGGAGAACCGGTTGCCGGCGATGCCATCGTCAGTGTGTCGTCGGCCGCAGCGGGATTGGGAAGCAATTGGCTGATGGGTTGCCGTTGAGGTGTGCAAAGTGGTCTTCTTCCGCTTTCCGATGAAAATTAGGATTACTGTACGAAGTACTTACAAAACGAGCGAGGCAGTTGCTCCAGTAAGAGAAATTTTAGTGGGTCCACTGCACCCAAGTTGTTTCCTTCTGAGTACGAAACGGTCAGCTTCTTCTCCCATCTTCCCAATTTGGGATTATCACCGCTTTCTTCTCGACTCAAGCCTGCGACATAGCACGATCTTTCTCGTCCTTTTCGACTCGTCAGCTCTCACGTGGCGTCGCCTGCGCTTCAGTCGGCTATGGATCCGGACCTGCTCGACGACGACGATGGAATGGGCATGCTGAACTCCATATCCATAGGCAACAAAGACAAGAAGAAGAAGAAGAAGAAGGAAAAGACGGAGACGTCGACACTGACGCCAACATCCGAGATCGTGACTGCGCCAGCCACCGCTGATGCAGCCAGCACGACGACGGCGGCCAAGACCAGTCTGTCGGCAGACCAGCAGCCGAAGTTCAAGTGGGTGCCTAAGAAAGAGAGGGAGCGGCTAGAACAGGAGAAGCTAGAGAAGGAGGAACGAGAGAAGCGGCTCAAAGAAGAACAGGATGCAGCGCGTGCGCGAGAGTGGCGCAGGGAGCTGTCGGCGATCAAGCGAGGCGACTTCGCCGACGGCAAGGGCAACAACCGAAAGCGCGACAGAGACGAGGAGAGGCGAACGCCGCAGGAGCAGGTGGAGTTTGATCGGATGCGGGAGCGCTACCTGGGACCAGACCGTTCGAAGAGCACGTTCACGGTGAAGAAGAAGCGGCGGCGTGGCGCGCAAGAGTTCAAGTTTGGCTGGGACGATGAAGAGGACACGCGCAACCTTGCAGACGAAAAGGCACGGATGGACGCCGACAAGCAATACATTCCGCGGCTGACGAGCAAGAACATGTTCAACGTCGACCACCGGGAGGAGCAGTTCGAGATGGAGGCGCTGAAGAACGCAAACTACGTCAGGAAGACGGACAAGGAGCAGGGCGAGGAGCGAGCACGACAGATCATGGACGACTACTACCGCAGCCGCGACTTCCGGAATCGATCGCTGCGGAACATGAAGCACTGGTCGGAGAAGAAGCTAGACGAGATGCGGGAGCGAGACTGGCGGATCTTCAAGGAGGACTTTGGCATCGCGACACGCGGCGGCTCGATCCCGGATCCGATGCGAAATTGGCGCGAGTCTCCACTGCCGCCAAGGCTGCTGGACGTGGTGGAAGCGGTTGGCTACACGGAGCCGACGCCGATTCAGCGGGCGGCGATCCCGATCGCACTGCAGGGCCGCGATCTGATCGGCGTAGCCGTCACGGGTTCCGGCAAGACGGCGGCATTCCTGCTGCCGCTGCTGGTGTACATCAAGGAGCTGCCGCCGCTGGACGAGATCTCGAAGAACGACGGGCCGTACGCGCTGATCCTGGCGCCGACGCGAGAGCTGGCGCAGCAGATCGAGAGCGAGGCGCGCAAGTTTGCCACGCCGTTCGGCTACACAGTCGTCAGCATCGTGGGAGGACACTCGCTGGAGGAACAGGCTTACGCGCTGCGCAACGGGGCGGAGATCGTGGTGGCGACGCCCGGTCGTCTGGTGGACTGCATCGAGCGGCGGCTACTGGTGCTGTCACAGTGCTGCTACGTGATCATGGACGAGGCGGACCGGATGATCGACCTCGGGTTCGAAGACCCGCTGAACAAGATCCTGGACGCGATGCCGACGGCGAACGAGAAGCCAGACACGGACGAGGCAGAGGATGCGCGGGCGATGACGCAGTACCTGGGGGGCAAGATCCGGTACCGCGAGACGATGATGTACACGGCGACGATGCCGCCGGTGGTGGAGAAAATTGCGAAGCGATATCTGCGACGGCCAGCGATCGTGACGATCGGCAACGTGGGCGAGGCGGTGGAAACGGTGGAGCAGCGGGTGGAGTTTGTGTCGGGCGAAGACCGGCGCAAGAAGCGGCTGCAGGAGATTCTGCAGTCGGGGCAATTTGCGGCGCCGATCATCGTGTTTGTCAACATCAAGCGCAACTGCGAGATGGTGGCCAAGGATGTGCGGCAGATGGGCTTCACAACGGTGACGCTGCACGGCAGCAAGACACAGGACCAGCGCGAAGCGGCGCTGCAGGCGCTTCGGCAGGGCAAGGCGGACGTGCTGGTGGCGACGGATCTGGCGGGCCGCGGTATCGACGTCGCGGACGTGTCGCTGGTGATCAACTTCAACATGGCCACAAGCGTGGAGCAGTACACGCACCGCATCGGACGTACCGGCCGTGCCGGCAAGAGCGGCGTGGCCATCACCTTCCTCGGCGGCGAAGACTCAGACGTGCTGTACGACCTGAAGCAGATGATCTCCAAGAGCTCCATCTCCAAGGTGCCCGACGAGCTGCGGCGACACGAGGCGGCCCAGCAGAAGCCGACCAAGTCGGCCAAGAGCGATTTTGCCGGCAAGGGCGCGCAGTGGAACAGTTAGTAGAGGGAGACGGGATTTGGATTTGCCAAGATACGTGTGGCCTGGCGTTCGAGTACGGAGCAGGATTGGGAGAGCTTGCTGCATACTGCAGGGCTAATGCAACGCGCGTCGACTGTTTTGTGTGTCGTGCTCGTAGGTTTGATCTGATAAGAACGGGCATCTGCAGGGGTGTTATAGAGACCCACTGCCTCGACTTGGCCAGACAGCATCACTGCTCGTACCGAGGAAGCGTCAGCTGATGATTGCTGTAACCGCTGTCGGATCCAAGACATGCTGCACGTTATGTAGAAGTTCTGTCCTGAGAGATTTAGCAGCCAGGCGAGGTTTTCGTTGACGTTATATATCGGAAAAGAAAAGCACCAAACCCCGCCAAGAACCCACTGAAGCACCAGCCCCATTTATATGTGGACGACAGCTCTGTAAGTTCTTGGCCAGGGAACTATACTCAGAAACTGCTTCTTCTACTCCGTCTACGGAGTGAATTGAACGTTATATAGAATACTTCTTGGTCAACCATGCTCATCTTCCCTCTTTTAGTTAGAAATATTTCTATATTCCTAATTGAGCTGTGTGGCAACGGACTCGTTCATGTTTGATTAAAGCCGTTAGTGTTAACATTTATTTATTTAATAAATTTAATTAGAGCAAAGTTTTCTTAAATCTACGGGGTTGCTCGACGGAACGTATTTGTATGGCCCACCTTCAACTCTATATTTTATGTATGCGGTTTTGCCATTTCCACCAGTGTGCATTGAAATTTCCGGTTCCGTACAAGTCCGACGGGATCCTTGCTTGCAGACACAACCTTTTCATCCTCGGAAGTACGGACACAGATCTTCGCAGTAAGCCATCAGAAGCATCACCGACAGCGGTACAGCCGCCGCTGCCAGCTTTAACAAAGGCCGCTTGCACCAAACCCGACCATCTAGCCCGCCCTCGTGGCGGGGGGTGGCTGCTTTTGCCTCATCTCGTCCTTCTCAGCCTCACTCTCCCTTTTTGCGATGGCAGCTCCCTCCGACGTCAAGGTGGTGATGCCGTCTATCCTGACCGGGAACAGCTCTCCGCCGATTCTCTCTTCACAACGTCGTGCGGCCATCATGGAAGCTGTCGGGGACATTGTCTACGGATCGGTTCGTGCTCGCCTTGGCGCCCTCCTGCGGCCGTGCTTTGCTTCCAGCTTGTTGCTGACCGTTTTCTCTAGGCTGCCGGTGTGGTCGGCAAGTACATTGAGTATCCCTTTGACACGGTCAAAGTCCGCCTGCAGGCCCAACCCGACCATCTGCCGCTGCTGTACAAGGGTCCCATCGACTGCTTTCGCCAGTCGATCCATGCCGACGGGCTGTTGGGCCTGTACCGGGGCATCAGCGCGCCTCTCGTGGGCGCGGCTCTGGAGACGAGCAGCCTGTTCACGTTTGAGCGTCTAGGCCGCGAGGCCCTGTTTCGTTCTGGCTACTATTCGCGCGACCGGCCGCTGCCGCTGTCGGCCCTCTACTTTGCCGGCGCCTTTTCGGGTGCCTTCACGTCGCTCGTCCTGACGCCCATCGAGCTGGTCAAGTGCAAGATCCAGGTGCCGGCAGCCCACAACAACGGCGGCAAGCCAGGCCAGACGGAGCACCGTCGCCCGCTGGCCGTCATCCGCGAGATCTACCGCCACGAGGGTCTGCGCGGGTTCTGGCACGGCCAGCTGGGCACGCTCATCCGCGAGGCCGGCGGCTGTGCGGCCTGGTTTGGCGGCAAGGAGACGACGACGAGCCTGCTGCGCGAGCTCAACGTCCGGACGGCCCTGGGCGACATGGCCGCAACGCCAGCGGCCTCGGAGCTCGAGCAGCTGGAGCGTGCACAGCGGCTGCATCGGCTGCAGCACGACCAGCTGCCGCTGTGGCAGCAGGCCGTGGCCGGTGCCTCGGCCGGCATGGCCTACAACTTCCTCTTCTTTCCCGCCGACACAGTCAAGTCGCGCATGCAGACGACGCCGGTGGGCGCAGGCCTGGGCCTGGGCTTGGGTGCAAACCCGGATGCCGCGTCTCCACAGCGGCGCACCTTCTTGGCCGAGTCGCAGGCGCTCTGGAAGCAGGCCGGCGTGCGCGGCTTCTACCGGGGCTGCGGTGTGACCGTGTTGCGGTCGGCACCCAGCTCGGCTTTCATTTTCATGATTTATGATGGGTTGCAGTCGAATTTTCCTTTGGCATGAGACATAGAGGTGAGACTGCTTTTTTGTTTTTTTCCTTTTCTTCTGCTTTTTCTTTCTCCTTTTCTGTTACCTTTTCTTTCTTACTTTCCATTTCGTTTCCTCACATAGACGGCGTTGTATATACTCTCAATTTGCGGCATGAACGATGTTGGCGGCTCAACATGTAAAGGCATGGGGAGACACATCAAAACAGCATCTAGAAACAGATGAATGAATAGAACTAAGCCGCCCATGAAACAATCAATGTCCGTGTATATAAGTTATCCTAGTATTTTCTGTAGCGATTCTGCTATTCGTAAACAGCAACCGATCCTCCCGGTTGTCTCTCCTTTCGTTTTTTTTGTATCAATTTTAAGTTTTTTTTTTCTTTTTTTCTAAATTCATCTGCGCGGTCTTCTGCTTCCGTGGCTCACTTGCGCGACCGACCCTTGCCCTTGCGGTCCTTGTGTGGTGCTGCCGAGGAGGACGAAGGCGAAGAAGACGAGGACGATGCCCGGGAGGGACGAGAGGGCGCCGAGGACGACGAAACCGATGGTGGTGGCGGCGGCGATGTCGAAGACTTCTTTGCCGGCCGGAACGACCAGCCGTTGAGGTGGCCGACACCGACGCTGAGGTACGTGGCAAAGGCAAGCCAGCCGACGTACGGCAGCCAGAGGTAGCCGACGGTACGTGTGCTGGGGTTGGTCGAGCGCAGCCAGCGGACGGCCAGGAAGACGTTGATGCCGAGCAGCGTGACCGCGTCAGCGGCTGCTGCCACTGGCTGCCGCAGCACGAAGAAGAGCGGCATCCAGGCAAGGTTAAGGCCCAGCTGCAGCGAGTAAAGCCCGGCCGGGACGGATGGCGCCGGATCCGGACCCAGAGTCCTAAAAGCCCGGTGGGCTGCGTAGCCGGTCAGCGCATAGAGTGCTGTCCAGGTCGGGCCAAAGGCGGCCGGCGGCGGACGGAACGGCGGCTGGCGGATGGCACGCACAGAACGGTCTTTGGGGTCGGCTGAAGGGAGATGGAGAGGGTTAGCTTTTGTGGTTTCGTGACTGTGTCTGTGGATGTACTTTGTGATTCTGGGTGGCTCTGGGTCTGGGTGATTCTACTCCGTAGTTCTGGGTCTGCTTTCTGTGTCCGTTCTGTGTCCGTTCTGTGTCACCCCTGCTCTCCTCTCACAACATCCACTCACGCTTTGTGCTGTAGCCGACAGCAGCACCCAAGGCAACTGGCAGCAGGACAGAGGCGGCCGGATTGGCAAAGACCACGCCTGGAAGAGAGAGGTGCGCAAGCACGTTTGTGGTCATGTTTGTAGCGCGCGCGACAGAACTGGTGATTCCTGCTATTCGACAACTCTGGTGTGATGGTGGTTTGTTGACGGCTCTGCCCTGTGTCTTGGAATTGGTTGAAACTCGCATGACCTCATTGGAAGCGGTGGACAGCCGGCGGCCGTACAAATGCGGCCTCTGATTGGCCAGGCCGGCGTGGCTATGTTGGTCTTGGCGGGGCGTGTCCTAGGCTCTTGCCTACACCGAGAGACGGACTTCTTTCCTGTTATTAGAGAGCTGGAGAAGAACCTAGTGGATGTATGCATGTGTGAACCGCAGTATCTTACGATGAAGTGCACTGGAGATCAATACAGACTACCGTTCACGTGTCCTGACTTTTGGGATCAGTCTATCAACATGAACTGGGCTCATTCAAAGGCCGTAATTCGGGCAATCGTCCAGCTGAATTGGAGAACACTACTTCCACCGGAAGGTGTCTAGTTGAATGCCTTGATTGTGTTTCACTGCTAGAACAAATAAAACGGGATTGTAAGAGACTGCCAGAGCTTCCAGTACATAGTTCGAAAGCCGAGAAAATGTATTCTTGGAAACGAGGAGCCGTGCATGTGCAATTGACTCATATACGCAGCAATACGGAGTACCCGTCTGTGACACCAAGGAAGATCTTGAGGAAACCAAAAATAGCCGATCGCTGACCGGCTTCCTAAAACAGCTGGGTCGGAGCTGACTGGAAGCACGTGACCAAGCTGGCTCGACTAATTCCGGTTTAGCCTCATCGCGCCGCGACTTTTCTTCCCTGCCAACTTACTCCGTACCTCGTCCGCTTACGCCCTTCTTGCCTTCCATCACACTACCAGTCGCATCCAACAATCGAGCTCGCGCATGCGCCTGACTGCCCTCTGCCGCCCTTGGATGCTCTCCTGCCCTTCTGCCTTTTGAAGACGGCCAATGAGCTCTTATATGCTTCTGATCCTTCTCTTCAGCCAAATTGTTCGTCTATTCTGTTCCTCTCCTTTTTTCTCTTCTCTTCGTCTTCCTGGTCCGCTCGTCCGGGCCAGCCTGTCTGCCCTCTCGAATGCCTCTTGTCCTTCAGCTCTTCAGCTGCCACCGTCTTTATCTCTACTCATCTGCTGCCTTTGCTGCCTCTCCCGTCGCCTTCCAGCCTCTGGTCGTCACCTCCGTCACCTGCTCGAGCATGTCCCGGTGGCCTGATATTATCTCCCATCTCCCCTTCTTTCTCTTCTTTCGCCCTTGACCGCATCTTCTCGTTTGGTTTGTGCCAACAAACGGCCTATTTCGCTTCAGAATCTTCATACCCCACCGCTTGGTGCTCGTTTATTGCTCCATTATCATCTGCCCTCTTCTGTCCGAGGTGTCTGCTTCTGGAATCCGTCTCTAACCGCAATGATGGCGAAAAACATTAGAACATCGACTGCCGCCGTCCGTAAGCAGGTCAACGGAATCCGCGACTCGCACTGACAAGGACTGGCTTGCCGCAATGGACTCGTATGTCAGAGACTCGGCTCGGTCGCCCCCAGATCGATCCTGGGCCTCTCGTGACGAGAGCAGAGGCAAGGACGACCGCGATACATTCTATCGTGGCAGATCTCCAGGTACGAGCGGCTCCCAGCGTTCAGCTGCCTGTTCTAGCTCCCCGAACTCCTCCAACCGTCTGACTTTCTAGCCCTAGAGCGAAATCGCCGCACGGCCCGCTCACGCTCCCCGGCAGCTGTTGACCGCTACGAACCGAGATCCCGCGGAAGGGATGAATATGGTGGTGGACGAGACCGGGACCGTGATGATCGTCGTCGGATTGGATCGCCCCCGGCCAATATCGATCGCTACGTACCCGGCCAGTCACAACACCAGTCGCTGCAGCCTCCCCAGGACGGCGGGATGGGAGTCCGTCCGCTAATTCACCAGCAGCTGCCCCCGGCAGCGTTTGCAAACCCCATTCCGGACCCGCTGAAACTGCCGTACCAGGTCGGATTCTCTTTTTTTGGCGAATGGTGGCGGGCCAACGAGAAGATCAAGGAAGAGAAGGAGTGGCAGAGGACTGGTCGCCGTCGTGAGCCAGAGCGAAACCGGGGAGCGAAGGAGACACAAGAAGAACGCGAGAAGGAAAAGGCCAGGATCCAGGCTGCTTATGACTCCTACAAGGAGGAGCTGCAGGGAAAGATGGCGCAGACGTTTGTGAAGCAGCACAAAGAAGAGCAGTGGTTCCGTGAGCGATACGTACCCGAAATCCGCGAGAAGCTACGCCAGCAGCTAGCTGAATTTCGAAAGGGACAGTTCAGTCAGTGGGAGCAGGACCTGGAGTCCGGTCTCTTCGACGAGTTCACGTTGGAGGGCATTCCCAAGAATGAGAGCAATGGTGCCGGCATGACAGAGAAGGAGGAGGGAGAGGCCAACGAAGTTCTGGGCGTCGGCGATCTGGTTCCGGCTGCCACTGCGGCCGATATTCGGGACGAGAGCCTCTTCCAGCCAACGCTGCTGATCAAGACGATCGCTCCTAGTGTGAGCCGGCAGAACCTGGAGACGTTTTGCCGCGAGCATCTGGGCGTCAACGAGGGTGGTTTCCGGTTCCTGTCCTTGAGCGACCCGAACCCGAGCAAGCGCTACCACCGGATCGGCTGGATCCTGCTGAACCCTGGGCCAGACGACGGCTTTACCACAGCCGGCGGTCTGCCCGATCCGGACAGTCTGGATGGCGATGTGGAGATATCAACTCCGAAGACAATTTCAGTCGCCGACAGGGCTCTGGAGGCCATTAACGGCAAGACGGTCAAGGACGAGGTACGCGGTGATTTCGTGTGCCATGTCGGCGTTCACAACCCACAGACAAACCCGCGCAGGAAGGCGCTCTGGGACTTGTTTTCGGCGCCTGAGCGGATCGACAAGGATCTGGGTCTCGTGCAGCGGCTGGTGAACCGATTCGAGGCCGAGGTGGGATCGGACTTCCAAGGCGTGTTGAAGATTGAGGAGAGAGTGGAAGAGCTGAGACTTGCAGGACGGCTGCAGTCGTCGGCAGGTACGGGGGCCCAGTCCGGCAACGGCGTCGCGGCTGCTCCGAAGAAGAAGAAGAAGGCCAAGAAGGTGAGCGTGCTCGGTATGGACGTCGCGGTCGATGACTTTGAGGACCTGGGAGACGAGGTGGACATGGATGATGACGAAGAGGAAGAAGAAGAGGGCGAAGAGGGTGCGGTGGACGAGGAGGTGGACGACGAGGAGCTGCTGTTGAAGAAGAAGCAGCTTGACCTTCTGATCGAATACCTGCGACGGGTTTTCAGTTTCTGCTTTTTCTGTGTGTTTGAGAGCGACTCGGCGCACGAGCTGACGCGCAAGTGTCCGGCAGGACATCTGCGGCGGCCACGAGCGACGCTGACGGCAGCGGCCAAGGAGGTGGCGCGAGCCAGTGCCAGCGGCGAGCCGTTTCCGAGCAAGCGACGCGTGGAAGCGGCAGCGGACGCCGAGGAGGGCGAGCTGCCGCAGGAGGGCAGCGGTGGAGGTGGCGATCGCAAGTTCCGTGGAGCGTCGGCCAAGTCGGAGCTGCAGCTGCAGCGGGCGTACAACTGGGTCAGGACGTTTGAGGAGAAGATCAACCAGATTCTGGAGCCGGAATCGGTGGATCTTCGCAAGTACGGCGGCAAGCCGGTGGACGAGGCCATGGATGTGGAGATGGCCAAGTACGTGAAGCAAGAGGACGAACACAAGTGGCGATGCCGGCTTCCCGAGTGCACGAAGTTGTTCAAGGAGGAGCACTTTTGGCGGAAGCACGTGGAGAAGCGACACACGGAGTGGTGGGAGGCGCTGAAAGATGATGTGAGTTTTTGTCCTTTTTGTCTGTTTTTATTTTTTATTTTATTTTTTGTTTGTTTACTTTGGTATTTTGACTTTTTCTTTCTTTCTTTTTTCTTTTTTTCTTTTTCTTATATTTTCTCCATGATCTAACAGACGCAGATTGAGCTTGTCAATGCCTACGTGTCGGACCCGTCACACATTGCACCGTCACGAACGGACGCCAACTCCAACGGCCACTTCCCGGCTGCAAACGGACAGACACCAACAGGGACACCTCGCGGCTTCAGCCTGCAGAGCTATGCGATGAACAGTGTTCTGCCATCAATCCCCGGGTTCTCTGCACCGGGCCCGTTCAATATGTTCAACCCGGTGGCGATGCAGGTGTCGAACTGGCAGGCAGCGGCCGGCGGTGCTGGCATGAGTGCTGCTGGAGGTCCCCTGGGTGACAGCCGTGGACAGGGCCCAATCCGACGAGGAGGACCCGGCAATGGGCGCTACAACAATCGGTCTGGTCCGTATGACAGACGGCCTATGCGCTGGAGTCAGGACGGCGGTCTGAACGGCGCTGGAGCGGCGATGTATGCTTCTGGCAGCAGTGGTGGTGGCGGTGGATACAGTCGTGGAGGCAGCCGAAACGGCGGAGGTGTCGGTGAATTCAGCGGCAGTGGAGGTCCTGGTGGTGGTGGACGTTGGGGAGACGGAGCCGGTGGCGGTGCGGCTGTCGGGCCACGCGAGGCCATCCAGGGCCGTACGATCAAGAGCTACGAAGACCTGGACCAGGTGACGGGTGGTGGAGGCGGCGAGCTCAACTACTAGGAGGTGTTTTGTATTTGTTTTTCCATTTTGCCCGCAAAGTGCGGGTTCGGAGCGTCCTTGCTGACTCTGTCGCCTAGGTGGGCTTTACTTCTTCCATGTCTTAGCTCTATGGTTGGTGTCCTCGCAGATGGACGGAAGGCACTGTATAATAATGAAAGGTTGGCAGTCATGGATTGTGCATGATGCATACGATGTGGATGCTACGGAAGCAGAGATCTTATTACTAAGACGGTGACATTACGTAAGCACCGAGAGGACCAATTATGTTCATTCTTTATTGAAGCAAGACGAGTATACGCGATGCGGGCTCGGCCGGTGTCTACCTGCTGAGGGCGATGTCGTCTATCCGCAGGATCATCTTGACGGTCTCTGCGGCGAGCTCGATGGCGCTGGTGCTGACGAGCAGGGGCTGGAGGACGTTTTCCTTTGCAATGTTGGCGTTGACGCCGCCAGACTTGATGCTGACGCCAGCGTTGATCTCGCCGCGTTCGTGGCGGTGGCGAAGATCGGTGACGACCTTGATCGGGTTCAGGCCAGCGTTTTCGGCGAGCGTGGTGGGGATGACCTCGAGGGCGTCGGCAAAGGCCTTCCAGCAGATGGCCTCGGTGCCGGTGAGAGCGCGAGCCTGTTTGGTGAGCTGAGCAGCGATCTCGATCTCGGGGGCGCCACCGCCGGCGATGAGGGCCTTTTTCTTGACGAGGCAGCGGACGACGCAGAGGGCATCATGGAGGGACCGCTCGGCCTCGTCGAGAATCATGTTGTTGGCGCCGCGCACGACGACGGAGACGGTGCGGCCGGTGAAGCCGTGACCAGCAGCGATGGAGGCAGCGGCAGCGGCGGCGCTCTTGGCCGACGAGGCCGAGGCAGATGCGCCCGACGAGCCGGCGGCGGTGCTGGAGAGCGTGCCGGTGACCTTGACCATGCGCGAGCCGGAGCTGGCGACCTCCTCGACCAGATCGGCGCTGCCGAGCTTGTCCTCGGTAAAGGAGTCGATGTCGGCAATCGGTTTGCAGCCGGTCGACTTGCAGATAAACTCGACCTCGTCACGCTCAATCTCCTTGATGGCCATGATGTTGAGCTTGGCGAGGAAGTGCAGCGAGAGGTCGTTGACGGCATCACGCAGGATCGACTTCTGGATCAGCAGCACGTTGCACTTGGCCTTTTTGATCTTCTTGGCCATGTTGAGCAGGTACATGCGTTCCTCCTTGACGATCTTGTCCATCTGGCGGTAGTCGTTGACGGAGATGGTATTTTCCATCTGGGGGGTGTTAGTGGGAGAGACGAGAGGGAAGAAAGAAAGAGGAAAGAAAATAAAGAAGAAAAAAAAGAAGAAAAAGAAAGAAAGAAAGAAAACGTACATCTGGCTTAGGCGGGCTCAGCTGGAACTGGATCAGGCCGATGCGGGCCTTTTCCATGCGGATGGGCCCGCCGGCGTTCTTGAGCACGGGCTGGGTCAGGACGAGGCCGTCGACCAGCTCGCTGTCCTCGATGGTGCCGCCGACTTTCTTGATGATGCGGATGTTGTGCAGGTCGACGTTGTCAGCCTGTTTGAGGTCGATCGTCTTGGTGACGGCGTTGACGGCCATGGGTCCGAGCAGGTTGGCGTACTGCGACACGATCTTGGACGAGAGCGACGTGTTGGCGGCCTGCAACAGGGCAGCCGTGTCGGTCAGCGCCACCGGCTGCGACATGCCGTGCAGCACGTGAACGGCAGCAGCAGCGGCGCGCTGGAACGCCTCCGAGATGACTGACGGGTGGATGCCCTTGCCGAGCAGCCGGTCGGCCGCACCGAGCAGGCTGCCACAGATGACGACGACCGACGTGGTCCCGTCGCCGGCCTCGACGTCTTGAGCGTGCGATAGCTGGACCAGCATCTTGGCTGTCGGGTGCAGCACAGCCATGCTCTTGAGCATCGTGCTGCCGTCGTTGGTGATGATCGTCTCGCCCTTGCCGCTCATGATCATCTTGTCCATGCCCCGGGGGCCGAGAGAGGTTCGGATGGCATCGGCCACGGCTGCAGAGAGGACAGGTCAGTTGCTGTTGCCCCTCCTTCTTGGACAGGTGTAACTGACCTCGTGCGGCGACGATGTTGGCCGACCGAACGGCCACCGGCTTCTCCTTGTCCTGCGCGTGTCAGCATCAGCATCGGTACGGTGCCAACAAGAGCACGGGCTAGCCAGCGCCCGCCCAAAGGAGACGCACCTTGAAGGCCGCATTGGATGGGCCGCCCCCTGATGGAGCTACTGCTGCCATGATGGAGAGGATGTGCGGTGGGCGGAGGGGCGTTGTCTGCGTGACAGACCGGGTATCGAGAGGGCGGAAGACAGGTTCGGAGGCGAGGGATGCTGAACCAAGACGCGGAATGGAGATCGGTCGAGTGGCTGCTGGATGCCTTGAAGTCTTGCACAAAGCTTCCTTCACCCTTGGTGGGGCTGCCATACGGCGAAAGTTTTTTGGAAGCTCGCATACATGCATAGATCGAATTACCGGGGGGGTTTGTGTGGCGCACTACGCCGCAACAGGACTAGCCCGACAGCCGCGCTGCTGGAAAGCTCCAAGGCAACACGCATTACTCGTATGCAGCTCACGACGGATCAACCTGACCACTACGCCACCACACAAAGTCTCGACGCCGACCATCGAAGCCAAGACGAGAGTCCCATAGACGCCTCTACCGACCGCCGTTCGCTGCCCTCGTGCTGCCAAGATGGTACGTCTCGATGGCCGGTTGCGTTTTCGTCGATTGCTAACATGCAGCAGCCGACCGCACGGGGCCAAGACTGGGAGAAGTACCAAAAGAAGTTTGCGGACGACGAGATTGAGGAGAAGAAGATTGCGCCGTTGACGGACGAGTGAGTGACAAGGGCGAGAGGGAGCGAGACGGGTGGTGTGGCTGCTGACCTGTCACTGCTAGGGACATCCAAGTGCTCAAGACATACGGGGCGGCACCATATGGCGCAGCCCTGAAGAAGCTGGAACAGCAAATAAAAGAGAAGCAGCAGAGCGTGGACGAGAAGATTGGCGTAAAGGTGGGTGTGGAGGAGAGCGAAAGCGAACGTGTCTGGACGTGCGGTAGAACAGCCTGCTAACCGGCCACAGGAATCGGACACCGGTCTTGCGCCGCCACATCTGTGGGACGTGGCAGCGGACCGGCAGCGAATGTCGGAAGAGCAGCCGCTGCAGGTGGCGCGGTGCACCAAGATCATTGCGGACGACAGCGACGATGCTAAGAGCAAGTACGTGATCAACGTCAAGCAGATCGCCAAGTTTGTGGTGCAGCTGGGCGACCGGGTCGCCTCGACCGACATTGAAGAGGGCATGCGGGTGGGCGTGGACCGCAACAAGTACCAGATCATGCTGCCGCTGCCGCCCAAGATCGACGCGAGCGTGACGATGATGACGGTGGAGGAGAAGCCGGACGTGACATACGGCGACGTGGGCGGCTGCAAGGAGCAGGTCGAGAAGCTGCGCGAGGTCGTCGAGATGCCGCTGCTGTCGCCCGAGCGCTTTGTCGATCTGGGCATCGACCCGCCCAAGGGCGTGCTGCTGTACGGGCCACCGGGCACGGGCAAGACGCTGTGTGCGCGTGCCGTGGCCAACCGCACCGACGCCACCTTTATCCGCGTCATCGGCAGCGAGCTGGTGCAGAAGTACGTCGGCGAGGGCGCCCGGATGGTGCGCGAGCTGTTCGAGATGGCCCGCACCAAAAAGGCCTGCATCATCTTCTTTGACGAGGTCGACGCCATCGGTGGCGCCCGCTTCGACGACGGTGCCGGCGGCGACAACGAGGTCCAGCGCACCATGCTCGAGCTCATCACCCAGCTCGACGGCTTCGACGCCCGCGGCAACATCAAGGTCATGTTTGCCACCAACCGGCCGTCCACCCTGGATCCGGCCTTGATGCGGCCCGGTCGCATCGACCGCAAGATCGAGTTCTCCCTGCCCGACCTCGAGGGCCGCGCCAACATTCTGCGCATCCACGCCAAGAGCATGTCGGTCGAGCGCGATATCCGCTGGGAGCTCATCTCCCGCCTCTGTCCCAACGCCACCGGCGCCGAGCTGCGCAGTGTCTGCACCGAGGCCGGCATGTTCGCCATCCGCGCCCGTCGCAAGGTCGCCTCCGAAAAGGACTTCCTCAGCGCCGTCGACAAGGTCATCAAGGCCAACCTCAAGTTCAACTCCACCGCGTCCTACATGCAGTACAACTAGGGCGGTTGTGCCCCTGTTTTGTGTACGAGTAATAGAACTAGCAGAAACGACAAGATGCATTTTTTTCCAGCAGGGTCCTAGTTTATGGCTATCGCGTGAAAGGTCCGACATGCTTGGAACAGAGCGACAGCGTAGGGGTAAATACAATTTCGTGTAGTACTGCTTGGGACAGCAGCGAGGAGGCTTATATCATGCCATGATAGAGAGAAGCAATGGAAGGAGGTATTGATCAGACGAAGAAGAAAAAACGCATAGGACCGGATAGTATACATGTCTCATGAGAACCCAAACACCCGACACGATGATGTGGACAAGGAAAAGACAAAAAAGACAAACGGTGGAACGGGGCTCGGAGCCGGCAGTTCTCTCTTCAGCCCTCGACGAAGGGGAGGCAGCCGAGACAGACGACCTCGCCGTCCTGACCACGCTCGACGCAGCACCGGCTGCAGATCATCCGCCGGTGGCCGCTGCAGCCGCGGGACCACGCAGGCGGCGAGGCAGCAGGCGACGTTTCGCGACCGACGTCGAAGCCGTCCGCTCTTGCTGGCCGTCGACCTGTCTGTGCGGTCGTGGTGGCGCCGAGACATTCGCGCAGACAGACGAAGCAGGTGCGCTGGCCACACCCCTCGCAGTCGGCCAGCGAGTCGAGGTCGCAGCGCCGTCGTGGTCGGCGATGGCAGATGTGGCAAGGGGCTGTCGAAGGAGGAGGATTGAATGTGGACGTGGGCGTGGACGTAGATGTAGATGTAGATGTAGATGTGGAGTTGGATGTTGCCATGGAAGTTGGCGATATTCGCTCAGATAGCGGCCGGTGCACCTGTTTCCGATCGTCGTCGAGTCGCAGCCGCTTGCTGGCCGGCAGAATCTTCCGGTGGTTGTTGTTGCTGCTGCTGTTGTTGTGATGTCGGCTGTTTGCCCTCTCGAAGACGTCGTCGTCCAACGGCGCCGTCGCCACCGCGATGCCCTGGAAGGCGCCGAGACTGCCACACTCGTCCCGTCGGCGCTTCTTGCAGACGAAGCCGACATGGCCCTCGGGTGCCGCCGAAGGCATCGCTGTCGGCGGGCAAGGAGAGGTGGGAATACGCAGTCGGATGTCGTCGTCGTGCTGTTGACCGCTCTCCCTTCGGCTTGCTCCCTCTGCTCGCGGCGCAGCTTGGATCTCGCAAGATATGGCACGTCGTGCAGGTGCGTGAATGGCCCGCGTCGGCAAAAGAGAAAAACGGAGTCGTAAACCGGGGCAACGAGGCCTGGCCTTCTTCGCTTGCCGCAGTGGTACGCAGTATTGTTGTGAGTTATTATTGGGTTATTGCATTTACATGGAACATCTCTAGACGACATCAGGCCCGCTTAATTACATGAACAATTCAGTCACCGTCAAGAGCACGTGACAGTCGCATCGTGATAAGTCGATTGTCCGAGAAGCTGCTCCCCCGTGTGCAGCGTACAGCGTGCTGTTACGACGCAAACCGCATTCTCCCACATCGGAAGCTGCCCGTTCGAAGCCCCGTAGACGGTTGTACTGTCCTTTCGTAGGCCATTGTCCCGCTGCTCGGAGACAGGCAGGCTAGGTGGAAAGTGTGCCCTTGATGCCTGATTAGTCCGGAATCCACAGATTTCGTCTGAGTCACAAAACTTTGCAGCATCCGCCGAACTGTGCGTCTCCCGCCTCTGGTCCAGTTTCTGCCGCATTGCGCCGACACGACCATAGCCGCCATGCCGTCCCGATCAGATATCACCTACTTTGGAGCAGGCCCGGCACTGCTGCCGACCGACGTCCTCGAGGATGCGGCGCAAGCCCTGATCAACTTCAAGGACACCGGTCTGGGCATCGCCGAGCACTCGCACCGCTCCGAGATTGCCACGACGATCATTCAGGAAGCCAAGGCCGACCTGGCCGCGTACCTCGAGATCCCCGACGACTATGAGATCCTCTTCATGCAGGGCGGCGGCTCGGGCGAGTTTTCCGCCATGGCCTACAACTTTGTCGGCGCCTGGGTGGCCCGCAAGCAGGCGGCCCTCGGAGCCGGAACAGATGGCAGCGCGGCGGAGGCGCTCAAGGCGGCCGTGAAGGACCTCAAGATTGACTACATCGTCACCGGCGGTTGGTCGCAAAAGGCGTCGGCCGAGGGCGAGCGGCTCTTTGGCGCAGAGCACGTCAACATCGTGGCCGATGGCCGCACGACGACCGGCGGCAAGTATGGCGTCATCCCGGACGAGAGCACCTGGAACCTGTCCAAGGATGCTGCCATGGTCTACTACTGCGACAACGAGACGGTCCATGGGGTCGAGTTTTCCGGCTTCCCTCAGTCTCTCGAGCCGGGCCCGGATGGACCATTTGTCGTTGCCGACATGAGCTCCAACATTCTCTCTCGCACGATCCCGATCAAGAACTATTCCGCCATCTTCTTCGGCGCCCAGAAGAACCTGGGCTGTACCGGCATCACGGTCGTCATCATCAAGAAGTCTTTGCTGCGACAGCCGTCGGCAGAGCTGATGAGAGAGCTGGCTCTGCCGATTCCGCCTCGGATATTCGAGTTTGAGACTATTGCGAAGAACAACAGCCTCTACAACACGCTGAGCATCTTCGAGTAAGTGCTGCTGCGCAAGACAGTCGTCGGAGCGAAGCTAATGGCCACCCTCACAGCGTCTACATAGCCGGCCGGGTTCTGAAGAAGCTGCTGCGCGAGTTCCCCGACAAAGTCCAGGGGCAGGAAGCTGTGTCCGCGAACAAGGCCCAGCTGCTCTATGGCGCCCTCGAGGCCTATCCCGACGTCTACAAGATCATCCCGGACAAGACCGTGCGGTCGCGCATGAACATCTGCTTCCGCATCGAGGGGGGCGATGCGGCCGAGGAGGCCTTCCTCAAGCAGGGGGCTGCACTGGGGCTTACCGGGCTGAAAGGTCATCGCGATCTGCGGGGCATCCGGGCGAGCAATTACAACTCGGTCTCCGTTGATGGAGCGGAGAAGCTTGCCCGCTTCATTGGCGCCTTTGCGTCGAAACGGCAATAGCTCTTTCTTGTGTATATGGTACGACATCAGCTCTGGTCCTGGGTCGCAAAGCACAAAGGCTAGAATCCCGCAGACAGGCAGTAGGATGTCGTCCTTGGAACAAGAAGAATAAAAATCGTATATTTTCTTGTTTTACTCGCAGTGTAGTATGGCTGCTGCTACTCTGTACGAGTACTCCGTACTGGTACTCGTAATCGTAATTGGGACCAACCGCTCATTTCGCTACCTTGCTTGTCCGGAACCACTTTAGCATTTTAGACTTATTGACGAATGTCTTGAACGAAAGGTCCAACATTGCGCCGTACTGCTCGTACTCTGTACGTCAGACAGCTTTGTCCGGCAAGACTCCTGTGTCAAATCCTCGTTGGCCTGAAGGTGACATCGCAGGCCGCATGGAGATATCCTAATAGCCCGTCCATGCTCCGCTCACCCCTTTAGCCTCCATATATTACATAATGCAGATTATTGCTTTGCCCCACCTCAACCGTTGTGATTGGGCGGATGGGTCACGTGGGCAATACAGGTACAGTATATACTGGTGCATTCCACTAGCATCAGCCTGCCTTTTCACACGGTGAAGCCAAATAAGCGTTTTCCTTTCTTCTCGCCGCCTACACTTTCGCCGGCGTACGACAAATTCCCCTCTTCTCCCTCCTTCCTACCAATTCCATTATCACCTCATCGAGCCGCACAGTCCCTCACCCGCCCAAGGCAGCCCCCATCGTCTCCGTTGTCGCCGTCGTCGCCGCCGTCGGCTTCGAAGTTGATTCCTTGCCTTTTTTTATTCAATCCAGTGACCGATTTTTTCGCGACTCCTGTTTCTCGGCTCCGATCTCGATATCGGTGCTCCGAGTTTCCTTTTCCCCTTCCTATCCAACACCGTTTCCTTTGCATATCGAAACAACGTTGTCATCTGCGAAGAAACGGCCATCAAGATATGAGTCGCGCAGGCAAACTTGCCCCGGAGGTTAACCGGTGCGTTCCACCCCGTATTTTACCCCGTCGTCAGCTATCATTTTGTTTCTTTCGGGGCTTGGCAATCGTGTCGGCCGTCTGCCGACACGTCATCATCACGTTGCTATCATGCTTCCCTCCTATGGCACTCGCAATTCCTTCCTGTCATCCACCGAATGCTTTTACAGCTTCACTGCTGCTGGTTAGGCCTTGAATTTTTCTAAATCGCGTCGCTAACAATATGCTTTTTGTCGCGTTCAGAGCTTTATTCGTAAAGAATCTAAGGTTAGTCGAACGTCCTGTCAACCATCCATCGCCTGCCATCAAGAAAACACGTCGCTGACCTTGCCTACAGCTACAACGTCACTCCCGAGGAGCTCTTTGAGCTCTTTGGCAAGTTCGGCCCCATTCGGTATGCAACTTTTTGCGTTTCTCCCTCGCTCGGACGACCACTAACAAGTACCAGCCAAGTGCGACAGGGTATTGCCAACAATACCAAGGGCACTGCCTTCGTTGTCTATGAAGACGTCATGGATGCAAAGCAGGCTTGCGATAAGCTGAACGGGTACAACTTCCAGAACCGTTACCTTGTCGGTATGTGCTTACAGCTCCCTTCTCCCATTCCATTTCTAATCAAGTGCCCTTTTGCTGACTCATCGGGTAGTTCTATACCATCAGCCCGAGAAGATGGCCAAGTCAAAAGAGGACCTCGAAGTACGCAAGGAGAATTTAGCACAGCTCAAGAAGCAACATGGCATCGATTGACGATTAGACGGGCCTGTGGACCGCCTGCGAGCAGCATCACCCACGAAGTTGGCTCGACACCCTGCAGGCCCGTCATCTATCACCACCTCCGCACGGCGTCGATCGTCTGTGTCGTCGACATCGACGACATTGTCGGCATCGTCAACGCTGTCGGTGTCACCTCGCCATGAATTCACCATGCCTCTACGCAAAAATACGGCGCCGCCTTCACTAGCGGCGACGACGACCACCAAGAAACTTACCAAGTCGAGCCTCTCCGATCACGCCCGCGGTGTCATGCCGTATTTCGTGCGCAAGCTCCTCCCCACGGTGTCCGAGGTCGCCTAAGGCCGCTATGTGTGTGTGTGTGTGAATGGCTGCTCCACGTTCGAAGCGGCTGGAGGAGAGGGACCTGAGACTTTCCCAGGTTTCGGTTGTGGTTAGGTTAATTTTTTCTATTTCTTTTCATCTGCGCCAACAGTATCAGGACAACAGACGCATGGACGGTCCGTTCGACGCGTTTGCTATGCACCCCACTCTTCTTGATCTCGCAGCTACTACATTCTTTGCATCTTATGTTTTGCGTGTTGGGTCGACCTTGTTTGAGTTTTTCTTTTTTTTTGCGATGTTTATCTACAAAGGGCTGTCTGATTATTTCTGCCGTGTCCGTTACCGCAGCTGGTTTAACTCCTTTCCTTCCCCGGATATGGCAATACAAATAGGAAGGAATAGGTTGGGGAGGGAAAAGGGAGGGGCGTTTGCCAGTCCAACTCTGGAAACTATTCTCTGCTTTTCTTCAAGGGTCTTGATATGTCGACTTTCTTAGTATGAATAATTTGCTGTCTGTTGTCACTCTTTCCGGAACGGATGTCGAAGAAACAACCAGACGAGCTCAAAAGGACAATACAAGACAACCGAGGGTGCCCTGCACTGGCAGCCATTCCAAAACCGAGCTGAGAACTGCCATACTCTTGATATTTAAATTGCGCCAACTGCAAATTTGTAAACGTGCGCTGTACTTCACGCGAGCACAAACTCTTAAGTGATGAAGCACCGGCAAACTCGAGCAGGAACCGTATTTTCTTATTCATAAAGACTAGCTCCCAACTTCCATACTCTTCACTCGTCTACCTCCTAAAATGCCGTCACATGCTCATAGCCGCCGTATTCATCAGCACCGAAGCCGCAAAGCTTACGACAGCTGAGCATGTGGCCATTTTTACTCGTTGGCCACGGAAGCAGGTGGGGAGGCAATGTCAGATTCCAGACCTGCAAGTAACAGTTGTGCAAGATGGCCTAAATAGAGATACAAAAAGCGGCTCGAATATGGTATCGGGCAGGCTAGTATTAACGCCATATTGTACTGCAACAGAAGCAGTCATCAACACTGCGTCCTCTTTCGTCTCCAATACACAAGTGTCACATTCTGCAAAGCTAGAAAGTTCGTTTGTCGTAGCTGCATTTCCGCACCATTGCTTTCATCGAAATCGCTACCTCCGAGGGGGCTGGGAATACGTCGAATTATCGATACTCTCTACACGCACTGGCTATTATACGACTGGAATCCTGTCGAGATTATTTGGGTTGGTCAAGAAAGTCTCGGGCAAGCGGAGCTTAGCGATGTAGCAGTGCCTGATCTCGTTCTAGAACGTCGTATCTGCTGTTAATTCGTACGCATTGCTTACACAACGCCAATAGAGCTAACATCTATGAGAGGGTGCGGAACTAACTGCCTGTAATCGATTGGCCACGCCTCGTCGTGATGGCGTATCGTGGCGTACTTTGCAACGTTTCGAACACATGGGATGTCGTCACCATGTGGAAACTACACACTAGACGGAGAGCGGAACATGCAGCCGGTGGTGAGATAAGACGGGAAAGTGATCAATATGCTCAGAAACAAACCATTGTCTGGGCTGGCGGATGTAGAGTGACGGCCTATTCCGATTTACTATCGCTCCGTAATCAAGGGCACCTAACGAGTGCGTATATAGTACTCCGTATGGTATTATATAATGGCTTGATATTCCATGTTTTTCTGGGAAGCAACCAGCCTCTATATATCCTGTGTTTTCACTAAACACCTTCTTACCTACTTTGCCCGTCACAAAACCTTTCTTGCCACCGTGCCTCAAGACAAAATGGCGCTGAATGAGGGAAAAGACATACTCGCCATACTCCAGGGCCAGGAAGTTCGAATCCCGGACATCGAAAAGCTTGTTTCAGAGTGGGATTTGCAAACCAACCCTAACGAGGATCAGGTGAAGAAAGTGGTGGATGACATCCTTGCAACGTGTGTATCGCACTTCCTTTCTGTGTTCACTCGGTACTGATATATATACAGATACACGGTGTCGACACGGGTTAATGCGAAGCTTACTAAGAACAAGCTGAGCAGATACGTCTCAACTTGCTATCCATTTGCTGATCGGGAGACCTTGGCCGAGCTCACGTACTTTGTCTGCTGGATGTTCTTGGTCGATGATGAAATAGATCACATCGTGGCTCCGGGTCAAAACCAGGAGGAAAGACTTAGTAATTTATGGTCCGAAGTCTTGCACCTCGTCGAGAGCAGTTGCTCTATTACAGGTGTCATAAACGGAGAAGAAGGGACAAATAAGAAGCCTCTCGAAGCCTTCCGCGTTTTCGGCAAGAGCATGCGACATAAATATACCATCGGTGAGTATCCACGTTGATCCTACACACAACGCGAATCAATTCTGACTGCGAGAAGCGCAATCCGGCCGCTACTGGGCCGAACTCGTTGCTACTTCGCGCGGCTATAAGATCGAGCAACAAATTCGAGATCTCGAAGAGCTTCCAGACTACGCCTCCTACTGCAAGTACAGGTACGGAAGATATTGCATGGGACAGGTCGTTGCTCTGATGGAGTAAGCATATTTATGCCCTTGGTGTTGAAGGTATCTAACGAGTCTGCTTCCAGATACGCCAACGGTCTACAGCTTCCCACTGATATGGTTGAGTCGGCCGAGCTGAAAAAACTTCGGGAAGACACTGTTACTTTGCTATGGTTGTAAGTGCACTCTAAAACACCGAACTTTCGAGTCTGCTTACCAAATGCTTTTCAGAAACAATGACATTGTGTCGCTCAAGAAGGAACTGGCAAGTACATCTCTCTGCACAAAACCGCTGTAAGCTAACTAGGCATTCTTAGGAAGACAATTTCCTCGAGAATCTCGTGTCATCTCGGCTGCTCCCTCCTTAGATCTCCAGAAAGGACTTGACCACTGCATCCACAGACTCGAAGAGACAGTGCAGAGCATCGACGAAACGTCATCCGCTTTGCTCGCTAGAATTCCGGAAAAATGCACCCATTTATCCAGTTGCCAAGCTGCCTGTCAGAAAGATGTTCTCGAACAGACGCTCAAGCTTGTCATAAATTGCAAGTCCATGTGTAGGGGCATTGTAACGTGGAGGTACGGACCCAACATGATCACTTCTGTTTTGTGCCATTGACTAAACCACTCCATAGCATACAGACACCCCGATATGGGCTTGCAAAGCTTCCTCGACATGAGGATTCCTCCTTGACATTTGTAGTCGATACTATCAAGGTCTAAGGACTGAATCGGTACGTCATTTCTATAGTCTAAATTGTGTCATTTTGGCCATTGTTACCCAGATTGTTTTTTGGCATGCAAAATAATTGTGCGGAATCTGAATTTAAGAGAATTTCCAATCAGACCACTGTAGCAAGAAAGTAGCAAGGTACGGAGTACATTAGAGTAGTCTTGTCTAAGAGGCCGTGTTGAAGCTCGATCACCGACTCAGCTTGGGTGACCTGGGCGTCTTGGAGACATGAATCTAGACCGTCCACGGCGAAGATCGTAAGCTACTACCACTCCGGCGCCTTTGCCACCCCGACGGACCAGCGGAGCATGGACTGTGCTGTGCGGACGACATATATACCTGAGCATTATAACGACCGGATTCACTGAGCTCGGTACTGATAACGGACATCTTGCTACTATATACAAGCTCATACGTCGTACTCTGTACTCGTTCTTTTGGTGTCCTCCACTCACACCCCTGCATGCATGGGTGTATGAAGCGCAAAGATATTGATTGAGGGTATGCCTTTCTCCAAGCAGCCATCTATTTGGCTGTTTCAATCTACTAAGTGTACATTTTAAACTTTTACGGTGACGTCATTGCCGCCATCCTTCTACCTCCTTGCATCAAAAGAGCGTCCATAATACAGATCGAAGCCATGGCCTCCACGATCGGAACGGCGCCTATAAACGGTTAGCAAAGTCCATTTAGTCGTTGATATTCGGTTACGTACGTGGAACAACGCAGGGATCATGGCGCCCTTTGGCTTCTAGAACCCCGTCACTTTCGCCTTCAAAAGTGACCGTCTCTTGAGGCAGTCCAATCGTTGCAGGCGGCTTGAAAGCGACACGGAAAAAGACGTTCGCACCGTTGCTGATTCCTCCCTGAATACCTCCGCTGTTGTTCGTTGAAGTTGTGAGCTTTGGCTTCGCAAATCCATGCTTGGAGTCCGAACCGGTATCGGGGTTGCGAATAAACATGTCATTATGGGCAGACCCAGGAATTTCGGTTCCCTCGAATCCAGAGCCGATTTCAAATCCCTTTGTCGCTGGGATGCTGAGCATTCCGTGAGCAAGAGTCGCCTCTAGCTTAGAAAACACCGGTTCGCCGAGGCCGGTGGGAAGATTTCGAATGACACACGTAACCGTGCCGCCGATACTGTCCTGGCGGTCTCGAAAGTCGGTGATGCACTGCTCCATTTTGGCAGCCACTTCCGGGTCTGGACACCGGACTGTCGTCTTGTCGACGGTTTCCCGTGTAACCTCCTGAAGCAATTGGAGAAACTCCGGGTTGTGAGAAGTGTGAGGATACTCCGTTGTTGGCGGGATGTGATAAATGCTCCCGACAGATGAAACCCAAGCAACAATCTCAATCCCGTGGGCGAGTTTGAGGTAGTGCTCACAAAGAGCGCCTGCCGCCACACGGCCGATTGTTTCTCTCGCACTCGAACGGCCGCCACCTGACGATGCACGAACACCGTACTTCTCTAGGTAGGTGAAGTCGGCATGACTGGGGCGAGGGTACTGCTTCATGGTGTTGCCCTTGTAGTCCGAGGGGCGGAAGTCCTGGTTCTTGACGACCATAGCTATCGGGGTCCCGAGTGTGACTCCTCCTTCCACCCCCGACTGAATTGACACAAGGTCGGCCTCATTTCGAGGCGTCGTGATGGAGCTTTGACCGGGGCGACGGCGAGAGATCTGACATTTTGAGTTACAAAGTTCCGAATAGCGTCATGTTGGTTCTATATACTACTAACCTGGGGCTGAAGTACCGCTTCTGAGACCGGGACTCCAGGAGGAAAATTGTCGACAATACATCCAACGCTGGGACAATGACTACGGAAATTAGCGGCCAGCACTATTCTAGCCCGAAGTAGATGCTTACCTCTCGCCGTATGTCGTTACACGCAGGAATTGCCCAAAGGTCGACATCGTGGGCTATTGTCGAAGACGTAGGTTACAGGAAAACGGTTATGTTGCCAGATCTGTTACTGTGAATTGGAACCAACCATCAATTGCTGCAGTCACGCATCAAGGTGGGGTAGGCTGTGTGGCGTGTTCTGAGTCACATGTGAGTCACATATGTGGACAACCGTATCTGCTACTTCTAGAAGGAAGAAAGCATGAGCACGTGATAGGCTGTGGGAGGGCTTGACACCCTACACCACATGACCTGGGCCCAGCTAGAAGCCGACAGTGGTAAATCCGTAAGCCCCGAGAGTCAAGAGACGGGTACCCACTATTCTGGGTTCGTTAGTGTCACAACTTAGCTAATGACAGGGGAAGGGGAAGGCACTGTATGGGTCTGCCTGCATGAAGGTGGTGATCTGCGTGTTGTACTAGGGAAGAAAAAGCTACATTACACTGATTCTGTGGCGCAGAGATTTCACTGGGGCTATTCACCACTTTTCTCTATTCTGGCCAATCAGAACGCGCAGGGCCAACCCTAGCCGGAAAACACACAGTGTGCTCCATTCCCGCACTCAACACTCCCCCTGAATGGGCGCACTTGTTATAGACCGAGTATCCTCTCGGTCTGCCCAAGGCGTCACAAGGTAAAGCCAAAAGCTTCACGGGTGAAGCACGAAACAAAATAACCACGAGGCTCTGAATAGCCTCCCAAAAAGGGAGCTCTCAAGGCTCCCAGCCCATCAGGCGAGGCAACAGACGTTCAAACGTCGTCTTCGGTGTAGCCTTCGTCATGACATCGGCGATTTGATCCTCTGACGGCACGTACTTCACCGTCAGTAAACCTCCCAATGCGCACTCTCTGAAATAGTGCCATTTGACGTCGAAATGCTTGGAGCGCTCGCGAAATTCGGGCTTCTTGGTAAGGCTGATCGCGGAGCTGTTGTCAACAAACATCGTGATGTCGGCGATAAGGTCTAATTCGTCAAGGAACTGCTCGATCCACTTGGCTTGGGTCGTCGCGAAGTACGCAGCGCCGTACTCAGCTTCACAGGTGGAAGTGCTGACGGTCGGTAGCTTCTTGGCGCACCACGAAACAGGGCCGCCAGCGATTCTAAACACGAAGCCGTAGGTAGAGTGGCGATCAACAGGGTCATCTGCCCAGGAGGCATCGACCCAGCAGTCGACGGTGACGTGCCCCTTTAGGGCTTCCTTTTGTCGCTTGAAAACAATGGTGAACTCCTCCTTCCCGCGAATGTACCGCAGCACGCGCTTAATCGACCTAGCGTAAGACTCCCGCGGTGCCTTCATAACTTTCGAGTGCTGGTGAACAGCGAAGGCAACGTCAGGTCTGGTCATCACGCAAGCGTAGATAAGCTTGCCGTTGACGTGCTGGTAGTGGTAAAGGTTAGTCAGAGGCTAGTCTTCGTCGGGTCTCACCATGTCGGTAATCGGAGTTGCCACCGCATAAGCTTCACTCATGCCTTCTAATTCGAGCAAATCACTAAGGTAGGAGTTCTGGGAGAGACTGATTTGCGTGCCGTTGGTGATCGTGGTGACACCGATTTCAACTCCCAGTAGCCATTCGGGGGTGGCCGTCATCTCCATCTCTAGCAACTGCTTCATTTCGAGTTCGAACTTGGCCAGCGCTGGGTCTTCTCCTGCGTACAGGGCGTCGTCAACATAGGTTACGACGGTGACTCCGTTGCCGCGATAAGTCGCTGGATCAGTCAAAAGGGGCTGCAGGCCGACTTTGGCCATCATCTCGCGCAGCTTCTTCTGCCACTGGTGACCTGCCTGCTTAAAACCGTAGAGAGCTCGCTAAAGCCAAATAACTCTGTTGGATGCCCAGCCAAGGCGGCGGGCGACGTCCGGTCGAGCCTCAAAGTATTCGCGAAACAACTCCCCCTGCTCCATAAAAACGTCCTCCTCTAGCAGACCGTAAAGGTACGCGGCGACGATGTTGAATTGGCGTATTGTCTAGCCAAACTGGGCTGACAACGCTACCAGCATGCGCTATGAATCTGCTTGGAAGGTTAAAGCGAAGGTATCGTTGTAATCCACTCTTTGTCTCTGCTAGAAGCCTCTGGCTACTAGCCTTGCCTTCTTTTTAATCTCCTCTCTGTTTATCCCCCTCTTTTGCTGAAGCACCCATCTGCTTGTGATGGTCTTCTGGTCTTGTGGACGGTTTACGAATTTGAAGACGTCCCTTTCAATCAGGTTGTCAAGTTCTTTATACATAGCCTCCCGCCAGAGACGTGAATTGGGGCCTGACAAGGCGTTATGAACAGAGGGTTTGTTGGGGTCTTCCGGCTTCTTGGTTTGATGCGCGCCGGGGAGGGTAACGGAGGAAGGTTTTGTCGTAGCAATATCGTCGTGGACTTCGAACGGGGTGCGTTCGTCTTGCGTTAGGATCGCGCATGCCATGCTCGAGGGCATGACTTCGCTCGGTTCCCATGGCACAGATGAGATGCACGAAGTTTGCCGAAATGGCTCGTCGAAATCCTCCAGATCGAAGGTATTTTCAGGGTCGTCAGGGAGCTCACCATACTCCCCCTCGACGTCGACGTCGGGTACTGGGACGATGACGTCGTACTCCAGCTCCGTCTCGTCGACCGTGATCTTTTTGCTGCGTCTCTAGACTCCCTTGGGCCATGATTTGATCAAGTCAGCATCGTCTACCATGTCCTCGAAGATGTGCACGTCCTTCGTGACGGTCACCTTCTGTCTGTCAATAAGCCAGACTCGGTACAGGTGCGTGCCTTCAAAACCTAGAAGCATGCCCTCTTCACCCCTTGCATCCAGCTTGCTGATGCCCTTCTGCTGAATCACCTGGTCTGGTATTCTGACGACTACCCTGCAGCCGACGGTGCGAAGATGAGAGACGTCGAGGACGAAGTCCTTTCGGCCGCTGTTGTAATGCTATTTGACGATAGGAACTTCTCCTCGACTGTTGGCCATATAATTGTGAATATAGGCCGCTAATTTGCTAATTTCAGGCCATAAGGCCAACGGGATTCTGCCTTGAAGATGCAGAAGTCTAGTGCGAATAACGATCTTTTTGACGGCTTTTTTTGCTCCTCCGTTTTCGGCTGCGTTGTATACTAGGCTTAGGATTAGCCTAATACCTCTAGGGGCGCAGTACCGTTCGAAGAAGGTAATGGAGATGTCTATGCCGTTGTCTAGATGAATTCGTAAGGGTAAATACCTTAATTCATTTGCGTTGCGTTCGATCACTGCCTTGATCGCGGCTGGTGCGTCTAACTTCTTCTTGTGCGTTAGTACCTCTAGCACTCTGGTAAATTCATCCTTGATTGCTGAAAAGTATCGCGTGCCGTCGAAAGCAGTGTGCTTGAAGGTGCCAAGGTCGATGTGGTACGCCTCTCCTAGCTTGGAGGCGCGAATCCCTCGCAGGTCCTTCGGCTTGAAGTGCTTAGCTTTGGCCCGCTCGCACGAGGTGCACGTCGGGTCAGTGTTTTCGGTGATGTGCTCTGGGAGCACCAGGCCTCCCTCGGCCTGCTTCATTGTCTCTTTAAGCGCCCTCCAGGACGGATGACCCAGTCTCTGGTGTATCAGGCGCAGTCTCTGGCGCTCGCTCAAAGACTGCGCGAAGCTTTTGGGTCGCCTGCGTCTGGGTTGCTCTCGGTCGGAGTCGAAAACGCGCTTGCCACGCTCACTGATGAATTCTCCCCCTGCGTGGGAGCTGCGTCGAATGGCTTCGTTTGGTGAATAGGGAGGCGAAAGCCTCGTGCACGAACATCGAGCTTGGCTATCAGCTGCTTTTTGGTACAGTACAGCTTTGGTCCCACCAGGAAATTGCCTTTGAGGTAAAACTGGAGGCCAGAAAAGATGTTGATAGGGAAGGAAGGAACAAAATAAACCTTCCCCAGCGTCACCTCGTGCTCTCCACCGTCTGGTTTGGCCAGACTCAGTGCCACCTGGCCGACGTGCAACGCGGCCACTAGGCCGCCGCCTATGATGAATCGTACTTGACTGGGTTGCAGGGTGCTAGGTACGAACTAGCTTGCATCGTTCGCCACGTGCATATCCCCACCGGTATCGAAGAGCTAGTCGTTCACCTTCTGGCCGTGGAAGAGGCCGTGAAACCCGACTTTGCCCACGATGGGCCAGGTGTTAGGGTCGGCCGTGATGCCTACACTGCGCGAAGTCTTCGCAGGCTTAATCTCTTCGTCGGTCTCGTCGTCTGTCAAGTCGAAGTCGCTAAGCGAAACGTCGTCATTGATCGTAATGCCTTGATCTGCATCAGGAGGGTTTTCGACGTAGAACATGCTCAACGAGCTTGTCTTTTTACCCTGATCTTTGGCTTCGACGTGGTGACTGTCAGAGGAGGGTCGGAGTTCTGGATGCTTTTTCCAGCAACGATCGACAGTATAACCCGTACGGTCACAGTAAGTGCATTTTAGAGTAAAGGCTGCCTTGCGCGCGCCCTGCTCCTTGTTTTTGTCACTGTCTTTTGTCTTCTCGTCTCCCTTATGACCCCCCGACCTGTCCTTGTTCTTGTCCTTGCCACCATCTTTGTGCTTGCTGACGGGGTTAACAGCCCTGTCCTTGCATCTTGTGGTAACGAAAAGCTTGGTGGCTTCGTAGACTTCGTCGCTGCCAAGCTTGGCGATCTTTAATCTCCACTAATCCATGATTTCTGCGTTTAACGCAGGGATACGCTTGCAAACGGCGCTTACCAAACAAAGAGCCTTGAGTTTGCCTAAAAGGGCGTCTGCGTAGGTCTCGTACCCACGGAAAACCTCTTCCATACGCTCAAACCACTCCTCGATCTTCTCGGTATCGCGCCATCGCAGGGTGTGCAGTTTGTGACTGAATTCGACTGCCAAATCCTCCGTGTGCGGTCGAAGGAGACGCTCCAGCTCTTGGTATCGCTCGAGGACTGAGTCCCCTTTGATCTGGCCTTAGAGCAACGTGCTGACTTGCATTTCTAGGGCGTATTTAATTTCGCCCTGCGCGTCATCCGTTAGATCGACGACGTCTTCAATTCGGGTTAATTTAATCAGGCCCAGCCCTCTCTTGAGAGCCTTGTCCTAGTCATCCCATTCCTCCGCCTTGGTCAGCTTGGGCACCTGCTTTGAACAGTGCTTGAAGAAGAGGTTCAAAGCCCTCTCTGACACGTTGATGCCTGCCATGCTGTTGACAGAAGTGCGTTTAGAACTAACGCGGGGAGTTTGTGGTCGTGACTCTGAACGAGATTGCTGAGGTTGCTGCTGAGGAGATTGCTTCTCAGATTAAAGCTCACTTTCGTGATCAGAAAAAATATTGAAAGATCGATCAGGTTTTTCACTGGGAGGCAGACTTTGTGCCCTGAACAGGCGTCTGACTGGCGTTCTTGAACGTGATAGACGTTCTCCCGAAGGTAGCACCACCGTTGTCGCTCTTGACGTTCCCGAAACCTGATCAAAATCGAAATGATCGTCTCTGGGGTCACCTTGATGAGGAAGATGCAGCTTCTCCAGGCCCTCAGTGACCTGCTCTGCTGAACCTCGATGAGAACGAGCTTGAAGCTCTGAAAAGATGCTGGATTGCCTTTCTGATTCGACAATCAGCTGCCTCCGATTTGGTGGTCTTGAAGAAGGTCTCTCCCAATATGGAAGCATGGAAAAAGAAGAAGATGCTGGATGCCAGCACCTAAAGTGAAGTATTATGGCCCCACGAAGCCCAGAATCAACCAAATGTCGGTTGGGAGACGCCGCGCGATGCTGACGATCTCTGAAATGATGCCCTAAGGCGAAAAATGAAGCCCGAAGGCTGAAAAGAGGTGCCCTGGGGCGAAAATTATCGTGAGATGACGCAAATCGCCGTGACAGACCCGGATACAAGACCCGGGCTCATAACCTGTCACAACTTAGCTAATGACAGGGGAAGGGGAAGGCACTGTATGGGTCTGCCTGCATGAAGGTGGTGATCTGCGTGTTGTACTAGGGAAGAAAAAGCTACATTACACTGATTCTGTGGCGCAGAGATTTCACTGGGGCTATTCACCACTTTTCTCTATTCTGGCCAATCAGAACGCGCAGGGCCAACCCTAGCCGGAAAACGCACAGTGTGCTCCATTCCCGCACTCAACAGTTAGCTATACGGGGTACTACTCCATACGACGTACTATGTAGCTAGCTCATCATTACATCACTCCATCCTTGTTTATTTCGTGTGTATTACTCGCGCTTTCCCCTCAGGTCACAGAAGCATGAAATTACGTCTATTACGCAAGTTAGTTTCCAATTGCCTTTAGAACCATGGGAAACGCCGTAAGCCAAGCTTTCCCGCCGACCCCGAAGTTCACGGAGGCAAACGTGGAAGATCTTTCAGGAAAGGCAAGTCATGCCGTTATCACACGGCTTTTGCGTTGGCTAACATGTGCAGGTCTATGTTGTGACTGGGGCAAACACTGGGCTGGGGAAAGAGGTCTCCCAGATCCTCTACTCCAAGAACGCAAAGGTCTATTTAGCTGCGCGATCTGAGGAAAAAGCCAAAGATGCGATTGCGGCCATACAAGCGGCAGCCCCGGACTCCAAAGGTGATCTCGTGTACCTTCACCTGGACCTTGCAGACTTGACCACGATAAAGGCGTCGGCGAACGAATTCCTGTCTAAAGAGGCAAAGCTTCACGTTCTGTTCAACAATGCTGGCGTCATGACGCCACCCCAAGGCTCCAAGACCGCCCAGGGATACGAAATGCAGCTGGGCACGAACAATCTAGGGCACTTTCTGTTCACGAAGTTGCTGACACCGACGCTGGTGACCACCGCAAAGACCGAGCCTGCTAACACCGTCCGTGTTGTCTGGGTCTCCTCATCGGCGGCCGAACTGGGAAGCCACAATCCGGGCGGCGTGGACATGAGCAATTTGGACTACCATGACGACAAGGGTGCGATCCTCAAGTACGGCATCAGCAAGGCGGGCAACTTCTTGCAAGCTACCGAGCTCGCCCGCCGCTACGGCAGCGACGGTGTCGTCAGCGTGGCGCTCAACCCCGGCAACCTTGGCACGGATCTGAGCCGCCATGTTGGCATCCTGCAGATGGCCGTAATTAAGCTGCTTGTCCACCCTCCGATCCTAGGGGCGTACACGGAGCTGTTCGCAGCATTCTCGCCAGAGGTCACAGTCGACAGCGTAAAGAAGGACAACTGGGGTAAGTCGGGAAGAAGCGTGGCCAGACACGATGTAAAAGCCAGACTAACAGTGACACAGTCGTGCCGTGGGGTCGTTTCGCGCCTATGCGAGAGGACATCGATGCGGCCTCAAGGCCTACGAGCGAGGGCGGAACCGGCTTGGCTGAGAAATGGTGGCAGTGGAACGAGGAGCAAGTCAAGCCTTACGTGTAAAGTTTTACGTGCATGTCAGACCGTAAGGACGCAAAGGACAATTTAGGGATATTTTCGTTATAGGTAGACATTTGGTTGTATCGTAAACGGTTTACAACGTCTTAACGAGCCTTGATAAGAAAGCCGATAGTAGCCATAACGGCTCTGAAGTTAGTAATTGGGCAGTCTGGTCGAAATGAAGTTGGCATACAGACAAGGCGTCTCCATCGGTGCCCTATCTTCGGCCATGTGGAGTCGAGCGGTATGTTATCGTCGGAAGTATGCAGCTAGTCCGATCCGGATGCCGCCACTTGGCTGATATAGGAAATAAACGCAAACGCCAGCACCGGCGACGGCTGTCTGCTACGCTTATCGGTCTTGGGTCGGCTGGCTTCACGCTTCAATATCTTGGGGTCTCCGTCACGCTTGACAGTGACTGACACCCTCTTTGTTGGACTGCTCGGTTATATAGCCATTTCCGACCCATTTCCGTGCCCTTATTGTTCATCGTTGGCTATCTCCGATTGACAAGAAAACATGGGAGGAGGCTCAGGTGCGAGTAAGCCACGCTTCGGCTTCCCCAAGGCGACTGGCTCGTCTATGTCATACTGGCTTCTCAGTGCCCAGGGTGACCAGCTTCTTGACTACCGAACGACGGACACTCTGCCGGAGACAGCGGATATTGTCATTATTGGTTCGGGTGTAGGCTTTCCGGTCCCACCGGGCAAAGCTTACCGACTTTTTTGCTGACACAATACATTTAGATGACAGGAACGCTTACGGCAAAACACTGTCTGGACACCTGGCCGAACAAGAAGATCGTCGTGCTCGAGGCCCGGAAATTCTGCTCTGGTGCCACCGGCCGTAACGCTGGACATTGCAAGCCGGACAGATGGCGGGGCTTCCGTGATTACGAGGAGCGATTTGGGAAAGACGAGGCCCTAAAGGTGAGTCCGCTAGCCTCGGTTTGGGACGCGTTCTAACGGGCAGCAGATCCTCGACAATGAACACCGCACCTGGTCTGCCCTGGTGGACTACGCCCGCACCAACCAGGTCGACTGTGATCTCTGGGTTGGCGACACGCTGGACGTCCCAACGACCGCAGAGGATGCCCGCCAGGCCAAGCAGTGCTTTGATGTCTACCGGGCTGCCGGTGGGTCGGCGGACCTCGTCAAGGTCATCGACGATCCCCAAGAGGCTGTGTCGGTCACCCGCATCGCCTCTGCTCTGGCCTGCTACGCCTATCCGGTGTCGACGCTGAATCCCTGGAAGCTGACTGCACACGTGATGCGGGCCAACCTCGAGCGAGGCGTCCATCTGCAGACGCATACGCCCGTCGTCTGTGTCCGGGCTGCACACGGCTCCTCTGCCTCGGAAGCACGCTGGATCGTGGACACGCCGCGCGGCAGCATCGCCTGTCCGACCGTGGTCCACGCCACCAACGGGTATAGCTCTGCCCTGGAGCCATCGTTGCGCGGCCTGATCACGCCGCAGCCGCACATGTGCGACAAGGTCGTGGCGCCAGCACCGACATTCCAGGGCTCGCATCGGCTGGACCACTCGTACAGCGTCCTCGTCGGCGGCGATGGCGGCTTTTTCAGCATCAACCCGCGACGGTCCATCCCCGACGGCGGCCCGGAGGAAACGGTGGTGCTGTTCGGTGGCGACAACCCCGGCCAGGCGGCACTGCAGGCCTGGCTTGACGCGAATCCGGAGCACTGCGTGGACGACAGCCTGCTGGGCTTTCCAGCGGTCTCGGCCGCCGTGCGTGCGTTTGCCGAGTCGCAGTTTCAAGGCTGGACAGACGGCGCACGTCCGGCCAAGTATGACCGCAGCTGGAGCGGCATCATGGGTGTCACCGCCGACGGAATGCCGTTTGTGGGAGAGCTCCCGGGCCTTCCGGGCCAATGGATCTGTGCCGGCCACAACGGACAGTAGGTGCCCTTTCTGTGTACTACCGATCTTGCATACCCCAACACGATGTGCTGACAACGTCCAGCGGCATGGCCTGCATCTTCACGGCGGCACCAGGCCTCGTCGAGCTCATGGCTGGTCGGTCCTGGGCCGAGACACAGCTGCCGGCCCCCTTTCAGATCACGACCGCACGACTATCGCATTTGGCACAGGAGTTTGCGGCAGGCAGGGCATTTCCTGTTCTGTAGTCATCGTGCCCTGGTTCTTTCTTCACTGAGTGATATATATAGTCAAAGAGAGGCATATTATTAACTTATTTATTCGTTGTAACGTCGCTGATCAAGGGCTTCATCCCCAAGAACGAACACACCTGACAGAGGAGGCAGGGTTGTCATGGGCAGGTTTACCCCCTCCTCTGGTCTATCTAGGTGAATTTTTCGGTGCTTCTAACGCCCTCCAGGTGACGCAGTACTCGCCGTGTTCCTATGGCCCTGAAAGAGAGACATAAAAGGCGAGGAAAGAACTGCTCCGCAACGGGAACGTTGAGCGAGACCTGTCACGTGCCACCAGCCGCTTCTCTTGTATGATGACTAATCATACACTCAACACGCTGGATAAAATTATGGGTCTACACGAGATGAACATATCATCTTCAGGAGTACTTTGTTACTGTGCAATTCATCCCTACCACGATGCCGTCTCCCGGGCGCGTAACACCATTCCACGTTGAGCTAGGAACGCCAGAGGATCGAATAAAGAGGCTGAAAAAGGAAATAGAGGAGCTGAGACGCGTCAAAGATGAGGAAAGCCGGGCCAGAGAGGAGGAACGCCGGGCCAAAGAGGAGCTACAACAGAGAATAGCGCCGTTGCCGTTTCTAGGCTTTTTCCAACACATGGAAGAAGCTGTCTTCTCGACGTTTCTGGTAGAACCCGACCGGTCTAAAGTGGCATCGAGAAGCACCACAGATGTCAGTGGGAAGATGTATCCGCGTTCGCTGCGGCCTTGGGACGACTTTCCGGCGAAGCACACAGAAGCTTTTCACAGCGTCTAGATCAGCCTTGGCGAGCAGGCTCTATTTACGAGCCCTTTTGAGATCGAATCGATTCGCAAAAGCGTGATTCCTAGAACGGGCATTGCCGACGAACAGGGCCTTCGTCCGTTCATTCACACTGCTATTGAGGCGCCTGCTACTGCCATTCTGAAAGCCCACTTCAAGATTCTGCAGCCCGACAAGGACCTGATGATCGAGTTTATGAGCAGTGCCTATGGCCGATTACCGCAGAGCGAACCGCCTTCGAAAAAGGCTTCGCCGGTAAAGGACGTGATGCCCAACCGATGGGCATTTCTGGTTGATGCTGACCCTTCCAACGACCTCACTACCGCCATCCTCGTGGGTGAATACAAAGCTCCTCACAAGCTCAAAGCAGCGACATTGCACAACGTAATGTCCAGAAGGCCAGGGGACACATTCTTCCCCCAGGCGATCCGAACGAAGCTACCAGAAGAGCAGTTGGCCCCGGCAGAACAGCCCACAAGGACCGGAAGCAATGCCAGTAGCTACAGGGTGCCGGGTCATGTGTTGGTTGCTCAAGTACTTTGCCAGGCGTACCACTACATCATTGGCTCGGGCTGTGAGTATGGCTACGTGTCGTCGGGGGACAGTCTTGTGTTTCTGCGTGTCCTGGCCGATGCACCGGAGACGCTGTACTACCACTCGGTTCGGTTTTCTGTCCCCCCGATCTTGAAACCGGACGAGCGCCGCCGACAGAATGCTGGTCTCCGATCTGGCTCCGAAACAGCGGTGGCACATATCGTCAGCCTGTGTCTATGGGCCGCCGAGACAACGCCGCGGCCGCTGGGCTGGATCGATACTGTCAGGAAAAACGCGCCACGCTGGCCGGCCAGCAAGGTCAAAACTGACAGCTCGCAACCAAGACCTTTTGGAAGTCCAGACGATAAAGGCAGTGGGGGCGGTGGTGGTGGTGGCGATACGGATGAAGCTGGTCCTCGCGATCCACCACGGCTACCCTTGCCGTCTGGTCCCCTGAAGCGCGGACGCTCGCCGACGCGACGGGAACCACCCAGCGGGGGCGGAATGACGGCCTTGGCAGCAGCGCCATCTAAGCCATACGGTTCCTTTGTCGAGGAACCGCCCAGATTGCCGTACTGCACACAGGCCTGTCTGCGCGGCCTTACGCACGGGCTGCCCCTGGATAGCAGCTGCCCCAACGTGGCACTGCACCGGAAAGCGCACAGACACGGCAGCAAGGCGATGCGGAGGCGCTCGCTGTCTATGGACGGCCACCCGTTGACGGCAGCCTCGTTGGCCTCGCTCGTGGTGGCTCAGATAGCCGCCAACGTGGACAAGGACTGCGAGTGTCTGGACAAGAGAGGCATGTACGGCCGCTTCGGGGTTCTCTTCAAGATCGCCGCGACCGGGTACGGCTACACGTTTGTGGGCAAGAGTGTGGAAGCGGCCGACTACGAAGTCCTGGAGCGGGAAGCCCATGTGTACAATGCCGTTCCCGATCTGCAGGGTCGTCTCATCCCCGTCTTCCTGGGCGTGGTCGAGCTGGCTCGGCCCATTCCGCTGCGCACCTTTATTGACGTGTCGCATATGCTGCTCATGTCGTATGCTGGCCCTAGTCTCTACGCGAGACATCTCCTGCCCCGGAACGTGGACATGGATGCAGAGGCAGACCGCTCAATGCGAGAGCTCGAGATTGCCGGGGTCTACAACGATGATAGGCGCGATTGCAACCTTGCCTGGAACGAGGAGGTGCGCCGTGTCATGCATCTTGATTTCGACCGGGCCTGGCTTCATTCCCCCCCCAAGCCCACGCCTCCTTCGCCGCTGCTGGTGAAGACAGAATGGACCGCCGAGTTTGGTGATGACGATAGTGACAGCCGCGCGATGAAGCGCACGCGAACAACGGACGCAGACACGTAAAAGAGCATGCCGTAAGTTGATGTCAGTAAGAGCATTCCTTGGCCTCCATATACTTGATACGACCATAATCGCCATACAACACATAATAAGGTTTGTAATTTGTATAACTTCCTCCTGTCCATAGCCTTCCGTACATCCGTTCTTGCTTGAGCAATGTCTAGTCTGTTTCTATTCTAACCTATCCATTCTGTTTATCATCTCTTCATGCGATTTCCGATATTATGCAATGCCAACTTCTTGTGTCCCTGGCGCAAAATGGCCTGTTCTACGTCTATACTTTTAATTCCGTCCAACTGCCACAAGCTTCGCCACTTCCAGTCTACTCTTCCTCTTCCTCTTCTGCTAGCCCCTCATCCTCTGTCTCTTCCTCCTCGTCCGTCACCCAAAACGCCTGCACGGCGCCGCCCATCGCCACCAAAGCCAGGAACCACCAGCCCAGCGCATCTGACCCCATGCTGTCGCCCCAGCCAATCACGACGCCCAAGATGGCCGGTCCGATCGCACGGGCACCAGCTGCCGCTGTCTGCGCAACGCCGTTGACGAGACCCAGCGAGCCCGGCCAGGGTGCCGCCACCGTCAACAGGACAGCATTGCCGTTGAAGGCGAAGACGGCCGCCAGCGTCTTCATAGCTATTACTGCGGAAACACCTGCTAGCCGCACCCAGTGCGGCGCCTCTGGCAGTACGACCAGGTATGGCAGAAACACGTACACCAGCGGGAAGAGCACCATGCTGGCGCGCATGCAGAGAAGCGTGCCGTAGTGCTTGTCGACGGGAGTGAAGAGCACGACCATGAAAAAGATGGACAGAATACCGGAAGCGGCGATGAGGTTGGCCACGAGGGGCGCGTTGTAGCCGAGACCGCCACGCAGACCGAATGGAAGGCTGCTGCTCGGGTTTGGTCCGGTGGAGAGGAAGACGGGGAAGACCTGGTCGAAGCAGAACGAGTGCAGCGCCAAGCAGGCGTAGCTGACAACAATATGGCGCACCTGCGGGGACAGCAACACAGACAGCTTCGAGTGCGACGGGCCAGCCGTCTTCCAAGTCTCCAATGCGCTGTCGCTGTCCGGTCGAAGCAGAGGGCTCTGCTCGCTGGTGGGAGCACTGGGCTTGAGGACATTTTGTGGGAGAGTCTGGGATAAGCCTGCGTGAGCAACTGGCAGAGAAGGAACGTCATTGCTTGAGAAAACCTACCTCGTTCAGGAAAAAAAAGGCCGTAAAGAAGGACGTGGCGATCATGACTGCGATCACTAGGTTCGGCAGAGCATACGGATGCGAGGCCAGCCAAGCGAACCGGCCACCCCGACAGAGAGCCGGCACCTGAGTGCACGGCTCCACCAGATAGCCGCCGATGATGGGTCCGATCACCTGGCCGATCTGGTATGCGGTCTGGTTCCAGGCAAAAGCCCTTGCTGCCATCATTAGCCTCTGGGTGTGTCCGGTTGCGAGGATGTGACCGATTTTCGTGCCGTACCTTTGTTCTGACGGTCCCGGACAATGTCGCCGATGATGGCCCGGGTGATGACAACATTGCCGCTCAGAAGACCGGCTACCAGGCGGAAGACAAACAGGGCAGGTATCGACGTGCTGAGACCGAAGCCGAGCGTGCCGACAAAGACGCCCACCAGGCCGAAGAGCATGGTCGGCCGACGGCCGACGCGGTCGCTAAGACGACCCCATGCGATGTTGGTGCCGAATTGGGCAAAGGCATAGACGGAGAAGAGCAGGGTGACACGCTTCGTGGCCTCAATATCGCTCAGCGCCGGCGCAAGGAACTTGACCATGGGAAACAAATACGGCACAATGGAGTTCACCGCCAGCGGCTCCACAAGGCGAACGGCCACTGTTCCCCGAACTTGGTGTCAGCAGGCCATACGGCTTCGAGATCGAACGGCGGAGTCTTACGCAGAATGCTTAGCTGCTTCACCGGGAAGGCTTCTTTCTTGGCAGCTGCTGTGGTCTCCATCGCGGTCGGTTGGCAGCGTGGTCCAGTTGTGAAGGTTGGACATGAGTAGTTTTGGTTAGGGCCGTTGTTATCTTTTTCTGTTTCCGTTATCACTTCGCTTTAGCGGGTCCGCGAAACGATGCCATACCCGAATGGCGGAAGTCAAATTGGGATCGAGATATAGTACATATTTTGTGCCTTCACACTAAACAGTACTCAACCTGCTTTGGGCGTTTAATTTGCATTGCGGAGTATAAAGTGCTCTCGTTACATAATAAGCGCCATGTAAGCAAGTGTACTACTAGGTACCCCCAAGACATGCCGACGTGCGTAAAAATTCCTATAAGGCGGCTGAAGACATCCTGCGTCACACAGTATAAGTATCATCATTGCACAACGGCGCCCTCCGACGTCGTTTACAGTGCGAAAAGTAACGCTGTTCAAAGTAAGTAGCATTCTGGATAACTAAGAACCTTACTTTAGTAATAAGCTACACTCCGTCTATTCTTATTTTATCTCATTTCTAATTCTTTTTATTCTCATTTAATCTTGTATTCATTCAATCCTAACCTATTTCATCCTAATTATCCTGATTATTCAATACTCTCTCTAGTAAACATTCAGAAATGTATTGGATCAACCCCTTGCGATCCTTGCCTCCCCTCTTAGATCATCCCTCACTATCCACTTTGTCTTTGCCACTGTCCTCAGCCCTGACTGATGATACATTTGCTGCTTCAGAGCTTCATCTCAGGCTAAATGGTTTCGAAAAACGCCACTACAGAGCTTCACAGATACTGCGTGCGTTCTACGATCACCTAGAGCATGACGGGAAGCGTGTGTTGGCTGCCGATATTCGGCGATATAAAGAGGACGACACACAGCTGCTGCTTTTGGCAACCTACCTACTGGATGCTATCCTGAAGCCGTGTATGTGTGTATTCGACAGACCGTCTAGTACATCCTTCTAAGTTTTAATTAAAGTCAAACTTGCAGGTTGTGGACCCAGATACACTCCGTCTCTGCTTGCTGAGGATGCGGATGACGCCATTGTTTCGGGCATGACTACAATAGAGTCAACATCAGAATACGAGCAGGAAAACCTCAAGCGCGACTGTCTACGGCGAGACGGGCATCGCTGCGTATTCACGGGCCGCATTGATATGCACAGCTATGAACGGGCTGCGCTAGAAATACCACCCAATCCAAAAGTCGACATCACCCAGTGCGCACATATCATTCCCTTCGCACTGGGTGATTTCGACGGGTCTGATGCAACACAGACACGCAACAAAGCGATCATCTGGTGTGCCCTATATCGCTATTTCCCAGCCCCGCAAGACAAATTCGAACCAGCCAGCATCAACCAACGCGCGAACGCTGTCACGCTTACACTCTCTGCCCGTGCTTCTTTTGACGATTTTGGCATTGTGCTCTGGCCGTGTGGCATAGTACGTGCCTTCCTTTATGTGTGCAGCTTTTCTGTAGCATATTTCTGTACTAATTATCGTTTAACATTAAGAACAAGTACAAGGCGACTTGTTCCGAAGCCGTGATGCACAGCTCGACTACCCCCAAAGGCGGGTCACTTGTGATCACGCTTGACAGTCATGACGACAATGTCCCCATGCCAGACCCTGAATTTTTCAAGGTTCATTATATAGTTGCCCAGATCCTTCAAGTGAGTGGAATTGGGCAAGAGATGGAGGCTGATACCGGGATGTAAATAATCGGTTGAAAAGGTTTGGAAGGGCGGGAAGTAACGATGCCGATGAAAACCAGTCGAATTGAAATTAATAATTTTATTTTCGTCAAGTTTCAACTGATCGAATACGCACGGCGTAGTGCAAAATGCTTTTCGACTGAGAAAATAATGAGTCGGAAATTTGGCAGCCACTCGGGCAGACAGAAGGCCTGGATTGATCTCCGATTCTCACTTAAGACAGCAGAAAACATACCTTTAAAAGCCATGTAAGTGAGTTCCTAATTCAACGGAGATGTAGGCGCGTACCCAACTCACGGTAAGTGTTGCCTGTTTTTCTTTGAGAAGCATCGTGCCCACTACAGCTATTTTTTGCTTAAACGGTTTGCTATCGGCCAATGGCTGTACGTAACAGCGCACCTATTAGAACCCGAGCTGTGTCTATAAGATAGGCCCGAGGAGCGTTATCCCCTGCCTCTCCCATCGCATGCCCCTTAGGAGGCGAACAGAATCTTGTGGGAAACCCCTTTTAATGGCGACATCGGAAAGATTTAATAAACCGTATTTACAGCGTTTCAGTAGTCGGCTAACTTTCCGAAGGACGCCTCATTTACAGAACACAACATATACACCATACGCCATACGCCGTACAAGAATGCCCCTACTTGAAGGAGTGTTTGTGGCAGGCTAGGGAAAACGGGTCCAATCAAAGTCTGTTCTCGACGTACACCAGCTGGAAAGTGAGAGAATGTGACTTCGTACAGCATAAGCCAACAGGAGACACAACAGCTCCGCCTTGGGCTGCTAATGCGTCAGCCACGGGGCGGCTATGGTAAATTGGGTTTCAAGGTGCGATCGAACGTATAATTGAGATGGAGTTTGCATGTATTTCAAGCTCTTGTAGCTATGTCCTTTTAGACGAGGCCGACGCTTAGTTATACAATTCCATTTTTTGTGAGAGGATTTTCGTTCTGAAATGCAAGGACGACTTGGCGATACAATCTCAAGTTTTGTTCCGCGTGAGTCGGATACATCAAAGGCTGTACAACAATGTAATATAATTCTCTCTCCTTGTAGAATCCCCATGAAACCAATTTCAGACTTGTGTCTACCACTCCAACTCCTTGCTCTGACCCGAAGAACAGCTTTTCTTGGCCCAGTCATAGATCCCGCCTCTCTGCACAAATGATGCCTCATCCCAATATACACTCTCCAGTGCCTTCTGAACACCAACTTCGACAATTGGTTGGGAAGGTTTTCGTCCGTCACGGTCCAGAAATCGCAAGTATTCGTCGAGGATCAGGTAGCTCTTAGCCATCAGCCGGTTGGGCTCTGGCACCAGGCAGTGTTGGGCGCTGTGCCTCTGGCAGAAAAGGTCAAACTCCTCACCAGAGATGGTGAACTTGTGACCATTACGCAGCGTTTCGGTGGCCGAGTCGTTCTCGCCAGGCACGATGAGCACCTGAAAGCACTTCCAGCGGAAGGGCTGCAGCTTTTCTATGTGCTGGTTCATATCTTCTGTATGGTTGAGTTGGTTGACGACGGTGTTGAGCTTGAACTTGATGTGAAACTCTTGGCACCAGGCCGCGATTTCGTACAGCTTCTGGACTTGATCGCCTGACCCGCGGCCGATCTCAATATTGGTAACCTCATTGAAGGAGTCGCAGCTGACGGCAAGGATGTCAATGAAAAAGCCATACTTTTGCAGAAAGTTACGCTGGACCTTGCTTCCGTTTGTGACGATGGAGACCGACTCGAGACTCAGCGTCTCCTTGCAGAACACGATCATGTCTCCCAGAAGCTTGGGATACAGGAATGGTTCACCGCCGGCAAAGTTGATCTTGCGCATGCCGGCCTGTTTGAGAAGCCGGAGACCTTCCTTGGACCGGTCTGTCGTCTCCACATGGGACGTGGTCGCCGTGTGAAAGCAAAAGCCGCAGACTTTATTGCACTTTCTGGTAAAGTGGTAGTTGACCGAGATGGGCACTTTGCCGCGGGGACGTTGAAGGATGGCGAGGATGAGGGCCACAAGGCCAGCAAAGGCAAGAAAAAGTACGGATACAAACATGTCAAAGACCGCTGTTCTCGACGATAGTTTGGCTAGAAGAGATTGTGCAGAGGGTGAAAGAAGAGAGAATCTATAATCTGGGAGGACATAAAGAAGAAAATGAACGTCCCTATGATTCTAAAGGGAATAGCCTGGCGGTAAGATAGAGGAAAACCGGCTGGTTAGCCGATCTGCACCCTGTTGTCTTTGCTATACTACCCAGTCACCCGATGGCCAAATGCGAGAGAGAATACAGCATGGGTGTATTGTTGTGGTTGGGTATTTCCGAAGTATGCCCACGTGTATTAACTACAAGGCTAGAAAAAATGCTAGTAGCACTAGATAATATTGTTTTAGATTGATTTAATTGTACTTTGCCTTTTATCTTAAGTTCTAATATATTTATTTTTAGTATATCATATACATAAAATTTGCTATAAAGTGAATAAAAGCAATTTTAGCAAGTAAAAGTGATTATGCATTAGTACTGCTATACTACGATTTAAGTACTAATATCGTATATGTACTACTTTATACTTGTTTGCTACCCTTATTAAAGTCCCTACTATGTAGGTAGGCTTAGGCACCGTACGCTATAGGGTATATATATATTCCTATATTACGCTTCAAGACCTTATCTTTAGCCTGTTTCAGCCTAGTTTGTTCGACAAAACAAGTTATATCAAGAGATTTCTTTTTTCTCTGGACGTATTTGTCTACGGCAGACTGAAAGGAAACTAGAACCAGCATCTTTAAGCGTCGAAATGGAACGGACAACATCTGTGATATTTATCATCGGTGAGCCAAACTGGAGTCATAGCCTCATGATGGCTACATATTACTAACGAATATCGGTTGATATTAGGCGCCCCTGGCGCTGGAAAGGGTACCCTGTGCAAGAATCTGGCCAGAGATTTCGGCCTCAAACACGTTTCTGTTGGAGATGTGCTGCGAAAAGCCGTTCTGGAGCCAGACGTCGACAACACCATTCTGAAATATGTCCAGACTTCCGAACTCTTACCGACAGAGCTGCTGTTCTCAGTCCTGAATCCGCATCTACTCTCCGGAAAGGAAGGACATGCCCACATAATTCTCCTGGATGGGTTCCCTCGCCAGTTGGATCAAGCAAGATCCTTTGAAGAAGAAGTCAGTAACGTTTCTCGCACTGCCAGTCTCTCACTACTGCTGACAACCCCAAGTTTGGATTTCCGCGGCTGGTCTTATTTTTTGACTGCCCCGCAGAGCTGGCTGAGAGCCGTGTTGTCAAGCGTCTGGTTGGCCGAGACGGCGATAATGACGAAACGTTTAGAAAACGATACAAGGAGTTTTCTGAGCTACATCCATCCGTGGTTGAATACTACCGCCGCCAGGATAAGCTTGTCGAGGTGAGTCTCTGGAGACACAAGGCAGCGCATTTGTGCAGACTCTTACAAAGAAGCAGATAGACACGAGCGGGACCACGGACACCTCTTACGAAAAGCTGCTGAATATTTTGAAGACGAGACACGAATGGAAGCCTTAAACACCATAATATGTGTCAGATGTCTATCGGTCTCGTGTTAGGTAGCACTACTTTAATCTGTTCTCCTTTTTTAGTTTCTCGAAATACGCCGTCAGCTTGCCTTTGGGCTCACCCGGTGCAAACGCCCATGAGTATGTCCTCATGAAATCCACGATTCGCTCGTCCATCTGTTGCATGACCTGTGCCTTGCGCTTCTCGTGGGCCGCTTCACTTTCCTCATCTATGTCGAACGTGAGAGTGTGCTGCAGTTCCACCTCGCCGACCTCGTGGCCGAAATCCATGCTATCGAGCACGATCTGAAAGTCGCTATTGGCCGTCCAGGCCCGACGCCGGGTTTCAAACTCTGCCAAGGGCAGCAGGCCAAAGTTTTCAGATTCCTTGGTTTCTGCTAGATCCCAACCGGTGATGTGTCGGACACGGTCTGCAATGTCTTGAGCGCCGTAGAATTCTTCGAATCGGGAATTTAGGAAACCGCCGCCTTTGCTGATCTTGGCCTGCCAGACACCATTGCGAAGCCGCACCCAGGCGCCAGCTGCAGAAAGAATATTGTCATGGTCGTAGTAGGTGTCGTGGATCGTCTGCATGGGAAGCTGTCGAAGGTTCTGGAACGAGGGGACGCCGCCGTGCTGCGTCAGCTCGGACACTGCCAGGCCGCGAAACTTTCTCTCGACTTCCAAAATATTTGAGCGGCGCAGGGACCGGTGCAAAGCCATGCTCTGGAAGCTGCTGCACGTCAGAAATACCATGCATAAATACGTCGTATGAATATCACGCTTACAGAATCGTCGCGACCGTGTCTTAGATCGTGAGTGGATATGTGGTGACCCTTTTGCACGTGGTGACTTGGATCTTTGCTCTAACAAGCTGGCTATTTTGCAGCGTGAAATTTGAATGGGACAGTTGAAAACAACGGAAACAAACGACGCGGTGCGCCTGGTTCTACTGTGTTCCTGGCAGGTCAGGCACCTAGGCTTGGTCTTTATCTGTTGAATGAACTAGGCCAAAATGGGCTGGAGGTAGGGTTATGTGGAGCAGGATGGGAAGATATACTTATACTACGGAGTACTACTAACTATTGCTAGTACTAGTACGGAGTATATACTAACGTACGGAGTACTTTGTAGCATTGTAATACTAGCACGGGTAAATACTAGGCAGCCGCTATTTATACGCTAGTATTTTAAATAGCTGTAATGGTGTGGTGATGAATCTGAATGAATATCCTCTATCTAGCTATCTAGCGATGCGGGCTGGCTATGACTAGGTGGCAAGTGTGGGTATGGGTGCCCACGTGACAATAGCAGCGATTAACACCAGCAGGAAGTATAGCAAACAGATACTGCGAATGCACGGTGGCCTATTCCACTACGAAGTAGGAACGGAATACTCCGTTTACCGCCTCTCCTGCCCCTCCCTCTCAGCTAGTTTGCCCCTCTCTTCCCGCGTGTTTCTCTCTTCTCGATCAGTCCGCCTTGTAGCTATGAAAGCGGCGCCTGGCGGCTTCTACGCTTGTAATGCGCATGCAAGCCCTCGTTACCTTATCCTAGTGCTGTTGATACTAGGCTAGCCCTGGGCCACCGCCACCGTGGTGCCTGTACTAGTGCTATCGGTACATTATATTCACCTCGCCAGCTGCTGGCCCTGAAATAGGCGGTACAATGGGTTATTAACGCCTCTTGCTCTGCCTTTCAAGCGGAATTTGCCTCTGCGTTGTCGGGGTCTTTGTTGGCTTATACAAGGTGGACCGGTATATCTGTGTTATATACGGTGTACGGAGTACGCAGCGTACAAAAATAGCAGCTGCCTGATTACTAGTACTCCGTACTAGTGTACTAGGTTGCCAGCCCTGCCAACAGCGTACCGCGCCTATGCCTACCTAATCACTCCGTATGCACGACGGCATATGTCGAAAGTACAGAATACCTAACAATAACAGTACATATGCTTACGGAGCACTAGGCACCTATACTTCGCTGCTATTTGCTGAACTATAATTCAGTTTCTACTGCCTAAAGACGCAGCCCGCTTGCAAGCTCGGCTGTAACAAGGTGACATATGTTTCGTTCTGTCTGCCGAGGCGACCGCTATAAAAGTGGTCAAAAGCAGGGAATAATCTCCTGTTACGAGGACCTCTGTTGGTTTCATGGCGAGACATAAAATCAGACTGAGATAAGCTCGAAGCCGTTATGAGAGGTGGGAATACGGTTTCAGTGGAGACTGTAAACAATGCAGGACACTAGGAAACGCGCTACGACACTAAAAACCAACAATGCCCCGCCAAATCTAGCCCTGTAAACGTGGAGCTATCTTAATACTTGTCGCAGCCCAAAAAACCGGAACTACTTATTTATTTCTACGGAGTATTCCATGTTGTCCTCCTACAATAGGCGCCTAATAAATGGAAGTTTAGGCATCCATTATTCTTCTTTTGCAATGCTATCCTCAGCAGAAACTCCCCAGCCTCCATATAAGAAGTAGCAAGCCAAGATGGCTAACCTGGATGGTGTAACGGCCTTTGCAAACGGACTTTGTTGATCCAACTATGTACAGATGGAGCAACACATCACAGAAAGTGTATTTTGTGGCGGAGCACCTCGTCCAACCGTCTTGTGTACTTTTTATGCATGACGAGGTAGGATGAAAATGCTGCAAAGTAAAGGGTGATCACTGGCGGGGGTTTTGTCGAAAATCAGCGAAACACGACAAAAGAAACAATGTCTCACCGAGAGAGGCGAAGTTAGCATTTGCGTACAAAGAGACTGCAACAGGCCGACGGCAGGCTTTCAGCATGCCAGCTCTTGTCGACTCTCCTTTTGGAACCTGAGATGCGATAATCCTGGAACCATAAGCCAGGATGAAGACTTCCGAGAGTCCTTACCAGAACACAATGCAGGGACCCAACCTCGCCGAGATCGGCCTCGCCACTGGACCGGCAGGTGCCACCCTTCTCTTCAGTATCCTCGCGCAGCGCCTCGCCTCACGACCGTCCGAGCTCTGGTCAGAAGCACTCTGCTGGACAGCAATCGGGGCTGCGGCTCGATGCTCTAATCGAAGGAAAACCAGTCCGCTTTCTGCCGTTCGACCAGCACCGAAAACCCTCTGGGTTTCTGCCGTGGGAATCTGCATGGCCAGCCTCTACAAGACGGAGCTGGGCGTGATTGGGTTTTTCGTAGGTGACTTCCAAACTGGGCCGTCTTTCGCTGCTTTACCAGGCGCTAACAGACGCAGCCAGCGTTGGCACTGCTGGTTCTTCTTTCCGAGCAGCGCATTGCATCGGAACTCTGCACATCGATAAAATCCGACTCCAAATTCTCGGCCGTTATCAAGTCGACATGGGGCACATTGCTTCTGTCTGTCGTTTTTGTCGGCACGCTCGTCAATTGGGACTTCCGACACTCCATATTATCTCTGTTCCCAGTCTTTGCTCTGCTGCCAGTCTACGTTGCCTTTACTTCGAGAACCGATAGGAGCTCCCGGATATCTAGCTGGCTTCCACCGTTACTGTCCGAAAACGCTGTCTGTCCCCTCGCAATACGCGTTGTGGCACTGCTACTTATTACCCTCGGATTTGAGTCCCTCATTTTTGGATTCCCTCAATGCGAAATTTTCCCCACGTTAGGATTAGGAACCACAAAAGCTCTCTCCTGGGCCTTTCTCTTCTTTACTGTATGTGTGCAGTTGCGACTTTTCTTACAGCTGACAATATGAACTGACCTCTTCCTTCAGACTCAGCTCACTTCCTGGAGAATAGCTATAGCAATTCAAACTTTCAGCCTCTTATCGACGATCGACCCTTTCAAACAGACCTCCGACTTTCAAGCCCTCACACATGTCGCTGTTTCATTTCTGTCCCTTCTTCAAGTCATATTTCTGCTTCCTCTAAAGGCGAAAGGAAAGCCGATTCTCTGCATCTTCAGCCTCGTCTTTCTTGCACCCTACCTGTCCTATATTTTCGCTTTGCGTTATCCGCAATCTATGCTTCGCAATCATGAGCACCCGATCCAAGTTCTCATGCGAAACGCCAATACAGCCTTTGAACATATGATCAATAATCAGTCTCAGAGCTACACGGACGCCCGTGATGAGTATCGACGCCGGTACAATGCAGAGCCCCCTCCTGGTTTTGAGGCTTGGTATGAGTTTGCCGAGTCTCACCAATCGCCGATCATCGATGAGTTCGACACCCTCAACGAGCGTATAGCGCCTTTTTGGAGACTGAGTGGCAGAGAAATACAGGGAATAATCAGTCGTGCACAGGATCAACCAGGCGGCGAGCTGTGGTCATGCAACTTCAATGGCCATCGGGCCTTCCTCCAGTGCACCCATCCACACCGGACATTCGATAGGCACCTGCAACTTCTTTTCAACACGCTATTAGGGAACCTGCTCCACGTTCTTCCAGATGTCACGTTCCTTGTCAACCACATCGACGAACCGAGAGTCTTGCTGCCTCGGATAAACCATAACAGCCCCGACATGTCATCCTTCAATACGACCAACATGTCGAGACGTCCGGTGTGGGATGCCCTGACCGCGTTTTGCAGCACTTGGGAGCCGAGGCGGATGGACGGTACTAAGTCATCCATAGATACTTTTGGACTACCATTTGTCACCAATGCAAAATCAGCCCTGGATCTGTGTCGCCACCCCGAATACAAACACATACACGGCCTCACGGTGAGCCCCATGTCCTTCAATCTGATCGAGGGCCTTGTTCCTGTTCTGTCGACTGGCTCACTGTCCACCATGGGCGACATCTTGTATCCGAGCCCGGCGTACATCGAGCCTGAGTTCCGCTACGACGAGGAGCACGATATCGCCTGGGAGGACAAGCGCAACAATCTATACTGGGCCGGCTCGACTACAGGAGGATTTGCGGCTGATGGACAGCGTGGCCAATGGCAAAAGTACCACCGACAGCGTTTCGTTAGTCTCGCCCAGAATTTGGGCGATCACGATCACGAGTACCTACACGAGACAGCTGGTGATGGCGATAGTGGCACAGTCAGCCGACTTCGGTCATCCTTCTTCAACGGCCGTCTTTTTGACGTCGGCTTCACGCGCATCTTCCAGTGTGCGCGCACAGCTTGTCGTGACCAGCGGATGCACTTTGGCCTCCGGCCCTGGGCAGACAAGGATGCTGCGCTCCAGTCGCGGCTTGCGTTTGATCTCGACGGAAACGGCATCAGCGGCCGCTACTACAAGCTTCTGGCATCGCGATCAGCGCCGCTAAAACAGACGCTATTGCGCGAGTGGCACGACGACCGGCTGGTTCCGTGGGTCCACTACTTTCCCGTCAGCCAAACCTTGCGTGAGCTGCCCGAGCTTGTGTCTTACCTCACGTCGAGCCCCGGTGGCGCTGGACAAAAAGCCGCCCAGGCTGTTGCAGACAACGGTTGCAAATGGTTTCGTAGGGCATTTCGGGAAGTTGATATGACCATCTATACTTATCGCCTGCTTCTGGAACTGGCACGGCTGCAGGACCCACAGAGACCGGCAGGGGAAGTGCACCTGGTTGTCCAGAAAGATGAACAGAAGCAGTGAAGCATTTTGTATCTTTACTAAGTGTCACGAAATTAAGTTCGCGTTTCGATATGTAATCTGGAATAAACCCAAAGTCGGATTTCTATGTATCTCGCCTTCAAGTCCTCTTGCAAACGACAATCATTCCCGGCCTATTACCGATGGCCCCAGCCATTCTCCACCAACACCTGCATCTCGTCAATAAGGCAGAAGGCTCCGCCTTCTGTGTTGTTTACATCGAGTTCTTTCCACTGGCGTACATGTCTGCCTATACTGCTATCATGCATCCACGGCGTTGTCAGCCAGCGGAGAAGACAATTCTTCCACAGGCCTGTGACGATCGAACGGCTCGACACCCAGGATTGGCTTGCAGAGTGAACCGCCTTGTACGCAGACGTATCGTACCCAACACGTACATTCGGATTGAGCCAGATGCCTTTGCTGTCGGACAGCCTGTTGTCTGCGTGTATCAAGCAGCATTCGGAACCCTCCAGGTGCTTAGTGGCAAGGCTGTCGGCAATACCACGAAAGGTCAGTGGCACCTCGTCGTAGAATGGCGCTGCATCCATGGCCACTTAGCCGGCGGTCCTGTCAGCACCTGATTCTAAGCCGCAATGCGCCAAAGACCACACATACCTATCCCGTTCCAGCAGCTGGTGACTGGCACCGGCTGGCTCTCGATCAAAGCTTTCCGCGAGGCACGCGACCGAAAATAGGGCCAGGTCTGCGTCAAGGCTCCGTGGCCATCGCTGTCTCGGAGAGCAAAGGTGTCGTAGAAGTTGGGCGGACTAGAAAAGTCGAGCGAGCATGCTGCCGCATAGTTGCCGCCTCGAGTCGAAAGCAGCGTGTAGACATCCGCCGTCTCCGAGGTCAGCCCCACTTTTAATAGCCCAAAAGAGACAGCAGTACATACCGTAAACGCGACGTCGCCTAGGAAGAGAATCTTGTCGAACCTGGCACCACTGTTCTCATACAGTGGCTGAAGCACAGTATTGCGTAGTCGGGCCAGGTATGGGATGCGGCGCAGCTCCACTTTGCCTTGGGGTGTTTTGATCCAGCCACTCCCGGTCGGCGACCTGCTGATCTCGTCGAGGTGGGTTGTATTATCGAGAATGACTCTCCGTGGAATATCTTTCTTCGCCAGCACCGAGTCCAGGTCGCCCAGCGCACTCTTCGTTCCATCCCAGCTGCCACTTTCAAAGATACTGAAAAAGACGTTGTTTCTGCCGAACGATTCGGCCAGCTCCACAACCGACTGCAGCCAGGATTCTCTCAGTATCTTCTCGCTGTTCCAGTGGAGGCTCGCAATGAATATTCTGTCAAGTCCCTGCGATTCCGTGCTGAAAGTGTCGTGCCGCAGCATCATGCGCCTGGCATGTATAGCCTCAAGCCCGTTCCATAGTATCGATAGCACGACTAGGACAGGCAAGAAGCGCCGAAATGTCTTGTAGAGAACACGCTCGATCTTCATGGTCAACTTCGAGCATAACGAAATCTGTCGGCAGAATGAAAGGATTCTACAGCAAGTTCTTGGAGCGGTAACAGGCCTGTCGCTGAATATGTCACCAGACAATGCTTGCCCGTTTGTCTTACCTGAGTGGGACCGGACCTGTCTGTTCTTCCGGGAAGTTCTTTCGAAGGCATTCAGAAAATAATTTTATACCACAGAACAAGGCACACGGGACCGAAACAAATTGGGCAATCTGGTTGCCCAATCAGACAGTCATGCTAAAATCAAGCTCAACCAAGATTCCCACCACTGTTTCACTCTATAGACCAACAGCTTTCGCAGGATTCGCCTCAGCGAGAATTTCTTTTTCCGCATGACCAATGCTGCCGTGTGGCTAGGATGCAAGGCTGGCGCCCGTGGAAATATTCTGGAAGTGCTGCTCTGGTCTCGACGATGGTTCAATGACTGACCGCTTGTCGGCTGTTCCTCCGCGCTATCACTCAACCAACAAGGTTCTCGTCCTGGTGTCAATCCTGCTTCTCCTTTCCCCCCCTGTGCGCAGCCGAAAAGCAGACTCAGTGGATTGTGCTCATCATTAACACCTCCGTCATTGTTTCGGATTTCCATGGGTTTGAATGCCAACTAAGCTCTACATGATGGATATTCTTGGTCCTGAGGCTGCTGTCTCTGCGTGAATCAGCTTACGCTCTCCACTACACCTATTATATCCTGCAGATCACAGGTCCGCCTGTTTTTGTGTCCATGTAATCGTGACACGCATTATGTAGACTGTACGACTTCGTATCACTTTGCTTCTGTTCCTCCTGTCTCATATACCATGTATGACCAGACGGGCAAGTGACCAACTCGCCCAGCTATGTCTCGAAAATCGGTTGCCAGGAGAAAAATGCAGCGGGTATGTATGCACAAGCATACAGTTGCTGCTTCGGTTATTTAATGCCTAAATGGCATGAAATTTACGTTACAAAAGCATCCTACGACGTATCTCAGGCACCTTGATCAAACCTTCCTCTTATAACCCTCAATGATGTACTCTCGCGGGGATGGGGCTACGAATAATTGAGTTCGTGACTGCTGTGTGTACAGACGCGCGTTTTCTGACGGTAGTATCTTACATAGAAGTACTGCATGTCTAAGGCGATGTAAGCGCGAGGGATAGTTTCCATTTCAGTGTATGGGTGTTGTATCTTTCTTGTCTTGAAAAAGGAATTCGCGAGTGTTACAATCTACTCTCGATTCAGACTCGCATAAAAAGGAAATGAACAATGCTGACAGCCGAGAATGGTACCGGTGTATGAGAAGATGTTGGATCAGTCTCAGAGGTATAAAACCCCATACGACGTCTGTCTTCACCTTTTTTTTCTTCAGTCCGTCAATACCACAAGCACACACATCCAATATTTTATCAAGCTTTATTGGTCTATCAAGCTCTCATTCTATCTTTACCGAGAAATAGCAACTCATTCATCATGCAGATCACGCATATCCTTTCTATCGCCCTTGCGGCTATGCTTTCCACCCCCGTCCTAGCCTGCAAATGCCAGGTGGGCGGTTCTGAGGATGTTGCCCGCACCCAGGATTGCTGCGGCCGGCTCAACGGAGTTTTCCGGTACGGCAACGACTGCGAGGCTTCCTCCATCTCGCAGCACCTTTCCAACTTCCGCAGCTGCTGCGGTGGCCAATCCGACTGCGACTATTAAGACACAAACCACTCGCCAATACGATCAGTTCAAAAAGATACTTTGGGTGTCAAGCACAGATACTTGTGTTCTGGGAGATCTAGTGTCACCTGAGATGGCGGATAGTTTGGCTGCTTGGTGAAATCACAGCGGAGGGACGTTTGTAAAATTGTCTGGAAGGTGGATGCTGCGGGTCACAGCGAGGAAACGGCACTTGTTTACCTTGGACCAGTCAATCAGTCTGTGTCTATGTACTTGCCAAACTAACATAGATACAACAATATCTACTCATTCCAGCTCAGAGGCAGTCTCTTTCCGTAAAGATATTCGTATCTTATTTCACTCTGTTAAAGGCGTGCTTAATAACTACCGGTATAAAGATAAGAAGCTTCCGGTCCTGTACCGCTATTTATATCGTCAAACAGGGCCGAAGACCTGGTCACGGGGCACTGCGTGCACTGGTGTTCAAGGACAGTGACGGATAAGTTCTGAGCGACAGTAAGAGTCATATCGATATTGGCTAAGACTTCGGTATGCCGTGTGCCAGGCAAGAGCTGTTGATTTCACTTTGTTCGATGCATTTGCCGCTTTCGTGTTGTTAGGATATTACCAGTCTAACAGGCACAACTGACTCCGTAGTGCCACATCCATGCGAATGCCTTTAGGGTAGGACGAGAGCGAAGCAATCACAACCTCAGGGACGATAGCAGAACTTTGTGGGTGAACTACCATAATACACTCAGCTGATGTGAACAAAAAAAAAAAAAAAAAAAAAAAAACCCCAGAATCAGAAAGGCAAAAAAATATGTGAGAATTCGAATGCCTCTTGAAGAGGCGCATCAGGAATTGAGCCCGATGCGGGGGTCGAACCCGCAACCTTAAGATTAAGAGTCTTACGCTCTACCGATTGAGCTAACCGGGCGTCCGATCTCATTGGTGCATTGACCGTTGAAATGCCTCACGTGGGAATTCTCAAAATAGGGGATCAGTCATTTGGCTTTGGCAATATCTTACTAAATATAGGCCAGAACAGACAGTGGCCGGAGAGTTAACTGCGTGAAGCTGATAAGGACAGCCATCATTCTTTGTTAAGATGATGTGCTGGTTCAGATCAGAGTACAGGAAGTGCTATTTTTACAGGTGACTGCAAACTTCCGATAGGTACTCATCTACTACGATCTGTGCTTGTTTTTAGAACCTCCCATGAAAACACATCGAGCTGATGTCATGTAAGCATTGTGACCATCTCGTAGGATGCACACATGAGCTCCCAGACTATTATACCCGAGATACGAACCCCCTACTAGCTACCATCGAGTGGCTAGGTTTTACTTCCCCAAATATAGATCACAGGACTGCACCATAGTGGTTGAAACAATAGTCTGGTGACTTTCGCAGTCAGAATAGTTTGTAGATATAGATGAATAAGTGTTGATTTTAACTTCCTAGTACCGAAGAACACGAGATGGGGCTTTGCTAACCACTGAACAGACAAACCACTCTTCTGTAGCGGAAACATGTTGTCAGTAAAATCATGAAAGAGGTCAATGATTTGGTACAAAACTTGGCCCAGATTTTCAAAAGAAGCGAGTCATAACACAGCGGCTTTTTTTGTCTATAAGAACATGTTTCCTATATCTAGGGGATTCCAGAACTCCTTAACACACCAGCAGGTGCCTCATCTAGCGATCACGATATTTACTCTTCAGAAAACAAGTCACCCTTGTGTCGAAATAAAATACATCATGCCGTCTACTGCCGAACCTTGCACGCACTGCGCGACTCCTGTTTCGAGTACACAAGCCCAGTGTCCCGCCTGTCGCAAGCCACCTTTCACTGTAAGTAGATGTCCAGCCCAGATCTACTTGTGCATGATATTTAACACCATACTGCTAGGACACGGATGAATCTAGCAAGGAAAAGAAGTTCCAACTAGTGATTGTAGTTAGAAAGTAAGTGGTAGTTTGGCTACCAATGAGTCTGAAAGTCCTTCGTGACTGTTGACCAAGCTACGTCTCGCAATATAACCATGACTGTGTACTTCATAGCTGTTGTGGAAACAAGCCGCAACAAGCGCTTTACGTACTTTGCTTCGATAAAATTACAAAAGTTCTAATAATGGTTCTATGTCGTCAGTCATCGTGGCTGGCGGCGGATTGCCCGCTCCTTGTGAACCTGGCATTAAGATAGTTAAGTTAAGACTTGGCAATTTTCAAACGATAATAGCAATGTATTGCAGCACGTTTGGGTATGTGATGTCATTGCGACAATGCACGTCATTTGCACAGAGACGTAGGCCTCCTGGTCGGACGTCTGCAAGTTGAGCTATCATCCATGTACGCGTCATCGTCCTCAAAGTCACAGTACGCGGGGGGTGGCAGTCTTCTTATATCAAGCTTTTCATTTTGCGTATCCGGTTCGAGAGAGAGGCAGTCGACAATGTCGTCGCTGACTCATCACCCCGTCGTGACACAAATCCGGGCAAAACGTTGGTTGACCGCTCTGGCAGAAAGGCGTGCACGAATTGGTAGGCGCCGGGGGGCTGTGCACTGCGACGTATAGGCCCCGGATTTACTAAAAATCCGCTAGTTCTAGTTCCCTGCTCGTCCAGGCTGGGGCCTCACCTCGCTCTGACCCCGTTTGCCGACAGGCGCCCCCTTCCAATCTCAATAGAACAGGCAGCATCGAATCTGGTTACAGTTCTGGGCTTAGAAGACCCATTACCGTGCCGCCCCATCGACAACCATGTGTCTGTGCTGAGCCCAGACCAGCCAGACCAGCCCTTTGCTCCTATCTTTTAGCTCTCTTGATACCATCCTTGCCACACGAGTCTTTCCTTTGTTCTGTCTTTGAAGACGTTGTTGCCACCCTTTATAACCTCGGGATTATCAGACATCGCTCAAGCCTCCTGGCCGCTGCACTCGGGCTGCTGGCCATCCTCGATACCACCGACCGGACCTTTGTCACTCCGCCGTCTTTCCGACAGACATCCTGCCTGCTACCCTCTCTGCTGACGCTCACTCAGCCTGCTCGTCATGGCCGACTTGCTCGGTCCTCATGCCTTTGGCAGGGCCGTGATGGATCGTCCTCCAGCTCCACTTCCGTTTCCTCCCGGATCAGATGCCGCTGCCCATGCGCCCTTCTCGATCCAGACCATCGGCGTGGATGCTCCGGGCAACGCTCCATCCACCGACGACGATGGCACCGGCGACTATGTCGTCGTGACCATGACGACAGCTGTCGACGGGACCGTTGTGCCGACCACGATGCCGGACTCCTTTCCACCGCCACCACCACCACCACCACCGTCACGACCACGACCACGGCCACCGCCGGACTCGGTGGACGAGACGATGGACGACACCGTCGCAGCCGACCATGCAGACGGCCACGTGGTGGTGGCCAACGGCGAATGCCGGCTGATGGGCCCGTTTGCGATCTTTGTGCAGCTCGGGCTGGGCTCGCTGGCGCTGCTGTCGCTCGTGTTCAAGCGGTGGCGCGAGCGGCCGCAGCGGCCGCTCAAAATCTGGTTCTTTGACGCGTCCAAGCAGGTGTTTGGGTCCGTGCTGGTGCACATGTCCAACGTCTTCCTGTCGCTGCTCACGTCGGGTCGCTTCTCCTTCAAGCTGGAGCCGGGCGTTGTGGCGAGCTCGTCCGGGGCGCTGTTGCGCTTGATTCGACGGGACGATGGCGAGGAGCCATACTTGCCGAACCCGTGTTCGTTCTACCTGCTGAACCTGGCGATCGACGTGAGTGTTTCATTCTCTTCTTACCCTTCCCGGTCCCCTGCCCCCGCTAACTCTGACTGGACAGACGACGATCGGGATTCCGATCCTCATCGGGCTCGTGCGGCTGACAACGGCCATTGTGGCCCACACGCCGCTGGGGAAGCCGCGGGAGTCGATCCAGTCGGGCAATTACGGGCACCCGCCGAGCGCGTGGTGGTGGTTCAAGCAGAGCATCCTGTACTTTTGCGGGCTCTTCGGCATGAAGATCTGCGTGCTAATCATCTTTCTCGTCTTCCCGTGGATCTCGCGCGTCGGCGACTGGGCTCTGGGCTGGACCGAGGGCAACGAGCAGCTGCAGATCGTTTTTGTCATGATGTTGTTTCCGCTCATCATGAACGCGATGCAGTACTACATCATTGACGGCTTCATCAAGGAACAGCCGGTGCATGACGGCGGACACCATCACCATCACGATGGGCGGTACGACGTTCTGTCGGACAGTGCCGACGACGAGGACGACGGCAGTGCTCGACCGCCGCTTCACCGTCGGTTCCGCCGGGACGACGGTGGTGCCGACGGCGACGACGAGTCGTCCAGCGGCGACCAGCGCGAAGAGGAGGACGACGAGGAGCTCGACATGCTCGGCGACGTGGACGACGTCGCGGGCGGCAAGCGGGCAGCGGTCACCGTGGCCGTGGCGCCCATTGTCGTGACGACGACGACGACGGTGATTCATTCGACCAAGCACGAGCACGTGACCTCGTCCGCCAGCTCAGCCACGGGCACCGCCACAATCCGGGGCGCCGACAACAACGACGACGTCGACTACGACCCGCGGGTCGACGGTGAGACCCGGACGGTCATCGGCAGCAGCGCCAGCCAGCGGCAGATTCTGGACGCCACCGCGGCAAAGGAGCCGTAGAGCAGCGGCACCTCTTGCTTCCCCTGTCCTGTCGTCGGCAGATGCAGCATCTTCTCGGGCGTCCTCTTTCCTGGCCTTGTTTTCCTGTACTCTTTTCCTGTTCTTCCGGTTCTTCTGTTCGTGTCGGACGTCGACACATCTTGCAGACAAGCCCCCATCTATACCACATAGACATTGTTTTCCTGGATTCCGCTCTGCGTTTTTGGTTCTTCCATTTCATCGGCAGCGACTGGCGCATATCACTTCTCCATAGACCTTTCCTTATCAGCACACTCTCTTCATTTCTGCTCTCGTTTGTAGTTTCCTTTGTCTGCAGCTCAATGCAATTGGGAATGGATTGTCGCATTACTTCAGTGGTATCGCTATTCTTCTATGCTCGCTCCTTGATGCCAAAAAAGCAGAAAATCAATATCGAACATGGCCCGATCGCCTCTCGATGCTCGTGCCTCCTTCACCGCTCATAGCGCGGCAACGGCTCGTCTGCCGGCTGCTTGCCGTTGCCGGGCGGCCCCGTGTCTGTTCTGGACGTCGATGGTGCTGTTTCCGGTGCCTCTGCTTCGGGCGCGTAGGCGTAGTTGCGTCCGTAGCGGACCTCGTCGCCGTCATCGTCTATTATGGGTGCGGACGGGCCTTGTGATGACGGCGGTGGCGCCACGGCCAGCCGGCTGTCCCGGCAGCTGCTGCTGCTGCCGCCACCTTCGCGGGCAAAGTCGTAGTCTTCGGGAAACTCGGGCGGCGCGCTGGCCTCGGCGAGCAGCCGCTGGCGCTCCAGCTCCTGCTTGTCCTCGGACGGCTGTGCCGGGGGCGATGCTGACGGACCTTCGTAGCTGTAGCAGTCGTAGCGGTCTTCGCCCAGCACGGCCGCCGACGGAGCCGAGGCACCGGCGACCGTCACGGCAGCAGCAGGCCCAGACGCAGAGCCGCCGGCCTCAACATGGATATCGTCCGGCTGGCTCGGCAGCAGGCGCTGCCCGGCGCGTCGAATCCGCTCCTTCTCGGTCAGGCCGTCGTCTGCGGTCCGCATCGTGGCCGTGGGAACGTATTGGGGGACGCTGGCGGATGGCGGCGGCGGCAGCGAATACGTCAGGTGTCGGCCTCCGCTATCGTCGTCTGGGCCATCGGGTGGAGGGCCATACGGAGGATAGCCTGCAGCGGTTGGCCCGGAACTGCTTGCTGTGGCAGCCTGGCCACCCTGGCTACCCTTGCTGTCATCCGGATACCAGATGCCTCCGGGCTGTGGTGAGAATGGGGGTGGCTCTGTCGGGACTGTTTGCTGCTCCTCCGCCGTAGCTGCTGTTCGCGAGAGTCCACGACGACGTTGTCGGCCACTGTCAGTCGTGCCGACGACCACCTCAAAGGCGACGTAGATGACGCCCTTTTGCCGCCGCAGCTGGTCCGTGTCGATCATGTGGCGGCTGCTGCTGGTCGTGCTGCTGCCGCTGGCACCCCAAAAGGGCAGGGTGATGGGTGTGGCTTCAAGGGCCGTGGCCCCGACCCCTACCCCAATCCCTCCCCCGGTCCCAGTCCCCCCGTCACCGCCGCTCCCGCCCGACTGCAGCAGTGTGGCCAGCTTGCCGCCCAGGTCGACAATCACCTCGAGCTGGTACTTGAAGCTGATCATATCGCCCGGCACGCCCCGGATGGTGGCAAAGGCGTCTTCGGGCACGCGCACCGACGCCGTCACGCTCGACTGCAGCGTGCGTGGGTCGATGATCAGCGGGCTGAACGACTGCGACAGGTCCTTGCGAAACACGCTGCACGAGCCCGCCGACGTAAGCGAGAGCCCGCCCAGGCCGGTCTTGGACTTGGGGTAGTAGTAATCGTGGGCTGCCGCTCGGTCCTGTTGTTGTTGTTGTTGTTGTTGTTGTTGTTGTTGTTGTTGTTGTTGTTGCTGCTGCTGCTGCCTTTGCTGTTTTTGTTTCGGTTGTCTTTGCTTTTGTTGTTTCTGTTGTTTCTGCTGTTTCTGTTGCTTCTTCTTCTGCTTCGACGTCTCCTCATCGGCCTCTGTTTCCTGCTGCTGCTGCTGCTCGCTATCGTCTCCATTGCCTTCAGCAGCAGCAGCAGTAGCAGTTCCCTCGGCCGACGAAAACATGGCTGCAGGTGGCGCCGAGTCGATCCGTCCCTGTCGATACAGCGTCACCACCACGCCGTGCAGGCTCTTGAGGCGCTTCACGTGCTGCACCGACACCTTGACGCTGACAACGTCACCTGGCAGACACCCGCCTTTGAGCAGCTCGATCGTGGCCGTGATGGTCCGCTCATCCAGGCCGCTGCCCGACGCGTTTGCTAGCCGAACGGTGCCGGTGTTCGCACCGCTGCTGCTGCCGGCACTCGGGCTCGTTGCCGCGCTGGCCACGCTCTCGGTGCTGATGTCGCTGCGGACGTCAGTGGCCGGGCTGCGCGACGACGCTGCGGCCACCGAGGGCGCCTCCGCCGACAGCCGGCCGCCATGACTGCTGCTGCCGCGCACAGAGCCGAGGTCGGACAGGGCGATCGTGTCGGCGCGCGGCGACTGGGGGGGCGTGGACGTTGGATGCTGTGGTGCGAGACGAGGGGTGGCAGACGCAGCCACGGCGGCCGGCTGTTGGCGCTGCTGCTGGGTGACGACGATCTTGCGCTTGCGGGACCGCTTCGAGATCGGCTCGAGCGAGATGGTGCGCGGCAGCGGTCGAGACACGGCGCCGACGTCGACTGGATGGACGAGGAAGACTTTGCGCTCGCACGACTGTGTCGGGGCCACGGGGGTCGGCCGTGTGAGCGTGGCCGTGACGACGTAGGCGATGGAGCCGCGCTCGAACTGCAGGGCCAGAACAAGAACAGATCAGGGATGCGGAACACAAACGCGCGGCGAGAGCCACCAGGGACTTACGTCAATGCTGCTGGGCAGTCCGTCGGACGGGAAGATGAGGTCGAAGCCGAACTCGTAGCGGCCAGGCTCCAGCCGGCCGGCGCCACAGAGCACGATCTCGTCGCGGAAGAGGACGGCGTGGCCGTTGCCGAGAAAGGACGAGGCCACCGAGGACGAAGAGGACGGGGCTGACGGCGATGACAGAAAGGCCGAGGTGAAAAAGGGTGCGCTGGCTGCGGCTGCGGCGGCGCTGGGGTCCTTGAACACGCGCACGAGTCCGCGCAGCGACACGGCCAGGTGTGTGATGCGCAGCGGCTTCAGCACAGTCACCACCACCGCGCCCAGCACATGATCGCCCGCCACGTATTGGCGATGTGGCTCGGCTGCCTGGATGTGAAAGTCGGCCACCGTTCGAACCGATGGTCGCAGCGGAAAGGCCAGCCGTGAGAGCAGAGACCGCCGCTTGGCCGGCGGAGCCGACGCCACCGATGCAGCCGGAGGGAGGGGGGTCGAGTTGGGGGGGGTCGGGTTTGGTTCCGAGGTTGAGGTCGTGTTCGAGGGCGAGTTCGAGTTCGAGTTCGAGTTCGAGGTCGCTGTCGTAAACGGCTGTCTCGGCGACAGCGACGCCGCGCTCAGGTCGGTCATGGGCGCGAGAGAGGAACCGGCAGACAGACAACGCAGCCGACGGCCGGCCTGACAAATCCCGCTTCTCCGTCTCCCTCTCGCGATCGGATTGCGATGTGCAGGCTCCAATCTCGAACCCTGAATCGTGAATCTCGAGTATTGAATCTCCAATCTTCAATTCCGGCTTGTCGTCGCCGTCTGCTCCTTGCCCAGCTTGCTCTTATCTGCTCGCGTGTGATCGGCACTCGTCACTCCGGCACATGCGTCGCGTCGTGCTGCTTCCGATGCCGCTGCCGCTGTCGTCTCGTCTCGTTTTTCGCTTGCTTGCGTATGCTCGTGGGGAACGATCAATGTGGAGCTGCTGTGCCGCTGGACTGAAACTGTTGTCGTAATGCAGAAAAAAAAAGACAGGAAGGAGGGAACCAGCCCTTTTGCTTGGACCTTCCCTTCCCCCTTATTGCCATAAGCTACGACGTATTAGCGGCCTGATGAGCCGCAGAAAGTAGCCCATACCCCCCACTCCGGCGGCGGGGAATCCTCAACCACCACAGCTTTTCCTACAGCGCTTCCCGCCTCTCCCATTTTGGCCTTTGGCCTAGACCTGGCTCGATGACGCTACTGTTTGGTGTCCGTCCGTCTGTCATCTTGCTCGTTAATCCCTTCTTTTCTATTCTGTGCCTTTTGTGCTTCGTACACAACTCGTAAATACCAACTAGCGACATGCTGCTCCTGTAGTCGTAAAATTAAGACTCCTCCACCAGTAGAATAAACGCCCTTCCCAATGCCTTTTTGTCTCCATACCCAATGCTGCCAATATGCTGATGTAAGACAGAAGCAACAACCATAATAAAGACCTAGTCCAATGCCTCGCCGCTGAGTATGTTCAGCAAAATATCCGCTCCCGGTCCCTCCAGCGCCTGCTGCAGCTCCTTCTCGCCCACACAGCTTGCCACCTGCTTCTCATCACCCGCTACTCCTGTCATCGCCGCGCCTTTCGTGCTGCGCCGTCCTCGAGGCGTCGTCTGCAGCACTGCAAATGATCCTGTCCGTCCGTCTACCGCCGTCACAAGCGACAATGTTTCCAGGCTGCCCACCACCTCCCGGAACTCAGAACTCGACAGCGGGTGTAACACTGCATCGCATTTGCACATCTTGCAGTACGTGTCGAACAGCATCTTGATCGTCGGTGCTGCACTTGCCCCGCCTCGCACCGATTTCGTTGCTGCCTTGGGTCCAGCCTTCGGCGCATGGATCAGCTTCGACAGCTTGGCCGATGGCGTCGCCTGCAGCTTCTGTGCATGTGTTTCCCGGTTCCACTTTTCCAGCGCCGACAGGGCACATAGTGCTGCCTTTTGCTGCAGGTTGAGTCCGCGTAGTCGCTGCTGTGCTCCGTTTCCGAATGCTGCCGATGTCACCTTGTTGAGGTGACCAATCGACACTCGTGGCGCCGTCTCCACCGTGAGGCCCTTTGCCCATGTGAGCCACGTCGATGTTGATGGGGTCGCCATCCCACTGGCTGCTCGCTTGAACGGAGACAACGAAGAAGCCAGGTTCACGTTCTCGCCCAGTGGCCGCTTCTTGGTTGGCGTCATCGTGAGTCCGGCAGCCTCCCGTGCCTCGTTCAGACACTTCTCTTTGGCCTCTGCTTCCGCGAGGCCCAGTGCCCGGCGCAGAATTTCAAAGGCCTTGCGCAAGTCGCCGGTCTGACTTGCCACCTTGCGTGAGCACAGCTCCACAGCCGCCGGATGGAAGAACGGGAGAAAGTCGGCTGTCGCTGCCGAGTCGGATGGCAAGGTGCTGCGCAGACGCGTCACAATTATGTTTTTGATCTGCGCTGCCGTGTACGGCAAAAACGGCAACAGCTCCGGCTGCAGGTTGCGTGATTTGAGTCGAGGAAGGAAGCGGTCCGTCAAGTCCAGCGCGTTGGCGATGCCCACCAACACCAGCCGAGACGTCTTGAGCATCGACCACTCGATCACGCGGTACAGGCTCTCGAGGTCCAGTGTGACAATGTGGTCGATCTCGTCGAGGACCACCAGGAAAGTGTCAGCCCCGACAGCTGTGCTAGCTGCCTTCTTGCCCTTCTTCGGGAGAAACATGGCCTGCAGCGTGTTGATGGCATCTGCCTCTGTCGTGTCGGCTGTACCCGACTCGTCGGCTGTCCCGTCCTCGCTCGATAGCAGTCGCAAGAGAGTGTTGTACAGGTCGCCAGATGATCGGATGCTCATGCAGTTGACGTAGGCCTTGCGCACACCTGCAGTCTCTGCGCACACCTTGTCTGTCATCTCCGTCACCATCGCGCTCTTGCCCGTCCCTGGCGGCCCACTGACATAGAGGCAGCTACCGTTGCTCGTCTTCTTGTCTGTTTCAGCTGCACAATGCTCCTCGAGAAAGTCGCACAGGCGCGTCCGCTCCTCGTCACGGCCGATCAGCGCCCCCGTCCCCGAGCTGCGGGAGAAGAGCTGCCGCGCCTTGTGATAGACCGTCTGAGCTGCAGCCGGCGTCATCGGTGTTCCGGGAACCCCACGCGGGGTCATGCGTCGTGAGAGTCGGCCAACCGACATGACCCGATGTCGTGGTGTGACTGGCGTGGTTGGCGTGGCTGGCGAGCTGATGGCCACCGACGAAATTCTGCTGGCCAATCCATCGCGGAAACGAGGCGTTGAAGGAGTAAGCGGCACAGCTGACCTTGCCGGTGACTTTTCTGGCGACTTTGACGACGATTCCGCATCTGTCTTCTTCGGCTTTCTTGGGGACGTCTGGCAGGCCAGAGAGACGTCTGCCGACAGGGCAGCTTCGAAGGATACATTTTTCGGGTCTTGGTTCTCGTCGTTGATAACCACGAAACTGCGTGTCTGCCGCCGTACTCGTTTCAGAGGGATGTCGGAATCTTGACAAGTTAGAAAAAGGCGCTCGAAAACAAATTGACGTCTTCTTACCATCAATGGCGGATACTCGGCTCCGCTTGACCAGAGACGTCACTGTCATTATGTAGAGGGAAGGAATGGGGTGCAGTAATGAACAGGCAATGTACTGTGGGAAGGAAGCACCGGTGGTGAATGCTGGTAAATGGAAAGAAGCGACAATAGTGCACAAAGAAGGAGCGGATGTTCAGCGGTGAGAAGGTGGGAAGGAGGAGCAAATTAGAATTTCAAGGGGTACATGGAAATACGGGAAATAACGCGTCAAAGCGAAGAACTTCTTTACGCGTTCGCGATCCCTTAGCTGTACCGCGTATGCGCGTTTTTACGTGGAGTGCACAGACCTAAGCGGCAAGACCCATAAGTATTAATGACATGCGTTTCGGATAAGTCCTTACCAATCCACGATAAGTATCACCTTATACCGTGTGAAAATAATACAGGATTATGCAGGCGACACTGTGAGTCAACTTTGACGATTTTTGCGGACTTGTAATTCGACGGCGCCGGTTATTAGTGGAGATTCCAAGAGAGAATGGCTTTCGCATCGTTCTACAACCCAATTTGTAGGGGTTTACAAACATTTCAATGAGCTTCACTTTATAACTTTTCAAACTTCTGCAACTAAAATGTCTCTAGGTAACCCATCTACCCCCCATGTGCAGGATCATCTATGTGCGAAATGCAAGTCTATCCAGATCTCTCAAATGCTCCTGAAAAGCACCCCGCATCAGCCGACATTTCTTGCACTGAGGATATCTGCCGAAAACGGATGCCAGCTGTGCCGGTTTCTCTGCATGTCGCTGGAGCAGGGCTTTCAAGGGCAGAAATACTTGGATCTCTCACTGCTGTCGGCTGAATACCCCGGATGCCAACTTTGGCTACGAGCCCGAGATGTCTCGTTAGATCGCATTATCCTAAGCTTCAATGAGTCTGGTGGTCCTACCGATTCAGATGGTCCACCTATCTCCTCCTACGGCCTCCCGCCTGGTTGCTACCAGAAATTAGAAAATCCGTTAGGATACCTCGACCTGTTCGCAGATTCTAGTAAGTCTGTTCTGTAGCCAGTAATATTTCAACCACAGACGAAGATTGACCCATCAAGGCGAGGCCGAACAACCGCCTGCAATCTGTGGCAGGCCGTTACCGACATCTGCTGGCAACTCTGCAGAAGACTTTGAGGTCGTCCGCGGCTGGCTGGTAGACTGCGTGAATACCCACCCTCTCTGTGCAAGTCCGCGCCCCGATGCTCCTCTTCCCAAGCGGGTCATCGATGTCGGACCGACAGATGGATCACAGGAGCCAAGACTTGTTCTAACCAGCGGCCAAAAGCTCCACGACCAGCGCTATGCAACTCTGAGCCACTGTTGGGGTGGAGCATTACCTCTGTCTACTACATCCGGTACGCTGGATGAACGAATCGCGGGCATTCCCATAGCCTCGTTGCCGAAAACGTTTCGCGATGCCGTCGTTATTGTGCGGGAGTTGGGTCTCCGCCTTCTCTGGATCGACTCGCTCTGCATCGTCCAGGACTCTAGGGAGGACTGGGAAGTGCAGTCCGCCGTCATGGGAGACATCTACAGGGGCGGCTACATCAATATAGCCGCCAGGGCCGCTGCCAACGGCTCTGTCGGCTGCTTCGTCCCCCGGGTTCCAGAGCCGCAGCCGTGTCGGATCCCGCGCTGGTCTAGAGACGGCACAATCGCGGGCTTCATGTACTTCCGCTCTCCGGCGTTCAGGATCGAGGACGTTGAGAGGACACCTCTCGACACGAGGGGATGGGTTCTCCAAGAGCGGACTCTGTCCCCTCGGATCATTCATTACGGCGCACAGCAGCTGTACTGGGAGTGCCTCAGCTCTTCCCATCGCCAGGACGGAAAGTATCACGACGACGCAGTGAATTTTCAGGAAGAAGTTGGCCTGGTGCCACTTGGTAATTACAAGAGAACACTTGGCCTGTATTCCCCGACCGATGCCGAAATGCTCGAAGAGTACCGATCTGCACTGTCCAGGTTCATGCCAGATGTCAAGGACGTTGAGCGGTGTCTGCACATGGACCAATGGTACTATACTGTGATGGATTACACGAGATGGAACCTCACTTTCCAGTCGGACAAATTGGCAGCGATCGCCGGCGTGGCAAAGACAGTCCAGCAGCAAAGAGGGTACACATATCTCGCCGGGATGTGGCGGGAGGACTTGGTGAGGGGCATGATGTGGTGGTTATGCGACATCGAGCTTTCGACGGCATCGGCAATAGAGCGAAGCCGGATCATATGTGATACGCTGCCGTCGTGGACATGGGCACGTCATTCAGGCGAGATTGACTTCATTGTTAGTCCGGAGCGAGAGGCCGTTAGCCAGGTCGTAAGCGTATCATATGAGGAGAACGGCAGCTTTGGACAGATTTCCAGTGCACGGCTCCGGCTAAATGGCCCCGTGGTCATGGGGCATTACAATGTCTCGAGATCTGAACGAGGGGCAAACCTGGTGGGAGCAGATGGTAAAGCCATTGGCTACGCAAGATTTGACATGCCGAAAGCGACAAAGCTTATTGGTGGAGATCAGCTTCTCTGTTGCATCCTGCTGCGAGGTTACACCGGGGAGGCACTTGGCCTTGTTCTTCAACAGGAAGGCAGACAACGAAACACATACAGACGGATCGGATACATCCGAGATGACGACCCCAAGTTCCAAGGATGCTTACTAAATCCAATGCCCGCGTACCAGGAGACGGTCATAGTGTAGGGCTTGCGTACTTGTCTCAGATAGACTAAAAGGGAAAGACCAAGTGATCGATTTCCCGGACATGAGGAAAACGGCCAACCAGATATTTAAAATTGGCTGCCTAATTGCTAGCCTGCTGTAGTTGGGTTCGGACGATCGTGCCGTACCATCGTCCAGATATGACGCTGGAAGGACCAAAGGGGCGTATAAACAGATCTCGAAATTGGGCGGAAGTTAACAAGATAGATATTGTAAGGAAGGAGAAAACAAAATATATCTGGAACGACTGAATTTAAATACAGGAACTTCCTAGTATTCCTATCCACTACCATTTAGAATCAGCCTATAGGCAACAAGAAGGCGTCCGAAATAGACGGCCGCAAGATTTCCATCACAACACAACGCCTTTAAGGATCCGCTCCGGCTTTACGCTTCCGGCGTGATGATTTATCCTTCTTAGCATTGTTTGGCGATCTACCTTGCTCGCGGACCAACAGGCGAGGAGACATTCGTCGTCCTGACAACTGCGGCTTACTTACAAGCGACTGCGCAAGCTTGTTGTTGGGAGTATCCTTGATGGCGTTTTTGAGAGCAGCACAACGCTTCTTCCAATGCGCCTGAAGCTGGTCTCTGAGGGCGTACGACTGGGCCTTCGCGTGGTCCTGCTCGTTCCTGATGCCCCTCTGTGCATTCTTGTACCCCTGATAGGTGGTGAGGTTTGCCGACGCAAAACGATACTGGTGGTATTGGGTTGTGTCATCGTTGGCGCATGAAGTGTAGTGTGCATAAAGGTTGAGACTCGTGCCGTCTGTGGTGAAGGTAGTCACCACGGCGTAGCCTGGGCGATCAGGCTGTTCTAGGTAGGATAGGGCCTGGTTTCTCGCGTAGACCATGGCAGCTCCATCATAGGCGCTTTGGAGCTCTGCCTTTCTCATGTTTCCAGAGGGGCCCTTCCACTCTCCGGCCAGGTGTGGAAGCGTGACGGAACGGGGTGAGAAGTTGCAAAGGACGGCCCCGTTGATATATTCGTCCACCGGGAACGGATCATATTCTTCCATGCGGAGCCCCTCGACAAAATCTGGTTGCGGGGCAGAGAGGCCGTTATTGAAGCCGGCATTCTTGGGCAAGCCCTTGAAAGATGGGCCGAACGACCTTTTGTACCCGGAATCCTCGTGCTTCTTCAGCAGCTGATGTCCTACCTCAAAGACCATGGTTGCTTCGTTGTCGGCATCTTCAACACATCTTGTAAACAGCCGGTGCTCCGACTCGGTGGGCGAAACACTTTTACGAGGCTTCTTGAAACGCTTCTCGATCTCCGCTAGATTTGTTGGAGGCTTTGTGCTGGTGTGAACTCTAATGCCATTTCTGAACGCCTTCATAGCAAATGCAGACGCCGTCGTCGAGACTGTCGTGGTGTCCGTTGTGGTCGGCGAGTCCGTGGTTTCGTCTTCGCTATCAACTGCCTTTCTCTTCATCCTGTTGAATCGGGCCAGGTTCTGTCGGGTCAACTGTGCTAGCTCTAGCTCAGGCTCGCTGGGACGTTGCTCTGGGCCAACTTCCGCCTGTCGTGTATCCGTCTGCCGAATTCTCTTCACTGGCAGTAGATCGACCACAGATACAGCGCCAAGTTTTGTCTTTGGCGTCGGCTTGGGTGAGGCGTTTTGCACCGTTGCGGCCGTTGCTAGACGAGTCTGTGCCCTTGTACGTCGGCGTCCCATGACGAGAAATGGACCTTTTACCCTTCTTTTATATTTGCCTCAACAAACAGACGTCCTGAGTCCCGACTGTGGCTGCTGCACTTTATGTCGGGAGATGCGGGGTGTCATAGCCTTGTATATCGGGGCAGGACCCATTTTTACCGTTTGCGTCCGTTTGCGTCACAAAGACGCAAGTTTTCTTTTGAGTTCGGGTGGCTGTTATGTCACGTGTAGAGGCCCGAAGCAGCTCAGCCATAAGACTAGACCTTCGACAGGAAGATTGTAGTGGTAATTTGGATGTGATGGCTGCCCGCGGGCAAATTGCCATAGTCAACCGCCATAGACACTTGTTCACTGGGCGCCCATAATTCAACAATAATATCTTACCATAATTTTTATTTTTGAGACGTTGCCATGTAAGAAAATAGCACGTTGCGAACCAATACAGTTTTTTATGGATCGCTAAGAAACTATCGAAGCCTTTAGGGCCACGTATTTTGAAATCCACAACCAACTCTTTAGGACTGCGGCTTACAATACTCCGACCAAGTTTGAGTGGCGCCATGTCAAAGTGCCGTATACGCCACCACTGCTTCACAGGATCGGTCGAGAAGAAGCCAACACGTTCAAATACATCTTCGGCCTGTCCGCCGTGTAGATGCCGCACAGCAATGCCCTGCACTTCGTAGGTCTGTATGTTGAACAGTATCTCTGTTTGGCGTCGCAGCATCAGAAGCGAAACGCAGAACAAGTCCGACTCTGTGTTTGGATCCTCTGGAACATCCTTGTTTTCGTTTGAGTTTAAAGGTCCTGGCTTAGATTCGGCAAAAGATGCCAAGTCAGGAACGAAACGCGCTGGATGTAAGAAGCCGGAACGTTCCCAGCCACCGGTATGGATGCGCCAACTAGAGTCTTTACGGTGCGTCAGCCGTGCGATCCGCAACAGCGGCGCCTGAATCTCGAGCACACCCTCCACTGCATTCCAGTGTCGCTTCTGCTGCTGTCCGTCCACCACGACTGGCTGCACTGTCGCAGAGCATATGACGGCTAAAGACTTGAGAAATACTTTCCTGTGCGCGTTGGTAGGCAGCTGGTCGATCGTGACCGAGCCCTCCACCGAGAGCCACGACCAGGTTGGTGCAATTTGAGGGCCAATAATGATCTCGCCAGGCAATTTTCCTTTTTGAGTTTCCAACATCCGCTGGCTGGGACCCTTGGCCATAAACCAGAGCAGACACTCGACGAGGTGGTCCTTCCACATACCGGCTACAAGATCATCATTGGTCGTGCTTTGGATCTTGTCTACTATTCCCTTCATGGCGATGAACAAGTCCGTTGTGTAAGTGAGACTGGAACGGGTGTACAGCTCAACGACGGTATACTAACAGTAGGGGAGGCTAATGACACCATTTTCCACATCGCGACCAAGGATCTGATCAAGCGCCGTACGATGCCTGCCAAGCCTCGTATCATTTGCCCATGAATTTTTCGAGTACCGTAACCTCTCTCGCATAAAAGCGCGGTTGGCCTACCAAGCGGGGGTTTGCAGAGGCTTTTCATGGCCGAAGTCGGTGACGAGATCAGGCTGAGCCACCCGACGCCGCAGTATAGCGGTGCGGTTCCAGCTTTTAGCAGGCAGTAGCAGTAAGCGCTCCACAAAGGCCCGACCCTTCCCAAGCGCACAGGACAGGGAACAAAAGAGTCCGAAGAACGTAAGGGGATTGGAGGGACGACTAGATGAGGCATCAGAGACGGAGGAAGCAGCGGAACTCAGAGAGCAAAGAGAAGAGGACGAGGACGATCTCGATAGATGCCCATCAGAGCCGTCGGTAGGAATAGTGGTGCGCGGTAAGTAGTCGCCGTAGTACTCCTCGGGATGCTTCTTGTAGACGAAGCCACCCGGACAAAGCTCCGAGGCTGACCGTGCGCAGCACTCCCAATACATCATGTCGGCACCAAAATGGAGGATTCGACATGACAGCATTCGTTCCTGCAGCACCCACCCTCGCCGGTTGAGCGATGCGTTATCGACGCCGCGATGGAAGTCGGCCATCTCGTCGCGGCGAATCTGCGTCCATACTCGACTTGCTCCCGTGAAAGCGCCAAATATGCCGCTGTACGATACGGCTACGCAGCAGGGGCGTAGGCTCTGAGAGTGGGGCCGCGAATGGAAGCAGCCGCCATCACCAGACTCCGAGCCAGTCGAGGCGAGCGTACACTCGGCGCCGGCATAGTAGCTGCCAATTCGTGCCGCTTCTGCATTCCAGTCGTCGCTCGAGTCCTGGATGATGCAGAGAGAGTCAATCCAGATGTATGAGAACTCGAGTTCCAGCGTGATCTTTATAGCGTCGCGCACATTCTGGGAAACGTTCGTTAGGTCTATGCCGTTTTTGATGCAATCCATGCTGTTATCCTGCAGGAGTTTGATATATGTGCCAGTACCCGCCCCAGCAATGGCTCAAGGCTAGGTACTGTGGCTTTTCGCAGCTCTGTCCAGTCAGCTCGAGCTTGAGTATTGGCTCAGCTTTGGGTCCGCTAACACGAAGCAGACGGGTGGGCAGCTCTCTAGGTGACGTCGTATCGCGTCTACACATGCTATGATCATTCTGGCATTGCTTAAGCCAATGGCTGGCCAAGGACATATGCTCTTTTGACCCCGTCGAGGACTTTTCGGTCGACGGAGCCTCTAGTAAATGGTTTCCCTACCATCTCTGACATTCTTGCTGCGGTATATGACGTGACGAGGGCCCATCGGCGTGTCGTTGCGGTACAGCTTCATAAAGACGTATCGCAGAAGTGGCCGCTCCTGCCAGACATTGACTCGCCACTCAGAGAGCAGAGGTGGTGCGAACGGGTTCACGTCCACCGAGGGCCAGATAAGCGAGCACAGATCGCAACTCTCCTTAGATTTATTCTGGTAGGGAAAAGTTTTAGGATAGATGTCGTGATACTCCGTGAGTGGTGTCAGTGGCAGCCAGTAAGAGCCATGATTAGTCGCGAGCGTGACGTGAACCGTTCACACTGGGTGCACAACGTCTTGGGCTCAAGGCCTAGGGTGTTGATGTGCGAAGAGCCGGACCAGGGAACTCTAAGCCTGAAGCTGACAAGGTTGAAGGGAAAAAGATACACATCTGGCATGAGGTAGACGTAGTTGAAGAGGAAGCGGCCAAGCATCACGAACAGGGAGCCGACGACGACAGCCAAAATTGTGCCACGGATGCCGGAGGAACAACCAGCCACGCCAGCGAGAGCACGAGCGATAGGCCAATGGGGTGCCAAATACAAGGCGCTCCTTGGAAGGGAAAGACTAAAATCATGCAGACTGTGAAGACGAGCCAGCCGAGCCAGAAGCCGGGGTGGATGAAGAAGTAGGCTTTGGTGAATAAGAACGGGACCGAGATGGCAAAGCTGAGGGTCACGGTGAAGCAGGGAACATCCATCAACATCAGCACAGCAGTTGCCAGCCAGAAGATCAGCCAGAATATGCGTAGAAACAGAGGCGCGGCCATAGATGTAGAGCCGTGGCCTCTGACGAGGAAGTACACCACGGCCATAATATTGGCGCCGGGCATCGGGTATGGGTAGTAGAGCGTCAAGTACAAGAGTTTAAAGATTTTTTTTTCGAATATGCGGTTCCCTAAACTTCGTACCTCAAGCGCGGTAAAGAACATGGCAACGACTAGGATGTTGAGAGGCGGCTCTGCAAAACTCAAAAGTCCCCAGCTCTCAAAAGCTGGGGCTAAGAGCAAGATACAAACCACAACCTCCCAAACCTCAACGTCTTCACATGCTTCTGAAAGGAAGTCCATTGGCATCTAGATTGACAGAGGGGATGGGTTTAGGTAACACGGGAGGATAATGTGCACATACAGCAGAGGTAGTTAACTTTTCAACAAGGGCTATTCGACTGAATATATGCTTCGGTCGCCTTCCCAGTCTCACGTCGAGCTGCTTTATCTTTAGGCTTTAGGCTTCGAAAAGGCATGTTACGGAGCAGAGGCCTAATTAGACAAGGACGGCTTATGGTTGCCTATCAGATTCGTTGTCAAGGATAATTGGACAACAGTTGTGGTCAGGTTGCTGACGTGCATGAAATTCCCTACTAAATAGCGCCCTTTTCCGCACACAGTATAAATAGTTAATTATCACACGGTGCAAAGCGCCGCACTCTACCCATTTCGGCCTAGCTTGCTCAGCAGGCTCTGATTCTGCCAACTTTGGCCGCCAATCAGAGTCTGCCGTGCTGCCCAAATCGTATGAAATCACAAGCAAATTAGGAGCCGGGCGATCTGCTGTCAATCTGCTGTCAACCTGCTGGCAGGCACTGCTATTCGCCGTTGACAAGCAACGGACTTCGGCTTGCATCCGAACAAAAGCCGCGTTGGCCCCACTGAAGCTAGGGAAGCTAGCAAACAAGCGTCCACGTTGTTTGTGAGAATGCGTGATTCTGTCGATTTACCTCCATTCCCTTTCCTACCCCCAGACTACGACTGTCACATGCCGGCCATTGAAAACGTCTGATGGACCGCCTCGGAACGTTTCCTGGCAATCAGGCTGCCTTCTCTGTCTATTCCCGTGATTATTGCTCGCTATGTTGGCTGACAGATAGCGGAATGTTTCCGACTGGTGTTCTGTCAGACATTCGAATCACGTTGTTGCATGCGTGTGCTATATAACAACAGCGCTGCAATATGTTGGTAGGTCGGCTTCCACCGTCTTGGCATTGCTTCTGTTTTGCCTTTTGAACGTTGCTCAGCAGCTTGCACGCGTTTCTCGTTGCTTCCAAGAATGACAGCTGACGCAGCAAGTCCGAGTCCGGGTGCTTTGCAGGATGTCGATGACGAATCCGAGCAACAAGCAGCTCCGGTGCCTCATTCCTTGAATCCACCATCAGAATCATCGCAGCCGACCGAATACAGTACGGCGGCGGCCGAGAAGCCACACCACGTCGTCGCACTCGAGGCGGAGGACCTCCAGATCCGGGCGACACTTGAGGCTCTACGTGCTCGCGATGAGCAGTCGGGCCTGCCAGCTGGCGAGCTGGGCATGACCTGGCGGGATGTGACGGTCAAGGCCGTCAGTTCGGAGGCGGCACTGCACGAGAACGTGGTATCGCAGCTGAACCTGATACGTACGCTTCGCGACGCCCACCGCAAGCCGCCACTCAAGACGCTCGTCGACCATTCGCACGGCTGCGTGCGACCAGGCGAGATGCTGCTGGTGCTGGGCCGCCCCGGTGCCGGCTGCACGACGCTGCTCAACATCCTGGCCAACCGGCGGCGGGGCTTCGACTCGGTCGAGGGCGACGTTCGCTACGGCAGCATGACGGCCATCGAGGCCAAGCGCTACCGCGGCCAGATCGTCATGAGCACAGAGGAAGAGCTGCACTACCCGACTCTGACCGTCAAGCAGACGCTCGACTTTGCCACGCGGCTCAAGGTACCCTTCCACGCGCCCGTGGGGGCTGACTCGATCGAGGAAGTGCGCACGCAACTGCGCAATTTCCTGCTCGCCAGCCTGCACATCGAACACACAGTCGGCACCAAAGTCGGCGACGCGTTTGTTCGTGGTGTCTCGGGCGGCGAGCGAAAGCGCGTGTCGATTGCCGAGGCTATGGCCACACAGGGCTCTGTCTACCTGTGGGACAACTGCACACGAGGACTGGACGCGAATACGTAAGCAGAAACACCCACACCCCCTTGGCTTGACCTAGCTGCTGACTGGCAGTGCCCTCGAGTTTATCAAGGCCGTTCGCGCCATGACCGACGTGCTTGGCCTCACGAGTGTCATGACTCTCTACCAAGCCGGCAACGGCATCTACAACCTATTCGACAAGGTGCTTGTGCTCGACCGTGGCCAGCAAGTCTACTACGGACCGACCGTGGAGGCCCGTCCGTTCCTCGAAGACCAGGGCTTTGTCTGTCGTCCTGGCGCCAACGTTGCTGACTTTCTTACCGGTGTCACCGTTTCGACCGAACGCATCATCCGCCATGGCTGTGAGGCCACGTTTCCACGCACTACTGCTCAGCTGCGCACCGCGTACGAAAAGTCGGAACTGTGCCATCGCATGGAGCTCGAGTATGTCTATCCCGACAGCGATGCCGCTCGTGTGGCCACCGAGCGTTTCCAGGCCCGTGTCGTTGCTCTGCGCGACAACCGCTTCATCGGCCTGCTTGGCCGTCATAGCCCGCTCACCGTCGGCTTCGCCTCGCAGGTCCGCGCCTGCGTCATCCGCCAGTACCAGGTTCTCTGGGGCGACAAGCCGACGCTGATTGCCCGCCAGTGTGTCTGTCTCGTCATGGTGCTGATTGTCGGCTCGCTCTTTTACAATGCCGCCGACGACTCGCTCGGACTCTTTCTCAAGGGTGGCGCGCTCTTCTTCTCGCTCGTCTTCTTCACCATGCTCGCTATGCCCGAGGTTATGAACTCGTTTGAGGGTCGGCCCATCATGATGGAACAGCGACACGCTGCCCTCTTTAATCCTGCCGCCTTTTGCATCGCCCAGATCTCTGCCGATGTTCCTATGACGTTGTTTATTGTCTCCTACTTTTCGCTTGTGCTCTACTTTATGGTCGGCCTTAAGGAGACGCCTGCGGCGTTCTTTACGTTTTGGATCCTTCTGTTCACCATCAGCATGACCATCACAGCTCTCTGTCGTGCCGTCGGTGCCCTTTGCCGGACGTTCGATGCCGCTAGCAAGATTATGGGCATCCTGATGATTGCCTTTCTGACCTACTCTGGCTACATGATCTTCAAGCCCAAGATGCATCCTTGGTTTGTGTGGATCTACTGGATCTCACCTATGTCCTACGCCTTTGATGCTCTGCTGTCTAACGAGCTTTCCGGGGCCGTCATCGCCTGCAGTGGCATCAACCTGATCCCCCGCGGCCCTGGCTACGAGAACGCCTCTGCACCATACCAGTCGTGTGCCGGCGTGCCTGGTGCCACGCTATTTTCCACCATCGTTGAGGGCAACTCCTATCTGAGCGCGCTCTCCTACAGCCACGGCCATGTCTGGCGCAACTTTGGTGTCCTGTGGGGCTGGTGGTCTCTGTTCGTCTTTGTCACCATTGTGGCTACGGCCAACTGGCGTGCGGCTTCGGAAAGCGGCCCGGCGCTGCTGATTCCCCGCGAAAAGGCAAACAAGGTCAAGCTTCCGAACGTAGAGGACGGCCTTGGCACCGACGACGTAGCCGGAATGGGCAGTGAGAAGAAGGAGCTTTCCAACGCAGACAACAACGCTTCCGACAGCTCGACGCCGGCCCTGATGAAGAATACGGCCGTCTTTACGTGGAAGCACCTCCACTACACCGTGCAGGCGGGCGGCCGTGACCTCAAGCTGCTCGATAATGTGCAGGGCTGGGTGCGTCCCGGCATGCTAGGGGCACTGATGGGCTCCTCAGGCGCCGGAAAGACAACGCTGCTGGATGTGTTGGCGCAGCGCAAGACTGAGGGCGTTATCAAGGGCAGTGTTCTGGTCGATGGCCGCGAACTGCCCGTATCGTTTCAGCGATCGACGGGATACTGCGAGCAGCTGGATGTCCACGAAGCCCTAGCCACTGTGCGGGAGGCCCTCGAGTTTTCGGCCCTTCTGCGACAAGACCGCCACACGCCGCGTGCCGAAAAGCTGGCGTATGTCGACACGATCATCAACCTGCTGGAGCTCAACGACCTTGCCGATACGCTGATTGGCCGAATCGGCAACGGCTTGTCGGTCGAACAGCGCAAGCGCGTGACGATCGGCGTCGAGCTTGTGGCCAAGCCGAGCCTGTTGATCTTCCTAGATGAGCCGACCACCGGTCTCGACGGACAGTCTGCCTTTAATACCGTCCGCTTTCTGCGCAAGCTCGCTGATGCTGGCCAGGCCGTCCTCGTCACCATTCACCAGCCGTCGGCACAGCTGTTTGCCCAGTTCGACACCCTCTTGCTGCTGACAATGGGCGGCAAGATGGTCTATTTCGGGGATATCGGCGTTCGCTCCGATATCAACGGCCTTGCGCATGCAGCACCGGCCGACTCGTCCGGCCACGTGGAGGACTCGAGCACGCAAACAGTCCGCGAGTACTTTGCCCGTTATGGCGCGCCTTGTCCTTCTGGCGTGAATCCAGCCGAGCACATGATCGACGTCGTCTCTGGTCGCCTGTCACAAAATAAGGACTGGCACCAGATCTGGTTGGACTCGCCCGAAAAAGCGGCCATGGACGCCGAGCTAGACCGTATGGTGGTCGAGGCACGAGCAAAGCCGCGTCTTGCGCTGACGCAGACACGCAGCCAGGAAGGCACCAACGGCAATCTCCAGCTTCACCGCACACTAACAAACGCCACGGACGCCACATACGACTCGACCGCACCGGCACCGCCGTCGCTTAACACGGACGACAGCGAGTTCGCTGCGCCGCTCTGGGAGCAGATCTGTGTGGCATCGACGCGGATGAATCGTGCTCTCTACCGCAACACGGATTACATTAACAACAAGATCTACCTCCACATCCTAACCAGCCTGTTTACGGGCTTTTCTTTCTGGAAGATCGGCTCGTCCGTGCTGGACCTGCAGCTGCGGCTGTTTGCCGTGTTCAGCTTCGTGTTCGTGGCGCCGGGCGTGATCAACCAGCTGCAGCCGCTCTTCATCGAGCGGCGGGATATCTTTGAGACGCGCGAGAAAAAAGCCAAGATGTACTCGTGGATCGCGTTCGTGACAGCGCTGATCGTGTCGGAGCTGCCGTACCTGGTCGTCTGCTCGATCATCTACTTCTTCTGCTGGTACTACACCGTCGGTTTTCCGCACGCAACCAGCCGCGCCGGTTCGACCTACTTCATGGTGCTGCTGTACGAGTTTCTGTACACGGGCATCGGCCAGTTCGTGGCAGCCTATGCGCCCAATGCCGTGTTTGCCCACCTGATGAACCCGTTTGTGATTGGGATCCTGCTGGCCTTTTGCGGCGTCCTGGTGCCGTATTCGGAGATCCAGCCGTTCTGGCGCTACTGGATGTACTACCTGAACCCGTTCAACTACCTGATGAGCGGTCTCCTCGTCTTTGACTCCTGGGACTCCAAGGTGCGCTGCCGGAAGGACGAGTTTGCCTACTTTAACCCACCCGACGGCCAGACCTGCGGCGAGTACTTGGGCATCTACCTCCAGACCTACGGGCGGATCAACAACCTGGAGAACCCCGAGGACACTTCGCTTTGCCGCGTGTGCCAGTATCGCTCGGGAACGGACTACCTCTACACCGTCAACATCGACAAGTACGGCAACGGCTGGCGGGACGCAGGCATCCTGGTGATTTTTGTCTTGAGTTCGTACTCGTTGGTCTACGGTCTGATGAAGCTGCGGACCAAGATGTCCAAGAAGGCGGAGTAGGAGGAGATAGAGAGGCAAGCGGAGGAGAAAGATTTGTACAAAAAACTTGGAAAGTTTTTATATGTTTGAACGCAAATTATGTGACCTAGTCAAGAGAATCCCAATCATCTATGCCCGCTTACATGATACTGTAATGTGCAAGCACAGCTTTCTGCCACATTTCCCCTAATGAACTTACACCACACAAGCTGAGTATTATTTCCTGTACTAAAACTAAATCATAAACTTACGGGTAACTTATAGGTAAGACGCGGAAGGATAAAGATGAAATATGCCTTTATAATAAGACTTATATTTTACGACGGCCGGAGAGTCCAAACATGGCTGTGCTTTTGTAACCCCTTTGATTTGGAATTTAGATCTTTCAACGTTCTAGTATTCCCCTCCACAATCTATAAAGGAATTGGGGGGTTCTCTGCCAACCACTCATTGCTAGGCGTGTATGTTACTATAGATTCGCAAGGTATCTCGCACTCGGGCAAGTGAATGGTCGGGTTACGCTCATTTATCCCTCTTGCAAAAAAAGCCCTAGCAAAAACTGGGTCAAACACAAAAACCGGCGTATCAGTCCGGCAGTCTCTCCGTTCGGCTGTAGCCTCAATCTCATCTATTTTGAAGAAACATTCCGGCGTTAACAGCCAAAATGCCTCGACGTTGTCTTTGATATGCTTGGCCGTTGTAACATCAAGTCGTGTGTCGATAAAGAAAAGCTGTCTCCGGCCGGCCATAGCTACGTACGGGGTGTTTGGTGGTATAACCTGAGGGCCGAATTTCGTTTAAACAAACTGAGGTATGTAGCCGTGGAAATATTTCTCTTGAAAAGTTGGTGGACCCTCTAACGGCTGGAATGGGTTGGGAGGCATGTTTAGGGGTGGAGGACGGAACGATGCAGTATATGAGTAATGAGGACGATAAAGGCACTTGTGAATCAAAAAGGGCTATAGTGCTCTTGATAAGACAAAAAGACAGATTTAAGAATACGAAAACCAGGTAACGGGGTGTACTATATAGCAATTATGATTAGAAGGTCGAAGCGGGTGTATTCCTTTGAGCTGAAAAAGCATGTGTTCCTGCCATGTTATTAAAGCAGCTTCTCGAAACAGTCTAGGTTTTAACTAAGCGCCTTTTAGTTTTCTCAAATTGGCAGGTACAAAGTAGACCATGGGGCCAACGGGAGAGGCTACCTTCGTACATAGGAAGCGCCGTACACGTTTCACCGCTTAATGTAGGCAGTCGCCGGATCAATCTGTTACCCCTCTCTACGATGTCTAAGATATGAAAAGTACGGCGTAAAACGGCAAGTGCGGGGCCAAATCCTTTCCGCCGAGAAAGCGTAGACTATTGTTATGCCAATAAGAAACCAAACATAATCTATCTTCATTTCTTTTACAAAAAGTCTTACCACCGATCTATTCAAACAGCTACATATAACCTAATACAATCTGAGTAAGTACTTTCTTATTGTACTTCTAACCACTAGAAGACAAGTCACCTTAACTAACTTCCAAGCACTCGACTATTTGCAATGCTGTGTACACTTATGATATCTCTGATTCTGTCCTCACTCGCTCCAGGAAAGGGCTCGCCAACCTTCCAAGAGGAGTACCGCCACGGCTACGTACCCGAGTTCATCGACACGGAGTACGGTCCCCAAATGGTAGCTCCCAGTACTCCATATGTGGCAGCAGCGGGCCGATACAAGCTATACTTCATTAACACTCGGTTCGAACCACAGGCTGCAATGCAAATCAAGGAGAAAATTGAAGCAGCATCTGTGCTGAGGCCACAGGAATACTTTTTTTTGTGGACGAGATTGAGGCTATAGCAGAGTTGAGAAACGCGGCTGGCGAAACTACTTTCGGTTTTGGACCCCCTTATGCTAGGGTAAGGTTTGTGAAAGGGATGAACAGACACAACCCAAGCCTTCAGTTGCCCGAACATTATCCCGCTGGTGACTGAATGGTGGCTTTTGATCCTGACCGCAACACTGCCTTAACAAAAAGACAGCCATGCGGTGATTTTGGTTGTGTTGACTTAGATAATAGTTTAGGACACACCACTCACTCTTGCGATTATTGCCCTCACTATAGGATCGAAGACGTGTTCGATGTGCAGTTAAAGAATGCCAACAATACATGCAGCCACCCAAAGTGCTTGATTGCGGTTGATACACCTAGGGAACAAGGAGAGACAGATTCTAGTTACTATCGCCGGATGGACACTTTGCACTGGGGCTGAGCAAGGGATTATCAGAAAACATACGAGACGAGTGAGGTAAATAGCCTGATGCTTACAAGATGCAGGTCAGGTTACATTATTTTGAATTGTTATGAGTGGGAAACAACCCAGATACGATGTCGAGACTTCTCGACAGTAGTTTTACCAAGTGAGGGACAATAATGGTGCCATGAACTAGCAAGAAGAAAATCAAAGGAACAATTTCTGTGCAGGTGCGTTGTCGTGTCTCTTTCTGCGTCTAATAGTCAACATCAATACTTGTAAATAGCACTAGTTCTGATAGAGGCCGTCAACACGATGTAATAAATGTATCCGCAAAAGTATAAAGTAAAAAGGAACGTTATGCAGAAGAAGTACACAAAAAACGTTAGCTTTACACCTTAACCATTTAGTCTTAATAAAAGCCTCATTAACAAGTCACATGCCAGGCGACAAGGCGGCGTAGTTTGTATAAGCGTACGGAGTACAGCTAGGGCGCAAGGTTTGCGAGTACAGAGGTGTATTGCACTGTGAGGAGTAAGAGACTAACTTAGGAAGGGATTTATGTTGTGCACAGAGTTCTCCGTACTTAGGATAGAATGAGTTGGAAGTGAGGTCTTGCGGCACAAAATCAAAAGATACATGTACTTCGTATCCTCTATCTAGTAGAGGATTTCATGCACAACGGCATAGCTCGGAAGTAACAGGACAAAACTATAAATGCATGCTCACTGGGCATCCATAAATCAACAAAGCAGGCCCCCTTTCTATCACGTATGGTAGATACCCCATGCAACCTCATCGCCACCCGAGGGAACAGCTTGGCAGTTCATTCTTCCTTTCGCTCCAACCAGATTATTCCAGGAAAATTTGGAGATAGATGTATTAATCAAGTCGATAATGTCCTGGTTGCCAACTTTGGCATACCAAGCATGTTCACTTTCATCGGGCCTTACAATAAAGCCACACGTGCCATAGGTTGCGAGCGTCCTCGTCACTCCGGCTGCGGTGGTCCACGTCCCGCCACCAGCAATGTTGGCGGCCAGTTGCCGGCAGTCCGAAACTTTAGGCGATCCACCGCTGGACTGGTTGATGAATGTCGATTCACCGCAGTCGTTTACTTGATTTTGAGAGCTTTCGTACGAGAAAGTGTCACGCCTGTCTAGAATTGGAGTAACAGGCCTGGGGGCACTGTTGGTCACGGCGGCCAGGAGAGCAGCAATAGCAACAAAGCTAAACTGCATTATTGTAGTTGGAAGCCGAGAATTGTGTTAAGGACACAGATGCACGATTAGCTCTCGACCTGGTGATATATCGTCAGTGCTGTTAACAAACGGACGAGAAGTAGTAGGGAAGGCGAGGGGGGATAAGGGGCAAGGGATGTAATAAACGCATTTGTACCAGATCTTAAAGGCTTTCGTTAGATGAATAGAATTGGCCAAGAAACCGGTAGAGATGGTATTAACCCAAGTATTCTGTTCTTTAATAGAAGCTAGAATGGTTACGTTTGGTTCTCTTTATACTTTTCGATCTCAAGCCCCTCAGTCTAACTTGTCTTGTTCAGTTAAGACAAAGCTTACATTTTTCGCGAAGAAAACCCAACATGTCTGCTTGTCTGCGTTTTCATCTACACCGGTCTTATAGAACGTGCCACGATTGTTCGTTTTCTACACTAAGCGACGGAACAAAAAATGATTATTGCGCTGCATATTGTCTACAACAACCGCCCTACATGTAGGTAGCTAATACAATTGTCTTGGTTTTCCCCTCTTTGTGAGTGCAGTCTCACCAATTATTTTCTTTGTCTGATACCTAATTTTACGCATTCTGTAGGAGGGTGTGTAGAGAAAGTAGATTACAATAATGATTCTGTATAAAAAGAGTGGTTACGTAGCATAGCCATATATTACCATTTAAGACCTAGCAAATACGCTCTATACAAAAGATAAGGATTGACATCTTATATCCTTGTGGATTCCCCTAGGTCACCTGACTTGACCTCGGCCGCCGAAATCACTAGATAAGACGAAGCCCTAATCTGCGCGCATACTGCGCACAGTCTGGTCTTCAATCAGTCAACCACCCAACGAAATATCATCACTAGATCTTCTAAAGGCCTTAGAGCTTGCTACAATACGTGCAACTGGTCTGGACGTACATCCTACAAGGATTGCCGTACGGGTCTTACGCTGGTATTCGCGCAGAGCAACTGCGCGTACAGACTAGCGGTGCACAGAGTAGAAGCCACATCCTGTGGATTTCCCCGAGGTCACCTGACTTGACCTCGGCCGCCGAAATTACTAGATAAGACGAAGCCCTGATCTGCGCGCATACTGTGCACAGTCTGGTCTTCAATCAGTCAACCACCGAACGAAATATCATCACTAGATCTTCTGAAGGCCTTAGAGCTTACTACGATACGTGCAACTGGTCCGGACGAATATCCCACAAGGATTACCGTACGGGTCTTACACTGGTGATCACGCAGAACGTGCGTGACAGACTAGTGGTGCACGGAGTAGAAGCCACAATCCTGCGGGAGCGATAGCATGTAGTGTTACATTTTTTTTTTCTCGAATTTATTTGTATATAACAGGCAACCCGTTTTTAGTAGCGGCCGCTAACCGGAAGTAAAAAGGATATCCACAAAAAACATAGCAGTAAAAATAGTTGACTGACGGAGTAGAAAAAGAAGTACACAGAAGACTTTAGCTTTTATGCTTATTAATCGCTCGGCCTTAATGAAAGCTCCAACGACAGGCGATAAGACGGCGCAATTCATGTCTAACAACCCAAAAGTCAAAATTGGAAGGTCAATCTCGAAAAAGCAAAAACAATCTCAGGTAAGATAAACACATTCGTCGTGTTTATTAAACCCGTTGCTAATGTCGTTTTTGCCCAGCAATAGAACGCATAATTGAATAAGCGCCTCTACACGATGTTGCCCTTTTACGACGCAAATTCAGCGGCTTTGTACATAAGGTACAGCTAGTTCTAAAGAGACTAAGATCCTTGCTAGGGTTGCGTGAAGTTTTGGGAGTACAGAGTATAATGACAAAGCGAAAAAAACAACTCAGCGTGCTCCACATCGGTAAAGCAGATGCAATTCGGTCTTACCTATTAGGGGGTATTGGCTTGATTTATGGCCCGGTGTAAATAATGTATTTTCTTATGTTTTGAAACGTTTAGAATACTTCCGCGGAGTGCTAGGTCTGAGTCTACTGTTTAATATATTTTCAAGCTGGCATTTGCTATATTGTGTAAAAAAAGGTACTGCCTTTTTTACCACTTACAACTGACCTTTTACAGCTATGCAAACTAACGTAAATATACCACGCCATACTTTTAAAATTATATAAATTTAAGTTGACGAATAGGCTATAACATATCAAGAGTAGCACATAATGTGGGGATCTCCGTAAAGTATGCTTCTTTTTTAGGTAAGTAGCTCTTTTCTTTTTCAGATTTTGGTTTCTTTTTTTCTCGTTTTAATACACCTTCTACTCCGCACACTCTTTATTTTATCGTTCCCTTCATATACTCTATTTCAAATAAGAACGGACCTATAATCTTTTCTTGGCGTCCTTGGACTAATATAATAGTTTAGCAGTATTTTATCTCATTTGATAGATAAAATAATAACAGGTCTTTTATTGTCTATTTCAATCAAAATTTCCCTACTTTCAACTCATCTTCCGTGATTCTTCATCTCGCTTTGTTCTCGTTGCAGTAACGATCCTTTAGTCTTTATCTCTCTTTAGACTGGCTGCTATGAACTCGTCGGCGCCACCTGTCCTCTACACAACCGTTACTCGCTCTCGTTACATCTGGCTCGTCTGCCAGCGGCGGCTGCGTCGGTTGTGTGCTAGCCTGTGTAGACGCTGGTTCTTTGCCAGCGGGGTGCTGGCTGTCATTCTGTTTTTACTTATACTTATACCCTACGACAGCCAGCTACGCCTATTCTACCGTTACCACTTTGTCACCAAATCACCCCCGGCGCAAATACGCAAACAGTGGCTTCAAGACCATACGCATTACCCGCTTTACTGGGCGGAAGACGTTGGCATCATCCTCAAGTCCGGCTTCGGTACCCAGTACCGCATTCCCGCGTGGTTCGATGCTGCACAAGAGGTCGGGGACATTGTGATTACGGCTGACTATGCCACTGACGTGCTGCGACCTATTACACACGAGGGCCGGCATTTTCCCGTCTACGATGTGGTGGATGCAATGATCCAGCAAGGTGCGTTAAACAGTATGCTTGCGCATGACCGACTCAAGAACTATCGTGCGTTGCACACTGCGATCTTGAGCAACGACATTGATCGAGCGAACACACTTTGTACAGAGTTTGGCTGGGAGCTTGATGCTATGAAGGTAAATTAGTCTGGCTTACCTTATTGCATCCCTCAAAGAACATATATGCTAATTTTGATTATCTTGCCTAGTTTATTTCGAGTTTGCAGCTTGCGTACCATAAGATGCCGCATAAGAAGTGGTATTTGCTAGTCGACGACGACACGTACGTTTTACAAGTCACGATGGAGCTTCTTTTAAGCCATCTGGATCCATCAAAACCCCACTACATTGGCAACCCGGTAGGAGGCTACTTGGGACGCTTTGCCCACGGTGGTTCGGCCGTGGTACTTTCTCATGCCGCCATAAAGCACCTATTTGCCCATCCACGCATTGTTTCTCAAGCGTTCCGTGACTCGCTTAGCGACCCCTATGGCGATCACCTGCTGTCAGCGACGTTAATGAAGGTTGGTATCTACATTGAAGAGGAGTATACGCAGTTCTTTAACGGCGAGCGACCGGTGATCACGAAGATCCGGGCCGACAGGTTATGCGCTCCAATTGCTTCTTTTCACGGCCTTCGACTGCCGGAGGAAATGCGCAGCACTGGGGAGACGTTTCGTGGGGTTAAGTGGCCGATAACGTGGCTACATGTGTGGTCGCTGTTTAACGCACCAGCACTGCGGTCCTTTGAGACGGAGCCTATGCGCGAGAACTGGGATCATGTTGGGCGGACAGACGAACACACGCGCTCGCTAGAAAATGTCCAGTCGGCGAGTGATTGTCTAGCGCTGTGCCGCAGCTGGACAGAGTGCTTGGCCTGGACATGGGATGCCGACAAAGAGGTGTGTCATGTTAGTCCGTGGTTTATTGTAGGCCAGGAATCTGAGGATAAGATTACGGGAGTTAGCGTGCCACGGGTGGTTTTACTTTCTAGCGCGTGCCCTTCTTTATAAATGTTGTATGGATTTTAAAGCAAAGGGTTACGGAGTACGGAGTACGGAGTAGTAATGAGGGAATACAATAAGGAAAAAGAGAGACAGGGGTTTGATTAGCGAGCACAGTGTACTGGGGTTCTCACTGGCCCAGTCACAATTAAATCTGGGCCTAAAGAGCGTGCTACAACTTACGGTTCTGGTATAGCCTAATATTAGGCTTATAATAGGCGTACTCCGTACGGATTATTATAGAAGGTTTTACGCAGCCAAGGCAGGTCTAGCTCATACATTACTCCGTACATTTGATATCAACTTTAGCCTTTATACTGCATTTTAAAAGTCTTTTGAAGTTCTTACGCAAACTATTTCCTGTTGAGGGGAGAAACGTCAGAGATTTCGTAAGACTGGGAGGCCAGTGGAGTAAGCTACCGCGGAGGGACTGCTTTTGTGTACTAATCTGCTGTGCTGTTTATTTTCTGCCAGTGTTTGGCATCATTGCTTATATAAGATGTTAAATTAGTCCTGAGTTCTATCTGTACGGGCACAATATGTTATTTTCATCCAGTTTTTTATTTGCTTATACAGGTACCCGTACAAATTGCAATCACCTCCTCTTCAAAAAAAAAAAAAAAACACTTTCTAACTTTACCCATTCCTACAAAAACTGTCGACCGCTATGACTAGGCACGGGGCACTAAGCGAGGAGCCTGAAGACGATGGAAAGCCCAGCCTCTCCGAGAAGAAGCTGTATTACTACGGTCTTCCTACGAAACCTGCTGGTATGCCAAACGGGCTCTACTAAATGGACGCTCCATAGCTCTCCACATAACCACCTGCCACTCAAGGCAATGTGCAACGTTGGGTCGTCCCATTTGCTGGTGAAAATCTCGGACTCTGTGGTGGACGAGATTATAGAGGTGCTCGAGCCGCTTGCGTAGACTAGCATCGGCCTGTTCTGTGTTAGCTACCAAGGCACAACGGAGAATGATTGGCATGTAACATTATGGTAGGCGTTAAGCCTGGCCGTAACAAGTGGGAAGCCGCGTCGCATGTGGCCGTAGCATGCCGGGCGATTCTTCGGGATCGCGGTGTGTGGGATGTCGAATGTAAGATTTGTTGAAGCGACACTTTCTGCTGCGTCTTGTGCAGTCCCAACACTGTGGACGAGGTGGTTAGCGGACAGAGAGAACATATGGCTTTCTCTAAGCTCATCGCACAAACTATCTATTGAGTTTCGAGTTAGTTATATATAACCCTGCCTACTACGATAGAAGGTATAGGATCCCTACTTTTGCACTTAGTGCAGGCGGTTTAACAATTCAACATATATAAAACCGGTTGTGATTTTCCCTGCACAAAAGCCAGGTTGCTCGCACCCCTATCGCACAAAGCCGCGGCGTTCGAGCCCACGCTAAATCGAAAGTTTACCACACATAGAGAAACACTACCAAAGCCTGCAGCAGTAATCCAACTCTTCTAGGTTATATTCGGCAGGTCTATCGGGTAAACTCGGCATCCCTTAGAATAATCTGCCCAACTCCAAGTCTCTCTTAAGCAACCAGCTTTCCGCTTCGCTGCAACCTAGGGGGGTGTGGTATAACAATTCAACACTATCTTGCCGTGTTTAAAGCCAAGCCGACAAGGGCACTCTTGGCATCTACCTTACAGTTGGTAACCTGGGCACGGTGTGCGCCCATACTTGTCGTAATGTTGTCTTTGGCGATCATAAGACCGAGTTCGCACTTAGGAAATGATTTTACGGATACCGGTAACCACCGTGACGTCGCTTAGCTTAGACAGCGATCGTTTGATGTAAGTTTCGCCTTTACGACCGAGCTTTAGCTTTAGACGAAAATTCGGCCTTCCTTAAGAACATCTCAACCCAACAAAGCAGTATGGATTGCCGCATTAACTACGTGTTTTTCTCGCCCGCTTGCACAACTGACGACGCTAGCTAACTGCACGACTGGCAACTAGTAAAGCTGGTAGCAGCGCAATATGCCAGCCAGAAACAAAGGCTAAATTTTACATGATACGTATAAAGGGCATCGTCTCTAATGGCGGAGAGTTTCCGGACCGCGGCGGACAACGATACAAAAGACTAAGCGGCCCTCTGGGTACAAATGGTATCATCCAAGGACGGCAAGCTGATGACGGGAATCTCCAACGGGGTACGCTCTGTACGCCGAATCAAGCCAGCCATCGATAGCAAAGATATTACAACGCGCGAGTGGTGCATTGTTGGCCGTAACGGCTAAAGGAGGGGGGCTGTCCTGCACGGTATTGACAGCAAGCAAAGCAAACTGCAGGCTTTCTCGATGTCGGGCGATTTAGGCACGGCCGTATTCGATTTGCAGGGTTGCATTGCTGGTATCCTTACCGTAGGGTGTGGCTGCTAGGATGTTATAACGTTTAGTACTAACACCGATTTTTACTATGCTAATTTCTCTTACGTAAAGCATATTAAGGCAATTTTGGACGTGCCTAAACTAAGTATGGCTGTGCGGAGAGTCTGTAAGGGGAAAGGAGATTGGATTGTGTTTTTTTAGAACTAATTATGTATAAGCTTGCGTGCTTTGTAACATAGGGGATTCTTACGTGTAGTAGGTTAGATTTTTGGCCGATTGTTTGCTTACAGTAAAATATAGCTTTGTTTATTATAATAATAGTTTGTAGCAATAGTACTTGTAAAAGTTTTGTTACTATGTAGTTTAAATAAAAGATTATTTGAGCGGCAAAGCTTTCTATACACGCATGCTTACTAGGCGTCCATAATGTAACAAAGTGCTACTAACTATGTGTGGAATACAGTGTGGCATTTCTATGCTTGACACTGGCTTGCTCGGCGAGCTTACGTTATCTGACGGATGCGAGTGAATTGGACGGATGCAGAAGCTAGCCCAAACCCCCGCTTTCCATTTTGTCAACCCGGTCGCGAAAGAAGGAGGAGAAGCAAAGACAAGATACGCTCGAGAAGAAAAAGATGAGCTGGAGCGGATCATTCTCCGCGCAGCAGCAGCGGGGATCCACGGGAGGGAAGCCGTCGCGAGGCAGAGGCAACTTCCAAGGCCGAGGCCGCGGTGGGTTTTCGCGCGGAGGATACTTGCACGATAGCCAGGAATACAGAGGCAGAGGCAACAAGAGGGGCTCGTGGCGAGACAGGTCTGGCGGTTCGGAGCCGCCACTGCCACCGTTGCCAACCGGGCCACTGATTGAGCGATTACGGGCAGTCGATCTCGACTTTGAGGCCGCGTCATTTGAGGATGCAGCAGTCATTTCGGCTGTTGAGCCGGTCGCTTCATTTAGCTGGATGAAGGCCGATAGGCCGACGATCATGATCCCGGGTTTGTCATTGTTTCTGTTTATTCTATTTGTTCTGCCTGTTCTGCCAGCAGATCCATCAACTGATCCCAATGACTCTGCAACTAGGCATGCCCCCACGCTGGTCGCCTCCAGCTGCCGGCGCGCCACCACCGGTGTTGTCCGAGGACAACGGGGCCTACTTCCGCGATATCAATGCGGGCCACTACGCAGCCCATCCGATGGAGCCGACGGTCGTGGCTGGCCTCGCCGCCGACCCGTCGCTGCCGCGCTCAACCGACATTGTCGCCTGTGGCTCGACGCTGGGCAGTCTTCTGCGCTTTCTGCGCGGTGACGACAAGCCGTTCCGCATGCTGGCCGAGATCGTCACGGGCAGCCTCTTCCTCGTGCGCCGGGAGCGGTCGCCGACCGAGCTGCTGCAGAACGTCTACGGCTACGGCCACTCGTTTCCCGAGGCCTACACGACCTGGGATCCTCGTGTGCGCGGCTCAACATCACACCAGCGGCTGATACGCTACTCCTTTGGCCATCTGGACCTGGCCGTGCGTTACGAGGTGGACGGCTACCTCGAGGACGAGGAGGAGCAGAAGAAGAGGACGGAGAGACAGCAGACAGAAGAGACAGCCTCGGCCTCATCCGTGGACGATCTGGTGGCCGGTCTGGATGGCCTGTCGACAGCTGGCAGCAACGAAAAACGCGGCTCCCCGTCCTCGACGTCCGCTCTGACCGTCGTCCACGGCGGCTCGCCCGTTGACCGCCGTTGCGTCATTGATATCAAGACGCGCAGCGAGCGCAAGCGCGAGCTTGAGGACACTATCGCCCTCGAGCTGCCTCGGCTCTGGGTTCGCCAGATTGACAACTTTGTGCTGGCCTACCATGTGCGCGGCACGTTTCACGACGTCCAGGTGCTGCCGGTGCGCGACCGCGTGCGCGCCTGGGAGCGCCACCCAGAGCAGCGTCCGGCCCTGCGCCGTCTGGCCGCCCTGCTGCATCGTCTCGTAGCCGCCACGCGGACGGCGCCGGACCAGCGCCTGGAAATCGTGTTTGCCGGCCGTGACAGCTCGCACGCTACTTCACAAAACCTGCCAGACGACCACGCTTATTTAGAGCTGCATGCACAGCTGCCTGGCACTGAGGACACGCTGTCGGCCGCTGTCGGCGAGCAGTGGGACCACGGACTATCGGTCGCAGCGTGGCTGGTGGAAGACTCGACAGCCTCCGATGGGCCGGAATCGCCGGTCGACAAACAACCTCTGAAGGAGGCCCCACTTGAAGACGGCGGAAAAGGGGGCCAGCTGCCCACGCTGGCAGAGCTGGTCTCCTGGGAAGATGGCAGCGAGGACTTCACGGGCTGCTCAGCAGCGTGTGGCTACTGTGGCGAGTGCGCGTACTGAGATGGGATTGTATGGTCGATGCTTGAGACATTGCTCTGTCGATATGCTATATGAACGAAATTGACAACACATGCACGCTAATTTGTCTCCTTGGAAAGTCCCTACAAACAGCATATAGTCTTTCTGCAAGGTGCCTGGTCAAAGTGTTAGTGTTCGGTTACACGGTACGTCAAAGGATCATTGCCAAACGTCAACTCGCGTTGCTTTTCTAAGAAGCGTCGATAGATATGACACACATGGGTATTGCATTCACATTAAGCGAATGCTAGAGGTAGACGATACTAATCTATCAGGGCATCCCAACTCGTGCTCGCCGGACACGGTGTCGTTGCAGCGCGAACAACGAAGTCGCAGATGTGGTTGTCGGCTTCGGTTTCGGCTTTGACGGCAGCAACGAGTGTCATGACCCTGAGAAAGCGCTGGGAATCGGTTGTGAACTGGCCGTCTGCGATTCCTGGGCGCGGTAAGGTGTCGTGATGAGTACCTAGGCGTGTTATCCCGCATTGCTTCCTACGCCTAGGACGTTTTCTGAGAGAACTTTGGTTTTTACCAGATTCATCACTCAGCAGACGTGCGCTGTGTTCCAGCTCAACGTGCCGACCGTGGCTGTTATCGCCCCAAGGATTTCGACCACTATCAGACAACAGCATCTAGGGGCTCCGTCGGGAAGAAGGACTCTCAGGACCCTTTTTAGGCTTTTCATCGTGGCGTTACCTTGCGTCGTGTATGACAAGTTGATTGATGCAACCGCCTTGGGGTTGACGCGTAATCGACACTTGCATCTTTGTCTTTCTGGGCGGGAACCAATATATCTAGTGTGGAAGCCTAGATAGTATCAAAATTCAAGGGCAACGGTCATAATCATTGGAAGCGCAGCCTAAGGTGCGGGGCGGGCGATTGCTATACGTACGCATGAGTAATGTACTCCGTATGTTGAATATAACACGAGAATATCGATCCGCCTTTAACCACGTATAAACACTGCAACTCTGCTTTCATCCCACGTACGGCCAAAGATATTGGAAAGCACGGGATCCCGTCCGCTCTCCCCTAGGTTAGTAGTTGGGTCGGTGACGACCAGCGAATACTCGCTGCTGTACGTTTTTTGGCATCAATCTCTTTTTCGGTCGACAGAAGTGTTTTCTCTTTCTGTTCCGAAATAATCAATTTTCTATATTTAATCTGATTTAGTACTCCTTATTTAAGTTCGCCGAACTGGTTGTACATTCCGACACACGTGACTATTCTGTGGCGGTGCAGGCTACAGTACGATTATCCATAGTCACGGCGCATAAACGCACTGTACGGTATCACGCGGCCTTGTCCATGGAGATCGCCCAACTCCGGTATCTTGCAGTGGCCCCGCTCTCCAAGCTGCCAATTACGGCAATGCCGGGTTAGCGTGCCGGACGCTCCTTGGTCACGACTCATTTTTACGCTGTCTCTGCCCAACTCAATTGCTTGCCCCTGCGTCGAGGTATCACGAGCACGACCACAGCGATAGTGGGTGAGAGAAGAGAAGCAATCCAAAAGCCAGATAACCGTGGGGAAGCTCTAGCCAGCCACGTCATCTTATGCCACCCAGCAGCCTGAAGCACAATGGCCGGCTTTGACGGCTGGCCGAGGCCGGCCTACAACGCGTCTGTCGAGGGTTTTCGTGAAAGGGAATATCCCATGCTGAAGGGTATGTTCCTCTCTTGTTGCGTGGCTTACCTGCTTTGTCGTTTCAGTTCGGTTTACTACGCGCTTTGCAGATCGCTCCTCCCAACTTTCTTACTTCCCTCCCTTGCTTTATCTGTTTTATCTTCCCGGCACTGACCTCTGGCTTCCAGACAACGTTTACCTCGACCATGCCGGTACCACGCTATACAGCCGCTCGCTGGTCGAGCGTGCGACTGCCGACATGATGAGCTCGCTCTTGGGCAACCCGCACGCCGCATCGCCATCATCCCAAGCGGCATCACTTCTGGTCGAGGATGTAAGACTGCGAGCGCTACAGTTTCTCGGTGCAGACCCAGCAGCTTTTGACCTAATATTTGTGGCCAACGCAACAGCGGGCATCAAGCTCGTGACCGAGGCTTTCCGTACGCTGCCAGGCGGCGGCTTCGCGTATGTCTATCATCAGTCCAGCCACACAAGCCTAGTGGGAGTACGGGAAGAAGCTCACAGTAGCATCTGCCTAAACTTAACGGAAATTGAGGCGTGGATTGAACAAGGACATCAATTGTCGTCAGCCCCTCTCGGGCTGGACAGCTCTGGCGTCGACAACGTCCTGTTTGCCTATCCAGCACAGTCTAATATGGACGGTCAACGGTATCCGCTGTCGTGGGCATCAGACGTGAGGACCTCGCCAAACAGCAATGACAATGCGGATAGTCACGACGCAACATCGCCGTCTCCCCGCATCTGGACGCTTCTCGATGCTGCGGCGTATGCGTCTACAGCTCCCCTAGACCTTCACGATGCTGTCACAGCGCCAGATTTCGTCGTCCTCAGTTTCTACAAGATCTTCGGCTGGCCAGACCTTGGTGCGCTGCTGGTGCGTCGGCCAGCCGAAGCCGTGTTTGACACACGTCGCTATTTTGGTGGCGGGACCGTGGATGTAGTGGTGTGCACGACCGAGCAGTGGCATGCTCGGCGCCAGGCATCGCTGCACGAGCGCCTGGAAGACGGCACGCTTCCGATCCACTCCATCGCCGCACTCGGAGCTGCACTGGACACGCACGCAACGATGTTCGGGTCCATGAAACGCGTGGCTTCCCACACAACATTTCTAGCAGACCGGCTGCGTCAAGGTCTGCTTTCGCTGCACCATAGCAACGGTGTGGCTCTGTGCGAGATATATGGAAACGAAAGAGCGAGCGGCCGCGGCGGCGGAAACGGCCCAGTTGTTGCGTTCAACCTGCGCAATGTCCATGGTGCATGGGTGAGCTTGACGGAATTCGATAAGCTGGCTGCCTTGCGTCGCTTCCACGTTCGCACTGGTGGTGTCTGCAACCCGGGTGGCATTTCCTCGGCCCTCAATCTGGCGCCTTGGGAACTGCGTCGCAACTTTGCCAACGGGATGCGGTGCGGAGACACGGCAGAGGAGGACATTGTGTCTGGGAAACCTACAGGAATCATTCGAGTGAGTCTTGGTGCCATGAGCACCTTGGCCGATGTCGATCAGTTCCTCGCATTTCTGCACGAATTTTACTGCGACGCTGGCTTGACAAAGTATCCTACACTCTATCCTGCCACTAGATTGTCCTCCAGTTCTCCACCCAGTCTCGTGGTGGCATCCATCAGTGTGTACCCCATCAAAAGCTGCGGCGCGTTCGCCGTGGCCACCGGAACACCCTGGGAAGTTCGACCGGAAGGTCTCGCCTGGGACCGCGAGTGGTGTTTGGTGCATCGTGGCACCGGTCGTGCTCTCAGCCAGAAGCAACACCCGCAGATGGCTCTGCTACGGCCGCAGCTTGACTTTGTTCGAGGAGTGCTGCGGGTAGTATGGGGAGGAGCCAGGATGGAAGGAAGGTCGAGCGAGATTTGCGTGCCCCTGTCGAGCAATCCGGCCATGTTTGCGCCAACATCGTCGAGACCCATCTCTCTGACGGCATCTTCCCGATGGCCGTCTCGCGCATCCAGAGTTTGTGGCGAGGAAATTGCCGCTCAGGTCTACACGACTGCGTCCATCAACGACTTCTTCTCCGATGTCCTTGGTGTGCCCTGTTCTCTTGCCAGGTTTCCACCTGGTGGCCACGGAAAAAGCATGCGTCACGCCAAAGCTCACCTACAAAAGCATCAGGCTGGCCACAACCATGCACCCCCGTCTCCACCAGAATCAGACTCGGATGGATATGCCATCTCTGGACGAGGAAAAATGCCGACCAGCAGCGATAGCATCAACAGCAAGGATGCACATGCAGCAGCTATCCGCAGTCAAACGGCGCGTCGACGCATCCTGCTCTCCAACGAGAGTCCCATCCTGGCCATCAACATGGCCAGCGTTCGTGCACTCAACTCTGATATTCGTGCCAGGAACAGCAGAAGCGATGAACACTCGTCGACAGACGTTCCACCCGACGTCTTTCGTGCTAATATCGTATTGGACAATGCCGGACAGACCAATATTGCCAGTGGACACACTGCTGCCTATGCAGAGGATAATTGGTCTCACCTACGAATCGGCAGCCAATCCTTCCGCATGTTGGGCGCATGCCGTCGCTGCCACATGGTCTGCGTTAACCAGCAGACCGCTGCCCGCGGCGAGGAGCCCTTTGTCACGCTATCACAGACTCGACGCTTCGATGGTAAAGTCTTTTTTGGCATCCACATGGCCCACGAGGCAGAAGACTACAAGACCAGTAGCACAACGACACTGGAGCAGCAATGGCCTACCATCATGGTGGGTGATGCTGTTCAGGTGCAGTCGCCATGAAGAAGGATCGGAAGGACTAGAATAAATCAAAAGGCACTACTGTGATAAGTATATATTTGTATATATAATCCCCGTATGTACAATGTAAGATGGGGTGTATTTTGGCGACTGCCCATCTAGGTGAAACACTCGACAAGCCCAACATATTATTGTCTGGATGCTCTCCCAGTCCCTGTGGCTTACGTCCACGTCCCGTTTGCCGGCCCAAAGTAACCGACATCCGGCATTGCCTTCCACGTGGCTCCAAGGCCGTCTGCCGTGTTCTGCCATCTGTGTCTTGGTTAGTACGATTGTAGAAGCAGAGGCGGTAGAAGAGGAACGGACGTACACTGTGTTTCCCCACCAGTCGGGGAACTGCACGTTGGGCCCGTAAGTGACGGCAAAGAAGATGACGATGCCGGACAAGGCGAGGCCGGTGTCCAGGGCGGCTGCCATGACGTAGTTGTACTTGGTCCACCAGGCGTGGAAGCGCTTGTAGATGATCTTGTTGAAGATGACGTTGACAATGTACCAGCTGCTGTAGTTGATGCCGGTGGCCGGCGGCACGTTGTAGGTGCCGACAAAGATGAGCGGCCAGTTGATCTTGCTGACCCAATCGATCTTGGTCTTCTTCCAGACGAACCAGGTGATGGGCGGCAGCACGAGGCCGATCCAGAAGAAGTGCAGCAGGCCGGCGTAGATGCGGCCGACGGAGTAGAGCCTGCCGGGGCCGACAAGGCCCCAGATGACCGACGACGACCAGACGGTGCGGCCGGTCGGACAGGTGAAGCCGTTCGGCTGGTCGGAGTCGCAAATGCCGTTGATGTGGCCGAGCATCCAGAGCGTCACGCCTGTCTGCGTAAGCGCACCCAGGATAGTAGCGATGCCCTGCGAGAAGAAGAGCGTGCGGGGCGCGATCTTGAGGTAGTGCGCCAGCTTCATGTCGGCGGCAAAGTACAGGCCCTGGCCGACAACATCGGTCGAGAGCGTCTTGAAGAGGATGTTGGCAATCGGCTTGCCCTGGAACATGTAGCCGCCGATGAACTCGGACAGCACGTTGACCTGGTTGGCGTCGACGTTGGTGACGCCCTGGATCACTGCGGGGGTTAGCGGTGGGGGTAAAAGGGAGGAGGAAAGAAGAGAAGAAAAAAGAAAGAGGAAAGAAAAGGAAAAAGCACAATTTGAGAGAAAGAACAGAACTAGGGACAACTCACTTCCACAAGGAATCATGTATAGTGCCGGAATGATAAAGGCCAGGAAGATGCCGTAGACGGGCAGTCCGGTGTGGTAGTGCTCGGTCATGGCAATGGACATGCCCAGGATGACCAGGATAATGGCCACCCACCAGTAGACAGGCACGCGACGGTAAGCCTTCATCAGGCGCGCGTGCACGTCCAGCTTGAGGGTACCGTACAGCGCGTGCTTGAGCTCGTCCCAGTGGAAGAAGTAGACGTGCGACAGCACCGACGTGATGGACGCAAACGAGAGCCCATACACAAACGCAAACGTCGCCGGCAGGTACGGCGGCGAGTAGGCCTCGTACTTGACCTTGTCAAACTCCTGGCCCGTGATCACCATGGACGAGTTGTACACTTCGCCGTACCGGTCGTACACATCGGCCGTACACAACGGCAGGTAAGCCGTGTACCATGTGTTGGTGTAGTAGATGGCCTGTCCGCTTGTCAGTGGTGTTGCTTAGTCAGCACCTCTGTACCAGACGTACCGGCGTGACGATCCAGAAGAAGATGGCAAAGCCGAGAAAGACGTTCAGCGCTGCCCAGTGCGGGCTCAGAAGCGGGTTCGTGTTGTAGCTGATCATCGACCAGTCAAACGTGAGCGGGAACAGGCCGAGACCGGTGACCTGCAAGAGTCAGAATGTTGCAGGGGAATTCCTAATCGATAAAAAGAACTCACCATTCCAAACACCTGGTTGACCGCGACATTCTTGGGCACGATCCAGCTGCTCGTGTCAGTAAGTCTGCGGGTGGTACCAGACATGTATAAGATACGGAACATACCAGATCCTACATTGCTGTCAGTTCGGAGGCCATTGCAACACGTCCACAAATTCACTTACCATGTAAAGTAGCTCAGGCCCGTAAAGATCAATCCTGGGAACCAATACCTGGAGTGGCCGTCAGTCTTGTATGGTCACGTGACACGAATACCGTCTTCATTATTTCGGCATCACCTACCACACAAAGGCACAGCCGCCGACGACGAAGAAAAATCGCAGACGGCTGATGCGCCAGCCGTCGGCGAGGACGTTGGCGCGCGAGTGCAGTGATGACAGCAGGGCGACATTGCTGAGGGTTCCGGGCCAGATCATGGAGGCCGGCTGGACGAGCCAGGGCGTGCAGAGGCCGGCGATGCCGTAGCCAAGGAACTGACAGCAGATGACGGCCATGACAGCGAGGCCAGTGGGAAGCTTGAAGCCGTAGAAGCGAGCGGCCTGGATGAGGTTGGTGGCGTCGGCCGAGCCGAAGCCGAAGGAGGCGTTGCTCATGATGGTCACCATGGCGTGCTCCTTGATGTTGAAGTGGCGATCGGGGTTGAGCCGGCCGATCGGGAGCGTCTTGGCCATCAGGACGCCGATGGGGAAGGCCAGCAGCTCGGCCACGAGTGCGACGATATGCACGCCGGGATAGCGCAGGCTGAAGAACTGGTTGACGCCGGAACCGATCATGACAAAGACCTGATGCTCGTGTTAGCGGCCAACATGGCCTCTTGGTGTCTGCACAGATGTCCGACGTACGACTCCCAAAAGCCAGGCCCGGAACGTGTTCACCGGCATGTCCGGGTCGTCTGTCTCGGGCACCACGGCGCGCACCGATTGGAACGGGCTCGTGTCCGCGTCCCAGTCGCCCTCCGTCTCGTCTGCCGCAATCACGCGCGACAGGTCCACCTCCAGCTCTGCCAGATGTCCATTCTCGACGTCGTCGGCCGTGCCCGTCGTCGTGCCGAAGACGTCCTTTTCCGAGTGGCTGTTGGGGGCCTTGTCCGATCCGCTGGCAGCGGTGGCCTCACGGTCCGATACCTGGAACGTCTTGTCCATCGTCGTCGTCGTTGATCAGCAGCAGCAGCAGCAGCAGCAGCAGCAGCAGCAGTGGCTGTTTGCTGTTCGTGTGGGATCGGACGGATGCATGTCCTGGCCACGGCGACAGGCCTCGTTATAAATGAGAGCTATCTGCATTTTGCCCCCCGTCTCTTTTTGCCTCGCTGCTATCTGCCCCGGCACAGCAGCCAGCGTCTTATCAGGGCCATGGAAAAGTGCGAGTAGCTCATCGACGGACTGATACCATCGTTGCCCTTGCTCTGGTGCCACTGATACCATGGCAGCCAATCAGTTGGCTACGGCATATGCCGGTTTCCCGGTTTGCCCCACCGTGATCGTGGAGAGGACGCCGATAAATATACGCTTTTAGGAAGGTCTGTCCCAGGGTGCCGAGCGATAAGCTGCAATTGACCTGGCCTATCTACATAGTGTGACTAACGAGTGTCTGTGGAAATAACTCTCATCGTCGTGAACCTATCAAGCAATCTTCTGTCCTCCACTTTCGCCACTACTGCTGACTTTTGTGGGCTTCTATATGATGAGCCTGGATCCTGATCTCGGGTGGACCTGCACTGCTATTTCGATCCTCCGTAGAATGCAATACAGGTCCACCCGAGGCGGCTTCCGGAAATGCACGACGTATGCCCGTTATCCTTCCTGCCTATGTAATATTTACAAGAACCAGCATATGACATGACACCACTCGACTTCTGATGATTTAATTAGGTGACAACGAAGAACGACAAACAATATCACATCTCCTCCTGTCTCCTAATCCGAAGTCATAGTACGTGGAATCGTACCGGCCGAGACAATCTCGCTACAGGCTGCAGATTATCCGGGGAGCAGGGTGAAATCCACAATGCGTGGCGCTCCAAATCATATTATCGAACTCGATTGCAAAGACTATTAGTAGACCCATCGGCAAGATGGGACGTTGATTATCTAGCCGATACACCAGGCCTTGGGGCCCAATGTCCCTCTATAGAATATACCTTTTTACGTCGTAAGAAGGCTAAACCTTGGTTGTAGACAACACTGCTCTTTGTCTCTACGGTATAAGCCAAAAACAACAATAGAATGTGACAGGTGTAATCGTGTTGGCCTTTACATTGTGGAAACGCAGATGCCAAAAAGGTTCCCCCACCCCGGATTTTTGACAATACGACGTACTTTTCCACCGCGATCGGCAGCCGGCCGATAAGCCGGCTAACCCTTCCACTTCTCACTTTGGTCCGGCACTACCAAAACCCGTACCCAGATCCTTGGCCGTGGACTCTGAGCCACTCTTTCTTCCGTGGCCAAGAAGCAGCGACTAGAAATAAGCAAGCTATATCCATTTCAGAACTTCGACTACGTCCTTCGGTCATGTGACTCTGGGGCTGCCTTGAATGCGTCTCTGCAACTAATTCTTAATGCTGCTCCACCTATGAAAGGGTGTGGATTTCCCCGAGGTCACCTGACTTGACCTTCGGCCGCCGAAAATTACTAGATAAGACGAAGCCCTGATCTGCGCGCATACTGCGCACAGTCTGGTCTTCAATCAGTCAACCACCGAACGAAATACCATCACTAGATCTTCTGAAGGCCTTAGAGCTTACTACGATACGTGCAACCGGTCCGGACGAATATCCCACAAGGATTACCGTACGGGTCTTACACTGGTGATCACGCAGAACGTGCGTGACAGACTAGTGGTGCACGGAGTAGAAGCCACAAGGGCCAGGTCGCCACAGTAAGGTGGGACAGTTCATTGTTTTTGACTTGTCAATCGCGACCCCCCAAAAAACTTATTTCTACTAGGTGGTATAGCGTAGAAAGCCAAAGGTAGTTGTTGTAGAGGCCATACTACTGACTTAGCAATGTCTGTGTTGATGTAAGGTTGTCATCAGGCACAGTCACCCTAAAGGTTTCACGCACGAAATACGTCGTCACAATAACTCATTACCAGTGTTTGCATCGAAGGAGTGTATGGTTTATCGTAGTCTGACATAAAAGGTTGTAAAAATACAATTCAAGAAAGAAGCGTTGGAGAGTTCGACCGCCTGGGTTGGCTATCTCAAAAGCCTGGAGGGCTTATCTCAGGTTCTGGGCATGGGCCGCATACGTAGCCACGTTGATGATGCTGGCGGGCGCCAGCGTGAAGTTTCCGGTGTATCCAAGCAGGGAGAAGTAGAAGCTGTGAACGCTGTGGCTCACAGCAGCGGTGATGCCCTCCTGCAGGCTGGCCAGAGCGGCTTGTGCGTACGGTTCCCAGGACTCGTAAAAGTCGTGCACGATAACGGAAGACTTGGCCTTGACCGTCTCATTGCCCAGGGTCGACAGAGCATCCGGCGTAAAGGGAGTGTATGTGTCGGGTGCGCAGCGCTCGTACAGATCGGGATCAGTGGCGCCGCTGGAATTGGTGTAGCAGGTCTCCATCTGCACGATGCTGTCGGCAATGTCAAAGAGACTTTCGCTGCCGGCCTGCACGAGCGTTCCGGGGTTGAGGACGATGGGGCCGCCGCGGTCCTCAAAAGCAGACTTGGCAAATTCCGTGATTTTGGTGTTGTATGCGAGCTTGGTCGGGTCCGTATCGATCTCGTCAAAGAAGATGCCGTCCAGCTGAACGTTGTAGGCCGACGCATTGGTGGTGCGGCCGGCACTGGTGGTCCAGTTCAGGTACTGGGTAACACCTTCGATGATGACGGAAGAGTCCCGGCTGGAAGACTCGGTGTGGATGTAGCCAATGGACTTGGCATTGCTCCGGCTGTTCAGCGCATCGATCCACACGGCAAAATCATCCAGGCCAGAGGGCGGGTTCGGGAAGTAGGGAGCACCGCTGTTGATGTTGATAATGATGTAAAAAGGCATCGCCGGATGGGCATCGACAGCCGTGATAAGAGCGTTCCAGTCAGCCAGCGCATCGTCGCCGTAGGGGTACTCGTACATGGGAACGAGGAGGCCGACGGTGGCCGAGGCAACGGCCATCAAGGCCGACAGAGACAGAAAAGACTTCATAATGAATGATTTGCACAAGGCAGGTAAGGAATGTAAAGGTTGAAAAAAAAAAAGAGTGAATAAAAACAGGGTCAAGAAAAGAAGGTTGACGATAACGTTGTGTCTGGGGCATCTCGAAGAAAACACGCTGAGGTCGGGGGATGCATCTCCTTTATATGTATGGGACCCATGGCGAACAGAGTTTGTGCCGTTTCTGGCGCACATCTGCTGAAAGGACTCGTCATGTCAAAAGCTGTGGGACGAGTTTTTTTGTCCTCCCTGCAAAGAGACCTGCCGCCCCTCCCCACCCCTGCGTCTACTATGTACTCCGTACGCAGCTTATCAGCGTTTATGGTTTAGTGTCAGTGTGGTGTTCCTGCGGTAGTATGAGGAAAGACACATGGCTAGTACACATTTGGGAGGCGGATTCTCTTCGTCTGTAGTCGTAGTCGCACTCCGTAAGATACTTTGTGCCCTGTGCTCCGTCCCGAACTCCCTAGTCCTGTAATTACGGGCCACGAGTGGAGGATGGGAATGCTCGGATGGGGCGACGGGCATCTGGAATTGTTTGCTGAAACATGCCTCCCTGTTGGCGCGCGCCATCTTCGGCCGCCAGCTACGGTCGGGACCTTGCGAAAGACAGACGCAGTAGTGTATACATGCTCCGTACTCCGTACATTTGTCGTACATCGTTCGCGTGCCTGCAGTTGGTGGGGCCCAGAGTTGGGAATGGGAAAGGGTGGAATTCTATCGAGGGAGTAGTGGATCTCCATCAGATCGAGAATGTGTCCGCCTAGGCCGAGCCCGAGAAAGGTGAAGAAGCCGAGACAGAGGCCGTCAGAACGAAGCGAGCAAGACCTATTGGCGGCCAGGCTCTCCTTCTCTGCGGCAGACCTCTTTCTCTAGTTGGCCTGGCAGAACGACAACGGTAAAAGTGGACGGACAGCTTGCAGGAACAAAGGCCGAGAAGCGGCTCAAAGGACCGGCTGATTGGCTGTGGCTCTGGCCAGTTCGTCTGCCCAGACTCCAGCGGGTCTTGCCGCGCTGATTTTCAGCGACCCTAACCGCAATGATGATCGACGCCGGGTGTGACTCTGGCCTGTTGACCGCGTTCCGATTGCAATGCGACTTCTGCGAATGCCAGTTCAGGGCCGCGATGTCTCGTTTCCATACGCCGCAACGGATCCCTAGATCCCGTCTTCCATGTTCATTTGCGTGTGGGCTTGTTGAGCGCTTTTCGATCGGGACACTGTTTCATCACGAAAGGAGTCCCGACCCCTGCAGAGGAGCGTATGCACCCCTTGTTCTGTTTTGTTTCGCCAGGACTTTTGGCGCTTTCCGGCCGGCCCTTCAGCTGAGAAGCCTGGGCCGTGCTAGGCCTTCTTCGGCCGGTCCAGCGCTGACGGCTCCACTCCTGCACTGGCTGACAGCAGCGAACGCGTTTGAGCGCGAAGACGCCGCGTGGGCTGGCAGCTGCCGGAAGCCATCCGAGACCCGTCCGCGATGCTGGCACGGATTTGGCGCTGTGTTTGTGTGTCTGTGTGTCTGGAAAAAGGACGGGTTTGCATGCCAGTGCACTTCCACGGGACCGATCACAATTGTGCTCTGCCGTCACATTCGCCGTACTATTACGCCACTCCCTTGGAAAGCCTCTCATATAATTACAGCCTACGCCAAGAACGCAGTCTAAGAGCAGCCTTGCAACCGATGAACTCCACGAGAACCATTCATTCGAGGCAGATTCTATCCACACGACGTTGGCCACAGGTAGGGATTGTGTGCACCTAGTACGGAGTATGAGTGCCTGTACTAGACCGTGAGGCTTTTTTCCACCAGGCAGTCCCGCGCTTTAGCGTCTCGCTGGGCGGTGTGACAGTGATTCCCATCGCTACATCTACCTACTGTGTCTATCTTCTAGTGAGCGATTTGTGCAGTGTCAACAGCTGCTGAACAGACTCGTTGCCGGAGACTTCATCAATGGAGAGACCAATGTTTTCTATTAGTAAAGCAACATACTTGCGACGTCTTACTCCAAGACATGTCAATTTCGACAGCGGGTGGACTAACCGGGGCAATGACACGAAGTACGAAGTACAAAGTGGGAACCTTTTCGCGATTTGCGAGAGATAGTGGATACACGAATACGTCGTATATTGCAAAAATTGCGTGTTTCTGAGCCTGGTAACAAATATGTGGCATACGTCGTTTGCAAGGAAGGAAGTGATTAAAAAGGCAACCAAGACAACGAATCAGCGCCACAGCTCGGGCATCTTAAGCTTTTGTGCTAATCTAGCGGAAAAGTGACGGGGATACGGAGTATGTCTGTACGGAAAGGTTTCAGCAAGGGGGCCTTCCGTCGTAGAAGAGATTTCTTGTCCAAAAACCCCGTATATCCGCCAACATCCAACTTGTATCAACACTCGTAAAGGGTTTATCCCGAGCTAGCCTATGAACTCTATTATTTTTTTGTCGGAGGCTTGCCGCTATTGACTTTCCAAGGCCGCTGAGTGAGGATGGGGTTTTAAACAGCGGTCACGCCATTTTACATAGGGTAATGGAGCAGGTCTAGTTTTATCTAACAAACAAATTCTCTTCTAGATAGACGCAATCAGGAAAATCTCAACCATTGCTGTCAATATTATGCGGCTCGTGTTGCAAAATAGCCGGATGTTCGTAGAATTACCAGTATGCTAGCTCTGTAAATACCTTTTTCAGGTTAGAGGTAAATGAGCCCCTGACGGTGGCAAATTATCGCGGTACAGTACTCCGAGTGCTCTAGGAAATTCAAGACCTGTATGGTCATACGGAGTATTGGCACTACAAACACGGTCAAATGAAAATGGCAATCGGGTTTCCATGCTCGTGGTACAAATATATATATATGCAGGTATCCTTACAACGAAATTCATTTGTTTCTTGAACTAAAGCTCTTCAAAGCAAAGTTTAGTATGCCTTGTGTATCAAACAAGTGGCTCCTTTGCTTTCAATTCCTAATAATTCCAAATTGCCACAGAATTGAAGTTTTATGCTCTGTCCAGCCTCAAACTTGGGGGCTGTACTCCTTGATCAGCGTGTAAAGACAAATTTGCGTTTTTTTTCTGCTGCACAGATCTCGGCTAACATGCAAGTACTAAGTGAAATACCAGTAGTGTTCGTAGGCAGCGCATCTACTTCCGTAATTAAAGAAGGTGACATTTGAACAACTTTGACTACGGTGGTGACACCTGCCGCTTTGTGTTCAGCGCTCGTTGGCCAATCCGTTAATCTGACAGAGTAGGCCTTGGAGTAACTCAGAGCACAATCAAGCTGAGTCACTATCCTTATGAAACAGTAACCCGATCTTGTATAAAGGTGCAATTCTGCTGCAACGTCTCTTTTTGATTATTTTTCTGACCAAAACAACTTCATTTGAAGCATTCAAAGCTTAATCATACAGCCCACTATCGTATGCCTGTCTTTGATCGGCCATGGAAACCCCGGAACGTCAATTGACAATTTGCCACGATGGGATCGGCCACCACCCTCTTGGCGCTGGGCCATACTACTTTAAGGAAGATCTCATCGGCTGGCTTTGCTCCCAGATTCAAGAGACAGCAGTTCACATCTTCATTGGAGCACAATCAAAATCGTGCCCACACATGGGAAACATATGCAACATAACAACGGCTTTCGCGATGGGACAGTTGCTAAAAGCGGCTGGCAAAGATGCATCCATATTTTTTGACGTTGTTGACACCGCTCCTTCGCCGTGCAGCAATGGAGGCGGACCGACCCGAATTGACGGTATCACCTACCAGAAGAGCCTCCGCTGGACAGGAGCTGCCGACACATATATGAAACAGTTCGGCGACATTATAGAAACTTTATCACAAATATCTGGTGTAGCATTTACCATTCGAAAGCAAGCCGACATACTCGGCTCACGTGAAACTCTCACCGTTCTTAAGGACCTCCTGACACAGCACGAGCAGCTTGGAAAGCTCTTCTCTCACAAAAACAGCAAGATCGGGATTCGGGCGACGTGCCCTGTTGCTTCCTGTGGACTTGCTGATAAAGGAGGAGTGCGCAACCAGTACCTTGAAGACAGTGTGCAATTTCACTGTCCAACACATGGCGCTTTCAGTTTGTCTCTTGATGATCCGGAAGACGTGGGAAAGCTGGAACTGAACACGCCCATGCGAAACTTGCTTCGCAACCGAGTATTTGGGAGCGATCGATCCGCCCACTGGATCCAAGTGGTTGGCGCTGATTATGCTGGTTTTTACCAAGAGCAGCTGCTCTGGCGGCCTATTTCGAGCAGCCAGCCAGCTCGACTTCCTCTCATAATCTATAGCCCGGCTGTTCTCGACTGGTCTGGTGCGAAGATATCATAAAGCCTATATGTCGACCGAACGGCATACGACTACCTGAAAGGCACAGAATTTGAGTACATGTTGGACTATTCCCTCGTGGCATCCAGCGGCATCAGCCTCGAGAACATCTCAGGGTATGCTACGATTGGGTTAAGAACCCCTACAAACTGTTTCGTGCTTACAGCATATACTACCTGCATAAGCTCATCCTCGATGCAAAGAAAATGGACCAGGATGTTAAGGATGCTGGGCGCGACAGCGTGAGTGCTGCTAAACAGCTACGGCATAGCACCCAATAACTCAGCGGGGTTTTTAGGAGGTCGCTTGATTTTGCGAGTGATGCGGCATCACGTGGGTTTTCGTTCTCCTCAATGCATTTCGAAATTGAGTAGCTATTGTGTTTCAAAAACAGCAGTGCCACGCATTTGACTGATCACAAAATGCATGTGCTCGACAGCTATTTTGGCTGTGCTCGTAGTTGGCTGTGTACACGTGAAATGTTGATTTACGCGAATAACTATGTATTTGAACAGTCTAATTCAATATGCAGGTAAGACCCAGTATATCTTATGAAGATTCATGCTTATTAATGTGCTACAATACCGAACGGAAATGGCAACTCTTCTTTGAAAACATCAAAAATAAATCCGTATGATTTGGTAAACTTAATGCACCCTTTGACACGCGACCTACTCGCCATGGCAGAAAAACGCGACATCATCCTCTCCATCCACCCTCAGCACGTCGAGAACATTGTTCGCCACAGAAAAAACCACGAGTTTCGCAACTACAAGCTTCCCACCCAGCGAATGTGGATCTACGAGACGCGTCCAGCATCCGCCATTCGCTTTCGAGCCACCATCAGCCACGGCAAGCGCCCCGGCGAGATTAAAAACCCCAGCGGCCTGCGCAACGACGAGTTTGACCGCGGCGACCTAGCTGGGCGTGTTCAGTTTGGCTACGAGATTCTAAAGCTAGAACGCCTCGCACAACCGATTTCGCTGGAGGAGCTAAAGAAGAACGGCTGGCTAAAAGGACCACCGCAAAAGTATTGCTTTGTAATGCCGGCATTTGACAAGGTCTTGCAGGCGAGGGAATTGGAGCTGGTCTTTGATGCCACGACCGCGAGAGCTTCAGGTACAACCGCTTGCAAGGCTACGCAGGTGAAGGAAACAGTGGGAAAGGACGAAATTGGGAACGATGATGGGGCCGGGCAGTCGGGGGGTCCGACAAATTGCTCATGATCAAACGGCACTGGTTCTTTGACACAAAAATGGGTCCCAAGATCTTTGTTTGGTTTCCACCACCCTGCACTCACTGCTCTACTGCGTACCCGACCCAGACTACCTCGCGTCTAAGAACAGATACAAAATTTTCATGTGTCTGTTTCGAAAATTGTATTGTTGTAAGAATTATATCCTGACGTCGCCGCAGAAAAAAAAAAAACCCGCGTCATTTTGCTGTATTAGGAGAGGTAGGGGGTTCCAACACTCTTTTACCCGCTGTCTAGGTTTTTACCATTCTCTTAAGAGTAGACTACGACCAAGCAATTCTTGTGACCTACCGGCAGTTATTGCTGGGCACAGGATATGTCACAAGACACAGTCAGATTTAAACACCAGATTTAAAACACTTCTTTCGGCTAGGCTTGTCAAATGAGCTCCCCTGAAAACTCGAAGACCGCATCCTCCAGTCGGGTCTCTTTCATTAACATACCACTAAGTTGGCTGCAAATACTCGTACACCCCCCGACCACCAGTTCTTAACGCGTCGATCTTGTTGCTGTCGCTACTGGTAGTGGCTAGACGGGCAGAGTTCTGTAGGTAAGGCGAAGAGCGGTGCTGTGAAAGGAAGCGATATAACGGAACTGTATATATGGGCTAACGATCCGGCTTGTCGGGCTGGTATCTACAGCAACTTTGTGGTCACCCACCACGACCTCATTGCCTGACTCGTCACCGGAGGGGAAGGTAAACTTTGTTTTTCTTATTAGTGTGATATTTTACGAGGTAATATTGCCGTAGCAGAGGCGGTTACGATGGGAGGAATGGATAATATGTTGGCGCGCCAGACAACCTTCTAGTCATAATTTGAGAGATATCACGGAGTATCTCACCGTCAGAGCCTTGAGAGACTGAGCGCTATATTTGGTTCACCACCATCGACAAGTACTCATGCGTCTCATTGTCTAAAAGAAGTCAAAGCTCTACTTTACAGACGATGGCCCCTGTCCGGGATTAACTTGTTTACCAGTCCTGCCATTGGACTCAATATTGCGCCATTAGCGTCTAGACGCCATATCGCTGAGGGATGACGTGCTGATGTGCTCCCCGCTGGAGATCAGGGTCAATTCCAGGAAAACGAAAGGCCCGTCACAGCTTTGGAGGCAATGTATTCTTCTGACTTTTTCCACTCAAACTTGTCCCCGCAACTAGATATGCCGTCAGCAGTTCCGGTACAGTCGTCTCCGCTGCGCAGATGGGTGCGCCCAGACAAGACGAGGCAGGACCTTCCCTGGGCTGATATTGCAGCTATTGATCTGAGCAAGTTCGACCAGCCCGGCGGCAAGGATCAGCTTGTGGAGGACCTCCGACAAGCAGTAGGTTTTTGGGAGAGATGCATTCCTCAGCCCTACCCCCTTCCCTTAGTGATCAACTGTTCGATATCTGATGCCTTACGGCTGATAGGTACACGAGACGGGATTCTTCGGACTCATCAACACTGGTTTCACGCCAGAGGAAGTGGAGCGCCAATATGACATTGGACAGGGCTTCTTTGACCTTTCCGTCGAGGAGAAAGATCAGCCGGGCAACCGGTGTGACTTCTCCAAGGGAAACTACTTTGGATACAGAAGAGCAAGTGCTGGACCTTTAAAACGTTGCTGATGCGACTGAACTAACACGATTTATGATCAGAACAACGACAAGAAGATGCTGGGACCAGAAGTGAGGAACAACTCCGAATCGGTTAACATCCCCAAGTTTACGGCGTACTACGCCAACGAGCCGTTCCACTCCTTTTTCGAGCCGTATAGGGACGAAATTGAGAGCTTCTCTCGGGTACGTGAAGGCCGATGTATCGACCAAGAAGGTTGCTTACTAAGCATATTGTGCAGCGCTCTCTTGACCTCGCGAGCCGGGTATTTCGCCTCTTTGCACTCATCCTGGAGCTGCCGGAGGACTTCTTCTCCTCGCGGCACGAGTACAGTCTGCCGAGCGAGGACCATCTGCGGTACATGCGGTACCATCCGCGGACGTTGGCCGACGACGTAAAGGTCGAGCGCAACTGGTCGCGCGCCCACACCGACTTTGGCTCGCTCACCCTCCTCTGGAGCCAGGATGTGGCCGGGCTGCAGATCAAGACGCGGTCGGGCGAGTGGCGCTACGTACCCCCCCTAGACGGCGGCATCATCTGCAATGTCGGCGACACGCTCGACTTCTGGTCGGCCGGGTACTTGAAGTCGACCATCCACCGTGTGATCCGGCCGCCGGAGGACCAGGCAAGCCAGTTCCGGCTCGGGCTGTTCTACTTTGTGCGGCCCGGCGACGACGTGGACATCAAGCCGGCACCGTCACCACTGCTGAAGCGACTCAGACTAGTGCGAGAGGATTCCGGGGAGGCAGAGCTGGTGACGGGGCTGCAGTATGTCAGGGAGCGGGTCAAGAACTATCATGATCATGACGACTACACAGACAAACGTGGGCAAACATTCAAGCTTGGCAGTCTGGAGATTGAGGACCAGGCCGCGTGAGCTAGGACCGAGGGAAACGGCAGATTACAGGCCGAGTTTTATTTGCCGCATCCTACAGGTTGGGCGTCAATGTAGCTATGCTGTCTGAAGCTAGTCTCGAGTGCAAGCGACCGCAGAAGTGCCGGGCATTGAAATGGTAATGGTTTAGCGCAGCAGCCGGTGACAATGCAAATATTGGTCTTGGCGGTTGTATGGTAGTGCAACGTCTCTCCTGATCCCCTGCCTGGGGTCGCAGCACGATTTAGCCGGCAGTTGCTAGTGCCACATAACGCGCATATTCTGGCCTGTTGTGGCCTGTGGCACCGCTCTCGGTCTCGATGTAGTCCTCGGTATTTGGTCCCGGGGAGCAGGTACGCTATCAAGGTACCAATCTGTTCGGACCAAACGTGTTTCGGATATTTGCTCAGATCCAGGCCAGCGTTTCTAGAAGCACAGCCTTTTCCACGGGAAGAACAAGACAATTGGATGCCAAGAAATATGCTCAAGTACAGCTACTTTGTACGGGCCCGCTGAGCTGCCAAGATAGAGCCAAAACTCCGTATCTGTACTCTTTTCTGTGGGTTTGTGGGGAGCTATGGAGAATGTGGATAATCTGTGGGGTGGTTCTGTCAGACCTGTCATGTGTCGTTCGGTCGGGTCACACTGCACTCCGGGGTATTTCATAAAGACCGTCTCCCCTGCGCTGGCAGGTCTCGGTCGTTTCCCGGCCCTTCTTAGCTTGTCTAGCCAAACAACCGTGCTAAATAGACATCCCATGATGTACTCGCATGGTTCACAGTAGAAAAACGTCGAGAAACTGCGCGATGGAATGGCCTCTCGGCCACGCCAGCCGTTCGTCCGAAGTCGGACTGAAGCTGTTCATTCTGCCAAGCGATTGCTCGTAGAGAAGACGATAAAGGGCAGTGCATATGCTGCAATGGTTCGGTGGCAACCAGTCATCTCTCGCAGCAGCAGACAGCACTCAATCACTGCTGGCGCTCTCCCCGGCTACTCTTTCCCAATGCTTGCCTCTCTCTCCACTCTAGTGCTTGGCGCCACCGCTGTCTCTGCGGCCGTGGTTGCCCGCCACAAGACACAGCAAGCCCCGACGGTGACGGTCAAGAACGGCTCGTACTACGGCGTTAACCTGCCGCATTACAGCCAGGACCTGTTTCTCGGCCTACCATATGCCCAACCGCCGGTGGGTGAGCTGCGATTCCGCGTGCCACAGTCACTCAACAGCAGCTGGACTGGCAGTAAGAACGCGACAGAATACGGGCCGCAGTGCATAGGGTACGGCAGTGATAATTGGGTTCTCGGCAACATCGTGTCGGAGGACTGCCTGACCATCAACGTGGTCCGGCCTAGTAACGTGCAGGAGGGAGACGATCTGCCGGTGGCCTTTTGGATTCATGGCGGTGGCTACACCGAGGGAGGCGGTCGGGACCCGCGCTATAACCTCACGTTTATCGTGCAGCAATCGGTCAAGGTCGGCTCGCCTATGGTGGCTGTCAGCATTAACTACCGCCTGGCCCAGTGGGGCTTTATGTACAGCCAGCAGCTGGCCGACGAAGGCTCGTCCAACCTCGGTCTGCGCGATCAGCGCCTGGCAATGCACTGGGTACAAGACAATATCGGTGCCTTTGGTGGAGATCCAGCCAAGGTGACCATTTGGGGCGAAAGCGCGGGCGGCAACAGCATCGGCAACCAGCTGGTGGCCTATGGGGGCCGTGATGACGGCCTCTTCCGCGCGGCTATCTCGCAGTCTGGGGCGCCTACAAGTTTGATGCGGTACCCGACTCCGGGATCGTGGAAGGACGCGTACGAGGCGTATGTTAATGCAAGCGGATGTGGCACCGCTGCCGATTCGCTGGCCTGTTTACGGACAGTTCCCTCAGACAAGCTGTCTGCTTTGTTCAACAGCAGCACTATTACAGTACCCTCCGAGGGTCCGGTTGTCGACGGCGACTTCCTTACGCAGTCGGGCACTACGGCCTTACGCAACGGCCACTTCGTCAAGGTTCCTTACCTAATTGGTGCCAACTTCGATGAAGGCGGCAGTTTTGGCTCCAAAGGCATCAACACCACCGATCAGTTTATCGGCATGGTCCTCGATGAAGGGATCGACAACACTACAGCCCTTACCCTGGCGGCCCTCTACCCTGATATCCCTGCCGTCGGCATTCCGGCCACCCTTCATGGCCGTCCGCCCGCCAGCGAGCTGGCCACGTATGGCTCCCAGTGGAAGCGCAGTGCCGCCTACAAAGGCGATCATCTTATGCATGTCGGCCGTCGCCTGACAAGCGAGCTCTGGACGCAGCATAATGGCACCCTCTGGTCGTACCACTTCAACGTGCTTGTTCACGGCCTCAACCCTCTTGTTGGTGCTGCCCATTTCCAAGACGTCGTCTTCGTCTTCGACAATACCCAGGGCCTTGGCTACGAGAATGCCGTGTCGGTCAACCCCTTCAAGGATGAGCCGGCCACCTTTGTCCGCCTGGCCCAGACCATGTCGCGCACGTGGGTGAGCTTCATCACGAAGCTCGACCCGAACGCATTGCAAAGTATTCTTTCACGTGATACCTAAGTTTATCCTACTCTCCGTCTCTGTGCTGACACATCAACAGCTTCTCCCGTGCATTGGCCCCAGTACTCTTTGGATAGTCCTCAGAACATGGTCTTTGATGTCAATGCCACTGACGTAGCTTACATCGAGCCAGATACCTACAGAGCTGAGGGGATAGCCTACATTGGCTCTATTTTCGACACGGTCTACGGCCGTTAACAGACGAGTCGATGTCTGCGGAATTTGTTTAATTGTATATTTGTGTATATTTAGTAGAACAACGCTGTACATAATTCATACCATGAAAAGCATCTCATTTTTGCTCTGAAAGAAATATGATATCTAGATCTAATTGTATTATACACTCAATCTGCCCCCATAAAAGTCCCGAAACAACCTGTATGCGCCGTACATATTTTGATTCGATGCTAGCAGCACTGGACATATTCTCGAACCCTTGGGTGTACACTTTTTGCCGCCTATTGTGAGTACAACCTCGTACGGAACGGTAGCCGGGACGTTCGCCTCACCGACACGTCTTGACAGGATCATCTCCCAGACAAGCTTGCGCGAGGATAGAGACATGGCCGTGGCCAGCTGAGCCAAAATAGCAACACCCACAGAATCCGCAGAGTAATGGAGAGTCTTGCGCACCAAATACACCATGGCAGCTATAGGTGAACTGGTCTGTGATATGAAAAGTTTTATACAAACGGCTAAACAGTTATGCCATTCTCTCATTGCCCACCGATACTCACACTGGCCCTAGACTCTATTTAAGCAGGCTAGACTGGACGCAGATCAGGGCTTCTACCTATGCATACTTTACTCCTTCGCCCCCTGGTGCACATCGTGACGTTCGCCGGATTGACCGCGGATATATGCCATTATCGACCCCACATTGTGCGGAACGAGGGCGTCAAATGGGTTAAACGAACACTCGTATGTTTCGGCTCGTGGATGCAGCGACTGAATTCTCTGTATATACGAGAATTCCTCTGCCAGTGCGGCATCGTCCACACCATTGGGTGGTGCCAACACGGCTCCAGACAATTCTAAATTGCCAATCATTCGTGATTCTGCACCCAGGTTTATCTGGGCATACATTTCTTCATAATAAGTTCCATCCTCATCCTCGTCCACATCATCTTTAATCACAACAAGTTCACAACAAGTGACAACCAACTTTCGGTATGCAAGAAATAGAGCACAGAGAGGGTAGTCGGTATTGGAGTAGTTCGGGTCCGCACCTCGGGCTACTAGGAGTGGTACGATGCCATATGCTGAATTCTGAGCCGCCCACTGTAGTGGTGCCCCGTGCGGCTTTGCAAAAATGTCCCTTTGCGCATCGGTATGCTCAAGAAGAAATTTTGCAAGAAGACCTCCATCTGTGCATCGATCAATAGCCGCAATTAAAGACGAGCCCGAAAAGCTGCTTATCCCGAGATTTGGATTGGCATTATTTCGCAGCAAAAAGCCAACAAAGTCGAAAAAGCATCGGTTTAAAGAGTCATGATAGCCGTAGAGCGCTGTAGCTAGGTGAGAATTGCCCTCATCATCTGTCGTATTGGGGTCAACACCCCGTTTCAGTAGCTGGTCGCAAACACCAGATCGTAGCGTCTCGACGGCTAGATGCAGAAGAGTCTGTCCCTTGCCATTGAGGGCGTGACATCAAACTTATCTTTCCAAGAATTCCAAACTCCCTCCAAGCCCAGAAGGATGATGCCAAACGAACTCTGCGTTGCTGGCATGCAGCGTTTGGCGACTTCCTCAAATAAGGGACTGCTTAGACGAACAAGTGTTGTATGGCCAAAAAGCGCTTTACTTCCAACAAGAGACGCCACCCCATCTTGGTAGAAACAACTGCTTTGACCTGGCTCCCCGAGGAACTGACGCAAAAGCCGCTCCGTGTGTTTTGCCCATAAAAACCTAAGGCAGTTTGGTAAGCACGTAAAAGTACACTTCTGCCAACTCGCCATATTTATATATTATCGGCGACACTCACATTCCCTGAGATTTTGATCAAAATGTGTCGAAGATGATCTGCCTCGTGCGCTGGTCGATTTCCTGGAACAATGGGTTATGTGCCGTTAGCATTTTCTCGGCTACAAATCGGTCAATATCTTCCTAATTGTCGGTATCTTTCATCTCAATACTAATAACATTCGTCAGGTTTGGGGGATCCCTGCTCGTCAGGAAAATCTTGACCTGCGATGACGAAGTGCACACAACATTGTTTATAAATCGCGTCAGGCTATGGAGTGTTGACTCGCTTGCGTCAACACATTCGTCCAGGCCGTCGATAACTATCACAGTCTTGGTGGAAGCAGCAAAAACGCGAGGAAAGAACAGCTTGTACCTTTCATCGGAAATGTACCTGGACTGGCGAGTTCTTTTATGCTCTTGCCACTCTTTGTAGATGGAGGCCAACGTACCCGAATCGTTGGCAGAGAACTGCCTGCTTCTGCACTGATCTGATCATGGTTCTTGTCAAGGATGTTTTGTAGGCGGCGGAATTCCATAGGGATGTCATTCACGAATTGCTTCATGAAAATCTTGTGACAGACATCTGCATTGGTTTCCATCTCTCTCTGCCTGTTAATGAGCTCATTTATGACCTTCGTGGGCTCATCAGGGTGGCCCAAATTATGCAATGCTTTTTTCAGGTAGCCCCCGTTATATATTCTTTTACATCGCGCCATGGATTCAAGCACGGTCGAATACAGAGCGATAATAGACGATTGTAGGCCAGACTTGGCGTCGCTAGTCATGTTCGTTTCTTCTGACAGATATACACGCCCGTAGCAAATACCTTGAAAGACCGAACGCTCAGTATGCTCGAGAATGACCAGAAGTTGGTCCCCTTGCACCAAATCGCCAGTTCCTAGCTAGTTGGGTATTTATTAGTAACGACTCGTGATACACTGTCCTACATCTTGTGAACAAGTACCAATGGAACTTACTTGAAGAGGAAATCGAAATGCTGCCCAAGGCAAGGCCGCGTGGATTGGATCAAAGCTGACCGCGATATCTCCTATCTCCTTGAAATGTTGTAACCAGTCTGCAATCCTTTGCAGGGTGTCTGGTAGAGCAGTTTTCTTCCGAGATGCATTTCTTACGAGCGACTCTGAAATCGACCGCTGAAGGCTGTTATAGAGATCTGGTCCAGTCCAGCGTATTGTTTGTGAATCTCCCATAGAAGGTCTTGATCTTTGCGCGACAGCGACAAAAACGCGTTATCCCACAGCTGGTTAGAGTCACGCACGTCTTGCAAATCAATGCCAGAGGCACCCAAAGGCGGCCTTGAACGTGGCCTTTCGAATGGCCTAAGCATAGTATTACTCGCTAGGCAGTCATTGTTTTCGACGTAGGTATTGTGAGAATCGGGGTAAGCTTAAACAGAAGTTTGGCAATAACAATGATACCGTGCTTTGGTAGAAGATGGACCAAAACTTCAAGCCGGAATGCGGGGTTTTGTACATTAGTTGCCCGCCTTATGTAAGGTTAGTAAGCAGTCATACGAATGACCACCGATAGTTTAGTCACGACGTGGAATCCAGCCTCCTGTACGTACTGTAGCAATTGTATCAATTTGTTTTTGGCACGGCGTACTTTACAGGAACTACATCTTAGGTCGCTCCAACTCAACATCTATTTCTCTTAGCCTCCTGCTTAGCTTCGGCCTCCCGCCGCCATGTCGGTCCACGTCTCCACTGCACTGCAAGTGCCAGAAGGGCAACGGCCTGAACACCGGTACAGAGCGAGAGGGCAGGCCCAACTCCGATGGCACGGATGAGCGGCATGACAAAGCTGGTACCACCCGCAGCAAGCAGACAGCGGGCCAGGTTGAGGCTGGCGCCGGCTGCAGCGCCGCGGTCGTGAAAGACGTCGACCAGGTAGGTCATGACGACGGACTGGGTGGACACGGCCGTCCAGCCGGTCAGAAAAGTGGCAACGATAGGCACAGCAATAGACACGCGGTGGGGGAAGTGAACGGTCCAGCCGAACAGAAGAACGGCAGCACACTGCAGCAGAGCCATGACGGGGACGAGACGAAGACGGGCTTCCTCAAGCGGAAAGTCGGAAGACATAGTAGGCTGTCGCAGGTCGTGTTTGATCTTTACGCGCTGGTAGTCTATGTTGAGGAGACGGCCGGTGATGAGGGTGCCTGCGATGCAGCCCACGCCGTTTGCGATAAAGGTGAGGCCGATCTGGGTGGTGCCCAGGCCGTAGTGTTCCGAAAACAGGGTGGACATGGCGGTGATAGACATCTGCCAGACGGTGTAGTAAACGGCGACGAAGAAAATGAGCAGAGCAGCTTGCTTGCTACACAGGATACGTAGCGGGCCGGTGACGTCGATGTGAGCTCGCTTCGATTGCAGTGCGTGAACGTCGGTTGTTTGTAGATCGTACTTTGTAGTCGTAGTCTGCTGATAAAAGACGAGCGGATAACGAGAAAACGGCGTTGTGGGTGTGTGGTTGCCATTGGCTACAAGTGCACGAAGGGTCTCGGGTAGGCATAGAAGCAGCAGGATGAGGAAGACAGCAGCGTAGATGACGAGAAACCAGAAGATGGCGCGCCAGCCGAGAGATCCGGCCAGAGCACCGCCAATGACGGGACCGACGGCGACGGGTGCCAGAAGGCCGGCCTGGAATATACTCATGAGGCCACCGCGGTTAGCACGAGTGGTAATATCGCCGACTACGCCGGCACCGATGGCAATTGTGCTGGCGCTGCCGGTGCTCTGGAGACAGCGCAGGACGACGAGGGCGGCATAGCTGAGCGCAAGGGCAAGGCCAACACAGGCCCCGATGAAGACGAGAAAGGTTCCGGCATAGGCAACACGGCGTCCTTTTGCATCGGACACAGGGCCCCAGAGACTGGGGGCGAGACCTTGGAAAACGAGATAGGCCGTCACGGTGAGATTAATGAGCTCGACCGAGACGTCCATGTCGGTGGCAATGGTGGGAAGAGCGGGAAAATAAATGTTGGACGCAAATCCGGAGACTGCAAATATGTTAGTCGGCATTGTGGTAGTTTGTGGCCCGTCGGGGGCTCTCACATGTAGCAGCTACAGAGGCGAAGAGGACGATGATGGCCCTCTGTCGTTTGTCAAAAATGCTGTAAGGTTGTTCTTCTGTCGAGGAAGCCGGAGGCCTTTCTTCCAATCCAGGCTCCCCTTCTTCAGCCATGGCGTTACTTCGGAAGAGACTATTGGGGTTGGATGATACAGATAGAGGGAGGTCTCTGGGTATTATAAAAGTGCTTCAAATAGCGGGCCAACAGGTGGGGCTCGCCGGAGTTGAGACTCTCAGCTCCGACCAGCCAATCAGCGTCCGTGGCAACTTTTATATGTGGATTATAACGGCGTTGTAACAGTCTCCAACGCTCACGGGCCGTGAGTGTGGCTCGTCACCGCATACATCATCGTGCCAAATGAGTCGACGCTCTGGAGCCAGCGGTCGACACGCCGATGTCTGCACGCCACGCCAGCTGCGTCGAGGTCCGAAGGCGGTGTCCACAGCTCTTTGATGCGCAGGGGTCCTTGGCCGTCGACAAGCCAATCATCTGCGTATGCGCCGTAGGCAGCTTCCCACTGATCCAGCGTCGTGGCTGTCCAGAGAGCACCGGCGGTTGGTGCTGGCAGCCCGCGCAGCTCCGTGCCCATGAAGGTCGGCAGGCCATCCTGGGCCGCGAGAGCACTTTCAACCAGGTATAGAGTGAAGAGCGTGCGGCGTTTGGCCTCGGCAACCACAGAGGCAGCCCACGATGACCTCTCAGGCTTCCGCCGAAGCTCGGCTGCACACACGAGCCCGTCGCACGCGCTGGCGCTGGCCATCTGCTGCAGGGCCGCCACGACGGCGTGGCGGAGAAACGGGCGAGTCTGCACCCCACCGGGATCGATGTAAAACACGAGCACCATAACATATAAAAGGTACGCCTGAAAAGAGGCGAGCCGGTCCAAGGAACTGTGTGCATCCTCTAGAATTGCTCCTTCGTTGTCTTCGTTTCGCCCGTGACGCTCAGACAGAGCACCCATTTCACGAATCAGCACATCGGCCACAAGTTGGGCACAGTTTCCTCCGGGAGATATGCCGTCAGCCATGCTAACTGTTTGCAGGCACATGTCCATCGTTGGCGTGGCAAGGCTTCGCAGGTTCGCAAGATGTCCCACTTGCGCTTTGTGCACAAACGGAGGATTGCCGCGACTGCGCACTGCTACCTCTGCGTATGACTTTAGCACCCGGTTTAGAAAACCCATCGTAGCTGAGGAGTACGTCTTGGATGTTTGCTCTGGTACCGGAATGTATGGGTGCATCCAGCGGACGGAGATGGCAGCCGCGTCAATGGGGCAGATGAGCTCGCTTAGCAGGTATTCTTGAACAACAGTTTGGCCAGACTGAGCGGTTGAGTAAACGTTTGTTGCAATAGGCGTGCCCGTGGACGACTGCACATTTTGCTTTGGCCTTATAACAAGAGTCGCATGCCAGTTGGCGGGAGGTGGAGTATCGTGATGTCTTCATGGCTGCCAACAATGGCTCTAGGCCGATTGCAGCTGCCTGCCTAGAGTTGTGAAGAACTCGGATTAACTAGCCCCGGTTCCGGGACGGTAGATAGCACACCCCGCAGACAGGCCCGAAATCGCTAAAAGCATGCAACCCGGGTAGTTTAGTGCTTGTCAAAATGAGTGGGCTGTAAGGTCTCGTGGCGCAGAATGCGAAGAATTACTCACCGGTGGTGTATAGCGCCTAGACCCACCTATTTAAGTAGGGGATTTCGTGCAGGTCAGCATCTCTCGGAAGATGCCTAATCACAACAACACGCATGCTCACAGGGCACCCGTAATTTGATAGCTTCTCCCAGATGTCTTATTAATACATAGTAATATTCTCAACAACAGCCTCTATCAAACACGGACTCAAGACTCGCTATGCCCAGCCATGCCCTGAAATCGCTTGTAAAGTAGGCCGTCATCCTTACGGACACGAGCTTCGTCCCAAAAAACATATGCCGTCTTCCGAAGGTTGTAGGTTCTGTCGAGAAAAATAGTTTTTGATGCCGTTTTGTCCTTGTGCAACTCAGACCAGACAACAATAGGACCCTGGTCATCATTGGTGCGGGCACAGTTTTGGCCTTCGTCACTATTACTTACGTCTTTGGAGAGCGATTTGAGTGATTCGGCGAATCGTGCTGTTCCTGAGCCGATGGCATTTAGCAGAAGCTGTATTTTCGTTCTGTATGCATCGGCGTGCTCGAGGTCGTCTATGAAAAGAAGCCCGCGGGACATCTGCATGGTATCAGTCGTAGTACTATGAGTCGTAGGCAGTCAGATAACTCACATAGCACTGCATCCAGTGATTCTCCACGCCCCTTGGCCGTCGATCCAAAAATGAATCATCAAAGTCTTTACCGTCAAAGGTCAGGTGATGCAGTGCTGATTTGCGCCTTCGTTAGTACTGCCGACCGCAAGGAAGAGGTAGGAAAACCCTCGAGAAGAAAAGAGAAAAAGTCTTTACAATGACTCAATTTCCATTCCAGGAAATCGTGGACACAGGCTAGCTGCTCATTCATCCACGGCGGATGTCGGTCGAAAAACCACGACTTCTGCAGCTCAAATGACAGCTGACATTCTGGCTTCCCGTTTGCGCCAAAGAGCTGCATGTATAGCTCGACACGATAGAGGGCCTGACAGAGCCGGTGCAGCTCTGACGTAGATGCAATCCTGCCCACCTCAATTCCTTCCGAGCCAGACTCGATGACGGACAGTGCTCTTTCTGCTAATTCATGGGCGCTTCGCTGAACGACGTTGTGCAGGCGGTCGATCTCTTTCAGGCCATCTGTGTCGATCCTCGCCAAGCGCCTTGAAATACTGGCAGGATCGGTGTACAGCGCGTCAAGCAGAGAGTGCGTTTCATCTTCGGTGTACACGTTCAGATTACGACGATGGCGAGCCTCGTAGATGGCGATTGCATAGGGAAGCAGTGTGAGGCCTATCCGAAATTTCAAAATGTCGCGACAAACCTGCGAGTTCTCCTGAAAGGCTCTCCAGAAGACGGGACTGGAGCGGATACAGACTGCCAGCGTAGAGAAGCTATCGAGTCTGCGCAAGACGTCCCCTATCGTTTCCACCGGAAGCCTCGTGATGCTAGTCGCCATGTCACAGAATGGAGAGAACAAGACGAATGAAGATACCGCCGATCAGCAAAAAACCAACGTACAAAGAGCAGCGCTCTTTTTAAAATGCAGTTGGCGCCTGATGCGGCGACGATAGTATATACCCGGAGAGATCTGCCCGAGTCACACGCTAAAAACGCCTTGCAGCGTGGCTATGCCTCATCTGCTTGTGTGGGGTCTTGAGATCGGATTGTGACCATTCTTGCTTCGTACTCTGTAAATATCCGTCAGCTCTGTCTCAGCAACTCTCCACTTCAGCTCACTGCCGTACTTCAGCTCTCCACAATAATATGCAGAGAGCAGAGCGGAAAGCCCCTTGGCACCGGCTGTGTGTCGGGATATACTTGGGCATGTGCAGTGTCTATGCGGTAGGAACGGTAAGGCATCTTCCTTATATTTGACTATATAGCGCGGTTATTTAGTTCCACCCATTTGGTAAGATTTGGGCACCAGCATCTCTCGGCAGTCAGACGTAGGAACATACATACGGCTATTCCGCATTATCAGCCCCATGACAACCCGCTTCTTTCTGTCTGAAACACTCTGAGTTACGTGGCATCATACAAGTGCTTGCACTACGAGGTCCCAAAAGTCCATCAAGAGGGTCAACCCAGTAAGGCTTCACGATGTGTTCTCGGAAATCATAACGTCGAGCTGCGCTAACCTTGAAAAGCTTAGCTCAGACCCATCCAATCAATGCCAGCCGCATGATAAGCACGCGTGGCAGCGGGGCAATTAAGGCTCCGTTTAAACAACAAAAACGTCGCCAACAAAGCTCTTTATGACCTGAATTCGGGTGTCCATGGCTGGTATGCAAGCCCGACGCGAATGAATCAGTACTGGGAATTACATAGTCATGTGCGTCAAAAATTGAAGGTGCTGTGTCAGCAACAGCACTAACTCGGCCGAAGTAAATGGTACGGAGACTCGTACACTTCTTCTATTGCGTGACTCCTTAGTTAGTAGATACGCCTTTCTCTTTTGATGGTAGCGAAAAGTATTGATCGCGGGATTCGATAAAGTTTCGAATTTGAGGTTAAAAAAAGGCAAAATATTACTGACAAGACTGGGACTCGAACCCAGAACCCTTACGGATGTGAATGCACCACCTTGGAGGTGAAAGCTTAGCTTGAGTCACACGCCTTAACCATTCGGCCATCTTGCCTTATTGTTATTAGAAACTTATTGTATCCCCGAAGCACTGACCCCAGTGCCATGTCAATGCGAGATTTAAGGCAATTGACAGGCGAGCGCTAGCAAATATCCACCTCCGGCTATAGTGTCCTCGGCCTCGCACAGTGTGCCAAACTGCGGCCGGAAGAAGCCGCACACGGCCCAGCCCTTTTCCGTCTCCAGCGCGCGGATCGACTCGAGATGGCCGAGGCTTCGTTGCACCAGCCGCTGGAGCTTGGCCGAGGACGTTTTGCGCACGCGCCGCTCGAAATGAATCAGCGAGGCACAGAAGAACGCCGCCATGTGGTGGCGGATGATCTCGTCGGCACCGTCCATGTCGGCCACCAGGAGGTCTGGGGCGTTGCGGCGGATAAAGTGGTTGAGCGCGTCAATCCCGTCGTCGGTCACTGGGCGCCTGGACACAGAAAACGGCAGGACGACCTTGACACGGAAGACGAGGTTCACGATTTTTCAAAGATTTTTTTTGCCGTATGCAGACACCGATAGAGTAACACACGTCCTCACAGCAGTGTATCCGCTCCGCCCATATATAATGGAACGTTCCCATATACTACTATACGCGGTCGACTTGATATTACGGAGTATGTCTTTATTTACCATACATCACAGCTGTACAGAGTCTTCGGCAACAAGACGTACAACTTTCGGTACAATGGCTCTTTGGGGTTGCACTCAGGCGATGTCGGCCCGACCTTTATAAATGGGATTGAGTCGTGGGGATGGGAAGGAACTGTGAATCATACACAGGCCGGAATGCTGCAAGAGTACATCATGGCCTTCGTTGTTGACGGAACTCCGAACTCTGCTAAGGTGATACGCGAGTTTCCCGTCTACGGAAATGCGAATACACTTCTCAATCTCAATCTGGAAGGAGACCATGTGGAAACAGATGAATAAACGGTGTAAACGGTGGAACAAGAGTTTACTGTAAGATTACTTGTTGTATATATATATCCTTAGCTATGAACAAGGTACTGGGTATCACGTTTGTTTGAAGCATAGTCACAACAACTGTCGCCTTCCCGGCACATGATATCGACATATACCGCAAGCTCCCTAACAATTCGGACAGATAACTTCACATATAACACCCATAGTTGGGTAAAAGGGTGATTCGACAAGACACAAAACGTAAGTTAAAACACAGACGAATACGCCGAAGCAGTCAACAACAGAGCATATTCATTGTAAAAGAGTATCTTTATCGCTGGTTTCATAACCATAGAAGCTTCTAGAGCATCCAATTATAGTCCCTCCAAATAAATCATTCCCGTGGCATACTAAATACTTGTGCAATTTGTGCAGCCGGGCGTTGGCGCTGTTTGCCAAGGGAATGCTGCGCGGTATCCGCAACATCACGCTGGGAAGGGGGTCGTCCGGGAGGTGTGGAACCGGCGGGAGAACGAAGATGGGTCTGATGTGTCGTGGGTCAGCACAATGGCCGATCTAGGCCTGGATCTTTTCCCAACATAAGAGGCTGAGCGATTGTTCCCCGTAGTCAGCTTGTTAGTCTTACCAATTACACTGAATGCTTCATTTATCTTGGAGTCGGGTCGGTTGTGTTATCTTAGCTTTTATACTAGCAGATTGTAATGCGAAAGCCAATATGGTAACAGGCCGATGCTATCGCCATCAGTTGCCAAAGTGGCCAGCGATAAATCGCCCCGGCCTCTCCGATCCGCATTGTCTTTGCATACGAGGCACAACAAGCAGCAAGCTTGCATTCCGGTTCATGGGCTAAAGAAAAAGGACGTATGCTCGTTAGCATAGTCTCCCATTTTTGAGAAGATATTTCTCCGCCATATGAGGCATCATAGGCTGAAGTGCAGAGGTCAAAAACTCGATCAGCTAGCCCCATCATCTACCATTTCCGGGCCGTCAATCACCACGTCCAGTTTACCGCCTGCCACCAGCAGCCTAACTATCAATCACGATGTCGTTCTCTCTTGATGAGTTCGACTGCTTCTCGCTATCGATGGCATCGGGAAGCACCTTGGACACCGACTTTGGTGTCGTCGTCGTTGACAGTGACGGCGATGGCGCTGCTCTGCAGAGGCCGTTTGATGTCTGGAGTTATCTCGGCCTTCAGTACTCTCTGAATTCAACACCGCTGGACGGGATGGTTGTGTACATCAGTGTGGGCGCGCTTTTAATCATCACTGTCCTCCTCGCCCGCACGCACCCAAAACAGTCTGTGTCTTTTATTTTCACCGATTACGTCAACCAGACCGGCTGGAAGTCGGAGGCGTGGTTTTATTCTGGGTCTCCTGCCAGGCGTGAGTTCCGTCAACGGTTTTGACTCCGTGGCCCACTTGTCCGATGAAGTTATGGAACCCAAGGAGAATGTGCTTCGCGTAATGATGGGAAGCGCTTTTCTCAGCACCATCGCCGGTTTTCCCATGATATTCGTTCTCATGTTCTGCATCAAAACCCCCGACAACCTTCTCGCTCCCATCGGTGGCCAGCCTGTGTCCCAGCTTCTTCTCGAATCGCTTGATTTTGAGGCTCTCGCCATCATTGGACATCTCATCTACACCGTCTGCATGTTTGCCGCCACCATATGCACCTTGCCTGCCCCTTCTCTTGTCCTCTGGTCAACATCTCGACAAGGCTGCTGTCCATGCTCCCGCTGGATGAGCGAAATCAACACACACTATGATCTTCCAGTCAACGCCATCTTTGTGTGCTTTTTATCGTGGTCGCTCTTGGATCGATCCAGATGGGCTCTACTGCGGCAATCAGCGCCATTTTGGGTGGCGGCATAGTCTTGCTGTACGTGGTGTATGAGATTGTCCTCGTCTGTCTCTTGATAAAAAGGCGAGCCGAATCATTTCCCGGGGAGCGCTATCTCAACATGCGCTGATTCGGGCCCGTCTTTTACATAATCTCCATAGTCTGGATCCCGTTCACTGCCATTTTATTGTGCTTCCCCGCGTACCTTCCTGTGACGAGAACCTCGATGATATACGCCTCGGCACTGTTGATGGTGATTTTCATGTGCGCCAAATGAACTGGTTTACGTATTCACGGAAGCGATATGTCTTGAGGTCTAGCTTGAGATGTGCATCTTCGCTCTCGTTTTGTCGTCTGCCAACTACGTCCAAACTGCAGGTGTCTGCCGAGGTTGTTTTGCCTGACCGTGTGCAAACAATATACACTGTGCCTCAAACATGCTGACATCGTCTACGTCATCCAGTCTCCGCACGCCATCTGTTTCCTGCAGCCGTTTACCCTCCAGCATGGACTCTATCTAGACAACGACGAAAACTTGTAATTGCGACACTATGGATTGGGTTAAGCGGGCTTCTAAGAAGGCGCAGCAGATGATGAACGAGCCGTCACCGGGCCAAGCAAGCCACAGTGGCGAGACAAACGCACAGCCAAATGCAGCCGAACAGCAGTCGGCGTCGCCGAGCTCACTGAGCCCTCCGCAGCGCACCGGAGACATCACGACACAGGTGCGACTGCTGGGACGACAGGAGTCCAACTTCCCCCACATCTTCCGCGACGGTGGCGGTGGCGGCACGGTGAGCGGACAGGATCTGATCATCTTTGCGGACGGCATGTACACGCGAGGCCCACCGCCGACAGACCCTTCGCGCATGGTCAACTTCATCTCCAACTCGATTGCGGTGCTGGGGCCGAGCGGTGCGGCCACGACGACCATTCGGCGTGTCACCGACACCGGCTCGGAGGCCAAGGGCCCGGATCAGGCGCTGCCCTTTCTCGAGGACCAGGGTGAGACGCCGTCGAGCCATGCTATCTGGCCAAACGAGAACATTGCGACCATTCAAGGCGGAACCATCGGCGTGACATTTTCCGAGGTGATCGACCGCCGCCTCTTCCGGCAGCAGAAGCAGGCGCTGCTGTACAACACGCCGATCGAGATCCACGTGCAGCAGCCGCATGCGGCCGGAGACGCCGCAGTCGTGTCAGTGTCACGGCCTCACAAGAGCTTGTTCCTGGTTGGCGAGCCAATGTTTGGCTCATTCGTCACCTACGCCACCGACGACTACCTCTACCTGTTTGGGCGCGTGTCGGAGACCGACAATCCGCGCAGCAACGGGCTGAAGCTGGCGCGCGTAAGGCCCGCTGACTGGGCCAACCGGCAGCTCTACGAGTACTGGAACGGACAGGCGTTTGGGCCGGAAATGCCGGCGCGCGACGACAACGGTGCTGCCAACGTGCTGTGCTACACGCAGGAGATATTCGGGAAGCACTATGGCCCCGGCGCGGGCGACATCTTTTGGAGCGACGTGTACAAAGAATACATCCTGCTCTTCCAGAGCGCCGGCGCCGCTTTAGACGATAACTGCAAGTTCATCCTGAGAAATGAGGAGAAGAAACACCGCATGCTAATGCTTCCCAGTGTACCTCTGCCACAGCCACGCGCTGACGGGCGGCTGGTCGGCACCGGAATCAATCTTCAAGATCCCCCGGGCCTCTGACGGTTTCAGCTATGCCTTCCATGCGTATCCAAATATGAGCCCTGATGGCAAGGTGGTGCCGATTACGTGGACGCAAGACTCAAAGTCGCAGTCGTGCTCCATCTATACGGGGGAAATCGTGTTCACGTGAGCAGGTGGAGCTTATGACACACAGTACGGAGTACAAGTATTTCATTTTACCACACCGTATGCTGTAGGTGGCGCACGGACTACCTTCCTAGCAGCTTTTAGGCTTCCACTTTGGGGTCAGAAATTTGTATCACCAAATACAAAGGTTTCGTTCAACATCATGTTTAGTTTCATTTTTTGCACCAAAAGAATCCTACCTTCCCTATAGCAATACAATAATCATATTCCGTTAAATGAGAAACATTTGTGATAAGTCTTTGGGTGTTGACAAATTGTAGCTTGGAAGAAAAAAGGGATAGAGAGAGACGGACAGAAGAGGAACCTGCAAAGCAAAGATGTCTGAATTTTACGACTTTTCGGCGCAATCTGCTTACGATGTGCAATTGATTTTTTACCACGGCCTGCTCGGCTCTCCTTCGCACATCGCACGCACATCGACGACGCTAATTGTGCCACAGTACGAAAAGACACCTCAGAGGTTTCTTGCCAATTTGAGCAGCCACGACGTTGTGCAAAGATGGGACCCAACCTTGCGTAATGAGATATTCGGAGGTCGGCCAGACGCGCGACGCACATGGGCGGAAGCGATGCAGGGACGTTTCGGTGTGCTACTGTCAAGATACAAATAGTTTTGCTGATCGGACTACTTTTGAGCAAAAAAGAACAATAGTACATCAGATAGATCTTTCGTCGTTACCGTCTCCCTCCTACTATATAATCAATAAAATACGCCAATTTCTCCGCCTAATCATTGTTTCCGGCGTAGGTTGAATACACTCAAGTTGTTACCTCCTCCCGAAGAAATTCAAGAGTAATTCGTAGGCCATATACCGTTATTCAAGCTACGTTGGCTGTTCCCTACATACACCTTGTACACTCGATTAAACTTTGCTGTCTACCACCTCCTTCTTACTTTTTTCAATTCATCCTATCCTAAAGTAGTTGGTAGCAGCAAGTAGGAAGCCCTGTCACTACCGGTGCAAAATATGTGTGGGCCCTTATGCGTGTCGTGTGTCCGTAGATGTTGTACTGTATAACTCGCGGCCATACATAAATAAGGCAAGTCCCATCGACTAAGTCATAGCTCATGACGTATTGCGAAGTAGGCGTAGGTTCAGTGTTGAGTTTAGGTCTCAGTGCTGATACTCCAGAAACATGCCCCCCCCCCCTCTCTCACATCAAGACAAGGATGCCTTTAAGTTCCAGCGCGTGAGTTGTGCATGGTAAAGATAGCTAAGGATCATTCAAAGTTTGGTTTGGACAGACTGAGACGGACAAATCATATCGGTCAGAATGGATGAAGAATTGGCCCAGACTGTTACAAATGATGCGCAATATGAAAGGACCGAAACTATCACAAGAATAACCTAGCTAACAACCCGCAGCTAGTTGTCAATGATGCTCAATGTAAAAAATGTCTCACGCTCTTCTAAGAGATTGCCGCGGTCGGACCTATCTTGCAGAGAATCGCCACCGGGAACAAGGGACTCCTCCGCTGGTGGTCGAAACTAACTCTAATGATAGATTCACGACGGCACGGAGATGCACTGCTCTTCCTCAAGCTGTCGGCCGACTGGAATACGACCATTTATTTGTGAATTTGACAGCGTGCAGGTGGGTGGTGGCGAGTTGGTAGAGGCCCGTATCTACTTGACACGCATGGACATTACTCATTTAAGCGTGGTGCAGCAAGACCTGACCGGTGGCGAGGGTGAATTTTTAAACGACACCCGTCTCAACACCATATTCTGCATTTTATCCGGCGCTACCCAATGTTTTACAGCGGAAATGCGGACCGCTCCTGGTTGCATTCGTAATGCTTAGTATACCATATCTACCAATAAGACAAAAACATACACGGGGTGGATCTTGTTGGTGTGCCTCCGTACAAATCTCACCAGTAAAGAGCAAGCCTTTTTTCTTGTTACCTAAATCGCCCCTCCTTCTGTTTAGCTCTTTGGTCTTCCGAAACGCGTTACCGCTGCTTGGTCAGCTTTCAACGCCGTAATTTATGCAGTATTATGGAGTAGGGAGAGATAAGAAGTGCTTGCTCCGCCTACTGAGGTAAGGGTATGGGGCACTCTGGTTGAATTTAATTGCGAGATCTAAACTTTGACTCGGAAACGGTGGGGACCTTGCGTAATCAATGATCCACATCCCGGATTTCTGCATCGGCTTTGGTCACGTGCCATAAGCGTACTCCGTACTGGAAAGACATCGTGAACATCTCGGCTACTGATAAATATCCACTGCCATCTTCTTCTCGCTCGTCTATGAGGGTACCAATCCACTCATTATCGATGCGATGGATAGTCCGACGCCCACTAAAACGCCCAAGGCAGCACAAGTCTTGCTTGCAGATGGCACAGAACCGGAACCGGAAGTCTTCAATCATGGCGTTGATCATCGCCCTGCCCTCAACGGCTCTGACGACGATGACACAAACCTGAGGGACGGCGCTGCTCTCGCTGAAAACAGCACAGTGCACTTGGATCGGAGGGTACGGCTCAAGATAGACCACCGGCTGTGCACGATAGCAGGAATACTGTGCGCGATGGACCTGATCGACGGCAGCATCATGTCGAGCGCATCCGCTACATCAATGCCGGCATATCTAGGACTCACGGGGAACCGTTACTCGATGGCGATCTGGCTATCCACGCTTGCACAAATGATATTTTAGCTGCCGAGCACAGTCATCATGCGGCTGGTGGGAGCACCGCTGTTCTTTACCACCAGCACTGTCGCCTTTGGCCTGATTACGCTGTGCATGGCCTATGTGACGACTTGGAGGCAGATGCTTGCGCTCCGATTTTTGATGGGCATGGCCATGGCGGGAATTTATCCGGGCCTAACCTATCTCTTGTCGGCATGGTAAGCTTTCTCACCGCATGACGGGGGGAAGTATAGATATGGCGTAAATATTGACTGCAACAACACAGGTACACTAGGAGAGAGATGCAGCTCCGGTTTGCCTACCTTCAAAGTGGCCAGGTCATCATCGTGGCAACAGGCAGCATAGTCAACTACGGCCTAACTTTTCTTGATAAACAGCAGGGCCTCCGCGACTGGCAATGGATGTTCATCGTCCAAGGGGCGATTAGCATGTTCTTAGGTCTTGTGACCTATTTCTGGATCCCCGACTTTCCAGAAAACGCCAGCCGCACATCTCTGTTCTTGTCGCCCCAAGAGGCGGCCCATGTGCTCCGCCGTATTGACGAAGACCGCAAGGACGCCGGTGCCCCGGAGCCGCTGACCGCGCGCGCAGTATTGGAGCCGTTCCTGGACCCCAAGCTGCACGCCTTCAGCCTGCTCTTCTTTCTTCAGAACGTCGTCTCCACCGCGCTGTCATACTTTATCCCTACCATCCTGCTCGGCATGGGCTTCACGTCCGCTGACTCGATCCTGCTGTACGCACCACCGTACTACTACGCCGTCATACCTGCCATCATCTCGGCCTTGGTGGCCGATCGGCTTGCGGCCAGAGCACCCGTCGTGGTCTTCAATGCCGTGTGTCTCATCGCCGGGATGGCCATGGTCGGATTCGTGCACGGGAACGTTGCAGCCAGATACGTGGGGGTCATGTTGGCTACGGGTGCGTACGTCTCCAATTGGGCCGGGCCGAATGCCTACCAAACCAGCAACGTAACGGGGCAATGGAAGCGTGCTACTGTCGCTGCTGCCGTGTCGGCTATGAATGCGCTGGGCGGCATAGCGGGATCATACATACTCCGTTAGTCAGAGTCGCCTTGGTATCCCACGGCTATCTGGGTCAGCATTGGCAGTCATATTCTGATGCTCGGAATTGTTATCGTCTGCAACGCCTTTTTCGTGCGGGCGAATAGGAGGGCCCGTGATGGTAAAGGGGTCATTGAAAAGACGGTTGGGTTCCTATATACATACTAAGCTTTCTGGCTATGTCTTTGAAAGTGGTAGAAAACGGAAGCATGAGATACGGAGACTTATCTAAAAAGGAGACATCAGTAACACGATAAATATAGAGCAAGCAGTGTCCAAAACACTTCCAGCCATTTTAGATTTGCAAAAGGAGTCTTTACCTAAATAGATGCAAATACGAGTATCTAGACATAAGATAAAGTGAATCAAGTAGTGTGGGAAATACGTTTCGGTATCGTCTGCCGTAGCTGCAACGTGTCCAACAATAAACCTATACAGAGTATTAGCAAGACATTAGGAACCAATGCCCCGTCCCTCTGACTCATACCGCTTAAACATGATATTAGTCGCCATGATCGGCTTGTAACATCAGTTCGGATATTGAGTATTAGGCAAAACTCAGCCATCGCCTTTTCGAGACACAGCCACACATATGGGCACACCACCTGAATTGGCCTTTGAGAACCTGTCGACTTGCATGAAAACAAGGCAAGTAAGGCCGCAGTATAGGCTGACCGTCGATTGCGACCCAAAGCTGCGCAATTGGCGATATTGAAGCGGGGTTTTTTGCTTACGCCCCAAAACGCCCAAAAAACCCCCACACACGTACGTTAAATTAAAAATAAATGGCAGAATGCTGCGTGGCATTAAACCAAGAAGATCATACATAAGCATCATGCGCCAGTTGTTCACCGTATCCTACGTGTATCCTTGAAATAGCCATCTACGGCTATGGACAATCATAATTACACTATGAATGGCATAGGCGCCCTGTCTGTCGCGCAGTCCACACTTCACCATATGCTTCCAGGAGTAATTGAGGCGACAAAGTCTTCGGCAGAACAGTGGGAACAGCTTTCTGAATGGATCTCGAGTAAATCGACCGTTGTGGCTAGTTATGGTGGTCAGACCGGTGCTGAAACTCCAAACACCTCTCTTCCAGGGAGCATTTCACTAGACCACTGGCTTGAGGCCGTCAGAGAGTGTTCGCTCGATGCGAGACAGAAGGAAGTCTGTCGTATCGTTCTTGCCCTGTCTATTTTTCGCCAGAAGATCTGGAAATCAGAAAAAATTACGACAACAGAGCTGGCCGACATATGGAACCTCCTCCGCGGCGCGCTTGTCAGCCCTGCGTCGCCCATTTCCACCGTCTCGCGCAGCGCGCAAGGCTTTCTTGCCATACCACTGTGCAGCTCTCTCGAAGACGGAAACATTGCCGAGCTCTGGCGTCTCCACGTCTGGCTCGGGGATGGCCAGAGAGGCAGTGAAGATTTTGCCATTCACGCCCATCAGTCCTTTGCTGAGAGCTGGATCTTGGCAGGTAAAGCAACCGACCATAGCTTTGAGGTCGAGCCCGTCCAGCATCATGAGGAGGCCACACATGCCAGCTTTGCCATCGGCTGGAGCGACGGGAAAACCAAAGAGGAAGATGCGGCCCGTGGCAGGAAATACAAAACACACCAGACTTCGTCTACGGCAGTGAACACCCACGAGTGGGTTTCTGTCAGAGAGAGCGCCTCCGAGGAACACTCCTCTGACGGCATATACCAGTACCACATCCCCTCTGCCGCATACCACCGAACCGTGGTCGACCCGACTGCCTTTCACTCCACCTTGTTCGTCTTTGACTCTAGCCGGGGATTCCACAAAGATGTCGGCGCCCTCGGCCCAAAAGACCAAGAATCATACACTCAGTCACGTGATCCTGCAGGCCGGACGGCAGCTTCTCTCGCACAGATGGTGAATGTCGTTCGCGCATGGGAGAAGGCAATGGCAGAGGGGCAACGGTATGCCGCAGACTCGCGCTGGGAGTTTTCTATGCGTGCATTTGAGCACGCCCGTGGACTTTTTCACAACTACAATGAGATGCCGAATGCGTCTCGCTATCATGGTATAGCTACAGGAGAGCTCGGTAAGACGAACCGCCGGTTTGGGCGCTATAAGGTGGCAGAAGCGCTGCTTAGGACAGCGGTCAAAGAGTTGGGAGGGCACAACCGGCCCAGTTTGGAAGAAGCGGAATACCACGGCGAGATTGGCGTGGTGTTGCGCCATGAGGATCGTCTGGAGGAGGCAGAGTTGTCGTTTGCGAAGCAGTATCGTATGGCAGAGCAGCTGGGGGACCAGCCGCAAATGTGCCGTGCCCTCGGGAACTGGGGCATGGTTAACTACCAGTACTTCCTGCAGAACAGAGATCCAGAGCGCATAAAGGCTGCAGTTGAGCAGCTACTGGCCCGCGTTCAGATCGCACAGAAGCTTGGTCACAGACTGTGGGAGTCTATTGGCCTCTCACGTCTCTCGTTATGCTACACGATTCAGCTGCAGGAAGCCATGGCTGCAGACACGGCTTTGCGGGCACTTGGACTTGCTCTGGCAATGTCGGTGCGAGACCCAGTCGTGGTAGCCCTGTCACGGTTCTTCTATGGACGTGTACTACAGCAGCTTTATGCACTTCCGGATGAGGCCATGCGGCAGTTTGACCCCCCCGCAGACGAGGCATGCACACCCGCCATTGCTCTCTGCAAAGAGCCATCACAAGAACACCACGGATATCTCCAGGAGCTGGTTGATGCAGGCGTGGACCTCTGCCGTGCCGATGCTTCCGGATATACGGCACTCGACTGGGCCACCTTCAACGACAACGCAGATATGAAGCAGACCGTTCTTCGCGGGCTATAGGCATCGTGTTCGCAAGAGTATGTTGCGCTTTCGTTAATCGAAGCGAGGCTGCGCAAAGGTTATCGAGTTATCTTCCAAGAGAAGCTCCGACCCATCCTGATGGCAAGCGGCGAGAACGAGAGGAATGGCGGTAAGATCGACAATAGAAACTCGTCTATTCAGGACTTGCGCGAGGCATATGCTATGGCTCTTACTGACGACGGGGAAAGTGGCCGGCTATTCGACAGTTTACGCTTTGTTCCCTATCAAAAGTTCAGAGCCGCCAACCAGATCCCACGATCGAGCATGCACTTGACGGCAGAGTACACTCCCAAGTCCCACAGTAAGGAGAACTCCGAATCTGCCGTGGATTTTGTCGTCTTCTTCTCGTACCGGTGGATGAGGCCTGGAATGCTGTCCCCAGACGACGATAACCATACGCAATACGGCCGGATGCTTTTAGCATTGGAGAGTTTCTTTGAGATGAATCCTAGTATAAGCCCGCAGCGGCTGGGAGTTTGGGTGGTAAGGCCAAGATACTGCCACAAGGCCTACATTTTACCTCTACAACTCGCTATCTGCTGACTTATCTGTACATCCATCCTAGGATTATGCTTGCATTGACCAAGACAATGCCCAGGCAAGACAGAGTGGTATATCCACGCTGCCTTTGATACTGGTCCAGTGCGACGCTTTGATCAGCCTTACCAGTAACGGCTACTATGATCGTGCCTGGTGCACTTTGGAAGTTGACATGGCCCGGAGCCTGATCATGTCCTATGGAGTTCACAAATGGTTTGTATATGATGCAACTGAAATGGCTGAAATCGGAAAAGGGCCTAGAAAGCTTTACTTGCAATCGGGCCCGATACAGAAGCTAGCCAGCTCCCTGAGCGACAAAAAGTGCAGCCAGCCGTCGGACTGGCCTACATTGATATTCCTAGAAAGGCAGACTCAGCTACTAGGTAGGGGCTGATCATATGGGCAGCAAGGAGAGTCGGCACTTTTCCTTTTCTCGGTCTTCGTGTGCAAACTTGTCTTTGTAGTCGGTGCTAAAAATAGCTTTAAAAAGTAACGACAAGCTAAATACGTTCTTTGAACAAATCCCCGTGTTTCTCTTATTATATTTAGAGCAAGCAGGACTTGGGACAGTAGTCGGTTTAGAACCACATTAGCTGCTCATATTCTACTGTTATATAGACCTAAATATCAACAATGAGATTTCAGCAAAGTGTCGAATACACCTCATATCGGTAAATTAGATACATTTGTAGCAGCCAGATCATATACAGGATTCTGCGGGACTTTCAGGGAAGCAGGAATGACTAAGCTGATAAAGTAATAAATGTGCACTACCTAAAAATACTTATTGCCTTGGCTAAGTACGGAGAGCTTTCGTCCACTTCTGTCTATCTGAAGACAGTTCTTTTGGAATTTCCACTGCTCGCAAGTTACAACCAAGAGAATTGTCCTGCTTAACGAAGCTGTTGGAAAATTAAGATTGAGTACGTAAGAACAGGTAACAGAACTTTTACACTCATAGGTATAGCTAAAATGTAGCCGAATAGCACTAGCACAAAAGGTTTGGAAACAAAAACACAACGGAGCAGAATGCGAGAAAAGAGGTTACTTCATAGCTGTTCTTCCGCCAGTTCAACCAACAACTTTTTTTAATCAAGGACGTCTTCAATACCTTCATACAACCCCCACGCGCCGTCTTCGTAGCCAAGTCCTCGAGGCACCCAGTCCGAGATCTGCCTAATAAAAAAAGGACTTTAAAATTATTAGCCTCTTCGTCTGTCCATGATTTATTCTTTGCAGAAGTGGACTCACCCTTCCCTCGCACCAAATTGTCGCTGTCCTTGTCATCAAAGAATACCGTGGTTCCTCCCGTCCAGATTTCCGTCTTCATTTGGCGTCAGGGCCATCTGTTAGCGCTTCCCACTTCACCTCAACACCATTCATGGCCTGTCGAATGTGCCAATCAACGAGGTCCCGCGCCGAGACGGCATCCTCGAGGCTGTCATGCCCTTTGTTGCCAGTCTGAATCACTCGTCCCAACCGGGTGTACACCAGTGCCTGGAGTGACAGGCCACCTGCTCCACGCTTGCGACTCTTCTCCTTTTTCTTGTCTGCAATATTGCCGTCTTTGTTCTGTCGGCCCTCCTCTTTCCCACTTCCATCCTTGCTTTCCTCCTCCACGATCCCCAATTCTCTCTTTCTCGCCTCCTCCTCTTCCCTCTTCCTGGCTTCTTCTTCCTCTTTCGCCCTCTTGTATGCTTCCCGAAGCTTGTTTTCGATAAGGAAGCTGTCCACGACCTTGTTGTGCACCCACCGGAGCGTCGCCAGGTCGTTCTGAGTCCCATGGCCCACGACCACTGTCTCTGGTCCGACAAATTGCCATACACGCGAACGTGCCGCAGCCACGCCCTCGATGCACTGCCGCATGCTCTGGGCGTCGTATAATTGCTTTCGCGTCACACCCGAGTAGCGAGTGTTGTAGTGTAGCATGGGCACACTCGGCCAGACTAGGCTGTCTATCAGGACGTCACCCGTGAAATAATCGATTAGAGTGATGCGAATTAGTTCGCTGTCGTTGTCGGAGGAAGTGCCCATTTCGCAGTCGATGGCGACGGCAAGGCGTTTGGGCGTCTGGTCCAGGGTCGTAGCAGCTCTTTTTCTCTGTCGGTGGCTGCCACTACTATCATGATGGATGCTTCCAAAAGAAAATGAACCTACTTCTGAAACTGATGGGAGTCCCATACTCGCAGGCCGAGTCTGCACAGGCACCTTTGGTGTCGGATGGCACTGCCAGCGTTCAGCTAGATCAGTAAGGGGGATGTCATTTATCTCGTGCTTTTCAGCCATAGCGCAAGGCTTAGCCGTTCTGGACTGGTGGCAGCAAGTCCACATCTGAAAACCGGACTGGGGCTCAGAGTTTGATGTTAGTTGTTATCCCTCTCTCAGTCTTCCCATTTCTTTGATGGATGTTTTTAGGCACACTAACAACAAACTTAAGCTTTCCGGCGTGATAAATACATGGAAAGCGATGTTCTTTCGTCTCGCTGGGTTTATAAACCTCCTGCTTGCTTCTGGGTCCGCGCTTATGATGCGTCTTTTCTGTCAGGCTCAAGGAACGCAGTCCTGTCGTGGCTGTGGTGGTTGGTGCTGATTCATCATTTTTCATGTCTTGGCTCGTGGCATCCTCTACGTTCCGCGGTCTCTTGTCTCGAAAGCGTGTTTTCGCTGTAAATTTTAGTCAGTCTATAACTTTGTTTTGTTGGAATGTCAAGTAAAGCAGAGATATGCATACGACGTATTCCGCATCGCATGCAACGCCGCTTTGCCAACAAAGCATCTTCAGTCAGTGGGGCGACTGTGAATCCTCCTTTCTGCAGCTCGTCCTCGGGATACACAAAGCCGCGCAAGAACTTTAGGTACTCCGATGATGGCTCGATCTGTGTTGGAGTGGCCATGATGGCTTCTTTTGTTTCGAGATTTGTGTTTGTGGGGGAGAAGGGGGGTCGAGATGATGTTTGGACAAAGAAAGAACAAATGGAGGTCAGAAAAGCCGGAGTGTTGGCCTGGCAATCACCTTTGGCTTAGGCAGCTGGTGCGCGAGATGGGGCTGTAGAGGGCAGCTGCGATCATTACACTAGGCGCACAAGATGCTTTGTCCTGGTCTCCGATATGAAGACTTTTTGATTTGAATGAGTCTTGCTCTTTCCGTACGAGTAGAAATATGAGCTCGTTTGCGGGGGCTTAGTCACCGTGTCACGTTCTGTGCGCTCTATGGTTCTGGTCAACTTTTAGTCGCAATGTCCAACATCCTTGGGTTAGTGTCTAAAACGCAACCTGCGGCGGTTCCTGAAAACGTTTCGGTACTAAAGGGCTCGTCGGATTGACACATGCGCGCTTAGCCTAAGTCTCTCAGTATCTCCTTGAAAATAATGAACTTCTTCACAAGCACTTTTGCTTTCACAGATGATCAGAACCAGCGCCACCAATAAAAATAATAATCCTTGGATGTCTATAATATTGGCCTATCTGTCACGTTGACTGCCTATACTTCCCGATCCTGACAAATGGTAAGATCACCACCAATTTAGCACTCGACGAGCTGCAGATTATCAGATCCAAGAAATGACACAACATAAGCATGGCAATGCCCCAAAGAACAACACAAAATACGTGACAGACTCGCTAAATACATTTATAGATTTACAGATCAGAAGCAATAGATATAAGAGAGAAAATACGGTTCGTGAGATCCTCAGTTCCGCCGCTTTTGGCACATTTGGCATCCGACATCAACCAAAAGACTCAGACAGTCTAAAGAAAGACGTAGGTCATCTTTTTATTCCCTGCATTTTTCATCGCCGACGGGACTTTCCTCCGCGTATCCATAGACCGCAGAAAGCACCAACAACAGCTGCGGCGAAAATTAGGAGGAACCCCCTGTTTATACCCTTACCGTAGCAGTCTCTTACAATGTCGGCGATCTCGGGGCTTAGAAATTGCAGAGAATCCAGGCTCTTCGTCACGTCCTCAACGATAGCATCCACATCCACATCAAAGTGCTGGAGTTCGATACGCAGGACATCCCGCAGGTACTGCTGCACGACAGTCGAGACGACAGCAACGCCGAGCACATAGCCCAGACTTCGGCAGGCGTAGTAGGACGCGGTGACGACGGCCACGCTATTGGTAGACGCATTGGTAACTGGGTATCGTGTGGTTAGCGTGGAACTAACTGGGGTCTAATCATGGAGACGTTGCACTTACTGACGGCGATGAGCGCAGAGACGACCGAGTTTCCGATGCCGAGCTCGTTCATTATGTGGGCGACTATCAAGCCAGGAACAGACTCAGAAACAGTGCCGGAAAAGAGGAAGGCGATCAGGGTGCCAGCGACCTGCACGACAAAGGCCAGCATCTGGGCCCAGTAAAACTGGCCGGTGTGCCGCATCCAGAAGCCGACGGCCATGGCGCTAAAAACACCGGCGATGATGGCCGGGATCATGTAGAGAGACGCCTCTTGTGGCGTCAGCTCCTTTTTGACTTGGTAGTATAGCGGCAGGATGAACTCGAGGGCAGCCAGGGCGAAGAAGCACAGGAACGACGACAGATAGATGGGCAGAAGCTCGGGGTTGCGGACGACAGACATGGGCACAATCGGCTCGCGGGCGATACGACCCTCGACGTAGACGAACCAGACAGTTGCAACGGCCGAGACGCAAAAGGAGACGTACGTCTCGACGGCGGTCCAGGACACGTTGCCGCCACGGTCGAGCCCCAGCATAAAGGCTGCGATTGCGACGACGAGGCTACTGGAGCCCAGAAAGTCGACCCGGCCGAGCTTCGACAACAGCGACTCACGTCCGACTGCCCGACGTTGCTGCTGCAGCTGCTCCTGTTCCTGCTGCTCCTGCTCCAGGCGGGTCTCCTTGTCCTGGCCGATGTCTCCATCGAGGAAGCAGCTGACAACCGAAATGGCCAACACACAGATGGGCACCTGGCCGTAGAACGACCACCGCCAGCCCACAGAGCCGGCCAGCAGGCCGCCGAGCGGGGCACCGAGGCCAGCGCCCAGAGAGTAGACCACGTTGAGCACACCCTGCCAGATGCCCCGGTCTTCGGGGGGGACCAGGCCGGTGAGCAGGATGGAGACCACCGTGCCCATGCCACCGCCACCGATGGCCTGGACGACACGCGCGGCAATGATCTGCTCCATGGTCTGGGCCAAGCCACAGCCAAGACAGCCGATGGCGAAGAGGACATACGAGAACAGCAGACACTGCTTGCGGCCAAAGATGTCGCACAGCTTTCCGTAGAGCGGCTGTGTGGAGGCAAGCGAGAGCGAGTATGCGGTGATGATCCAGGAGGCCAGGTTCAGGGCGTCCAGCTCACTGGAGATGGTAGCATAGCTGACCAGCGCAATGGTCCCGTCTGCGGCGGATAGAAAGGTCTGTTGCAATCAAGGCCTAGGTCAGCGAGGTTGTGCCTTCACAGCAGTCTTCCAGCAGGAGGACAGAGAGAGAGCGCTCACGCCGATAGAAATGGCCGGAAAGATGACCAAGATGTTGGGCTGTCGCCGCTTGTGAACTCCGTGGCCATGGCCAGGAGCCGTGGCGGCGTGTTGACTGGCTAGCAGTCCTCCATGTTCCAGATCATTCGATGTGGCCGCGATCGGCGCGGATGTCGGCTCAGACTCGGGGTTTGCACTTCTTAGAAGAGAGGTTGTTTCGTCCGGCGAAGTCACCGAGGACGACATTTTGAACATCGGCTTGCACTCCCTGGACACGAAACGGGAACTTGGAACTCGTTCTGAGTTCTGAGTTGCAGAAAAACAAAATTTCTATAGCTGTGCAGGTCCAACGATTTCTTTCTCAGATAACCGGGCCTAGTGTACGCACACGAGTTACACTAGTCCGACCCCACCCCCCCTCAACGGGTCGATAACAGTATATAAATGAAGAAATGGGGCGAGGCGGTGTCGTAGAGTACGACAGGTCGTACTCAGAATGTTATTAGTTGTCCTCAAGATGGTTCGTTGTCGTGGTATACCTCCGGCAACGCATCTGCCTTTTTCCCCATTTCTTATCTGTACACTTGAAAAAGAAATCATGGCCCCGAATCATCGCCGTCGTAAACTCGGAATTGCGATACCGCACGCCACCGAGACGGTCCGAAGCTTGACTGAGAAGCGGATATTTGGCAGTCGCTTCCTTTCTTGACTACATCCCGAATTGGTAAAGCATGGCTGCTGATGCGTTGCTCGCTCCAACATCCACGCTACGGGATCGCCGCTATTGCTTCCGAAATCTGTTTGAATGCTACCGGGGATACGGCGGGTCGCCGTGGAACGTCCCAGATCATGCTTCGGATTTAAGGAGGTGGAATATTGCTTAAGCTCGATGTCGCAGGATATAAGTCTAGGCAATTGCTTTCCGTCCATAGATGCCTTGGTCCGGTTGATACAGGATATTTTTCGAAATCCATGAATACAGTTTAACCGCTCGCATATCGTGGCGCAATGTGCACGCAAGCCATCCTAGATCACGGACCAAGGGGAGCCGATCTTACGGGGAAGGTAAACTCTACTACCTGGCAGGTAATGTTTACATTGTTTGCATACGCCGTGCCAGAACAGACATATTCCTATGATCTATTTATGTGTATATGAAAGCGCGTCAAATTCGCTGCCGAGAAAGTGCAGATCTGCTGACTCAGCCAGAGCGAGGAATACGGCCTCTGACCGGATTAGACACAAACTATTACGGCCTCAATTCTGATTCCAGTGGTCAAGTACTTGTTCCTGTGCTAAATTAATCCTTGTCAGACATTGCGGCTCTGTGCTAGATTAACGATACGCCGTTGTAGTATGGCCCCCCTTTCCTATTACAACTGAATACTACATGGAGTCACCAGAAGAGGCATCTTCCGTCATACCCATCTCACGAGACATGCAGTTCTGCACTCTATTTCACTGGCTGCTATGCCAAGCTATTGCACCTATTTTGTAGCTAGCGATGCCGGAGATCCCGAGGCATTTTCCTTGCTGTTACGCTGCCATGTGCGGCCCTCCACTTGAACAGAATACTTCATGCATCACATCGCGTATCAAAAAGCAGCATATTTGGAAACGCTGGGCGGAGACAGCCGTGTGGTGAATTGCGTGCTCGTGTAGCGGCGATGACTTCATTTGTGTTAAGCGCTGTGATTGGCCAACGCGATCTTGAAGTTGCGTTGAGTGGAGAACTAACATCCATGCAAAAAGATGCACGGAGTACGTGTACGTCTATCTCGAACTCTCGGGTTTCCGTGCGGCAGATATGTACTCCGTGTGTAGTATAAAAACGTATTCCGGCCCTCCGTGGAAGTTGTTTTGCTCTCTCCCTCTGCAGTAACCGTTCTTTTTGGCTCATTCTCTCAGTAGACATGGCCGCGATCAGCAGCGCATCAGAGAAAGGTGTCTTGGGCCCGGATGATTTGGGCGAGATTTTGAGCATTGACGTGCCCAAATTGGCGTCGGAGGAAGCCCTCGACGATGTCTACCAAACGTACAAGTCGGCCGCCCTCGAAGACGTTTCGCCAGAGGACGAGCGGCGGGTTCTGCGCAAGATCGACCTGCGCGTGGTGCCGATACTCTTTGGCACATACCTGCTTCAGTACCTTGTCCGTTTCGTCCTGTCCAGGGTGATGGTCAGCCAGACTAACGCCAATTACAGGACAAAAACTCGCTGAACTTTGCTAGTGTGTACGGCCTGAAGAAGGCGACACATCTCAAAGGCCAGGACTACTCCTGGCTGGGTAAGCTGCAAGGTGTTTGGCGATGGCGATGATCTGCAGGATAGGCCCTAACGCGTCCCAGGCAGCATCTTCTACTTTGGCTACTTGATCGCACAGTTCCCCGGATCCTACCTGCTGCAGAGGCTGCCAATCGGAAAGGTCGTCTCCATCGTGACTATTCTCTGGGGTGGCATCGTGATGACCACCCCGGGCTGCAGCTCGTTTGCCGGCATGTCGGTGAACCGCTTCTTCCTGGGCGTCACCGAGGCCGTGGTCAACCCGGCCTTTGTGCTGATCATGTCGACCTGGTACACGGCCACAGAGCAGCCACTGCGGCTGGAGTCGTACTACTGCACCAACGGCATCGCCACCATGTTTGGCGGCCTGATCGGCTATGCCGTCGGCCACATTTCCACTGGCCTGCCCAAGTGGATGTACGTCTTCCTCATCTTCGGCTCCGCGAGTGTCGCCTGGGGCGTCGTGTCTCTCTTGGTTCTGCCGGACCTGCCGTCGACAGCGCGCTTCCTCAACGAACGCGAACGCGCCATCGCCATCAACCGGGTCTCGCAGAACAAACAGGGCGTCAAGAACCACCATTTCCGCAGCTACCAGGCCGTCCAGTGCGCAAAGGACCCCAAAACCTGGATCCTCTTCGTCATGGCTGTCGGCGCCCAGATCCCCAACTCAGCCCTCACCAGCTTCACCAGCATCATCGTCGGCACCTTTGGCTTCGATACCCTCGGCACTCAGTACATGCAGATTCCCGGCGGCGCCGTCCAGTTTCTCGCCCTCATCATCGGTGGCTGGGTCTGCACCCGCTGGTCCAACCTGCGCTGCATCACCATGATCGTGGCCAATACCATCTGCATCATCGGCGCCGCCATGCTGGTGGGACTGCCAAACGACAGCAAGGTCCGTTTGCTTTCGTCCATTTCCGCTCACGTAAACACTGCTGACTAAACCCGCCTTCTTCAGTGGGGCCGTCTTGTTGGCCTTTGGCTTTGCTACTTCCAGGGCCTCGGCTTCAGCATTTCACTGACGATGGTGTCCTCCAATGTTGCTGGATACACAAAGAAGCAGCTGACTGGCGCTGTCCTCTTCACAGGATACTGTGTGGGGAACATCATCGGACCACAGACTTTCAAGTCCAGTGAGGCTCGTAAGTACTCCGTAGCTTTAAACCTCTTTGTACCAGCAGGCGCTGACTAAGCCATCAGCTCATTACCACAGCGCGTACATTGCCATGCTGGTGGGCTACACAGTCAAACTAGTCATGGTTATCGTGCTGTACATCTACATGTACCGCAGCAACAAGGCACGTGATGCTGCAAGTGTGTCCGACGACAGTACGGCTGTCGAGATGGGCATGCTTGACCAGACCGAGCTCGATAACAAGGGGTTCAGGTGGGTTTGCCCCTTCTGGCAGTTACCGAGTTGTACTAACAGTGTTAGATACGTCTTATGATGAAAGCGTGCTTTTCCTTGTGACAATCACGATGGTAGAAGATTTGTCTTTTAAAGTGATAGTATAGAACGAATATACATGCTTTCTATCGTGCTTCGCCTTCGTCAATGTGCTTTTTTCGTAGGCTCTACCTTGCTGAGGACTCTACCCCGGCATAAGGATTACACGTATGGGGTTTTTCGAGCATTGTCCGAAGTGATGATTTTTATCAGGCACGTTACCAAAGGAAGTATAGTCTCGGACGTATCATAGCGTTCTGAGATTACCGATCAGTTCATATCTATGGTAAATGCGGCTGGTTTTTTTGACCCAGTTTCAAGAAGCTTTGAATTTGGCCATATTGTTGCGTAGGTAAGTATTGTGCAAACCCCGGATCTCTTATGGTGCCACGCCTCAATTTACTAGACTAGTTACAGTAGCATTTTCTTCGTCGGTACAGGCGTGGTGAACTGGTAAGGCAGACGGCCTTGTACTAACTAGGCTGGTGGTTGTGGGCTGAAACTTATCTGACAGGTGCTTTGAGGCCTAGGCGTCTTCTTAGTCTCTGCGACTGTTACAGAGTAAAGGCGGCTGGTCTTTTTAGTAGCCGTCTGCCGAAGGCGCAGCTAATTTATGTCTGGTACAGGGCCAGACCTATCGCAAGCATACATTATACGCCGTCTGCTGTTGCCTCGCATTGACTGTTCGGGATAGAGGCATAGCCTCGTGCTAGTTCCACTTGTTTATTGACTGAAGTGGGGCATTTTCAATTCATATGCCGCTTCAGGGGACAGGCTGCCGGCTTCAGACAGCGCTGGCGAAGACATATTTGTGCTTAATATACGGAGTAGGTGGTGACGAAAGGGGGAGGGGGGTCTCCGCTAAAGCGGTGTCGTTTATTTCTTGCGTATTAAGGCGGGGCTTTATTCCCGTGTTATATTCGGCGTACACATGTGGCCGTCGGTAGGCAGGGCTATCTGACTTATCCCGATTTTAACAATCACCGAGCGTGCGCAACTTTAGGCGTAAGAAGTCTGTTCAACATATTAGCGTCCCCCACCGTCTTGAGGTAATAGCTGGATGGTGCCCAACATTGTAGCTGCCGAGCCTTCTCTTTCCCTTGAACAGTCAGATATCCCATCGAAGATGGAACACCTTTCTCCCGTCGGCGCCTCGCACATCAACATTCCATATCTTGGGACCGAGTGGTTCGAGGCAGGCTGTTTGCGCGACTGCTCAGAACTGGAGAATTTTAAGGGCTATTTGCACCGCAAGAATTGGGTGCTTGACCGAACGACGGCGCGCTTGGTCTTCGGGAATCGAGGCCCAGACGAGATTGCTGAATTTCTCCAGACGGCATTCTACTTTGGGTGCCTCATATCTGTTTTCCGGACGGTGCAGATTCCGATCCAAACCAGCGACTTTCTCGAAAACTGTTCCAAGACTGGGAAGATCTTTGTTCGCACCACTCGGTTGCAGGCTCTCATAGGCGCATGGATTGCGTTTGAAGAATCCGCGCCGACGATGAAGACCAGCTCAAAGTTTGACCGCGAGCAAACAATCAGCGAGATGCTCAACTACACATCCTATTTTCTCACCTTGTTCAGCGAGAAGAGTCAGGACATGTCTGAGCCCCATAAGAGTCAAATGCACCTCATCGAGCTGTCGATTATGGCCCTAGGAGTCTTGGCTCCACCTTCGCTGTCATACATGGCCGAAACATCCAGGACATGCCGACATGGGGGCACAGCTCCATCTTGAAGGCGCGGTTGCTAGAAAACGAATGGTGCGTAAGCGACACGCCCTTCTTCCCCGAGTCTACGACAAGAGCTGCCATCAGCGCCGAGTATTATTTTGGAGGACGCAAATGTCCACGGCCTCGTGACGGCCATTCCGAGTGCATGGCGACTATTTGTAAAGCATATCTCGCCAATGTCGACGAAAAGACATATGAACAGACACATGCGCTTCCCGGTTGCCTCTGTTCGGCCAACGAAGTGCCGCACGAAGACATCTCTCGCATCGTTTCCACGGAGACTCCCTTGGTCAAGAATACCCCCTTAGTGAGATGGGATAACAAAGCTCTGACTGTTTCTGTCGCTGGTCCTCAGACCAAATATGTGGCAATTTCGCACGTGTAAGTAGAGTTCTTTCCCAAGTACCCCCTTTCTTCTCGGTGATGCAAGCATCTGAGTGTATCGCTGTGTCTATGTAATAACCATCCGTTGTTCCCTCAGCTGGTCCGATGGTCTGGGCAGCCGAGAAAACGTGCTCCCGACATGCCAATTGACTCGCATACAGTCGCTAGTCAACAAGCTCTACAAGGAGCCGCACCGGTCATCAAACCACGACATGCTCCCGGCCACTATCCACCAAAGCGACGACGACGATGATGACAACGACATGGTGCCCTTCTGGATAGACACGCTTTGCGTCCCGTCCTGGGATAAAGACCTGCGCAGAAAGGCTATCGAAAACATGGGTAACATTTGCCGCAGGGCAGATCGGGTCCTTGTGCTCGACGCCCACCTCCTCTGTCTTCCTCGCTCAGCCGACATTGTGGAAAGGTACGCAGGCATCCATCTGTCGAACTGGCATCACCGATTTGGACCCTGCAAGAGGGCCAGCTGGCGCAGAGTCTCTACTTCCAGCTCGCAGACGGGGCTGAGTCGTTTTACGACACGAACTACGTCGAGCTGCAGCGCTTCGATCCCAGGCTCCCGGAAATTTTGTGTTCGCCCCTGCGGAGCCTCTGCGCCCGGGAGCTCGAGGCATTTTATCGGTACGATGAAGGAAAGGCAGCTTACCGTGGCAGTGGCAGTGAGGGTGACGGCGACGGCGACGACCTCCCGGCCCGGATGCGGTCCTGTGCAAAGTATCTGGGAAGCCGACATACCAGCCGATCCGCAGACGAGCCGCTTTGCGTGGCCACAATATTAGGACTGAACCCTGGCAAGCTGTTGGAGACATCAGACCGTGTCAAGCGCATGGCCCGTTTCTACGACCTCGTCGGCTTATTCGACCCCCGCATCATCTTCCACGAGCACCCGCGCCTCCCCGAAGAAGGCCATCGCTGGGCCCCGAGCTTCTTCTTGCAGCAAACTCCCGATATCATCACCTTGCGCGAGAATTCCTTCCTTGACCTGCCACCGGTGTCTATCATCCCCCTCGGCGGTGGCCTGCCCGTTCAGCTGGCGGGCTTTGATATCAGCGGCCTCCCCGAGACGGCCACGTTGTGCCAGGCCGGCCGTTCTCCTATATATTTTCGGCCAGAGACGCCCGTCCCCGTGCCTCTGCAACAGTGGTCGTGGGCACAGAAAACGGTGTGGTTTTCGTGTGCGTACACCTTAGAGCTGCTCCCGGATGCCGACGGGAAAATGCCGAATATCGGAGACTGTTCGAAAAAAAAAGAGCAATACGCCGCCATCTTGCCGGGGTTCCTCCATCCGGACTACCTTCCCGCCATTGGGGTCTTGGGACTCATCGTCGCTGACGGAAACGGAACAAGAGAGGAGAGCAAGCTTAATAAGAAAGACTGGACAAAGGGTAGCGGCCGGCCTGGTAACCAGATTTCGGCTCATTTGGTGCCGTGGAGGATCTCTGTAGATTACGTCTGTCGTGTGCGTGTGAGCTTGCCGCCGGCAGAAGCGATTCCGCAAGACATGTCTTTTGTGACCGGGAAGGCTTTTGGCTGGGATCAAAGTTGGTGCATTCGTTGATAATGGAAACAAATGAAGGAAAAGAAGGGAAGTGGATTGTTCAGGGTGAAAAGTAGTACTGGGGTAGGGCATATGACTGTAACAATGTGTTGACGCTCCCGAAATCTCACAAAGCAGAAGAAGTAAGTCGAGCCTTTCATCGAGATACCAGCTGAGGTCCAACCAGTTGAAACGAACGCTCCCGCGAAACGCAACTGGCAAGTACTCTGCCCAGCTCTTTAATATTGTGACAGCAAGGCTAAAAAATATGGCCGTTTATTAGCCAGTTGCTTAATCTTGGCACACACGCTTCCGTCCGGTGATTGATGTGAAAAATCGCTAAATATTGAAAAATAGACGGAAGCTTCGGCTTACTCAGAAGAAGTTTCCCTGCAATGTTTTTTTGGAACTCTTACGCTATGGCGACCCGGTTCAATAGTTTCAGCTTGGCCTGGTTCGGTAGTCCATCTTTAGCAAGATACGACAGCTCCTGCAGCGAGCTTCTGCTCCTGCCTCTTCTGCCTCTTTTCCCTTTCTTGATCTTTCTCTAAGGCCGGCCTCCTCATTTGCCGGGCAAGACTTGGCGCTGGCCATGACACTGACCCAATAATGGCTTCTTTCCCAGCCGCTGCCGAAATGCGGTCTCCTTCCAGAAGTCGTACGTCTCAAACAGGCGCGCCAGCAGCCACGACTGGTTCTGGCGCTGGTAGCCCGGTGATAGGTTGAACGCCTTAAGTGACATCTCGGGTTCACACGACACTCGCCGGTTGGCGCCCACGACTGCCATCAGCGCCCCCAAGACGACGTCACCGCCGACGATGAGCAACACCGAGAATATGTCGCTAGGCTCGGTCCATTGCGCTGAGAACTGTGCGCTCGCCATGGACCACGTACCGTTGGTCATCTTTTGCCGCCGTCTGTCTATTGCACACGAAAGTATATTATCAAAGCCTTTGCCTGTTATTGATATCGCGGGAGATGGCCTCTTCAGAACGTTTTTAGGTTCGGAAGAAATAAGAACTTGCGAACAGAAATTTGCTATGGATGTCACCCACAGGTTAAACATATCTTACGTCAGAAGCTGATAGCAATCCTACGTGGCAGCCTCTCATTGATTGGTAAGATGCTTTTCTCCCCTCATGCAAAAATGAGTCACACACTCTTTCCCACTAGTTCAAGGCGAACTGCTTGCTTGGGACCACAGCTCACCCTTTCCAGTGTGTGATTGTGTAAGAACTTGTGCACTATTGCTATTGGCCTCCAATGTGAACCATGTCCTCGTGCTCCTTTTCACACAAGTAAAAATGCCCAAGACGCGACGTAAAGTAAATAGAGCGGCGAAGTGATTAGAGACACTCGAAAAAAATACCGTGGCTGTTAGTATGGCTGCTAGTAGCAGTCCCCGAATGCTGGCCCACCGTCGACGTCGCGCCTTTAGCATATATCATGAGTTCCTAATACGGCAATTGCGTCCTTTACGGAACTCCATTCCAGCTTCTGCAGCGCTTTGAACGACACGTGATCGCTTGAGCTTCGAACAACCCACATTAAGCCCGAGTTCGGACTGCTTCGGACGGCTTCGGCAGCGCTAGCGGTACTTGACCGCTTCCGAGCTGTCAAGGCTGCAGACTGGACAACCGTATAATAGCCTATGGACATCGGCCGTTCTCGGCACTCTCTTACAAAATACCTTCCAAGTTTACGGCAAGGCAGGATATATAAGGTCACAACTGCAGTGACTTCTGAACATCGGTTAGTACAACATACCACATCTACTTTCTAGCAACTTTGAATTCCACATCCCTTTCATACATCTGCACAATGTCTCCTAACGCTCTCCCTTCCATGGATTTCCGCACCTTTGTCGACGCTCTCAAGGCAGACGGTGACATTGTAGAAATCAACGAGGAATGCGATCCCTTCCTGGAAGTCAGTGCCATTATCAGACGAGTAGTCGAAAGTGACGAGAAGGCACCGCTCTTCAACAATGTCAAAGGACAGAATGAAAACGGCCTCTGGCGCATTCTCGGCGGCCCAAACTCCCTTCGTTCAGATCCCGCAACGCGGTACGGCCGCGTGGCCCGTCATCTCAACCTTCCGCCCACGGCATCGATGAAGGACATACTTGGCGCCTTGACTGCGGCCAAGTCTCGGCCTCCAATCCCACCCACAGTCGTCGAGACAGGACCGTGCAAGGAATACAAGTTGACCGGGGATCAAATCGACCTCAACGCCCTCCCGTCCCCACAGCTCCATAAGGGAGACGGCGGAAAATACGTGCAGACGTATGGAATGCATATCGTGCAGTCGCCAGATGGCACGTGGACTAACTGGTCGATTGCTCGCGCCATGGTCAACGACAAGAACAGCCTTGCCGGGCTCGTTGCTCTGCCGCAGCACATTGCCCAGATTCGGGAGATGTGGAAGGCCAAGGGCCAGGATATGCCATGGGCTCTTGCTTTCGGCGTCCCTCCCGCAGCGATTATGGCTGCCAGCATGCCGCTCCCTGACGGCGTATCGGAAGCCGAGTACGTTGGATCCTTAGTCGGTGCCTCTCTGGAGGTTGTCAAGTGCGAGTCCAACGGGCTCTACGTGCCGGCCAACTCGGAAATCGTCTTTGAGGGGACCTGCTCCGTTACAGAAATGGTGCCAGAAGGGCCCTTTGGTGAGATGCATGGGTATGTGAGATGCTAGTAAGCTGCTATGGTCCTCTTAAAGTGTGCTAACATTCGAAAGTTATGTGTTTCCGGGAGATAAACATTCTGGGCCGAAATTTACCGTCGACGTTGTTACATACAGAAAGGATGCCATTATGCCTGTCTCGAGCTGCGGACGACTAACCGATGAAACCGTACGTAAAATTTCTGTTTAAAGAAAAGAGTAATTAGGCGATACAGCTAACACGAAATAGCACACGATGATTGGTCCGCTTGCGGCCGTTGAGATCGGCTTCCTCCTTAAGTCCAATGACTTCCCCGTCAAGGAGGTCTTTGCTCCCTTTGAGTCCCAGGCAACCTGGGTTGCTATTCAGATCGACGGTGAAAAGCTCCGGGCCCTAAAGACAGATGCAGAAACGTTCGCCCGCAAGGTGGGTGATTTGGTGTTCCGGAACAAAGCGGGAGCAACAATTCACCGTCTTCTGCTTGTCGGTGATGACATTGATGTCTACAACTTTAAAGACGTCATCTGGGCCTATACCACGCGGTGTCGTCCAGGCATGGACGAGTACTACTTTGAAGATGTTCTCGGATTCGCCTTGATTCCGTACATGCTGCACGGGAACGGGCCTGCCTGGAGAGGTGGCAAAGCTGTTTCCGACTGTCTTCTTCCGTCCGAATACAAAAATGGGCCGGACTGGGAGACGGCCGACTTTGCGCACTCGTTCCCTATAGAGATTCAAGAGAGGGTGAACAGCCGCTGGGAGGCACTAGGGTTCGGCTGCTCAAAGTAGTTCCATCCTGTTCGCGCTATGCTGAGTCAGCATTTCATAAACCGACAGAAGATACAGAAAGCATATATAGCAGACAATTCATGTTCATTGTCGTCTTAGAGTAAAAAAGCATCCTGTCCAGACATGCTTTGGTCGGACAAGATAAAATCAAGGGCCTCCAGAGGGGAGTAGCAGTTATAATCAATGTTGCGCAGAAGCTCATCCATGTCCAGAGTCCTAGATAGGTGGGATCGAGTGTCAGCATCGGTTCTGTACCTAAAACTGGAGACTGTAAAACAAACCCGGCTTGAATGTCTTCCTCCGGCAGCACCGGCAGGGCCGGCGCGTCATCCGCATTTGGTCCATGTGATGTGAAAGGAGGGGCTGTCAGGTCCTCTGTTGTCGTCGTGGTTTCTTCTTTCGTCAATTTCGCTAGTGCTTGGATGGCTAGAACGGCTTTCTGGTGTGTCGTGGACAATTGCGTCAGAGGTCCGGATTCCCGGCCGCTGACAACACAGTCGTCTTCTTCCATGAGACTCTCCAGCAGCTCGGATTGCATTTGCTTCGTTTCCTCCAGATTTCGGGTCTCTTTCATGAAGCTGAGGAGAAGAACAGAGGTCAGACCGTTGTGAACAAAGGCCCAGGATCGTTTCGCCTGACATGTGATGGAGCGGAGATGTAAAAAGGAACGTGCGCCATGTCTGAGCGATACGTAGAACCGCTGCAGAATGGCGTTGGCATCGTCCTCGGACATGCACGAACGCACCCTGCTAGACAGCAGCGGTCGACAGAGAGTGGACAGAAGGAAGTTCCTGTGCAACTGAAGTCCGTAGTACTCCTGCACCTCTTTCAAGCAAGAGCACATCTGGCGGTCCTGTAGATACGGCATGAGAAACTTGTCCATAGCGTCGACTTGCTCAAACAGCTCCATATACTGCTTGCTAGACATGGAAGAACCTGATCGAAGAGCGGAAGAATGCCGCAGGGTCAGATGGCTGAGCCAGTTTATGCACTTGCGATAGTTCAGGGTCCCTATATTGGCCATGTCCAGCGGAGTCAAGTCGTCCTCATGGTCCATCTCGTACGTTGCTGGCGGGCGATCAAAAGCCAACGAAAGAAGGGAATCCTGCCATGTGATTGCTAGCCTGCGCGTTCTGATTAGCTTCCATAACATGATGCACAACAGTCACGATCAGGAGGCACGTACCGCAAGAACTTTGCTTCCTCGGGGGATATGCCCGATGTGTACTGGTTGGATCGCTTGTCTATACCGAGGAAGATGGCAAGCCGAATGGTGGTACCGCCGAGCATCCAAGCAGCCTGCGGCTGCATGTCATTCTGGAGCACACATCCCAGCACCATGAGCGTCTGCAGAGTCTCTTTGCTGGGATTGGAGAGGTATTGCACGCTGCGTAAGATGTTGAGAGTATATGTCACTGCATCGTTCTGTGAGAAAACATGCTAGGCACAGTCGACAGATAGAAAATGGGATGCATACGATGCTTCTGGGTCAACTGGATCCGTCTGTCGACAGGGAAGTCTGAGAACTGGGCTCCATAGGCCAGTATGGCGTGAAGCAGAGCGCGGAGTTGCATGGTGTGCCGCGAAGCAATAGCGTCTGGAATGTCGGGGGTCCCTCGGCCTTGTGGCTCAATACAGGGGTCCAGAAGCGAGCACATCAACTCTTCCACCTCTGTCAGATCATAGACAATGGCCCGGAACGGGTGAATGCTGTGGCGGTATGTCTCAAACAGTAAAACGGCCTCTCTGTTGTTCACGCCCCCGACGAACAAATCGTCCTGGCGGTGCTTCGACGTGGACAGGCAGCTGCTTCCACGAATCCCCAGGAGCGGGAGAATGCCGTCTTCGAACGCGGACTGGCGGTCGGGCTCGGGGTGTGATGGTGCATCGCTCTGTCTCGTCACGGCCAGAATGGAGCTGTCGCCCAGAATCGAGGGACTGGTTCCGGTCCTGGGAGAGGCCGATAAGGACCATTTCTGGGGTGCTGCTTCCGGAGTCTTTCTTGCGCCGTCATCTGGCTGGACTGGATATGGCCGGGGCTGGTAGAACTGGCAGAGATCCGGGTGCTGGCGCTTGCTGCAGGTCAGGCATGGCAGTGAGCCGTCGCATCGTACTTTGCGCTCTCGGCAGGGCAAGCAGGCCTTGCGGTTGCGAGCAAACCGGCGCTCGCGTAGGGCGTGGCGAAGAACCGAGCTGTTGGTAACATCGTTGAGCGAGCTCGCATCTCGCGAGCGCGGTGTGTAGTTCCGAGCATCTCTCTCTCGGTTGTCCATTGTTGTATGCGTATTTGGTGCATTGGTGGCTGTCGGCACGGAAACGGGTTCTGGGCGGCTATGGGGAAAGTATAAGAAGCCGTTAGCGGCACGTGACCTGGATATCGCCGTATACAGTACGAAGTACGGAGTTCGGAGTACAGAGCTCCGTAGCTGGATAAGTGCATATAAAAACGAAGCCTGTTCCCGTCGTACAAGAGCCGCAATCATTTTCAAACAGAAATTGTGTATTGTACTGCACTGTAAAGAGGGCATCCAAAGAGTCGTGAATGCTTAACGAAGGTATGAAGTAGGTACGTAAGAACAAGAATTGAAGTATCGCGTGGTTTCCACTTTTCATTTCTTCATTACTATCGCCACTTTTTCCATTGCTACCCCTTCAAGGATTGCAGCAATAGCTATGTCGTGTTCGTCGGTCTCAATTTCTCGCACATTGATCGGCGCTCCGAGTCGGGCGAGCTGCTGCGGTCACGCGTTGTGTATTGGCTGTTCGACTTGGTAGCCATCGCTGTCCTTCTAGAGGAAGGCTGCGTCTTGAGCTTGGACGTGCGAGTTGTTAGCTGACCTGGCAGCCTTTCGGACCTCGGATTGTTCTGCTGCACGGCTCGTGACGCGGTCCAACCGCAATCCAAGCGAATGATGCCTACTTTGTCAGCATCTGCTCCGGCCAACTATGCGCCTCGGCAGAGTGTTGAATCCGACGAAATATACAGCTTGACTCACTTGATCCTGCACTTAACACTGCGAACACATGTGTCTCTTGGTTCGTATCAAATGTTGCCGAATGTGCATTCAAGCAGGCAGAATAATGCCAAGAAGAGGAGAATTGGAGAGTGATTCATATTTTGAGAAAAACAGTAAACTCCTACACAATCACTGGCCTCAATGCTTGTGGCTGGGGCCGTCCGGCTCGACCGACCAGGCCTTGTCAGTTGAGTTCTTATGCGATGGAACCTGTAGGTCCTGGCCGTCCACGTCGGACGTGATCTTGGTGCTGAAGTCGCGAGTGACATTGATGCCATGCTTGTCGAAAATCAGCTCCCTGACGCTGTCGTTCTCGTTGTTGGTCTTGGACGAGGCCAGGCCGGAACGGACGTCGTTGCCGACGCTGTGCAGAACGTAGGCGTCTGTCGGTTTTGACCGATTGGTTGATCCCTTGACGGAGAGGCCGAGTATCTGCCTCAGCGACTTGGAAAGAGGAAGCCGAAGAATCGGGAGGCCTAGAGCTGGAGTCAGGACACAAGACGCAACTCCCGGCAGAAAAGGATATACGGACAGGCACAGATAATGCCGACATTGACCTCAACGAACGTCCAGCTGTTCGAGGTGGCCTGGTAGTCTGTGGTGGACGGTCAGCAAGGAGGAGACCAGGACGAGGTTCGGCCGATCGACTTACAGATCTGATCGGCGGCAGTCGTCCGAGGTGACACGGTGACCATGCGGATGATGGTGCAGAGAATGCAAAAGACGCCGAGGCCGAAGAGGGCGGTCAGCAGTATCTTCTTGACCAGGGGCAGCTTGAGACTGCGGATGTGGTGGAGCGGCAGGACGATGATGAAGAAGTCGGTCAGGATGATCATGATGGAGGTGGAGTACCAGATGGACCGCGAGCTCATGCAGGTGCCTTCCAGCTTCTTGTTCCACGACTTGGAGATGGGGTGACAGGCAAAGATGGTGAGAAAGACGGCAATGATGGTGTACGTGATGGTGACGGCCATGACGGTGTAGACGGCGTAGTGGAAGCGGCGGCTGGGGAAGATGCGCAGGTACAGGGCGCAGATGGACATCTTTGTCAGGCACGTGGCGATCTTGTAGAGGATCTGGGCGGCAAAGAACCACTTGAAGGCGATCATCTTGTGGTACCAGTCCACCTGGTCTCTGTGGAGGCCGAAGCCGTTCTTAGCCTCTACAGGGTGTCCGGTCAGCCTCCTGTGTGTCAATCTTCTTTTGTCTGCGCCGTCCTACCTTTGTTATACGTGACGGTCATGACGATAGCAAGTGCCTGTCGTGTTGCGCGTCATCGTCAGCACTGCCGTCCCTCGATTCTTCTTTGTGGTCAACGTTTCATGTCTCACCAGGGACCCCGCAATTAGGGCGTCGTCGGGGCCAAGGGACTTGCTCGAATACCGCGTCCACAGCCGGGCGACGACGATGATGCCGGAGATGCAGATGAAGATGACGGCCAGCCGGGCAAGGCTCTCGCCGCGCGGATTGGAGACGCCGTCGTCAATGGCATCCCGCGCCGCCAGCCGCAAGGCGGGCAGATAGGCCATCGTTCACAGAGGCAGAAAAAGATGGCCGCACGGAGCGAGGAGCGAAAGAGGACGAAGAAAAGACGGCTTGTTGTCCGACAGAGAGAGAGAGAGAGACAGAGGGAGACGTACCCATCCGGCAGCATTGGCCATCGGCAGTACAAGTACCCACGCCCGATCATACATGGCCTCGTGTCCGGGGTCGGCGACAGTTGCTGCAGCCAGCTGGGGTTGGCCCTGGACCAGACAACTCATGTGGAAGGAGGACGTGTCATGCAGGCTGAATCGCCCCTCTGGTGGCGCCGTCGGTTTGGAGGTGACAAAGAAGAGCACCGATCGGTCTAAAGCCAGTGATCTTATCCCCTTTGGTCAGGGCCAGTCTGTCGACGCCGAGGCTAGCAGACGACGCTTTGCTGCTTCTACGGAGCCTTCGGCTTGCTGGGTCTCCCGGGCCAATTTTTCGCCACTAATCAAAAGTCGGACAGGCTTTATACGACAGATGCACAATAGGCAGCATCTGATATGATGGCCCCGATGATCCAAAAGGGAGAGGAGAACGGCGGCTAAGCTGTCGCAATACGGAGTAGTCGGTCATGTACTTCGTACCTGCATCTTCACCGGGACAGCTGTAGAGGCTTCTTATTGTAATGGCGCCAGCGACCGTGGACGCTGCTCTGCCACTCATTGCGACCGGCACCCCTTCCCGCAATAAGCATACATAGTACTATGAAGTCGTATGGACGAGGCGTTAATAAAGGGCCGTCAAGCCATCTCGCTTGTACAAAAGTCAAGCCAGGCCGTTAGCGATGCGTTAGCTCATTGACGGGTATCTGCAAAGTATAAAAAATATACAATATCCGGCTGCCAAGACGCGGTCTCGAACAGCGTGCAAAGGCGAGCAGAGCGTCGCTTGCCTGTCTCGGTGACGCTAGAAGTGACGGCCGTCCCATCTACTCCGTAGCCATCAACCAAGACAGGGGTGGCTTCATGACAGCACTAGTACGATGACAAGAACTGACGCCAGAGCCATTTGGGACACGAGTCCTTCATCTTAGCCCCGGTGGACTCTCCCCTTGCAGAAGGGAGAAGGAAGTTGCAAAAGGTTGACTAATGTGCTGGATGTGGGTTAGTGACTCCATCGCCACGTGTGAATAAAGGGGACTGCATCCTGAAAATCTCGTAACGTCCTGCACTCTTTCCGGTTCCCTCCACACCTCGTCTGTTGCCTCCGATCGGCATCATGCGCGCCCAGGTGACCATGCCTGTTCGCGTGCTAGCTATGACGTGCCTGGTGGCCGGTTGCCTGGCTCTGGACACGGTCCAATACGGTGCCTTGTACGTGTCACCCTCGTTCCCATGCATATGTCGATGGGCTGGTTCGTGCGGCCGCCCGTGCTGACTATATCTCGTCGCGTGGCAGTCTGCCCACGGCGACGTACTCGGTGGCCAACCAGCTGGGCTTCTTCGAGGCCTTTGGCCTGGACGTGGTCTACAACCTCGTTCCCAACAGCGTCTCGGCCTTCAACTCGCTCCTGGATGGCGACTATGACATCCTCACCGCCACCGTCGACAATGCGCTCAACTACCGCTTCAACAAGGCCGAGAACGTCACCGTGCTAGGCCAGCTAGACCAGGGCCCCGACCTGGTCGTGGCCTCGATCCCATCCATCACCGCCTTCTCCCAGCTCAAGGGCAAGCCCATCATGGTCGACTCGCCCACCAGCGGGTATGCCTACCTGCTGCAGGACGTCCTGTCGGCCAACGGGCTGGAGCTGGCCAACGGGGACTACTACTTTATGGTGAGCGAAGCAGAAGGCGGGGGAGAGAAGAGGAAAAAGAAAACTCCGGTCCCGGGAATACGAGAAAACAAGAGGCTTCTGTAGCCACTCCCCCTTCAGCACTCCCCTCTAGCACTCCCCCTCTCCTCCACCCCTCCACCCCTCCACCCCATGCTGACGCCCTCCACAGACGGTCGGCGGCACGGCCACGCGGTATGCCGCCCTCACGTCGGGCGCCCTGGCCAACGGCTCGGCTGCCTATGCGACCATCCTCAACTACCCCTTCACGGTCGAGGGTGCGGCGTTGGCGGCGGCTGAGGCGCCGACCGTCCTGGCCCGCGTCTCGGACCTGGTGGCGCCTATCACGTCGAGCGCCTTCACGGTCAGCGAGACGGCCCTGGCTAGCAGCGCTACTGCCTCGCTGCTGACCAGCTTCCTGGCCGCCATGCATGGCGCCAATCGCTTCCTGCTCGACAGCGCCAACCAGGACTGCAGCATCGCCGCCATCGCCGCCCAGGTCGGCATCACCTCCGCTGTCGCCGCGTCCGAGTACTCATCCGCCGTCAACACCGTCTCGGGCGAGATCGCCTCCGGTGGCAACTTCACCGTCAGCCACGACGGCATCACCAACGACATCGACGTCCGCACCAAGTTTGGCGGCTTCGCCGGCCTCGCCGCCGACTTTGACTGGTCCGCCGCCCTCCAGCCAGGCTCTGGCCAGCTGATCGATTATGCCGTTCGCGACGCCGCCATCCGCCTCTTCAACGAGCAACCCTACGCGGGCAACTGCTCCCAGTCAGCCAGTAAGTGCCGCCGTCGCCGGCGGTCCGTCTAGGCCGTTGACTCGTTTTGTAGGCAAAGGCAACGGTGCAGGCGCGGACAGAGGTCGAGGCGGAAGACGCCCGTAAAGGCGACGGTGGAGCGGAGGACTTCCATCGGTCTGATGCCATCGTGACATCCTAAGCGGCTACTTCGACAGTCACGTGATGGGGTTGTCTCAATCTTATTACGGAGTACTCCGTATACAATACCAATCACAATGTGTACCCGTACATCCGCTCCTACAGCTGGGCCCAAAGGCAAATACAAGAGCTTCAGCTCCTAGGCTTGGATCCGCTTTCGTGCATCTACTGTTTCGCCCCCAATCACCCGGCCGATGTGCCACGTAGGGCTGTTGGGCAACGGGTCACGTGCGGCTTGGACTCATGTCGATTTTTCTCCTCTGCTTCTCAGTGTCTCTCTATTTCTCCCTTGTACCTCCATAATCCCTTCCCCTCATGGACATCTCCGACAGTCCGGCCGCAACGCTGGCCGACTATCAACGCGAGGTCCTGCGACGAGGTTTCCGCGATGCTCTCGCCCTCGGCCAAGTCCGTCCTCTGCTGCTGCCGTGGTGCATTGTGCCGTCCTTTGTTCTGCCGGCGCTATATCTGGCGCTGCCCCAGCAATACGGCCTTCAAGCAGCCCGCATCCCCCTGGCCGTGGCCATCGTGGCACTCAACGTGAGCATGCTGCCATCGCCGTGGTGGCCGCCCGTGTCCAGCCTCAACTTTGCTAGCGCATACGGTGCCGGTCTGCTCGCCGCCTGGGGCTCTCTCTGGACCCTGACAGTGCTCGTCTGGACAAATCCGCAGCGGGATGCCGAACGCGTCGAGAGGAGGCCGGCCTTGAAACTGGAGCGCAACGACATCAATGACATCAATGACGTCATGGCTCTGGATGCCAGCATCGCCCAGAGCCTCCAAGATGGTTCCGCCTACTTCTGGCAGTCCTTCCCGGCCGACCACTCCTTTCTCACTCGGCTCGACTGGACCCTGGACCTTGTTATGGCTTGGCGAGGAACTGGTAAGATACGTCTTGTTGTTGCAGTGGCCCGGATGCTGACTAATCTACTCTACTCTGCTCTTAGGCTGGAATTGGTGCATCTCCCAACTGCCACGCTTCAGACCTCCTCGACATGCTCACTCTGCCGAGTCTGTCGAGCTCGACTCCATGGCCATCCGGAGTGCTGCCGGCTTCCGACGCCACCGCAGCTATGCCGCCTTTGTCTCTTCTCGCCTGCTGGCCGTTGTCGCCGGCTATCTTGTGCTGGATATCGCCGCCGTCGTCATGACGCTGGATCCCTTCTTCGTCTTCGGCTCGCTGCCCGAGCACCTCGCCCCAGACCTGCTCCACCTGCTCCAGTTGCCCCCCGTCTTGGCCTTTGTTTATCGTTACCCCGCCCTGCTGTCGCTTTACCGCGCCTTCCTCTGCCTCGCTGGTGTCGTCGCCGGCCTGTACATGTACCTCTCCATCAGCCATCTGGCACTCGTCCTCCTTCTGGGCCGTCGTGGACCGCTGCATTGGCTCACCGGCTCCAGCACCACGCGCGCCGAGCTGTGGCACTACCCGTCCATCTTCGGCAGCTTCAACCAGCTGCTTGACCATGGCCTCGCTGGCTTCTGGGGCGGCTTCTGGCACCAGACCTTTCGTGTCGCCTTTGTCGCACCCACTGCTTGGCTCGTCCGTCTCGCTCTCTTGTCACCTCCCAGAGCCAGAAACGCAGACATCAAGACTGGCTCTACACATCCCGTTGGCCTCGTCATCGCCTTCTTGCAGTCCGGCTTCTTGCACGCCGCCGGCAGTTCCACCAGTGCTGGCCGTGCTCGCTCGCTCTGGTGGCAGCAACCCCTCTTCTTCGCCCTCGCCGGCGCCGGCATCGCTGTCTAGAAAAGCCTCCGTCATCAACTGCTTACTCCTGCTGCTTCGTGTCTCGGCCTCTGTCCGTCCCGGTTCTGGCGTCGTGCTGGAAACCTGCTCTTTGCTGCCGCCTGGCTGCTGGCCACTCACCACCTCTTCGCCGATGACCTCTGCCGTAGCGGTGTCTGGCTGTTTGAGCCCGTACCCTTCTCACCCGTCCGCTGGGTCTTGTATGGCAGTAACGGCAGAGGGGGGGAAGACGGACGCCCTTTGCTTGATAGCAGCCGAGCCGGAAATTCTACATGGCGGTGGTATGCAGACGACTTGCCTTATTGGCACGTTGGGAAACATTGGTGGGATACTGGCCTGGCAATATGATGGGCATGCATAGCACATATCTGGATGAAGCTTCTCGTGGCGCTGACTTTTCTGTATTGCCACTTGTTGGAGTGGAAACGGCAGGGCGTTTTCATTGATGTCGGATTGAGATTAACGAAGTATGAAACCTTTCACGCCTGCACCGAGGTCTCAATAAATATTTTAGGTAGTCGCAAGTCCTGCTGGCTTCGCAAATAGTGCATCTCACTGCGAATCCACGTAAGAACATCGCTGTAGCCGGCCTGTTTCTTCCCGAGCACACCGGAAAATGCATGAAGAAGCAGCCTGAATGGAGATCAAATCAGCATGTGTGTATGTGGAAATCCATTAAGGAGGACGGACCACCGAAGCTGTGGTTTAAACACCGAAAACTGATATTCGGGCATTCGCCGGGCTCTGCCGTTCAGAACAGTATATGCAAGCTCGGACAGTTCCTCGATGGTGCTAATGACGAGCCTTGTGCTCGGCCGTTTATCTCTTGGCAGGCACCGTGTGTATGCCCACACCTTGACCGCCGTATCCGAGAACACCTTATGGGCATTGCACAGTGTCGTTCGCAATGAGTTGTGCGCTGTGTCGAAGAACATGACGTGGGAAAGGACCTTGAAGCCGTCTGGGAGGGTTAGCAAAGATGACGAGCAACAAAATCGCGTCAAATACATACTGAATATCTTCCTCTTGAAGTTATGTCCGGGAGATCGTGCATGCTCTACAGTGAGCGTATCGAACACAACTAGCACTCGTGTTAGATCCCGGCTACAAGACAAATGGTTAAATAATTTACCTTGTTTCTTCGTCTCCCAGTCCTTAGCAATATCAAGCGTCAAACAGTTGACGACTAGGCCACAGTAGGGAAACCATGCACCGTTGGCAACTCGCGAAACGGACTTTCCGTCAGGGCCTTGCAAGTCAAAGTTCACCAGACTCTTGTCCGAGCTGACGGCGACACCGTACTGCGGCAAGCCCCGGTGCATCACCTCGACAAAGCGAGCGGCCTTGCTCTGGTCTGTGGTGATCAGCAAGAAATCATCAATCAGACGCAGCAGGAGGCAGCCTTTGCTGCCGTCAGCGTCCAGAAATCCCAACTCCTCTGCTTCCAGTTCCGCATAGAAGCAGTTGCACAGCAACGCCGAAAGGACCGACCCTTGCGGAATGCCCGTTTTCTGCCGGTAGAACTTCTTGCCGATCTTGACGAGATTTTGAAGAATGTGGGACGCCGCGAGTCCTACCAGTGAAGCCGAATCTCGGGGTTTCCGGTAGGCTGTGTCCGCAAAGATGGCATTTCGCTGATACGTCGCCAAGCTGCTCTCCACCACATCGTGAAAGCCCGACGCATCTGTGCTCGCCGAGGCTATTGTCTTCCACCGACGCATCGGGACAAAGTCGCCCTTGACCGCAGCATTAAAGACGCCTCCAAGTCCTCTGTTCTCAGGGGCTGCCATCTCCACATGTTTGTCCATATAATATGCCCGGTGAGACGAAAGTTTGTGCACCAGCTCAACCACTGCTTCCTGTGGCATCGTATCGAAGGCCGACTTGACATCTACCTTGGCAAGGTAGAAGGTGTGCTGGCTCTCGGAGGCCATGCGTTTTTTGAACTCTTTCAGCTTTTTGAAAAGCGTTCCCACCGAAAACATGCCGGATCCTAGACGTTCAGGGTGTTGCTTCTTAAGTAGAGAAAACATGAGCTGTTAGAAATGACTGAAATTCTAATGCGTTTCGAGAAAGAGCGTATCAGCCTCACTATTTCAAACTTGAGCATTGCTTGGACAGGCGCCAGAATCGTGTTTGCGCTGCTACCGAGCCTCGTGCCCCCCTTAACGGCAGTTCGACGACGCAGATTCATAATCGGACGCACGGTTGCCTGTTTCGGAAGCAAGCGGATTTGACCATATCCCAGGTCCCTGGATCCCAAGATTTGGAGAGCCTCGCCATGTTTGATATCCTCAAACATTCTGGCCTTCAGACCCACCAGGGCTGGTTCTGTGATGCGACGCCAGACATCATGGCGGAAGAAAAAGAGCTTGTTTCTGTGACTGCTGGATTCGGTGACGTAAAAGTTGCTGCGGACAAGGGGTATCAAAAACGAGTCGAACAGATAATAGAGAAACTCAGCAAAAATCTGTCGTCTTTTTTGAACATCGGTCTGGCTGATCTTGCCCTTTCGAAGTCCGGGAGGAGCTAGCCACAGAATGTCCGAGATCTGAAGGTAGGGTCAGCAAGCACTGTCTGGAATTGCGGTGGGGGCAGTCCTACCTTGATTCCCTGCATAAGATCGTGCAGGTTGAGCGTCTCGAACCGCCGCAGCCGCAAGAACAGATCGACCTTCTTGAGAACGGCTTGCCTGTTTTTCGCCTGTGCCTCACCGTTGCCCCAGAAGTCGTTGGGAACAACGTTTAAAATGACAGCCTGACAGAAGGTGGAAACACGTTGCAGCGGTGTGGCAAGTTCCACCAGAGGCGTCGTGCTTTTCAGCTCCGGTCCGGATTTGGAACTATATGGGACGCACTGCTGCCGTTGTGGCGCAGGGTCTTGACCAGTTGTTGCAACATCCTTCGATGCGGACTCCTGATTCGGATGTCCTAAACTGACCAAAGTGTGGGCCTCTTCCTTATGACTACCAGGCTCCGCAGAGGTAACTTCGTGCCTTGTCTCTTGATATGCAATGTCCTACGAGAGCTGTAGTTAGACGTTGAATAATACAAGCACCACAGGGAGGCTTACAGGGCAGTAGTGTTGCAGAAGCTCGTAGTAAGAGCATCGATTGTGGAGTTTCCGAAGTCTCTCGACGAGATGAACGGCCATCCCTCTTAGCCTTTTGGGAATGCGAACCGAAGCGGATCGATCTTTCCAGCCGATTTTGCCAAACTTGGCCGAAATCTCGGCCTCTCGCAGTGTGTAATCCTGGAATCGCTGGGCCGTCGTGGCACGATCCACAACAGACGTGAAGACGTTGTGGAGGCCAAATTGTCGAGGAAACATGTACATCATCATGTGGACGGTGCCATGATTGTTGGCTGCAGCCAATTCCTGCAAGCCGACCTTCTTGGTTGGACAGCTTCGGTAAGAGAAACGGTTCAGAACATCTGCACGTGTTAGGATTGGCCCCGTATGTCGCATGATACCGGGATGACCTCACGAATATGCTTCAATCCAAAGTGTACCGCCCCAGACTGCGCCATGCTCGGCTTGGCGTAGAACATGCGGTTTCTCACAAAGGATATGTCGGACAGGCTCTTTTCATCACGTGTATCGCGTGCTGTCTGTTCTGTCGCTTGAAATTTGGTCAAGGGCTCCAAGTTGCATAAGGGCTTGCCTGAGAGGAAGTCAGTCAGTCTTCTACTTTCCTCGGACTCAGACATGCCAACGCACCGGAAGCTTGGATGAGATTGCTGCGTCCAGCATCGACAGGGAGAAAAATCGAGCAGTCAATTAACATATCAAGCATGATTTTCTCGCCTGCCGCTCCTAACAAAGCTAGGAGCTGCGGCCACGGATTCTCCTTCAGTGCCTGGGCATGTTGCGGCGATCTTATGCAGTGAAGATCTGGAATGGTGCTATTGCAAGGATACGGATACGGAGAGATTGCTTCTCCCTCTTCGTCCCCTTCCGCGATCGATATGTCCACGGGTGATGGTCCTCGACCTCTCTGGAAGCCATGACACAGCACATTTTGGGGAAGGTCGCTGAACCATTTTCCTCCCGCGCCTGTCTTTTGAGGGATCCTGGCGTTCTGCTTTGCTCTTTTGAAAAGCAACCAAACGGTAAAATCAACAATCTGTCTGGTGAGCAATGCTGATGTCAGGCGGCGCGAGACACACAATGTCTTACCTCGGACTGTGGAGAAAAGACACCCTCCTGCGCATTTGAGATGATGACGTGCGACTCCTCTGCTCTCTTGTGCTCGATGTAGGCGAGCCGCTGTTGTTGCCGGTCGTCTTGCAGAGAAGGAAGTGAGTCGAGCGGCTTGTCTCCTTGGCCGGAACCGTCATGGTGAGAGCATGCGACAAGCGCGTTGTCTAGCAGGCGGCGTAGGCGCTGCTCAACAGGGCTGGGGTCTGCAGCGAGGCCGACCTCTCGGAGCTTCTTTCGGCGAATCCGGGACGAGGCCGGCAGCCTGCTCAAGAGGTAGGCGCGGAGTGTCAGCACTTGTGGGAAGCACCGTGTCAGTAGTGCATGCTTTACAACAGGGTCTAGTTGACGGTGTGCTGCCGGATGCTGTTCCGAAGACGCCTCCCTCCTCGGCTGCTTCGTACGAGAGGGTGGAGCTTCGCCAATGTTGCGGCTGTCGTCTGCGTCAGCCCTCTTCCTCTTGCGACGTATCAGGGCCGACATGTCGGCTTGGTCAACCATGACAAACAGATGATGTGTCCATGGACCGTCATGGGTCAGCTATGCCGGCGGGCTCGTAAAAGAGCAGGGAGCTGCCGAGGCCGGGAACCCGAAAGATCAGGACTGTGGTTGTGTGCATCGAAATTTGGTTGGCCAGCAAGTGATCTCGTGACATAACACAGAATTGGTGGAAGACAAAGCGGCGCGTTGACAGATTAACGCGTTCCTTCCAAATGGGGAACGGGCGCAGGGCTTGGCGTTGTGCGCTGATACATAGTATGGATTAATGGAAAGCGGAGTACGGAGTAAAGATAGCGAGGATTGTCAACGAAGCCTCCGTTTCAGCTGAGCAGACAATGCCATGCCATCCGGGATTACGTGCTTCCCCTTAATGTTCTCGTTTCGCCTTCTTTCTCTTTCTGCTTTTGCTCTTTGCTGCTATGTACTCCGTATGGCAAATCTGTCCCACGTGGAAGCCGCACTCGTACTCCTTGCGTGCTCTATACATGCGATATAACAGCTAAAAATACGAGCACAAAGTGGCATATCTTTATCTACATCAGCCGGGGGCTTGTTGGAGTACTTTGGCTAATATCAACCTAAAGGCAGGCTGCATGCACGCGGCCCTAGGCCGTGTCCGGCTGCAAGGGCAAGTGCTATCAGAGGCATACTCGTATGTACATAGTATACGAATGCGACTCGGTCAAAGAGACGACTGCTAGGGTCGACGGGAAGTTTCCGGTGGGACTTATCAGCACAGATGTTTTCTCTCACTGAACACAGGAGAAGGAACAGCCGAAGGAGCGTACTAGAGTCCAAACGACCCCTGCGCAAGGTCGCACGGGACGGAAAACGAGGGCACAGGCGCATGCTTACATGGCACACGTATCGTAGCGGCCCTGGTGCGTTGTTCGGCCGGGGAAGAATGAGCTGAGAGCAGGGCCTAGCAGGCTGGATTGGGGCGTTATCAGTGCGAATGCTCCGTAATTAGACACGGAGTCGGGTACTTTTATTAGTGCCACGGTAGGGCAGCCAGTGCAATCTGGCATGCATAGCACGAGCAGCGGAAATAGAATTACTAGCGATGGAAGGAATGGGACTCTAATCTGCACAACGCGCAGACGGCACAGGAGGTCATGCAGGAGCTGACGCTGATGCACAACGTACGAGCAGTTGCACATGGGACGGCTGTACTCCGTACCGTCTTCGATAAGCTACACGTATACGGACGAGACACATGTTGCGAGCGGCATCGGTAAGCACGAGGAAGGCGAGCCTGCAGACAGCCAGGGGGGGGTGAACGAGTGGCCGTGCACACACGGTCGCAAGCTGCATGCTGGCGCGCTGGGCGAGTGGACAGCATGGATTAGCCGCGTGCAAAAGAGTGCGGCAGTGTCGATCAATTCTGGCCAGTCGATTCCTCCAGAGCCAGCCGTGGAGCAGACACGATCGACAGACAAGGTGCACGGCCAAGAAGGTTGTTGGGTCCTGAGAAAACGGCATACATAGCATTTTGCGCTCCGTACCCGTGTACCTGTAGCATCTTGCGGCAATTCGTGCAGACGGAGCTTCAGATTGATACGGCGACCCGCAAGCCAGAAGTCAAATGGACTGGAAAAGACAGAGGGATTACAAAGCGGATACGAGCATGGACGAGAACGCGGGACGGGGAAAGCACGGAGGACTAGCCAGGGGAAGGGGTCAGGGAGGGAAAGGGGCCAAAGAAGGAAGGAGGCACCGGCACAGGGAGGGCAAGAAAGAGAGAGGGGACAAGGAAAAAACGTCTCGCCCACTCCCGGGTGCGAATCGACGTGGCGCATCTGCACAATACAAAGTAGCGCGCTAAGACGCTAACGCCGCACCAGCTCTCCCACCTGTTGGCTAAGACACGCTTCCCTGGGCTGCCCCTGTCCGGCCCACCGTCTGCTGGCCGAGTTTTTTTTTCTTCCTTCCTCCTCTACAGCTGTCCAGTTCTGTGGCGTGGGCTTTGTGGGCTGCCTGTGAGCTGTCTGTTCCCTGTAGCCCCTGCCTATTCGGTCAATGAGAGCAACCCCCAAAATTGGGCCGACCCCCCCCCCCCCATCAATCAATCGACATGTGTTTTCGATCCCTCGTCCTGCTTGCCGCCCTACACGTATTCGCCCTATTCGCCCTTGCTCGACCTTCTCGACCTGCTCGCCATCCCACGTTCTGCCTCGTCGTCGCCCTCGTCGCATCGGTCGCATCGGCCTCGTACCAGAGCCCGGCCGCATTCTTTTTTGTCTGTCGCCACCACCGCTACGGCCACCCCCTTGGCCGTTGCAGCACTGGGGCCAACCATTGTGACGCTCGAGGCTGGCCGAGAGCCTAAATGTCCAGCCTGCCATGGACGATGGTGATCGAGACGAGGCCCGTCGGCACCTCCACCTCGACAGCTCGGACGACCGCGACGACCTGTCCGGCCGCGGCCTCTCTGATCATTTCGACGGACAGACCGCCCAACAGATCGACAGCAGCAGCCGTTTCGATCCCTTCATCCTAAACTACTTCGGCCGTCCAGATCACGACAACAACAACAACAACAATAATAACAGCAGCAGCAGCCTGCCATACGCCCCCCTCTCGCTCCTCCCTCCGTTCCAGCCTTCGTTGCTGCCTCCGGTCGCGTTCCATGGCGCCGTAGACCTGCCGGCACTCGACACTCCTCATCCTGCCGTCCACTCGAACGCGTTGTCCGATTCTGCCGATTCCGTCGATCCCGTCGATCCCATCGACTTCTACCGCAGCTACCCACAGCAGGACGCTCAATTCCACACAGCCACGACTGCTGCCGACGATGCCATGGCTCCCGCTGCGTCTGGCTCGCGGCAAATACCCGTGGCTCGATTCCACGCCAATGGCCTCAGCCCAAAATCACCAACGACGATCCCCTCTTCCCTCCCTGGCTACACCAACGGCTTTCGCTCCAACAGTCGATCCGTCTCCAGCCCCATCGACAGCTCCTCGCCCTCCTCCACCTCGGCCTACTCCAGACCGGCTCCGACCGCAGCCAGAGCCAGGAGCGTCAAGGACCTGAAAAAGCGCTATGACCAGATCGCCGTCCCCTCGTCGCCTCCGTCGATCTCCGTCTCTTCCACCTCGTCCAGACTGCGACCGACTGCTCGGCCCTCGATGTCCTCCTCTGCCTCTTCGTCTTCCCGCAGTCGATCGCCTGCTACCGGCGTAGGCACCGCGTCCGCCAATCGCGTCAAAAGCCCCGCCGGCCGTCTGCGCCAACAGGCACCATCACAGCATGAGAGCAGTCCACAGTCGTTTGCCAGTCGCATTGCCAAGCCGTCGATGACCCAGCTGTCGTCCCCCGTGTCGTCACCACCTCGATCTGCTCGCCGGATGGCCTCACCACCGCCACCTATGCCCTCTCTGCGTACCAACGGCCTGCTCTTCGGAGAGATCCTTCCTGACGAAGCTGACGCTCCCCTGACTCTGGGCTACGGAATCAATACTGTTCGCCCGAGACGAACTTCCGACTCGAGTGCCTACCCAGCACGGCCTTTTACGCGATCTCGATCCGAAGCCGGCGCCGATCCCGAGCCAGCATCGCCTACGGACTGGTACCGTGGCGTCCTGTCGACACAGGCGGCTGAAGCTACAGCTACAGCAAATTCTACGAATCTTCCCATTGCGAGCTCCCACACACAGGCTGGTCGTGGAACGCGAATCCCTGCGAGCCACAGCCGGGCACATAGCGACTTGGCCGGATCCAAGCCCAGAGATGTCCATACCCACCACCGGCAACGTGCCTTTGACCTTGCAGCTTCTGCCGGCGCCGACCCACTTCCCTCCCATAGCCAAAGCGAAACTCCTCCACCCAGCTCGCCCCAGCAGCGGCTCCCCTCTTCTCCCACCTCTCGCCTCCCTATCTCCGTGAAGAAGCAGACCGATCCGTCTGCGCGCATCGGTCGCGCCATATCCCGATCCAGTTCCCCCGGCCTTGTACGACGTCCAGCTAGCGCCACGAGCAGGTCTGCTCGCCAATTGTATTCACCCCCGGTCTCGCTCAATAACGCGAAGGCGCCTGCCAGACGAACGGCCACTCCCACAAGCCCGGCGTCTGGCCCGGCACGGTCGAAACCATCGACATCGTCTTCACGAAAGCTGCCGCCAGCCCAGCTTGCAACCCCCAGCAGCAGCCGCCTGAACGCCTATGCATCCGTCCCGCCGGCAAAACTATCGCCTACTCTACGGAGCTCGAGGCCGCGGCAGCCGGTGTCGTCTGCCACTGGCAAGATGTCGGCCCATGGTAGCACACGCGCATCATTAGCAAGACAGGAGGAAGCCGAGGCCCGACGGCGGAAGATTGACGTGGGCCCCATCGATTTCGCCAGGCGCCGGGAGACGATCCGGCTCGCATACAGCAAATCCATCCGTGAGACCGAAGCAAAGGCCACCCGGCAAGCAGCCGCAGAGAGAAGGAGGAAAGAACTGGAAGAAGCTGCTCGTGCCAAGGGGTTTGCCGAGGCTGCCGTGCTCGCACAAACGGAGGCAAACAGACGGGCCGCCGAGGCCGCCGCAGCGAATGCTTCGACTGCCTCTTCCTCGTCGACGCGGCATTTTCCCTTGTCCGCACCTGTCACGGTCGACGCGGAAAAAACGCCAGAGTCTTGGAACGCGAATGTAGCAGTCGCCACTGGCGCCACAGCCACGTCTACTAGTGACGAACCTGTGGGGAAATTGGCTGGCTCCAGGCTAAAGATCGTTACTGATATGCCAGAATCGCAGTCAGACAATCCCGACAAGCCCACGAAGCGAGACTCTCCTACACTTGGCATCCCCGGAACATTTCCCGATCCTCCCGTCCTGGGCTCTCCGCCACTAGAGCCGGCACATGAGGGACCGCCGCGGTCTGCCATTTCTGCGCATTCAGGCGTCACCGAGTTCGACAACGAGGCACAGACCGACCTGCCGCTTCGAGAATCCGGCACGGCTCCGCTGTCGGACGCGGCCTTCTTGCAGCAGCAGCAGCAGCAGCAGCAGCAGCAACGACAACAACAACACGAAATCCAACTCGGGCTAGAACGTGAGAAGGCTGAATATCGCTCGCCATTCGACGGGTCCTCGTCGGAAGACCCGCTTCCCCCCACAACTGAAGAAAATCAGCACGTCGAGAAGGCCTTCCGCCACAGAGCAGTACTATACCGATTTCCCTTCCAGGTCAAGGTGGACAGCGAACAACCCTCCGTCGGGGACAGCTACGAGACTACACCCGCGGATAGCATCACTGCCACAAGACCGCTTTCGTTCGTCAAAACCATCCCAGGGTCTTACCATGAGGAGAGCGACGTCAGCCGGCCCGTCACGCCTGTTCTGGCGTCTTCTTCGATGGACGCAGGACACTTCAAAAGTCCTAGCCTCGATCTCGTTGGGGAACATGAAACGCCCCGACGTCCGCCTAGGGATGAAGTTGCCACGTTGGAGATCCCGATCATCAACGAGACAAACCAGGGCACCGATAGCCTGGACGCAGAACCGATATCGAAGCCGCAAGCCGCGGGCACGGATGTGACCGAACAGTTCCTGTTTTTGCACCGCAGCTCTGCCGAGTACGAACCACAGCCCTTTCGATCAGAGTCGAACCACACAACTGTCACGATCCTCAGTCGCGAGACCCAGCTCGCACCGGCGCCAATGTCTCGCAAGAGCAGCCGCCTCACGATGCCCGAAGACGCCCGACTGGATGCTGTGGAAGACTTTTACGTTGGTCCCAGCTTGAGAGATAACGTGTGGACGCTTCGCGACTCTGCCTTCGCCTCGTCCGATGTCTCGGACGACGCACGGCAGGCATCGGGCAGTGAGCCGCAGCAGACGCCCGATACGTCCAACAGTCTCAACGTGCCGCACTTCACGTTTCCGGCGAACCGGTCTAGCCAGCAGTCCGGCTGGACGGACTTTTCTGTCGAAAGCGCCGATGCCCGCGAGTATATCGCGGCCCGTGAGCTGGCGTCGTCGGCTGCGGCATACAACACCAGCCTCGACTCTGTCATGCGTGGCCAAGGCGCCGCGGCCACGACGCATCAGCCTCACGTCCGACAGCGGCACAACCAGCGGCGCCAAAACCATTTCCATTTCGACTCTCGGCCCGGCTCCTATGCGGATATGTCGGAGCAGAATGACGACTGCAGCGAGATCCAAGAGGCCGAGAGTGTCGGTGTGTCATCACTGGAGCAGTCGGCGCAAGACATCTCGCTGTCATTAGACGGCACGGCTCCTCAGCACCACCGTTTGCCCGAGGTCGACACGGGCTCCAACTTTTACATCCCGTATCTGTCTCGCCAGTCGCCGGCCAAGAAAAGGCCTGCTCGGCCAGAGCACGACCCGCCGCCGGTCCCTGTGCCATCCGAAGGCCACAACTCGTCCGTCGAGGCCAGCGGGCGGCCCAGCTCGTCGAGTGCCTACTATGACTCCTCTCGTCCGAACAGCTACATACAGGGCATGGCTTTGCGGGACGACCAGTGCTCGTTCACGTCAGCGGCCGATGGCTCGATCATGGCCTCACAGCTGCCGCCAGTGTTCGCGCCACGGCCCTCGTTCGAGCAGTCGTCGCTGGATATGGGTCACCAATCGATCAGCGGGGCTACGCTGGTGGACAATGAGCGGCTGAATGCCAGCGGGGCGGTTGAAAGAACGGTTGCCGACAGTCGGACGTCGATCGATAGTAGTATGACCGGTGGTGCAGCCGGCACCGGCAACAACGAGAAGCGGCCAGCACGCAGCAAAGAGCAAGCGCGGCTCGTTCAGCGCCAGATGGTGATCCGAGAGCTCATCGACACCGAGGCAGTCTTTGTTCGCGACATGAACATTGTGGAGGAGATCTACAAGGGAACGGCGGAGGCGTGTCCACAGCTCGATGACAAGACGGTGAAGCTCATCTTCCGCAACTCTGACGAGATCATTGCCTTTCACACGGCCTTTCTTGTCGAGCTCAAGGAGGCCGTGTCCAGCGTGTATGCGCCCAAGAGCACGCGACGCCCCTCGCCAGCGACTCGCGAAGGCTCGACAGCATCAGATACGGCGACGGCAGCCAGTTCCATGCTGGCATCAGACAGCGGTCCGGCTTCAGCCGAGACAGACGAAGACACGCGCGACCGGCAGACGCACCTCGGGCCAGTCTTCCGCAAGAACATTGACAAGATGCGGTTGACGCACGAAGGATTTCTCCGGAGCAGTGACAGTGCGGCAAAGCGGCTGATCCAGATCCAGGAGGATCCGACGGTGAACGTGTGGCTGAATGAGTGCAACGAGGTGGCCAAGGACCTGACGGCGGCATGGAATCTGGACTCGCTGCTGATCAAGCCGATGCAGCGTATCACCAAGTACCCGAACCTCATCAGCCAGCTGCTGCAGTACACGCCGGCAGACCACCCGGACAGGCCGGCGCTGATGGTAGCGCGTTCGGCGCTCGAGACGGCGATCCTGGACATCAACAAGACCAAGAAGAACTTTGAGCTGGTCGGGCAGATTGTCGGGCGCAAGCGCAAGGACTCGGACGTGCGCGCAGGCTTTGCACGGGCGTTTGGCAAGCGGGTGGACAAGCTACAGGCGTCCAACAACCGGCCGGCCGAGGACGCAGAGTACACGAAGCTGAACGAGAAGTTTGGCGACGACTACCTACGGCTGCAGGTGGTGCTGCGCGACGTGGAGTTCTACACGCGCCAGGTGACGGCATACGTGCACGAGTTCCTTCAGTTTCTGTCGGCCATGGAACTGGTCATGCGGCTTCAGCCGTCGCCATACCCGGAGCTGGAAAGCAAGTGGGCGCGCTTCAATGTATCCATGCGGGACATGGAGAAGGTGGCGCTGGACCAGCATGTGAGTGTTTCTCTTCGGCCTTGCCTCTCTTTCTGTCGCGCTCGGTCTTGTCTAACTCGTGCCAGCTTGCCCAGGTACGAAAGCACGTGATCGAGCCGTTTGAGCAGGTGATCAAATGCTACGGCAACCCCAGCCTGGCGATGAAGAAACGGGCCAAACGGCGGCTCGACTTTGAGCGAGCGGCACAGCTGAAGAAGGCCAACAAGAAGGTGGACAAGCAGCTGGCCGAGCTGGTGGAGCAGTATGAGGCGCTCAATGACGCGCTCAAGCGCGAGCTGCCGATGCTGTCGGCCAACACGGAAAAGATTGGCAACATCTGCCTGGGCAATTTCGTCAGCATCCAGGTGCGCTGGTATGCCATCTGGAAGGAAAAGGTGCGCGTCGTGCTCGACGACAGCCAACAGCAAGGCGTGCCGGAGATTGCCGATATTGTCGCCACCTTTACGCGCGAGTTCCGGGACATGGAGGAGCACATCCACCAGAATCTTACGATCCTGAACAGAGACGGCAGAAGCGAGGCCACGGGCAGCATCAGCATGTCGCGATCGCGGTCCCGACCGTCGGACATGTCGCCACGCGTCCGCGCTGGATCCATCAACAGTGACAGCACGCCGTCCCTGCCGACGCCCGACTTTGGCCGGCGCAGCAGCGGCCATTTCGGGCTCGTGTCGCCCACGCCGTCAGCACAGGCCACAGCCGCAGCAGCAGGTGCGTTTGCATCGCCGACAGGTGGCCCAGCAAACCCGAACCACTATTATTACTACCGCAGCGACTACTACGGCGCGGCCCCGTCCAACGGACACGCGCGTGGCGGCTCGGCATCGCCCATCACACCCGGTCTCCCAGCAGAATCGTCGGGGCGGTCTGTGGCGTCAGTCGGAGGCGGTGCTGGCAATGCTGCAGGAAGGCCGAGCACCGGCCGCAGCTACGAGTCGGCGCCGCGGCCCAGCATTGACTCCAGTCTTCACGGGCACGGGTATCAGCACCAGCACCAACACCAGCATCAACACCACCAGCACCAGCACCAGCACCAGCACCAGCACCAGCTGCAACAGCTACAGCTGCAACAATTGCAGCAGCTGCAGCAACAGCAGCAACAGCAGCAGCTGCCACAGAACAGCATGGCTGCCGCATTGCACAGGGTGCGGCGTGACTCGTCTTCAACGTACAACTCCAATCAATACCCGGCGAGCACTGCGGCCGAGAGCGTCGGCGGTGGTGGCGGTGGTGGTGGCAGTGTGGCCGGGGCCAGCCGCCGATTTTCAGGGCTGTTCAGCTCAGCCATGCCGATGCAAGACGAGGCGTTGCCGTCGACGACGACAGCCTTGGCTGCAGGCATGATGGCAGCCTTCATCGGAGTGGGCGGTTTGGATGGCTCCAGTCGGCCATCACGAGCCTCATCACGCGAACGACCGACGGCAAATACAATGTCCGCTTCGTCACACGGCGCTGGTGGCAAGGGCAGTGGCAGGTATCACGTGCTGTGGCTGGCAGCGTCACTATTCGAATTCAACATTGAGACGAAGCACGAAGCAGGATATCCGTATCTAACGTATCAGGCGGGAGAGGTATGTCGTGTTTGCTTCTGCTTGCTTATGAATCAGACGATGTATCATCCAGACTGACAAGCATCTCCAGGTCTTCGATGTCATTGCCGAAAAGGGTGAGCTGTGGCTGGCCAAGAATCAGGACGACCCGAGAGAGCTGGTTGGGTGGATCTGGTCAAAGCACTTTGCCAAGCTGGCGGATTCCTAGAAGGACCGCAGCTAGGTGATGATGATGCTGCTTTTTGCATCATGCTTTGCCGACAAACTAAATATGAGGCTTTTTTCACATCGCCAGGACATGCCATATTAGATAAGGGTGGGACAGGAAAGGGATAAGACATACCCCAACTCGCATTATGGTATACATGCTTTTGGAGCGGCGAGGGATGGCGTCCATGTTTTCCAAGGTGGTCCCGATATTTTTCCGGGAATTAAACAAGCGAAGTATGTCTTGGCAACGGCGACCGAAGAATGGATGGGTGAGCGGGTTTTTTGTGTGTGTATATGTGTGTTGTGTGCACTTGTTATTCTGTTCGACTTTCGATTCGGTCAGCTTCCGGTTTTGCTAGCTATCCTTTTATTTATATTCGGACCTACAAGAGGGAGGGGGAACTGACTGAAATGGAATGGGATGGGAAATGCGGTATCTGGAGGATGGAAGACAAAGTATCGTACCAGGACCGGCCATTTTGCGTGGTCCATGTTTGCAGATTTTTTCACGAGCCGGCGTAATTGAAACGAACAAAGAATTCATTCATAATTTACACGATTCTACATTTAATTTCACCACACATTAACCTTCTGGGAAATAGGATCCTTTGCAGGATAAGACTGTATTTTAAAGTGTATTATGGTAAGGAAAAACGAAGGGAAAGAGGGAAGAGGGAAGGAACGAGTGACGAAGCAAATAACAGAATTTTAAGATCTTTTATCTCTAAACACAAAAATAGAAATGGAAATTGCAAAAGCGCCAAAAAGTGCCAAAGGAACCGCCGCAAATAATTTGCTTCGACTGCAATCACACAGTTCAAGTAGCCTGTTCATCGTGCCGGTCCAGCTACAGCTGTGTCGTGAACGTGTTTTCGAACTCATCCTAAAGCAGAGTATTAGTGGGAAGCGACAGAAATTAGACTGCCCCGAGACACCGCCACTCACCCAGATCAGCCCTTCCAAGCTCTGCAGCGGCAGGTGTGCAGGATACACCGGCGGGATAAACAAGGCCGCATCCACGCTGCAGCCGGGAAAGCCCTCGGGGCTATCCATGCCGGATTGCTGGCTCTGTGGAAGGCTCCAGAGCGCCTCGCCGTTGGTGACGCCGGCAAAGGCCATGTTCTGCGAGAAGAGGGGTTGTGGAGGGGCCTGCAGAGGTTGCGGGTGTGGCTGCAGGTTTGACTGCAAGTTTGGTCGCAAGTTTGGCCGTAGAGGTATCTGAAGAGATGGTGGCGGCATGGAAGACAGCGGCGGTGGTGCCATGTGTAATGATGGATCGCTGGCGAAGTCGTCCATATCGACAGCCATTGGATGTGGGTTGTGATTGTGTTGCTCCATAACTTGTTGTGAGACGTGCCATGGTAGTTCCTGGTGGTGTTGTTGCTGTTGCTGCTGCCGATACTGGCTTTGTTGTTCTCGCTGGTGGCCATGGACAGGATGAAGAGACGCCAAAGGCGCAGCGAATGGGTTGTGATTTGAGTCAATGTCACTAATGAGAACGGCAGTTGCAGGCGAATTCTCGGTGCTGTCGACATATCCGGATCCTGCTGGTGTGCTTGCGTGCCGCACTGTCTGACGGTCTGGTACGGCCTGGGCAATGTTGGTGAGCGCCCGCATGCATCGCTGCTGGGTGTACACGGCAGTCTTGTGCATGATCTCGCGCAGGATGGCCTTGCTCTTCTCCTGGCTCGGACGAGACGGATCGACATCGAAGACAAAATGCAGGCAGCGCCAGATGCGCTGGTGGAAGGGCGAGTCGGGACGGAAGAAGACCTCGGTAGCCAGCAGCAAAGCGACCTGGTACTGCTGGTAGGTGCCGCCATACCAGCGCCAGGGAGCAAAAGACGGATTAGTCTCGATCTGGGCGGCAGTCTCGACGATCATGACGCCGCTCTTGAGCAGGATGGACGTCAGGTCGTCGGGCAGTGGTGTCGTCGTGTTGGCGTGGTAGGGATGCAGGACCATGACGTGCAGGCGAAAGACGAGCAGTTGCATGACGAGGCGGGTATAACGACGGGAAGCGGCGGTATTGTTGCTGTCGCAGTCGCTGGGCTCGAGCAGCGGCTCGTACTTTGCAAAGATGTGGCGGCGAAAGTGCTCGATCTTGGTCATGACGTCGGCCAGCGAGATGCGATGGGCCTCGAGGCGACGGCGGTCGTTCCAGACGACGCGCATCATCTCGTTAATATCGAAGCGAATGACGGCTAGCAACATAGGTGTCCAGGCGGAAGAGGGCGACGGAGAGCGCGAGCTGGCAATCTGCAGGTCCTCCTCGCGGCAATTGAGAGGCAGGCGGGTGTCATAGTCGTCTGCGCGGATGGTAGGTCGAGGGCCCTGAGCCTCACAGGTGCGGATGTCGAGGAAGCAGAGCTGGTGCCAGAGCAGGCGACGGATGTGAACCTCGAGCGGCGTGAGACACAAGGCCTGGCCGTCGCGATGAAGACCCATGCACTCGGCCATGCGGATGGCGGCACTGACAAGAACAGAGTGAGCACGCGAGATCTCGGCGCGGCACAGGGTGATGAGATACAGCACAAACGCCTGAAGCGTCTCGATGCATGTGGTGTGCAGAAAGTCGGCGGCTGTGAGTGACGCCTCGAGGCCACACTGCACAGCCCGGACGAGCTGCACGCGGCTGGCGGCCGGACTGGCCGACGACAGCGACCAGGCAGCGGCCATTTCGGCGGCCTCGGCCTCGTCTGTTGCCACGGCAGCAGAAAAGAGCACGGCAAAGGCGAGCGCCTGCAGCGACGGTCGGGGCGATCGGGACGGTCGAATCGGCTGGCCGGCGACCTCGGACAGGAACGACGACAGCTGCGGCACAAACGATGGCCAGTGCAGACAGGGCGCCACCGGATGCACGGACACGCGGTATCTGCGGCTGAGAAGACGGCAGACGGCCGGCGGCGGCAGCAGCTGCTGTACCGGCGGATTGGCAGCAAAGGGGCCGCAGCAGAGGTTACTGGCCGGCATGATGTAGTCGTCGGACGGCAGCAGAAAGTCGGGGATCTCACCAATACAGCCGCCTTTTCTCTTCCTGTTGGAATCGACATCTTTGACTGCAGAGGTCCCGGTGCCGGAGAGCCTCATTTCGATCTGTCGTGTCAGCCTGGGCAAGCCTCCTTGTGCCTCCTTTTGCTCACCTCCTCGGCCAGACGCGGCCGGTTCAGACCTCCGATCCACTCGGTGATGCGCATTCTGCCGACGCGAATGCCCAGGTCGACCATGTCCTGGCTGTAGCCATACGAGTCTCCTCCGTTGTCGTCCTCGTTCTCATCGTCGTCATCGTCTGCGACCAGAGGCGACGGTTGGAGCTGCGGCAAGAGCGTGGACATGCCGGACACGTCCACGGCTGGCTGTGCTTGTTGCGGGACTCGGAACGGCATGGTCACATCTGTGCGCAGGCGCTGACGACTCCGCGCCGTCTTTTCGAGCTCCCGCTCGAGCCAGGCGACCTTTTCCTTGATTCCATTGATCTGCATCTTGCTGAGGGCGTCCAGATCGTGGCCGAGATAAAGGCACAGCCGGTCAGCCTTGGCGCAGTTCCGGCATGGCTGCGACTTGGTGCACTTGAGCTTGCGTCGACGGCATTCGAGGCACGACTTGATGGACCGCATGCGCCTCTTTGTCGCCGCCATGGCCGGTTCGTCGCCTGGTGTTGCTGGCACGGCCTGTGAGCTGCCGCTGTCGCCGAGATATGCGTGGGCAAGGCCAAAGGTTCCGCAATGGTCGGCGAAGCTGGCCATATGGATACTAGCCTCTGTCTTCACGAGCGGGAGCTCCTCGGTCGGGATGTTGCTCTGCTGATGCATGTGCCAATCCATGTCCCATTCGATTGTGTGAAGCTTGCAGAGAGCTTGGAAAGGATGCAATGGCAACGGGAGAGATGAGAAGGTGAGGCGACCTGGGGCGCATAGCTGCTTCTGGACGGGAGAGGATGTCTGTGCTGCCGCACGGGTAAGCAGCCTGCTGCGATACACAGAACGTGAGCGGTCGTGCAGTTCGGCATATCTCGGCAAAAGCTTCAGCCGTCCTACCAGACACCTGGTTCTTGCCTTCTTGGCGTTCACTTGGCCGGATGCTAGGAAGCAGAGCGGTCTCGCCAGAGCGACGGGCCACCAGGACGTCTGGATCTGTTGGCGTATAGATGTTCTGGCAAGATATCAGGCCCTTGTCGTCTGGGTGGTTGGTACAGCAGCTGCATGCATGCTACGGGCTGCAGGCTGTACGCTTCCGGCTATGGCTCGTTGTGGGCCTCGGCTTCGATGAGCTGCCATGTGTTCTAGATGGCGACTTCTACCGAGACGGGAGGCGATGGGACGGCCTCGCCGAGAAAGGCTGTGTCTCGTCCGCTCGCTTCTCGAGACCGCCTGGAGCACGCACGTTCCCGAGCCGTCAAGTGGAAGAGAGAGATCCGGTGGAGGTGACAGACGCGCCAGCGAGGTGAGGACACAAGGCGATTGGTGTGCGAGGGCAGGCGAAAGATCAGACGAAGGGCAGGCAAGCGTGATTCTAGGCGGTGAGTTGTTGTGGCTGCAGCATGGGGACGAGGAGAAGTCTGTCGTGTGACGCAGAGCTACTATGGTACAGCGATGGAGGCAAACGCAGTGTCTCGGTTGTGTTCTTGGCTGTTGATTGTTGGGATTGGGGAGTCACGTGATGCACGTTTGGATGTCATGATGTTTTTTTTTTCTTATTCTTTTCCGATGTACGGAGTCTATGATTTGGGATCAGGACGACGGTGTCCAGCCTGAATGGCCAAGACACGCCAGCGGGCCAGGGCGAGAGCGCTGGTACGAGCGACGTCGGGACCGTGCTCCTGCTCGACGGCAGTGAGGTACCAGCGCAGACGGGTGGTGCGGCCAGGCTGGGCGTTGTGGAAATCGCGGGTGACGAGGTGGAAGAGGGCGCGAAGAGTAGTGGGCGAGGGTACGGGGATAGGTCCTCGGCGGTGGCGACGCAGAAAGGTGCGACAGAGCTCGACGCCGCGAAGAGCCTGTCTCGAGGACACGCTGGGATCGAGAGCATATTGAGCAGCGAGCCGCTCGACAAGTCGGATGGTGGGACTCTTGATGCCTTTCTGAGTCTGGGTCTTTTGCGTCTTTGTCTTGGCGTGGCCAGAGCCAGGCAGATCGAGGAGATAGGCGACCTGGGTGAGGGAGAGAGAACCGTCGTCGAGGCCAGCAGCCATGCGGTCGGCAAATTTATCCCAGAAGGCGATGCTCCAGGCGGCAGAGGGCGAGCGATTCGGCTGGGCAGCATAGACGGCGTAGAGCCGAAGGAGGGCGTTGACGTCGTCGGCAGCCCAGGCGACAGCCTCGAGAAAGGAGGGGGGGAGGGTGGTGAAGGTGGTGGAAGAAGCAGAAGCAGCCAAGGCTTCGACAGAACGGGCGAGTTCGGTCGGGGCATCGCGGCCAAGCAGCTGCAGCGAGCGACAGAGGCTGAGAAGGAGGGCCACACAGCGCGAGCGACTATGCTTGGAGCGGAAGGCGGCGAGGGCGAGAGCGGCGAGGGCGATGTGGTCGAGATTGTGGCCATCGACAGCAAAGCGGTCAAACGAGAGGGCGGCCTGTTCGGTGACGTAGCCGCGGCTGTGCCAGTGGGCGAGCAAGAGGCGACAAAGCTGCGGGAGGCTGAGGCCGGCACCCCAGATGTGCAGAGCCGGAAAGAAGCCGTCCTGGCGAACATGTGGCAGATGGGCCAAGAGGAGAAGCCAGCGGTGGCGGGTGGCTTGGGAGAGGTGTTTCTGCATCGGCATCTGCTGCAGCCGGCTGTTGGTGGCGGCAACGAGAGCGACGGGGTCGACATCGTGCAGAACAGCAGCCATGGCGACCGCAAAGACGTGGTCGGGCGAGAGTAGCCGGCCGGCCAGCCAGAGTGTGCGCACAAGAGACTGGTGCAGGCCACGAGCGGTCTGGAGGGCGGTAGTGGCCCGAGAGAGGTCGCCAGCAGAACAGGCGACTTCGATAGCGTCGAGCTGGCGCTGTAGCTTGGCGCTGGTCCAGGCAGCACTGGCGGTGGGAGAGGGGGTCAACGAGGAAGAAGACCACCGTATCGCAGCGGTGGACCCGGTCGTCATGGCGGCAGCCAGCAGAAGCGGCAGGGTAGTGTTGGGGTCGAGCTGGCGAACGATCTCGGGTGGTGCAGTCAAGAGGATCTCGGCAGCGAGATGGCCAGACATGGTGGCTGTCATTGTGTTTGTGGTCACGGCGTCAGCAGCACAGAGGAGCAACCGGTGCCAGAAGGCGGGACCGAGGTCGTGAGGCTGCAGAAGGCGACAGCTGCGGACACCATCGAGAACGGCAGCAAAGAGAGCGGCGACATCAGACAGACCTTGTTGTCGGAGCCAGAGCCGATCGAAGATGGCGAGAGCGTGGTCGGGCTCGAGAGCGGCAAGGCGCAATTGGGTGTGAAAGGCGTCGAGAAAGGAAGGGTCCAAAGAGGCGTCCATCTCGGAAAGCAGGGTCTGCGCTGTGGCGTGGGATGTTCTAGGGATGTCTCTGAGAGTGTCGACCTCGGTTTTTTCGCTCTCTCCTTCTCCCCCTCTCTTTCCCTCTATCATCCTGGACAGCCAGGTCGGCATGGCCTCGACCACGGCAGCCCATGCGTTCTGGGCCTCGCGCACGCCACGGACGTCAGCCTCGCGTGCCAGCCGGGCAGCAGCGTCCCGCGGCGGCGTCCACTGCCACTGACGGCGCAGATCGGCCGCGGCAGACGTGGCCGCGCTGGTCCAGGCAGCCGGCAGCGCGGCCGGGTGCAGATGCAGGTGCAGATGCAGGTCGGCCATCTGGCGCTTGCCCAGCCGGCGACGGCTTTCGAGCGGACCGGGTACGTTGCTGGCAAGACGGCGCGAGTAACAGAACCGGACAGGCGCGACGGCGAGGTCAGGGGAACAGCGCCGCGAGACCATGGCTTTTGTGAAGAGAAGCCCAAAGGAGGACCGAAGACGAATCGCGACAGGCGCTTTATCGTCGCACCATGCCCGTCTGTTGGACTCGACTGTCGATGGCCGATGCCGCGTATGGTCGGGCAGTCGTCGGCAGTCGTCGAGTCGTCCAGACCGTCGCCAATCCGGTTTGCACTTTTCCTCTTCTCTTCTTCTCTTCCTGTTGATGAGCTTCCGAGCAGCACCAACCAGAACGGCCGAATTGCAAGCCGGTCAAGCCACATTGTGGCTGGTGCCGATAAGCCGATAAGGGAGACCATTGGTGGGGGGACAACGTTCCTTCTACTTTTCGTCTTCTTGGCCAAAGGGACAACGGACAGGATCCAATCCAAACGAGCACAATGGCAGACACGACCGAGGTGCTGCAGAACGACCTGCTCCTGCGGGCGGCACGGGGTGAGCAGACTACCGGACTGTCGACGATCAATGGCACGGCAACAGACTGACTAGTCGCAGGCGAAAAGGTGGAGCGACCGCCCATCTGGGTGATGCGCCAAGGTACGTCTTCCTGCTTGGTGTCTGGCCATTCGAGCTGACGATGCAGCCGGCCGGTACCTGCCCGAGTACCACGTAGCCAAGGGTGGGCGCGACTTTTTCGAGTGCTGCCGCGACGCCGAGGTGGCCTCGACGCTGACGCTGCAGCCGATCGAGCGGTTTGCCGGGCTGATCGACGCGGCCATCATCTTCTCCGACATCCTGGTCGTGCCGCAGGCGTTGGGCATGACGGTCGAGATGATCGACAAGAAGGGTCCGCACTTCCCAGCGCCGCTAGCCGATCCAGACGACCCCCAGGTGGCGCCGCTGCTAGCGAAGCCGGTGGCCGCCGCAGCCGACGAGCTCGAATACGTCTACGCGGCCGTCCGGCGAACACGCGAGAAGCTGCACGGCCGCGTCCCGCTGATCGGCTTCTGTGGCGCGCCCTGGACCCTCTTCTGCTACATGGTCGAGGGCGGTGGGACCAGGCTGTTCGCCCACAGCAAGCGCTGGATCTACGCCCACCCGGACACGTCTGGCCAGCTGCTGCACAAGCTCGCCGAGGTCTGCGTCGAACACCTCGCCCGTCAGGTCCAGGCCGGTGCCCAGCTCGTCCAGGTCTTTGATTCCTGGGCCGGCGAGCTCTCTCCGGCCGCCTTTCGCCGCTTCGCCCAGCCGGCCCTCGCTCACATCGCCGATGCCCTGCCCCGCCGCCTCCAACAGCTCGGCCTCGCCCCCGTCCCCATGATCGTCTTCCCCAAGGGCGCCTGGTACGCGCTCGACGCCTGCTGCCAGCTCGGCTACGATGTCGTCGGCCTCGACTGGCAGCACGACCCGGCCGAAGCCGTCCGGACCCGCGCCGATCGCCCCGTCGTCCTCCAGGGCAATGCCGACCCCGGTGTCCTCTACGGCACCCACGACGCCATCGTCGAGGCTGTCCGCGATATGGTCGTCGGCTTCGACTGGGCTAATCGCCACCAGGGCTGGATCGTCAACCTCGGACACGGTGGGTTTTTTTCCTGTTTTTTTTCTTTTGTCTTTCTTTTCTTGTGCTTATCTAATCCGCTTACTAATCCACTCAGGCATCACTCCCTTTGTCAAGCCCGACGACCTCAAGTTCTTCCTCGAGGAGGTGCACAGACAGACAAAGACATAGGCGATCGAAGCAGGGTGAATAAAACAGTGAAATGGATGGCGCTTAAAATGAAATCTCTATTCTGCATCTATGTCTATGTCCATTCGCCGGGAATATCGTCGCCAAAGCTATCGTAGTTGAGGATGATCCTGGGTTGTTAACGAGCGAAGCGAGGAGAAAAAACGAGAAACAGATGAATCGAGCGAAGCGAAGGGAAAAAAAAAAAAAAAACTTACCAAGCACACGACCAGGCCCGTTGGCCGCCAATACTACGACATACCGCCTGGCTCTGCGGATTGGTGGCCGAGACGTCGGCGTGAGACCAGCCGTCGTCAATGCCGCCAGTGTTCTTGCTGAAGATGCCGTTGTGAAGCCGAATAAGGCGGGCGGCAAGGACCTTGGCGATGCCGCGGCCACGGAACGGCTCCTCACAATGTAGCGTCCAGATGCTGCCGTCGACGCCGAGAAAGGCCCAGGCGATGAGGGTGTTGCCGTCACGAAGGGCAACTGATGGAACGAGGAGAAGTGATTCTCTGAGAGGTGAGTAAGGGAGAAAAATAAAACGAGCGAAGCGAGGAAAGAAGAAAAAGGACAACAAGTTGAGGGGACAATCGAGCGAAGCGAGGAAAGAAATCAAGAAAAGAAAAAATAAGAGAAGGACAACAAATCGAGCGAAGCGAGAAAAAAGAAAAAGAAAAAAAAAATACATACTCTTTCCGTGGAATATGTGTCCGCGACTGTATCAGAGACACATCCGGTTGACGAACAACATCCCAACGCAGCGGTCGGTCGAATCCACGAACAGCCACGAGATCCTCATCACCGTCGACAGGCGACGGCGCCGGTGGAATGTCGGCCACGCGAAACAGCCAGCGATCATAGGCATCCCAGTACACGGCCGTGACGCTGCCATTGACACCTGCTGTCGTCGTGGTTGTGCCCTTGGCCGTGACGTTGGGCGCCAGAACATGTCGCAGGCCCTCCTGCATGTTGATCTTGACGTTTGTCGTGCAGTGAGCGGCCACGGCTTCGACCAACGGCGCCTGCTCGGCCGTGAGGCTGCGCACACGTCGCAAGAGAGCCCCTACGAGTGACCGCATGCGTGTGCGCCGTGCCTCGGACCAGCTGGCCGCCAGAGCTGCGCCTCGATCGACCTGAGGCACCGCTGTGCCGTCATTCACCCCGTCCGCATCCTCGTCCGAGGCGTACAGCCAGACTTGCGTCTCCGGCGCCTTGGAGAGGTCCACATACGCTGCCGCAAACGCCCCGTCCTTCTCGTCGTCGTCTGCATACACAAACAAGACATGCGCCCACGCGCTGCTCCCACCCGAGATCGCATCTTCGGCTGCCCGGTCCAATGCTCCAGCTGCCGACTGCAGCCGCCGCAGCAGGCCGAGCGAGAACGGCACATGGCTGCCCAGACGATGCAGCTGTCCCGCCGTCGGCCGCACCGGCACGTCTTCGAATCGCATCTTGGCCTCGGGTGGTGTCGTGCGCCTGTGTCTGTCGGTGCAGACTTGCGCTGATGAGTCTTACTTGTGTGTCATAGGGCTTTGGATGATAAGGTCTGCTTAGTCAGCAGATAAGACGGCTGCGATCTCGCAACCACCGACGACAGTGTGGTTCGTCGTGCCTTGGAATGGCAGGAGAGCCATGGCTTGTACAAGGCCACTGCCAAACTCCTGGCATCCTTCGCAACTCATGGCCAATGCCAGTCCTGCTTCACACTGTCCAGGTCTCGCGATATAAACCTTCCCCACGCTCCTTCTTCCACGTACGGCCATAGATACTGGAAAGCACGGGATCCCGTCCGCTCTCCCCTAGTTAAACCAGTAATCGGCGGATTAGTAGTTGGGTCGGTGACGACCAGCGAATACCCGCTGCTGTACGTTTTTTTGGCAAGCTCAACTCCAGTTATCAGAGATGGTAGTGCATACGCCCATCTTCGTCAAACGAACATGATGATGCCTCATCCTCGTCCCGAGAAACCGGCTGCTCCACTTCATTGTGGATGATATCAGCCTCACTTACGGAGTACTGCCGACCAGGTCAAATAAGCTTGGATTCGTATCCCGTCTACCGGGATTCTCCACGCCAAAATAAAGAGGTCCTTTGAACAGGAAACAAACAGGGGAATCTGTCGTAAATACATCATGATAAACCGTCCAAGAAAAGCACCGCTGATTAAACCGAGACATAGAGCAAGAAAAAGGCACCCGTCCCTTCCAGCCCAAGCGGCAAGAGTCATTACTGCCGTCTCCCCATCACGCCCGCTTTCCCAGCAGCCAGTCCTTGCCCTTGGCCGCGAGGCCGTTGTTGCTGTGGCTATGGCTGTGCTGATGCTGCTTCTTCCTCTCGTCCGAGTGCGTCGACGACTTGTCGTCAGCAATGGCCGATCCGTCTTCTGCTGCCGCCACCTCCTCGGCCTTGAAGACGTTGCCGGTGCCGCCACGGCCGACATGTGCAGCTCCAATGCTGGGACGACGAGTCACACTGAACATGGTCAGTCGCGGTCATCTTCTTTTCTTCTTTTCTCTCTTGCTTCCCAGGGATCTGCACTTACGGCTCCACGTCCTGGCGCGCGCGCGTCTCCTTGGGGTCCGTGTTGCGGGCCATATTGCCCGTGCCTCCGCGGCCGGTCGTCACGATGGACGTCTTGAGCATAGGCGTTTCCAGATCCTTGGGCTGCAGCTTGGGCGACTTGGAGCTGTCCACAATGTTGCCAGCGCCACCGCGACCGTGCGAGGAGAGCTGTGCCATGATATCGTATGTGTGGCAAGTAAACGGATGGGATGACGACGAGATGTCGGGAGAAGACGGCCAAAAGACAAACTTGACTACTGACTGTTGTGATGGAACTAAGAAATATTCAAACGTTGAGCAAAGCCGGGGAGAATGCGTTTTATAAGAAAGGCAAGCGAGGCTGCCACATCGGAGGGCTGTCAAAGCGGATACGCAAGGGGACAAAGACGAAGATGGGACCTTGCGTCGTGATCACGAAGAAAGAAAACTTTTCTCGTTTATTGCTCTTCTCCCCTGCAGACTACAACTCGTACACAGCAGCAGTCTCGCATCACGCGAACGAAAAACCAACGAAACCGAGCAGAGGGCGGTGCCGGCCAGGGATGGCAAAGCTAGACTGCAAGCTTTTCAGCAGTCAAAGGTACACAAACACGGGGAAGAAGACCAAACAAGGATGGGCTACGTTGTGGTCACACGGCCATGGCAAACCAAAAGTAAATGGAAATCGTCCACTCGTCTCCTTGTGTGCGGCTTTCGCCTTTGTTAGTCATGAAATACTCCATAGTTTTGCTTCTAGCGGGGAGAAGAACACAAAAAAGCTGTACGGAGCACGGAGAAGTGGCACAGAATGCCGTACGCCATATTTGACCCCATTCCCCTGTCTGATGGCGCATTGTCCCTCATGTGATCGACTTGGCTTTTTCGGCTTTTTTTTCCTCGCTTTTTCTCCCTATGCGAAATTTGCTTCCAACTCCTGCCTTGCCGGGAACGCTTTCCCCAAGCTGACAGGCCGCTAATTTGTGCTGACTCAACACCCATGGCGTCCTCCCAGAAGACGCCTAATTTCGCTATTCTTCGGAACTACGGCGAGGCCGAGATTGAAGATGTTTGATACATAGTAAGCCGCTATGTATGCAATGCAAGTCATCCGCCGACTCTGTTTTTCCCTTCTTCCTGGCCGTCCGAGCCGGGAAGACTACTTGCAGCTGTATGTCGCAAATTCGGCCCTTCAACTAGTACCGCTGGCTCGCAACCTAGAATCGTCAACAGAGACGAGCTAAATAGAACATGACGTATCCGTAGCCGGACCGCTCCAGATGCCAGCAGAGCCGTCAGCTGAAGCTTCTGCGTGCAGCTTCTCGGCCTTCGGGGCTGTCTGCCATACGATAGCTTCATCGGCAAGACTTGTTTGATTGGGCTTAGTTTGGTTTTGAGCCCTGTTTTAGGCGGTGGAAATTCTCCTTACGCGCATTGTAACGCTCCAATATCTTTGTCATGTTATAAAAATAAATCAGAGGGGTTTTCAAGCCACTAATATGGCAAAAAAAGCCCCTTTAGACACGCAAGCTGTCCGGAAAGATCTCTTTTGAGAACCGCCGTTTGTCGTTCAAAGTATAATGACTAGTTGAGACCTCCCGTTCCCGCAACCGTCTACCGGCGCCCCTATGCCGTTGATCTGGGTATTGATAAAATGCTACTGAAGGATACAAACCAAAGACAAACGCCGTGTGATGGAAATCACAAGCTCAGCTTCGTCAAAAGGCTGAAGCTCGTTGCCATATGCTGGCCTCAATAGCTTGACCCAAATCGACCAATCGTGATATAGGTGAGATGGCTCACATTAAAGTCGAACCATCAGTCCACGTCACCCTCGTGGCTGGCTTGCAAAACACGTCGTGGTCGAGTACTGCATGCCGTCCTCCCTCGTGCCTTTGTGCGAGCGTGTGCACGCTTGCTGGCAGCTATCGTTGGCCAAGCGCGCGATACATGTGCGTTGCACCTTCGCTTCGTTCAATGGTGGTGTCATCCAGACTCTCACTCGTAATCGTCATCTTCTTCACCACGGCCATTCTTGCCAGCTCCCTCTTTCCTAATGGGAATCTTGATGCCTTGCGTTGCAAACGTCTTGCTGAGAACGGTACTCTCGCACACGCCCGGAAATTTCTTGGCCGAATAGACGGTGAACACATCGCTGAAACAGGAGGCAAGCACGGGTGCCTTGCCTGTGTTGACGATCGACATCTGGCCGGATGAGGTTCCGTTGGGGTCTGTGGGCGGGGCGCCAACATTCACAAACGAGAATCGCAGGCTATGGGACGATTAGTCGGCTAGCTGCTGCTGTTGACAGAGGGTAATGCTTACCGGAAGTTGCCCTCGGTCCGCACACTAAGGTCCTGGAGGACAAACCAAATGCCAATCTTATCGTTGGGGTCCTGCAGGCGGAAGGCGCTCGCAGCCAAGCTGCCAATCAGGTTTCGGGTGAACATGCCTTGCGGCTGGTTGCCCTGGATCAGGCGCTGGGTCATCATGTCTCCGGGGCCGCCAAAGATGCGCGGTGGTCCGTAGCCTTGAGGCTGCGACGAGATCTGCATGCCGCCGTACTCTGCGCCGTGGTAGTACTGGCTGGGTTGGCCGTAACCGTTGTGCTGCATGTAGGCAGAGACTAGAATGCGACATGTTAGGAGGGCGGGCTACCGGTACAACAGCCCAACGGGCGGCCCTCGAACACATACCCTGAGAATAATGCGGCTGGGACCCGTATGCGTTTGCGCCCGGATGGCCATACATGCCGGACCCGTAGCCCTGATCCCGGGGATTGGAGGGTAATATGGCCGAGTATGACGAAGCATTCTCGACCTGCTCGTAGGAGGCCGGGGTGGTGGACGAGATAGAGGGCGTCGTAGTGGTATGGCGCACGAGGTTGACCTCCTTCAGTGCATCTTCCGACCAGAGGTCCACGTTCAGGACGAACATGGTGTGCTCAATGTCGCTGGAGCGGCATCGTGTCAGCTATCATGCGACTGCTATCCTTCTGTTCGGGGTCTACGGTTGCACATACTTGCAATCCACTTCCTTGCCAGTGGCCAGATCTGTCACCACAATGCGAACGCATGGTGGCGGGGTGATAGGTCGACGGTCCTAGGAAGCGGGCCGTATAAGCAGAAGTAAGAGGGGAAGGGGACACATCGCTGTAGGCGAAGAGGTAAGATATGAAACGCAGTAAAGGGCCAGGTCATACTTTGTCACCGAATCCACACATGCGCGCGCGTTTCGGCTGTTGCACCACGTCGAGTCTATTGGAAGGCGCCACGTTCAGCGTCAGCAGGGCACGAGAATGCGAGAGACGCAGGCCCAAGTGGCCGGGAATCGTCACAGGACGACATACCTGTACGACCGGCTTCCTTCGCTGCCAATGATAGGTTCCAAAGCTTTTCGAGTGGCTGCGTCCTGCTCCGGGGAGGATTTAGCTGAATCGTGGCTAGCGGTAGCAGATGAGTGCGAGGGTTGGTCCTGTTGCTGTTGCTGCTGCTGCTGCTGCTGTTGTGGCGGTGGCGCGTGGTGGGCATACTGGTCGGCATAGCCGTGCGGAGGTGGAAGACTCATTGCGGAATGATGGGAGCCGGGATGTGAGTTGTAAGCAGGCTGGCCCAGTGCCGGAAGCTGGTTGTGGTTATGGTTGTGGCCGTGGTTGTGGCTGTGATTGTGGTTGTGAGAGTGCAAGTCGTGGTGCTGCAAAGCCTGCGGCGGCTGAGACTGCGGAGGATAGATATGCGCGTTCATAGCTGCGGTAGATCAAGTGCTTCAGGGTGCCGTGTGTGTTGGTTCCGATGGTCTGGAGATAAGACAAGAGAGACAATGTCCAGGCGGGCTGTCTCGTGCAGGTTTCTCTCCGGTCACTTCTCCTTGCTCTTTCGTGTCTTGTTCAGGGTCCTGAGAGGTCGTTGTATGAGGCTAGAAATTAAAACGTAGACGGGCGGCGTGGCCTGCAGGTAGGGAAACGAGAAAGGGCAGCCAGGGAGAGTTGGGGTGTAGATGGCAGAAAATTGCAGAATTTGTGACGTTGCAGAAGCCGTGTTGGGAAGAGGGGAGTGGGGTGTGTGCGTGTGTGGTTGCTGGCGATTGACACGGAATACTCCGTACTCCGTATGAAATCAATCAGAGCTGCCGGCGATCCAGGCCCAGACAAACGGCGGTCCCAGAAACAAGGCGTTGGTGCGTGCTCTCTCTGGTCTATTTGCCTTTTTTTGCCGTCTGTCGTTGGAGTCGTCCCGCGAGCGTGTTTCTGACTCTTCCGTTTGTCCTCCGGTTCCTTGTGTGCGGTTGGTCGAATTTTGCCGGGAGGACCACTTGACTGGCGGTTGGGCAAAAGGTTGCCGCGTTGCTGCAGGTAGGTGGAGGAGGGCAAGCCGGAGGGCGGACAAATAGGAGGCGAGAGAGGCCACAGCAGTACAGCAGCACAGATAGATGCAATGCAGGCAGACAAAAGTGAGCAAGCAAGCTGCAGGGAAGCTGTCTTGGGGGCTGGAAAAGACTGTGGAAGGCCGCAGAGCAATCAAGTGGCGGTACCACGTTGCTGCACAAAGGGCTTTGTGTCGGAACTTTGCCGGAGTCTTTTGAATCGGTAAGGGGCGTTGCCGTCAGACGGAGGCCGAGAGGTGGCCGCAAGAGAGATGAAGAGGTGAGAAGGGGAAGAGGAAGAGGAAGAGAAGAAGGGAGAGGAAGTAGGGGGGAAAGAGGAAGAGTAAGAGACACAATCAAGACGGAGACGGAGGGTGGGAGTGAGAGAGGTAAGAAGGCAAGAGTGAAAGACAAGAGGGGAAGGAGGGGAGGAACCGAGCAGATGGACAGAAAGCGGCTAGTGCGCGATAGCGATCCCAGAGAGGGAAAGAGCAATGGGGAGTGGAGCGTTGCAGGAGCGGACGAGTACGACAGCGTAAGGTAGGGAGAATGGGTCCGGGCGCCAACAACAGCTGGGATAGCTGGGCCGCCGGTCTCCTTGCAGCTAGGCCGTCATATAGCTCTAGGAGGAGTGGATGCGGTATGGCGAACCGGTCGGAGTTTGGGGAAGGTGGAGCAGGTTGAGACGCTGGAGGTGCAAGAGCGTACGAGCAATGGAGTGTGAGAGCCTGGAGAGGGAAGGAGCCTGCGGAGGGAAGAGGAGAAGGCGAGAGAGAAGGGGAAGGAGCAGAGGGTGTGCGAGACGGCAGCGACAGTGCGGTGTGTTTCCAAGCTACGATGTACGACCAAGATGTGTCTGTTCGCGTGCAGTGCAGCTTGTACTCCGTAAGATGTGATGTATCCCATGGGAGTCGACCCGCTGTGCGGCAGGAGGGGCACAACTTTGTGGGCTGTGGGGCTAGACGGAAGGCGAGAGAGGAAGAGAGAAAAGTCAAGAGGAAACGAAAGAGGAAACGAAAGAGGAAACGAAAGAGGAATGAAAGAATGTCCAAAAAGGAAATCGATGCGCCGTGCACCCAGGAGGCGGTGGCAGCGACGCCTTGCAGCATCTGCCGTTTGGGATACAGTGGTCGGCAGCGGGCCAGTGACTGGTCAGTCATGGCCGGCAGATCCCCATGCAGCCGACTGTTGGGCAGAGGAGCCCTAGAGCGCAAGGACGCAAGAACGCAAGGGCGGTGGGCTCGTCTCATCCCTTCCCAGGCCGCTGGATTGGGGGCCGGCATGAACAAAAACGACACGAGTCGCCGCCCAAACGACAGGCTCCACCGCTGAAGACGGTTAGTCATCGACTTGCACCAGCTGCAGAGCACGGAGGAGGCACTCCGCAGGGAAGACGGTGTGCTTTTTTTTTTGTCGGAGGAGCACCGTCGATCTGCCGCTGGCTCAACGGGCCCTCTTGTCGAGACCAGACGCACGAGCAGAGTCTATCGTCCTAAGCATCGCGTCGCATCCTAGGGCTGATCCTGTCCAGACTAAGCTTGTCCGACGCAGCAGACACGGTCTGATTTGTCTGTTGTCCCGTCGATGCAACGCTTCCCAATCCGTCCATCTGTTCAGCCCTCTTCGGCTTGCCTCTGCGTATTTCGTCTACTCAGAAGGCCCTCCTCTGCATCCGTCTGCATCCCTCCTCGCCCGATTTGTCCACGACTGCGACCCTGCAATCTCGTATTGTCGGCGCCCTCGCTTTCCTCGCATTGCCTCTCAATCACACTCACTCTCACCCTCCTCTACATAGTACGCATCCCCCGTCGTACTTTGTACTCGTGCATACATAGTACATAGACCCATCAAATGCCGGCAAACACCCCCCGGTCGAACCGTCCCTGTCTCTCTGAAGGCGCGCTCTTGCGGTGAGCTAGGAACTCCGCCTGGACTCCTGATCGTCCCGCCTCTGACGCGTATCGGAGCTCTGCTTCTGTCTTAATGGCAACGACGTCGTCCTATGGCTCTGACTCTGGTTCGCGCTGCTCCTCTCCACAGTATCGCCGAGAGTGAGCTGGTGTATGGATGTTATTGGCGTCTCGTACTGCTTTTAGGTAATCGCTCCATGCATCGGACATATTCCTATTGCAGATAATTACTCGACAAGACCTCACCCATGCCGTGACTGACACGTTTATAAGATTGGCCGAGAAGTTCTGATCCCTTTTAGTAGTACTTCAAGCAATTTGATAGCCATGATTTTCTTGAGGCCCGTAGCCACCAGACGGTCTGCATCCCACATGACACAGCCGCAGTTTTCGAGTGGGAAGCCTTGCAGTATGCTACTGATGAATCCGTTGGGAGCTTTACAAGCGATAGTCCATGCCAACGACGGGTAGTCTGCGTCCGGATGGAGCATCACATGATCGCCATTGAAGGGCGGGTTGCTTTCGCATATTCGTAAATAAGCCTCTTCCACACCCTCCGGGACGCGTCTAGGAAAATCCAAAGGCCAGTCATCCTCTCGGTAGATTAGCGAGATGAACTTCTCCGTGCTGTGCTCCCATGTCAAAAAGGCCAGTATGAAGGTTAGGCCTTGTCTCGACAATTCTGCCAAATTGTCACACCTGTCCATAACTGTAAAGGAAATTGTCAGGACACAAAGCTATCAGCAAGCAGAGGGCAGACATGTCTTACCAACATGGTAGACTTTTTCCTGGAACTTTTTATCAGTAACTAATTTCTCGATGCTCCCATCCAAGAACTCAAAGACAGAAACTACTTCATGAAGATCCCAAGGCTTGAACATGTAAGCTATAGCTGGATCGTTGTATAGTTCTTCTATAAGCCCAGTGCGCACAGTAAAAAACCAATTATCCTTTGCATGGAAGAGGTTGAATAGCATTTGGAAGCGGTATAGCGCCCGCACGATGCGGCCAGCTTCCGAGGTGCTGAGCGGCAGGCGACAAGCCTCTGGATTTGTTGACCATTTCGAGGTCCCGCCAACGTCTAAAATCGCTTCGAACGAGTGATTGACAAACATATCCACGAGCGGCAGGATTGTCGTCATGTGGAACTTGGACATGGCACTGATGTTGTCAGGAGTAAGTGACGCAGGAGACAGGGAAAGTGATTCCGTGTTATCAGCACCATCAAAATCTATGCTGGCTTCACCGTCTGCGTTGTCTTCATCATCGTCAAACAGTTCCACGTCAAAGTCGCCAAGGCCAGCCTCCTGCCCGTAGGATGTGATGAGCTGTGTCACGGTAGCCGCACAGCATGTGCGCCGGAAATTCGCAGTGGACGACCGGTAGAGGCCGATGGCATCGATGTAGGCAGCGCCGAGACTTAGCGGCAACGACTCACGCAAAATGTGCTGGCGGTCGCCGGCGTATTGTCCGTAGAATATCGGGGATGCCATGGCCAAAGAGCGGATGTCGGGTAGCGGCAGGTTTGCGAGCACGTCGCGACGAACCAGCGATGGCAGCTGCTCCAATGGGCTGAGAGTGACGGCCATGTTGTCGTGCATCACATGAGTCGTAGGCGTTGCAGGAGTCGTGGGAATCGCAAGCCTGGCATGTTTTCGGGCAGCACGCACGAGTCTTTGCGAAGCACGCACGAGTCCTTCGGCGTCACGGACGGGCTTCTGAGCAGTGCGAAGGCGTCTGCGAGCATCACGGACGAGTTTCCGGGCATCACGAATGAGTTTTCGAGCCGCATGGGCAGATTTGCCATCTTCCATGATGAAATGGACCCTTCTTCGTAGGTTCTCAACGGTTGTCAAACGTTGTTTTAGAGATAAAATGAGGTAGGTCAAAGTTTTCAAGCAGGAGCGCGGTCGAACTTCGGTCCTTTGACATGTGTCCGTTGACAAGTCTCCAAACTCAAGAGATTTCACTCACTTGTTACTTTCACTTTCATTCACTTTGGCTCGTTCACTTTGACCTCTGATCAGGCCCACCGCCCCCTCACATTTAATACGAGCTTGCAGTACCTCCCACCGACCGGTACAAATGTCATGTCATTGTCGTCACAATAGCATAACTAGCGTACAGCCCAAATGCAAAAGTGATTCCGAGACGCTTTTTTCGTTTTCCCGTCCGGAGAACCACAAGCTGACAGTCGCAGGAGAGGAGAGGTAAAGAAAGAATGAGCAACATAAGACAGGCAAAGATTAGGCAAGTACGGCCGCGGAATGCCACGTATCGTCATCATCGTGATAAGACTGGAAAGAACCAAAGGAAGCAGGAGAACACATAAAGACGTAAAACATAACAACATGTAAAATGCAAACGCAAACGCAAACGCAAACGCAAACGCAAAGCAAGAATCGTCCAGAACACAACCTAAATCCCCCCTTCAATGTACCGTGCCTCAGGCATCGCGACGACGTCGTTCATGCTGACGTTGCTCCGGTTTGCCGCCACGCCTCCCGGAGTCGACATCATGCTTGGGCTCATGCCCCGCAGCAGGCTGACGCCGCCCGCGTCCGAGCTGGGCGTCGTCAGCCGCCGCTTGTCTTTGTCACCGCTGTGGCTGTCGGTGCGCGAGCCGGATCGCCGCACACCCTCCACCAACACCTGGGCCGGACAGACGACAATCTCGTCATCGCCATTGCCATCGTCGTCACCCTTCTTGACCACGAGCGGGAAGAGAACGATGCGGACGGGCACGCCGGCCAGACCCGGGTTCTCGTCCGGGCCGTGCGACTGCTCGTTCATCAGCTCCGGGTTGAAGGCCACCGTCTCGACTAGCTCACCGGCCGCGTCGTACTCCGGTTGCAGCGGCGGCAACATCATGTACTCGGCCCGCTGGCAGCGCATCTCCACCGACAGGTCCACGGCCTCGCGCACAACCCGCCGCAGCTGCTGCTCAATCTGCTCCTCCATGTGTGTTGGCGGCGGCAGAATCGTGCTCAGCGTCTGGAGCACCGCCTGCACCACCGCCTCTGTGTCGCGGTCACGCTGCTCGCGGAACGCCTTCTGCCGCATCAGCAGCGTCAGCGTCACTGCTCGCCATTGCCGCACGGCCGCTGCAGGGCCCACGTCCAGCAGCGTCTTCTCCAGCGACTTGATCTTCTGCCGCTGCTCCCGGTCCATTCCGAAGAGGTAGCGCGTGAAGACAAACTCCCACACCATGTACATCGTCATGGCCGTGAAGATGTCGCGCCGCAGCACTCGGTCACGCAGGTAGTCGTCCACGTCCGAGCCGTCCAGCACCGCATTGTCCAGCCGGTCCACCACCTTCTCGTCGTTGATCTCGGCCGTCAGCCGGCACGCCCGCATGTCTGAGAACTTGCTGAACCGCAGCACCCACTGCTGCACGTGAGCGCACAGCTGCTGGCACCGCCGGTCAAAGTAGTCCACGTCGTGGAGTTGCAGCAGTTCCGTGTCGGGCGGCTTCGACATCAACATCTGCGCCTGCATCACCCGGATCTGCTCCTGTGCCGCCAGCAGCTGCGACCTGAGCTGGGCAATTTCTGCGTCTTTTACGTGCAGCTCCCGTCGCGATGCCGCGTGCTCCATTTCCAGCTTCCGGGTCCGATCGCTGTTTTGCCGTGCCGACGAGTCGATGGCCGAGTTGAGACCCTCGTTCACCTCCTTCAGCCGCTTGACCTCCTTCTGCAGCACGTCCAACGACTTCTTCAACACCTCGATCTGTCCGTCCCGGTCGGCCAGCTTGCCCGCTACTCGCTGTCCGACCGAGCCGACCGAGACCTCCATCTGCGACCGCGCCTCCAGCAGCTGCCGGTTCTCCATCATCAACTGCTCCACCCGGTTCTCCAGTTCCATCACCTGCATGCTCTGTCGTCGCCGCATGCTATGCGGCCGTGTCGGTGAGCGCGGTGAACCAATCCGGCCCTCGCCAAACCCATCCTGTGTTCGAATCATCTCATTAGCCGTTGGTGGCCAGGAATGCGGGTCGGGAACAACCGAAGCGGGGAAGAGGCGGAAAAATAAAATAAAACAAAATTGGTAAAAAGGGGGAAAAGATGTTAAATACTAACATAAACGTCAGTCATGGACCCCTTCTCGCGGACCCTGCCTTCATTGGCGACAGGTGTGCTGTTGCTCAGGTTTTGCTCGTCCGGCTGACCACGCAGCTCTCTGCTGTTTTCCAAGGGCAAAGAGGCGGTGTGCGGTGGCGGCGCAAATTCCCCACTTCTGGCTCCACCGATGGCAGAAAGCTCCGTGCGTTGACTGAGGGACCGCAGGTCACCGCCAAATTGCTTGGACGCCCGACGCAAGGGCGGGGTTGCTGAGTAATCACTTCGTTGTACCGGCTCCGTGTTGACCCGCGTGAGGCTGGAATTGGACAGTGTCCGCAGTCCGTAGAATCCGTCCAAAGGCTGTGGCGACGCGCGGGTTTTGCGATTGACCACGATCGTGTTGTCCGACACGCTGCGCGTGCCTGTCTCAGCAGCCACGAGGGCAGTCGACGACCGGACGGCTCGGGGGATGCCCGATGGCAGTCCTGCAGTTCGGATGCTGTTTTTGCTGCTGGGCCGTGCAAACTGACCTGCTGACTGAATCGACTCAGCCGGCGATGTTCGGCCTGCTGGTGGCCCATGTTCGGGCCATTCGCGCATGTGGACGCCGCTGTCGCGCTGCTGCTCCCTCTCGCCCTGGCGGCTGAATTTAGCCAACGGCGACGGCGTCTCTGCGAAACCGCTGTCGCGATCGGTCCCGTGGTCCTTGTCGTGTGTCCCGTCGTCCTCGTGCGCCTCCTCCTGGACGGAAGGCAGGACTTTCGACCCCGACCGGCGGAGGTCGCCAGAGTTCGAATCTTGCACCAGCGTATGGACGATCTTCGGTGATGCAGCTGCCAGAATGGCTGCCTCTGGCAAAATCGATGGAGACGGTGCCAAGCCACCGAGCGTGCGCTTGGGTGTGTGGTACACATCACGATCCCAGTCCCGCGGTCCGTTCTGTGCCCTCTTTTCCGGCTCTGGAGTCTCCTCCTGTGCTGCCTGTGGCGACGGAAGGACTGGCCGCTTGAGCCGGTCCTCCGTTCGCGGTGTAGTCGCGACAAACTCCTTCTTCTTCAGCGGCGTGTGTCGCTGCTTGTCAGAGTCCCGGCGACCCAGGATCGGACTCTCGATCTCGTCGTCTTTGTCGTAGTCGATCACGTGCCGAGTGAGAACTGGCTCAACGTGTGTTCCGCCAAGACGGCCGTTCTCGTCAGACGAGTCCGAGCTCTTCTCTGTAAGCCTGCTGGGGCTGGCAACCCGCACAAGCTGCTCGTCTCCCGCAACTTCCACCTCCGTCGTCTCCTTCCTCCTCTTCTCATCGCTCTGTCCCACTTCCTCTCTCGTCGCCTCTTTCGTCTTCTCCACAGCCACCTTCGTATCGTCACTTTGCAACGGTGGTGGACTGACCTTTTTCTCTTGGGCTTCCTCCGCTGCCTTGGCCTCCGTTTCTGTTGTCTCCGCCGCCGCCGAGAGTTCGTCCTCGCCAGATTCGATCGCCGGGCCGAAGCCCGTAAGCAGCTGTGGCACGTAGCCTTCGCGGTCAAAGATGTCTGAATCCTGACGCGTCATCAACCCCATGTTGACATTGGGCGAGAGCACCGGCTGCTCCTCGTGGGGGCTGAGCCGAGGACTCAGCTCGTTCGTCTCGCTCGCGGGTTCGGTAACGGCCTGCTTCGGCAGGTGTTCGTCGGCATCGTCCAGGTCTCGATCTCGGACCGGATGGGCGGCAATTGGCTCGCCGTCTTCAACGTCCTTGGAAACAGATTCTGTAAGTTTTGGGCTCTTTAAACGCGACGTCAGGGCAGCCACCGTTGCGCCGGCGGCGGCAGTGGCTGCCACTGGCAAAGCTACTGCTGCTGCTTCTTCTTCTTCTCCTGCTCCGGCTGTACCAAGAACTGTTGGTGAGGCTGGCTGCTCCAAGTCCATAGAGGAAGACGGGACAAAGGCTGCTTCTCTCGTTTCTTGGATCTCCATTTCCTTTCCGCGGGGTTTGGTGGCGCCAGAGGAAGCAGGCGTCACCTCCTCTCCACCGGGACGTGCTGGGGCGGGGGGTGCATCTTCACCTTGCGGGGGGGACGGCGAAGCCGTAGCAGGCGTATCGCTGACCTGTGTAGGGCCCTGGAGAGACCGGTCCTCGTCCTCGGGCTCCAGTTCTGGCTGCAGAGAGCCGTCCTGATTCTTATCCTTCTGCTCCTTTGACGTCGGGTTGGCTCCGGTTCCTTCGGCCGGGAGGGAGGGCTTCGTCGATTGCGCAGGCGCTGTTGATTTTCCCCAGGGCCATGAGAATCCAGAACGCGCGGCTGGCTCGGCTGCCTTGGTCGGTTCGCTTGTCGAAGCCGGTGGGAAGGCGGCCTGCACCAGATCGGCCCAGCCCAGAGAACCTTTTTTCTTCGACTGCCGCTTTTCTGTCTTGGACAGCTGACGCGTAGGCACGACAACAGGCTGTTTTTCTTCCCGAGGGCCCTCCATGGCACCGGCCTGTGCCGACTCGACCTTTGTAGACTCCTCAATCGTAGCAGGCTCCTCGACCGTGGCAGGCTCCTCGACTGTAGTAAGCTCTTCGACCTTGACAGACTCTTTAACTGTAGCACGATCCTCGACCATAGCAGGCACGCTCTCGACTGGTAAAACAGTTGTCGCAGGCCCACTTTCTGCCGGTAGTTCGGCGCCCATTGCAGGCGTTGAAATGGCCTCAACTGTAGGTTTCATCTTGAGGTCCTCTGCAATGGCGGTGGACATCTGCTCGGGGCCAGGAGCCGGCCCATCAACAAAAGCAGCGTCAGCCGCTTGCGGCGCCACACCTTCAACGTCAGCGTCAGTCTTCGTTTCCTGTGCCTTCTTTGCTGCCCTCCTCTCTTTCTTGGACAGCTTCGGGCCCGGAACAACGACAGCAGCGGGCTCCTCTTCCACCTGGAGCTTTTCACGAGGTTCCGCTTTGCCGACCTCTTTCTCGTGAGCCTCCTTTCCACGAGGCTCCTCATCACGAGAATCTTCTCCACCCGCATCCTCTTCTCGAGATCCCTCTCCCGAACGGTGTCGAACTTCGTCTTGAACCTCTGCCGTAGCCTCAGGTAAAAGAGCTCTCTCGACCACGGAATCGGCGCGTGCCTCCTCCGCAGTCAGAGCCAGCTTCTCTTCCGAGTCGCCCGCCGTCGAATGACGCTCCTTTGATTCGTCGGCACCAGCTTCAGTTTCTTTCGACGGGATCTCGCTCATCTTCGCCGCTTCAGCTTCAACGTCAGCTACCGTCTCTGGCTTCTTTGCGGTATTCTCGTCCTCCTTCTTATCCTCCTTTGACAACTTTGGAGTTGGCGGGGCTGAGGCCAATAGGGGCTTCTTAATGACAGCCTCAACTTCCTGTCGGAAATCGTTGTCTTCCAATTCAGTCCACGATCCTACTGTCTTTTTTCTAGCCCTCCTCTCTTTTTTTGAGAGTTTCCGGGTAATCGGAGGCGTGTTGCTGTCGGCAGGAACTCCAACAGGTGCTGAAAGCTCAGATTCTTGGGGTTGGTCTTTCGAAAGAGTCTCTTCGTTGGCACCTTCTGCAGCCAGAGTCGGTTCCACCAGCAACACGCTTTCTACAAGGGCAGCATCGTCGTCTCTCGGCTGCTCAAGCACTGTGTTTTCATCAGATTGCACATCTCGAGACTGTGTCTCCACAGCTTCCTGTTCTGTGCTTTCGGACTTGGGTGCTTCGTTCTTGTTGTCCGTTTCGGCTTTAGCCTGAGGGTCAGCTCTCCGGCCTTCATCAGCACCACTCGCCAGAGCAGTCGGGGTTTCCTCCGCTAGCAGGCCATCTTTGGTAGTGCCCTCAAGCTCGGCATCCTCAGCGAACTCTGCCAGCTGCTGTGCCTTTCTCCTGGACCGCCTCTCTTTCTTTGACAATTTCGGAGTAGGCCGCTCAGAAATAGAAGACAGTTCCTCGGTCGGTAAAGCCCTAGGAGTCTCCAATACTGCCTCAGGCCCCTGCTTGATTTCAGGCCCCTTGCGAGAATCAGTGGCAACCTCTGTCGAAGGATTGTCCAAAGGCTTAGACTCAGTTGTTTCCTCGACATTGAGCGGCTCTGCAGCCAGGTCTTGCTGAGCTTCTTCCGCAGATGCCTCGAGTGCCGGCACAGTCTCGTCGACGATATGGGAGGTGTCTTGGCTGATAGGTGTCGCAGCAGATTCAGCAGCAGTTTCCTTGGCTTCTGGTGATGCTTTCGCTGTTTTGGAGGCCAACTCCTCCTGTGTCGCCACGTCGCCTGCTGCTAGACTACCCTCATTCTTCTTGTCGCTCTGGGGGCTTGGGGCAGCGAGAAGATCTGTTGCGGGCATGGGCTCTGTGACTTCCGTGGTTGAGCTCGGTCCACTCGTGTCCACATCAGCAGCTAACTCTAATGGTCTCAGGGTCGTGTCAATGTCTCTGAAAACGTGGCTAGCAGATTGTGAAAACTCTGGTTGCTCGGTAGCCTTCTCAATCACGTCACCCGGGAGCTTTGACTCTTCAACAATGACAGGCACAGAGCCATCAATCTCAGACACAGGAGCCTTGACTTCAGTGGCCGGTGCAGACGCATCCGGGCTTGCTGTCTCGTCCTGCACACCCTCCTGTTGCTTGCCCTTCCTCTTCTTCGCCTTCTTGAGATGCACAGGGTACACATCTGAAGCCTCGGACTCCAAAACAGGCGAGCGGGTACCAGTGGCTCCCTCATCTTCAGCAGAGAGAACTTCCACTTCGTCAACAGTTTCGGCGTGTGTCGCCGTTTCAGGAGATGCCTCCTTCGCGGAAGTCGGCTCCTCTGGCAGAGCAACCTCCGTTGGCTTGACAAGATCGACAGATGGCTCTGTACTGGCGAGTTCAGAAACAGGGTCAGCGTCGCTGGGGAGGACATGGACATCCTCTTTGGTGGTCTCAGTGGTCTTGATGATTTCCTCGACGGCAGCAGGCTCCTTCAAATTCTCCTCCTTTGCAGTCGTAACCTGAATATTGTCATCCTGCGTTTCTTCCACAACAGGCTGCTCGTTATCCGGCTGCGTCGGCTCTTCCGAATGAGCAGCCGCTTCACCATCGAGTGCACCAGCCAGAAGAGAGGTCTCCGGCGCAATTTCTTCCGAAAGCTTCACTGGCTCCGGCTGCTTCTCTTCCACGCCTTTCTCCAGATCCTTCTCCTCGGGCGCCTGCTCTTCCGGCAGTGGGAACTCGCGCACGGCATTCACCTCTTCCACAGTGGTCGGGACTGCCTCGATGGCCTCGCTTGCTCCCACAGGATTACCTTCGATGGGCACATCCTCAGACGGCGCAGCTCCGTGCAATACCGGCTCAAGGGCGAACGAAATATGGGAGTCCTTGAGATTATCTTTCGTCTCAGGGCTGCCGGCACTGCTGAGATCGGCTTGTTCGGGCGAATCTGTCGTTTCGGCCGGTGTCACTGCTCGGTCGGCGGAGAAGAGTTCTGTCGGCTCGGTCGTGTCAACAGCTTCAGATGCCGTGGTGTCGACCTGCTTTCCTTTGCCTTTCCTGCCCTTCTTGCTCTTCTTCAGTGATATCGGTGAAGAGGGTTCAGCAGCGGGTTCCGTCGACTGGGACGAATCGGCAAGCTCTGATAACGGCACAGGCTCGATGGATTGGGAAGGAACGATGATCTCCGCTGGCGTCGCTGGAGAGGCAGGTTCGACCGACTCGACAGGAAGGACAGTCTCAGAGGTTACTGCTGGTTCCGTAGGCACGGCCTGCTCGACTTTCTCGCCAGTCTCCGCTTGCCCAAGCTGTTCCTGCCGGTCTGTCTCTGAAGGCCTGACAGTCTCGGACCCAGACACGGAGTTGATGTCAGCTTCCAAGTTGTCTAGTCCTCGTCGGCGAATGCTTGACGGCTCTTGCCCTTTTTGTCCTTTGTGTTTTTCTTGCTCTTCTTGGACGTCATTGGCCATTCGCTTTCGTTCGCGACGGTTGAGGAAGGTACGTCAGGCAGCACCGGATCAGCTGACTCGTCTTGGGAAGCTGCCTCTGTCTTTGTTGTTTCTTCGACCGTTTCGGCCGCCTTGTCCTCCTCGACATCGATAGCTTCGACTGGCACAACAGCTCCAACTGGTTCGGCAGCCTCAACAGTCTCTGCAGCATCCACAAGTTCAGTCGTGGTCTTGTCTTCTGCATCGTCTTCGGAGATAGAGGCCTCCAGGCTTTTGCCCTTTGTCGGCGTTGTGGGCAGTTCGGTTTCAGCAGCGGTAGTTTCGAGAGTTTCAACAGACCCGACGGACTCTATGACTTTGATGGGCTTTGTGGTCTCGATAAGCTCTGTGGTCTTGGTAGGCTCGATTGTCTTGACAAGCTCAACAGCTTCGGCAGGCTCGGCGAGGTTGGTTTCAGTGGCCTCTTCGCTTTTCACAACATCCGTGAGGTCAGCTATCTCGGTGCTCTCGATTCGTTCGACAGGCGCAGCAAGTTCGACAGTTCCCCTTGGTTGACTAGCCTCCTCGAGTTCGATGCCTTCAGCAGCGTTGACTGCCTTGATGGGTTCGGCAGTATCCACAGGCTCGATCTGCTTGACAGGTTCCGCAACCTCCTCAGCCTTGGCAGTCTCGACAGCCTCGACAGCCTCGACAGCTTCGATAGGCTCGACGGGCTCGAACGCCACCACACCCTCCACAGATTCGGCAACGTCCTCGACTGGCCCCACAAACTCCGCTGGCTCCGCTGGCTCCGCAACCTCGACAGTCGCATCAGTGGAGGATCCAGCGACTGTGTTGTCCACAATAGCGTGTTCAAGAACCGTTGTCGGGTTTTCGTCGCCCTTTTTATCTTTTTTATCTTTCTTTCCCCTCTTCGAATTTTTCGTCAGGTTGGGCCATTCGCTCTCAGCTGCGACACGTTCATCCACAGTTTCCCAGATGGGCTCGACAACAGCAGCCCTCCCGCCAGCAGACAGCCCTTCACCCGGCGGCGCTGCTGCTTCGACCAACGCTGGGAGCTCTTCGACTGGTGTAGCAAATTCGGCATTGGTAACTGCGTCGTCCGCGGTTCCTTCAGTTGCAGCAGCTTCCGCTGCAGCGACAACGGCTGTGGCTGCGGCTGCTGCTGCGGCTGCGAGTCGCTTCTGCTGCTTCTTCGCCTTCTTGCCTTTCAGCTTCACGACAGGAAAGTCATGGTCGACGGTGTCCCGCTCCCCAATTGCATCAATAGCCATCTTCAATGGGTCTATGGTGGCATCACTGGCAGCGGGGGTAACTTGTTCCACGTCGCGGTCAGTTGCCGTGTGCGTATGGTCGCCTTTCTCGTCAGTTGCCGCTTTGGTTGCACTTGGCAGCTCGACAAGATCCACGGCGGGGGGGACGACCTGTTCGGGCTCAGGTGGCTGCGGGCCAGTGGGAGCACTGCCAGAGACGTCGGTGTTGGCCACGTCGTGGAAGAAATCCGGGTCCTGGCTTTCGCTTGCCTTGGCCTTCTCGGCCGCATCGACCGACTCCTCAACCGCCACACCCACCGAAGAGATGGGGGAATCCTCTCCATTGGGTGCAGAATCTTCTGGCAGCTGCACGCCCCGGTCGATGGGCGCCAACTCGCCAGAAGCGGTGTCCACTGTCGTGCTCCCAGCTGTGGGTTGCTGCTGCGTGTTGGCATTGCCTGATTTGTCGGTACTGGGGACGAGCAGGGGCTTGGGCTCCGCCGTGGCTGCAGCACTGCTGCCAGGCCCACTCTTCTTGCCGCTCCCAAAGAGGCCAAGTGTGGGCAGGAGAGGCCTGGAGGACCGCTTTTCCAGGGCTGCCGACAGGGTTTTGTCGCCTGCGGGACCAACGACTTCGTCCCCGGTCTGGTGATCCTCTGCGATCGGCAAAACGGCCACAGCGACCGTAGGCTCGCTCGAGTCACCCGAGTCCGCCACAGGGATGACGGCAGGGGTCTCTTTCTCCGCTGACGCTTCCGGCATCTCTCCGACCGTCACGGCCCGATTGTTGCTGTCCTTCGCCAGGCCCGAAGGCGTCTGAGATTCTGAGACACTCTGGTTCTTATTCGGGAAGCCGCTCTCTGTCTCTGGTGTCTGAATGGCGGAAACGTGGTCTTCGGAGGCGACTATCGTCTCCACAGCAGGCCCAGACTCATCATCGAAGTTTGAGTCAGACCGGACGTCTTTGATGGCGGAAGGTTCCTGTCGCTTCAGCAAGACTGTGGACTTCTCAGTCGGCTCCGTCTCGGCGAACATTCCGGATTTAATGATTGCAGGAGCTGTGCCGCCAGCCTGGGAGGAAGTTTCTGGCTCGGTCAAATGGAGAGAGCCCCTCCTGCCTTTCTTACCTTTCTTACCTTTCTTCTTTTTTGTAGGCGTGGCGGACAAGACTTGCTCCTCGGCAGCTGGTAGAGGGACATATTCGGAAACGAGTTGCTCAACAGACCTTCCGTTGTCTTCTGTCGTCACTGGCTGGTCCTCAGCCGACTCATCGGTTCGTACAGATACACCCTCCGGTGCAAGGCGCTCGACAGATTTTCCCTTGTCAATGGTCGCCTCTGCAATCGGTTGCTCGGTGTCTGGCTCTTCGATAGGCAACTCGTCGACTGGGAGAGGCACATCCTCCGGTGCCAGTCGCTCAACCGGCATGCCCTTGTCAACGTCCTCGGCAGCGAGCTCTGCCGGGAGTATGGCCTCCTTGGCCAGCTCTGGCTCGACAATTTCGACGCTGGGAATGGGCAAATCGTGAGTCTGTTCGAGAACAGGCGCCTCTTTCTCGACCGAATCTGTTTCTTCTTCCGCAGCAGCCTCTGCAGACTCTGAGGCCGCAGTCTCGAGCTTCTCATCCTCACGACCAGCTCCCCAAAGGCGGTTAAGAGTGGGAGCAAAGGCGGCAGCAATGCTCTGAGCGATACCGCCAGAGGCAGGACTTGCAGAAACAACATCGTCGGCAGATTTTCTGTCGATCTGATGGCCATCTTCTGCGAGCTGTGGTGCAGGAGCGGACATCGGGCGCTTGGGCTCAGGCTCAGTCTCCTCAACAACAGTTTCGCTCAAGGCGAAGACGTCGCTGCGACGGAAGTCATCCAGCGAATGTCGAGCGGTCTGCGGTGCGGAGGCAGCCTTGTGACGGGCAAGGACGCCGTCAGTGCTGATGTCGCGATGAAGGGAATCAGACGAATAGGCCGGGCTCGTGCGCGGCCTCGTCAACGGCGGTTCGTCCGCATCGGCCTCTGGCGTTGCTCCGGTGGCGGCTCGAGCTGCAGCCGAAGCGGCCTGAGCGGCTGCATAGGCATTCAGCTGCTGCGTCAGGGCATTGGGGCTCGGCAGGCTACGGCGGTGAGCTGCTCTGCCGGTCATGGCGGCACGGGCGAGGGCCTCACGCAGCGGTGACATGTCGGCACCGGCCGGAGCGCCAATGGGAGCACCAAAGCTGGCGAGTCCCCCAAGACTGCGGCGGAAGGAAGCAGCAGCACCAGGAACGCTGGAGCCGGCGGGGACGGTCGAAGGGGACACAACCGGGGGGCTGTTGTAGCCGCTGTTGGGGCTGGTGGCGATGCCGAAAGCTGAAGCGACGACGTCGGACTCGGGCAGCTGGCCAGAGGGACTGATCTGCTGAACCAGGCGCAATGGCTTGAGGTCGCGGCTGCTGTCCCACGACATGCGCTTGTGCGAGATGGACGACAGCTCGGGGACGCTGCCGATACTGACAGCAGCGGACGAGGACGGTGAGCCGATGGGCGACGAGGGCGAGGCAGCACGCGGCGGCAAGACGTATTTGATGGGCACGGCCGTCGGGCTGGAGGCAGCGGTCGACGGACGGACCAGCGAGCTGGAGCGACGTCGAGAAGCGGCGGCAGCTGAAGCAGCCATGGTCTCGCGGATGAACTGCTCGAGCTCGCGTTCGCGGTGCTGCTCGGGATGGTCGCGATCAGGTGGCGTCTCTGGACGGCTGGGCGGCAGGCTGGGAAAGCGGAAGCCTTGGTCGTTGTCGTCGTCATCGACGTCGTCGTCATTGCTTCCCCTGTCCTTTTGGCCTTCATCCTCGTCATTTCCGGCCTGTTCTGACTTTGTGTTCTCGTTCTTCTTCTTGCTCTTCTTCCCGCTGCCGCCACCCAAATTCGGTAGCTCAATCGGCGGCGATCCAGGTTGGCTGGGTGGCAGTGGCAGCAGGTCTCCGTGGTAGGGGTCGATGGCCGGGCGGATGACGCGCTCGATGATCTCAGGGTCGACGACGGTGTCTGAAGGCGCACGATTGTGGGTGGAGGGGTTGGCAGATTCCGAAGCGTCCAACTCGAATGCTTCGACCTCGACTGCATACACTGCCTCAACAGATCTCGATCCACCGACAGACTGCTGGGCTTCGACTTCAACCTTTCTCTCCTCCTCGACGGGCTCCAACTCAGGAACGGCCCCTCTCTCTAGCTCCTTTTTCTCCGAAGGAGCGGCGGCGGCTTTCGCGCGAGCATACACGGCGACGGCAGCTGCTGTTGCTGCAGCGGCCACAGTCATGCCCGCAGAGCCGACACCCGCGCCAAGGGTGCCGGCATTAGCTAAAAAAGACGGCTCCTCATCGGCCTTGCCGTCCGCCCTCCTTTCTCGATCTCGATCTCGATCTCGGCCATTGCCATCGTCGACGCCAGGCTTGGCCACTGCAGCAGCTGCCTCTCGCCGCTTCTTGTCCTTCTTCTGCGCCTTGGACAAGGCCGGCTGCGAGTCGCCAGCTGGTGGCACGACGGCCGTCTCCAGCCTCTCCTTCGCTTCTTCCCGGCGTTGCCGCAGCTTCTTGCTGCGACCAGACCGCACCGTCACTGTCGGGCCGTCTCCCAGGGCCGTCTCGGACACGATATCCTGAGAGTCATCCGACGAGTCTTGAAGCCTCGTCGCGGGGCTGTTGCTGGGCGGCGAGGCCGGCTTCTGTGGCCAGTACTTGGGGTCGGTCACAATGTCGCTGTGAAAGCCGGACGACTCCAGGCTGGCGCCCATCAGGGCTGCAAATTCCAGATCAACGGCGGGCTCGGAATCCTGCGTGGCTGTGGTGGCGGTCACAACACGCTGGCTCTTCCGAGGCATCGTCATCGGCTTGCTGGCCGGTGAAGGCGGCATTGGAGCCATCTCGCCGTCGTTGTCGTCGGGAAAGGCCCCGATGTCGACGGGGCACCGTGGTTCGCGCTCCGTCTCGGGCGAGACATCGTGGGCGATGGGGCTCTCGATGCGGCGAGAGAGGGGAGCTTGTGGCAGGGACTCAGGCTGGATCTCGGGCTGGACCTCGGGCTGGACCTCGGTCTCGTCCTTTTCCTCGACTTCCTTGGTACCACCAACGGCAGTCGCAACAGTGGCCGCAGCGGCAGCCCCAGTGGCAGCGGCAGCGCCGAGGATGGCGGCCCAACCGGACTTCTTTACCGGCTTGACGGGCGGCTTCTTTTTCTTGGCGGCGGTCGACTTTGGTGCCGCTGGTGTGTCTTCTTCAACGACAGCAGAGACTTCCCGGACGATCTCGCCGCGGGGACCAATGGCGACGACAACAGGCTCAGGTTCGGGCTGGGCTTCCTGGACCTTTGGCACCGTTGTCTCGACCTCTCTGACCGGTGTCGCCGGCGCGGCTGCACGAGCCAGCTGCCTCTCCAGGCTGGGCGATGGCTCGGGCGTGGGCATGACAATATTGAGCACGGGTCGGTCTCGCTCGCAGGACGGGTCACGCGACTTGAACATTGGCAGCGTCACGGACCGACGACGGCTGCGATCCCAGGTCCAGGGATCCTCGGCGACGATGGAAGCCTGAGGATTGGTGGTGGACCGAAGGAGGAAGCGGCTGAGGTCACGCGGGAAGATGTGGTTGTCGATGCGCACGTCTGCATCTGGGGCATCATACGGGCTCTTCTCCTGTCGCCGGACCATCTCGGGCGGCGTGACGATGCGGATAACCTCGGGGGGTCTCTTGGGCGTGGACGGCACATCGTCTTCCGAGTCGTCGATGACAGGTCTGTTCTCAGCTCGCCTGCGACTCCCAGACCCTCTCTCACGGCCCTCATATTTGTCGACGACAGAATCTTCGGGCGAGGTGCTGCGGGAGCGGATCTCCTCCTCGGCCAACCGGCGGGCCAACGTCGTGGTGCGGTAGTAGAGATCGGCCTCTTCGCGGATCTCGCGTTCGGTCCGGCCGTCTTTGTCGCGCGAGGCGTCGCGGCTGTCCTTGCGGCCACGCGGCGGCTCGCGCTGTTTCTCGCGCTCCTCACTGAACACCATGGACTCGGCCACGGCGATGGCGGCCCGGTCGATGGGCGCAGTCGATCGTTGCGTCCGCTCCAGCACAGTCTCGCCGTCGTCCAACTCGGAGCGTGCCAATCCACGGCCTCGCCATTCTGTTGTCTCCATCTTCGTTTCCGTCTTTTCCGTCTTTTCCGTCGTCTCCGTCTTCTCCAACTTCTCCGGAGATGCTGCTCGCGACGGAAGTGCCGACGGCACATAGGCGCTCGCATCGTCGTCGTCTGCCCACGACGGCCCGTCGACCGTGACAATGTTGGGTGTGGACGACTGCTTCGACGAGTCGTATTGGGCCGTCTGCAAGGTCGCGTCTGTCGCATGGAACTGGAACTGGAGCGGATCAACGGACACAGCCTCGATCTTTGGCTCTTCCGGCAGCTGCTCGCGGTCGCGCTGCCGCTTGGCTTCGCGCAGTTCAAACTCGCGCACGACCTGTCGACGGTGCTCGACCTCGCTGTCTAGCTCGTGGCCGCGGCTGTCGCTGTCGTCCGAGTCGGGGCTTTTGCTCTGGGCCTGCAGCTCACGATGGCGCGCCTCGTCGCGCTCCTCAAACTCGCGCTGCAGCTCGCGCAGCCGTTCAGACTCGCTCCTCACGTACTCGCGCACCACCTGTCGTCGCAGCTCAAGCTCGCGCTCCATCTTGCGTCTGTGCTCGCTGTCGTCATCGTCATCGTCATCGTCGCCATCGTCGTGGCTATGGCGCTGGCGTTGAAGCTCAGCCTGCTTCTTGCGCTCAGCTTCGCGCTCGGCTTCACGTTCCAGCTCCAGCTGCTTCTGGCGCTCGCTCTCCCGCTGAAGCTCCAGGTCTCGTTGGCGTTCCAGGTCTCGTCGACGTTCGAGCTCGGCCTGTCTCTCTCGCTCCAGCTCGGCCTCTCTCAGGCGATTGCTCTCGCGCACGCGTTCCTGTTCACGTTCCCGTTCACGTTCCCGTTCCCGTTCTCGTTCGCGTTCACGTTCGCGTTCGCGTTCACGTTCACGTTCACGTTCGCGCTCGAGATCACGTTCTCTCTGGCGTTCAACCTCACGCACACGCTCCCGCTCCCGCTCGAGATCACGTTCTCTCTGACGTTCAGTTTCACGCACGCGCTGGCGCTCTCGCTCGAGATCGCGCTCCTTCTGGCGCTGGCGCTCCTTCTCGAGGTCGGCTTGTCTCTGGCGCTCCGTCTCACGTTCGAGATCAAGCTGCTTCTGCCGTTCAGCTTGGATAAGCCTCCGACGCTCAGTCTCGCGTTCAAGATCGACCTGCTTTTGCCGTTCGGCTTCCACAAGCCTCCGACGCTCCGTCTCACGTTCCAGATCGGCCTGCTTCTGTCGTTCGATTTCCACAAGTCTCCGGCGTTCGGTCTCGCGTTCGACCTCGGCCTGCTTCTGTCGTTCGACTTCCACAAGTCTCCGGCGCTCCGTCTCCCGTTCGATGTCGACCTGCTTCTGCCGTTCAATCTCGACGACTCTCCGTCGCTCGGTCTCACGTTCAACCTCGACAACTCTACGCCGCTCAGTCTCGCGTTCAACTTCGACAACTCTACGCCGCTCACTCTCTCGCTTGACGACGTCCTCGTCAAAGACACGCTTGCTCACGGGCACCACCGGCTTGGGTGACTGCAGCTCAGCCGAGTCAACGCGACTCCGACGAACCGGCGTTTCCACGACTGCAGCAGTCACGGCCGCCACCACAGCTGCACCGGCAGTCATGGTCAGTGGCGTGCCTATGCGGCGACGGTCCCGTTCGTGGTCGCGAGTCTGGGAGCCGGTTTGGCTCGGCGGCGACGTCTGCAACTGCTGCGAGACGCGCACGCTCTGCTCGGAATAGCGTCGTCTGCGTGTCTCCACGTCGCTGTCGCCAAAGCCACAAGGACGTGTCACGTGACCACGCAGCGAGTTCACGGGCCCAAACAGCCGCGGATCGACAATGGACGATTTGGTGCCAGCATAGTAGGATGTGGTTGCCAGGGTGGCAGCAGCGCCAGCGGTGGCAGCAGTGCTCGTCGTCGTCGCAGCAGGCGGTCCGGCGGAGGTTCCCGGCAGACTCACACCGGATCCATACGCCAGTCCAGAGTCGGCATCAGACGAGGAGTCGTCAGCCTGATGGTGGTCATCCTCAACGTGGTGGCCATAAGTGGAAACAACACCAAAGACGCTGTCAGTGAGCGAAGAGTCGTCACCAGAGTCATCCGAGTCGTCGTCCGATGCCGACTCCCACTCAGATTCGTCGGGCGAATGGGTGTGAGGTTGCATAGCTGACAGGCGATGCGGCCGGGAGGCACCACCACCGCGACGGCGGCCCTGGCGCTCCATCTCGGCAGCCAGCTCGTCGGCCTCCTGGTCCGACAGATCCAGAGTCGACTGAGGCCGGTTGCGCCGTCGGGACTGGCGAAGCCTGTCGACCGCACCGGCACCAGCAGCAACAGCTGCAGTGGCCGTGACCAGGCGACTGGGTGGCCGGCGGCCGTGGCGAGCGAGATCGTGGCGGTTGTCTTCACGAGCCAGCATGGCCAGCTCGCGGCCGATGCGGATGATCTCCTCGTCGTCGGTGGGCTTACGACTGGGCCCAGACGTGGCGGCGGCTGCTGCAGAAGCTGAGGCTGTGGCTGCAGGCAGCGATGGACCGCTGCCGTAGGCGAGGCCCTCGAGGTCTTCCAGGCTTGCATTGGGCTGACCAGCCGGTCCTCCGTTCTGGTCGTCCTCTGGCGGGCCGCGTGGCCGGGGAATGTAGCCCTTGCCGTAAAAGAGGCCATCATCGAGGGAGGACGAGCTGCTGTTGCCGAAGCGAAGGAAACGGCGCCGCTTGTTCTTCTGGGCGCGATGCTCTCGGCGCGAACGACTGTGGCTGCGCGTGCGGGCAGGACTGCCCTTTTTGAAAAACGACATGATGCCCTGGACGGTTGTGCGAGGGGCCGAGATGTTGAGCAGCGACGAGGATGTCGACGAGTCAGAAGACGAGAGCGACGAGGTCGAGTCAGCCCGGAGACCGCGAGTTGTCGTGGCTGTCTGCGAGTGTAAAGCGTGAGCGTTGTGGCCATTGTGGCCATTGTGGCCATTGTGTCTAGCAATGGGAATGGTGCCGCTGCCACTGCCAGCACGCGCAGCAGCATAGTAGAATTCGGCACTGCCGCCACGCTGTGGTGGAGGCATTGTCCTGTCGCGGTCACCGAAGCCAAAGCCAAGGCCGGCAGCAGCCGATTTGGGCGAGGCTGGCCGTCGGCGGGGTGGCGATCGCGGCGACGATGTGGCCTGTGGAGACGACCGTCGTCGCGTCCTCGGAAGGGTGTGCTGTTGCTGCTGTTGCTGCTCTGTGTCTGGGTATTGTGGCTGCTGCCAGTAGCTGTCGCGTCGGTCACGCGTCTCGTAATCGGCCGTCTGGCTGTGTGTCTCGTTTTCCGGCCGCTTAAATTCCGGCTGTTCGTGATTCTGTCCGTAGTCTCTCTGTCCGTATTCTGGCTGGCCATACGGCTGGTCATACGGTCGGTCATAGCCGTCCTGTCGCCGTCGCGTCGAGGATGGTGCCGCCGCTGCCTTGAGGGCCTCGTCCGATCGCCGCCGGTCTTTGCGCCGGCTCCGGCGGACGTTGCCGTCGGGGCTCCGGCGATGCGCGTCACGCGTCATCATGGCCGCAGCACCTCAGGCGGAAGTGGTGTGTGTGGATGTATGTCTGTGTGTCTGCGTCTGCGTTCGTATCTGCGTGTCTGTAGGTATCTCTCTCTCTCTCTCGGTTGGGTACTGTTGGGCGGTCGATGAATGTGTCCGTGTCTGGATCAATATGTTTGTCGGAATGGAAACGTGTCGTTTGCGTCGGGTCGGACCCCAATCATTCGTTCGTCTCGATCCGCTCCGTTCGGTCGCTCCGTCGTCAACGGCTCAGGCGATGCACCCCGTCGGTCTCTCGTCTGCGATGCTCTCGCGAAAGAACGTCTGCCGGCGAAATCGTGCGGCGGAAGCTCCCTCGATCAGCCGGTCCGATCGTGTTGACTGATCAAAGAGACAAGAGAAGGTAAAATCGGATGGGGAACAAGATGAAAAAACAACATGGACAATGTTTGTTTTTTTCCTCTCGGGCTCTCAGCCAAAACAAGGTCCCCCTCCCAGAGGAAACAAAACTACACCAGAATGGGCGACAAATTTGGGTGGCTAGTTTTTTTCCGGGTTGGCCTTGCTTTGCTCACAGAGTGCTGCTGCTCCCGCACGCTCGCTCTCTCTCTCTCTCCCTCGAAGAATAAGCGGTGGCTGGGGAAAGGGCCAGGCGATGGGGCCGCCAACTGCCCTTCAGCTGCAAGAGGCGCAACAAGAGAAACGGTATCTTTGTCTGTGTGCATGCGGCAGCTGAATGGTCCGCACCACCATCCACCACATCCACACCCATGCATCCTAGCCACTGGATCCACTTTGCCAATTTGCAACCCAAGGGAGCAGCGTCTTGCTCCGTTCAATCTCTCTCTCAATCTGAGCAAATCACATGCCGAGACACGTGTTCTTGTGGGCCCGTCCTCCCCGAACGAGAGGCCGCCAAATGAAAAGGTTGTCTGACGTGCAGAAGTCTTGTCTTGGACCAGATTCTCGCTGCCTGCTAGGACTCAGCGCCCGCTCTATCGATATGCACTGTAGATGCAACGAGATTGTCCCAGTCTTCGCCAATCTACTCCCTACTCCTCCCAATCTGCTCCCCTCCGCCAGCCGCCGTCCCCGTCTTGCTGCTGCTCCCGTCGTCCTCGTCTTCCTGTCGTGATCATCGCCGATTCATCGATTGAGCACCGCGCTAGCACCAGCGGGAGCTGTTGTTGGCCTGCGCTAATAAACAGTTCGCCGGCCCCTAAAAAAGGGACCTTCGTCCCCGTTTGCCGCCGTCAGTTTCACTCTTTCACCCCATCAACGGCTCAGTCCGCCCCGAAGATCAGTCAGCATCCACCAAAACCAACAATCTCCACCAATTTCTCTCCCTACTATCTCGTCCGTCTTTCTTCCCTCTCTCCCTTCCCTCTAGCACACAACCGTCCCCCAGACAACACAAAGACATAGTAAAAAAAGAGGGTATCTAATTTCCAAGGTGTCAGTTCCAAAGATGCCCTCCAGTTCCCCCAGAGGTTTTTTTCACCAGTGCGGCGGCCAGTGCCTTCTATCCTCCAAATGCCATCAACGCCTCATCTGCCCATATGTCAATGATCGGCCCGTCCATCTGAGAGAGGACCGAAAGCAGTAAATGTAAAAGCAAAACCCCGGCAAACGTAGACAAACACCCTATCAGAACAATAATATTATCGCTGTGCATCCCAGCACCGCTGCCACATGCACGTCCCCTCGTCGTCAATAATCATCATCGGAGAATGTAAATCGGTCCAAAAATATAGAAAAATGATGTAAGAGAAAGTGGTAAAGCGGAGGTGCAGCACGGCTGGTCGCCGAGCCACGGCAAGATTCCTCATCAGATACGTCGGTCTACAATCTGTCCGGCTTCCAGAAGCGCAATCATGCCATCGAGACTGGTCTGCTTTGCATACGGCGGCAAGACTGCAGACACAGCCGTCGGTTCTGCAGAGCCCACCGCCGTCACCCGTGCATCATCTGTAATGGCTGGCAGAGGACTGGACGTACGGCCTTGGTTTGTCAGTGGCTACTCTTGGGGCTGCAATACCGCACAGTCTGCTTCAGTGATTGGCAGTGGGATGATACTGACCGCCCCCGTTGACGTGTGCGATGCCCAGAGCCACATGGTCCTTGTACGATGGCGCGTGGCCATCCGTCACTGATGCGTAGGGCCGCGGGGGCGGAGAATAGGTGTGCGTGGGTGATGCAGGCCCCGCCGTCTGCACCTGCGGCGACGAAGACACCAGTCGTGCCGAATGCGGAAGAGAGAGGGATGGATGGCGGTGCTGGTGCGAATGCGACGGCGGTGGCGGAGAAGGCGATGGCGGTTTGCCCGACAGCAGAGCATGGATTGGCAGAGATCCGTCCAGTGGCGTTCTCGGGTAATTGCTGCTCACTGACGATGACGACACCGTGCTGATGCTGGCACCCGAAGACCCCTGGTCAAGCCGGAGCATCGACGGCCGCGTTTCTGCCGCCATCCCAACAACACCGGTGAGGCCTGGAGGCGGTGGAATCGGACTGGCCGAACCAGCCGACGACGGCGTGAGACCGCTTGCCGGCAGTTGTCTGTTGTCGAACATGTCTGAGAGCGACGGCAGACTGAGCTGACTGGTATTGGCCGGTGCCTCTCCCACAGACACCGGCTGCGCTCGCTGCTGCTGCTGCTGCTGGCCGTCCGATGCCCAGGTTGCCTTTCGGCTAGGCGGCGGACCAGCTGCAGACTCACGCGGACTCATACTCATCGGTCTCGGCGACCAGTCCGCATGCCCGTCTGGCCCATGTCCCTGGTGTGGTGAACGCATGGAGACGTCTACTAGCGAGTCATGTGGACCTGGTGTCGGAGAGGCTGATGAGTAACGCATATCCGAGGCAGACACGGTAGATCCAACTCGGCGCTCCCGTCGCGATGGAGGATGGGGAGTGTCTCTGTCGTGCTGTCCGTCCGAGCTGCTCACGGATTCGCTCGTCGTGGCACTCCTTTCCCGCTGTCGAGACTGCTGCGAGTGTGCCGGTGGCGATGCTGAGGCGGCAGAGGATGACAGCTGCGACGATGCGCTGCTAAAGTCAGACAGTTTGATCCTTTTGAACGCATCTTTTTCCAACACGTCAGCTTCTTCGCTCGGACCAAGCATGAAAATTGGACAATAAAACGCCGTACTAGCAATGGCCGGTAGCGAGGCTATTCAACAAGCTGAAAAGTTCACGACCCAACCCGATGAAAAGATAGCAGGGTGTACCGGTCGCGGGTAAGAAATAAGACACACCTTGCGTCTGGTTAGAATGCCTGGCTTTAAACTCCTGCAGATACAGTATGTATCTCTGGTACTCGGGCGTCTTCTTGTACACAACCATGGCGTGGTTGTACTTGTCCTTTGCAGCTTGAGCCTCCGTCTCGTAAGGCTTTCGCTCTGCCGGCGTCAGCGTCTGCCAATTTTCGCCAACCAGCTTTGCGATCTCGGTAAAGGACAGGTTCTGTCCCTTGAGCTTCTCTCGCATCTCTATAATCCTTGTCAGCTCGTCTAGTGCCGGTTGCTCGGCTTGGGTAACGTGACTTGGTCATGTGACTCACTGTTTGAAAACAACACATACGCCGATGGTGGCCTCTCGGGCGCACACTCATCGGGCTGATGTCTCGTCAGTTCGTGTCCTCCTATGCATCATTGTCATTTCTGTATTTCCTTGTGTCCTCCGTGTCCATTGACAGGTCCGTCGGGGTTTGGGTCTGCTCATCGGCCTTCTCGCCGACCCCTGGTCGTGCATCACCATCTCGCTGGCACTCACCTTGGGGTGTCTGCGATATTTCCGCTTTGCCAAGACTCCAGGCACCGTGCCACGTCCGTCGACGGTGTAATTGGATGAGTCATGCTTCTGTATGTTCTCTGGCCTAATTGCCTCTTCGCCGGCTGCTCGGACAGGAGACACGAGAGCCGCATCCGGTGCGATGCCGCGGAAATTCGCGATTTTTCTCTGGAGTTTCTAGACGCAAAAACGGCATCTTTAGTACGGGAAGGCTCGTGTGCGGCTTTGCGCGTCAATTGAAGGGCTTCGTCGCTTGCTTCGACTTCTTACCCTCCGATGGCCAAGCTTGACGCCCAGGGCATCTCTGATCAGGAGAACGGTGTCAGCACAACCAGACGCGTCACGCAATTATGCGACAGAGTAAAGGAATTGGCAGGGGGAGGAATGATGACGCATAAACACTCAGCATACAGATCCGATTCAGTGACATCCAGAATGGTCTCCCACGTGTCAAAGCCTTGGTCTAGGAAGGCATCGAGATACTGGGCGATGCCCAGCTCCTCTAGCACATCCTCCAGTTGTTGAGACATACAGAGTGCTTTTCTGGGTTCCTCTGGCAGCAGCTCTGATGGAGGCCAGCAGCGCTTATGGCATAGAATTGATGAAATCGGCTCCGTACAATCAGGGAGGAGTGACCACCGAGGTACCGTCATCGACAGTGTTGAGCTCTGTGCCTTCTTAGCCGTCCCCTGATTGTCTGTCTGTTTGTCTGTTTGTCTGTAGTCTGTAGTCTGTAACCTGTGATTGAGAATGGCTGCGTCAAGGTCAGCATAGATGGGTAACAAGGAGTCTGAAAGAAGAGATATCAGACTTGAGAGTTGGGGACGAGAGTGTAATAAAAAAAACGCAGAGGCATTGATCAAGTGGATGGACGCGGCCAGTGACAAGCCAGAAGCACGGGCCGTTAAACCTGATGGCATATATCCATGGGGGGGGCATGAACTAGCAGCGGATAGGGTGTAGAGACAGAGGTGGCTGAGATCTCGATGGTACTCGTGCCGGCCGGAGTGTGGCAGCGGGTGGAGTGAGGAAAGAAAGTGGAAAGCAGGGTAGAGCCGTCCGGATACCCAGGCCGGTCCATGATGGAGTGAGAGCCAATGCGGAAGGAGGGTTGCACCTACTGATTGCAGACAGCGCCGAAGTGACAAAGGACAAGGTCCGCTGAGAATCGAGGACGAGAACGCCGGGTCTTACGCCGTGTGCGCCTAGGTGTATGAATATGCAGAAGCACAGCTCATGCGGTATTGGACATGCGTGTAATACGCAGACATATACGAGGTCAAGGGCAGGCCGCTGGCGTATTGTGATGTTGCCAGCTCAGTGAATGAAGAAGCCTGGGGTTGTGTGCGGGAGGGATATAACGTGGGACGCAGAAGGCCTTGGGGAGAGGGTCTGGCTAATCCAATAGGCCACTCTTCCTCCAGCAGGGGGGCGATGACAATAGAAAGAAGCCAACCGATTCGTCAAACCGATCCGACAGTTTGAAGGGGGGAAGAGCCCTGAGGCGTGTGTGTCCGGCGTCCGTCTAGTCTGCTCGAGACGGCGCAGACCGTTTGCCCGGTCACCTGTTTACCTGTGGTACTCGTGCAAGTAGTCCGTGGTTGCAGTGGGCCTTTTTTTAGGTCTCCATATGGACGGAATGGGTTGTCCTGTCATATGATTGCGTGAGAGGGCGAGCAGATAACCAAAGGGGGAAAAAGGACCCAGAGGATGGGATCGGCGAGGACGAGATCGCGACAGTCGGCGCTGAAGGGGCTCTTAGTATCAAACAGGCCACCGTGCTGTCCGTGATCGAGCGGGCGGCCAAAAGACGGAGAGACTAGCTTCGGCCAGCGGCCAGAAGCTGGAGGGAGAAGGAGAGGCTAGGGGGGTGGCAGAAAGGTAAGGCTCCTGTCGGGTGGGACGTGAGGTGGGACGAGTAAGATGATTTGGGGAAGCGTGGTGCAGATCTGTCACAAGGCAGAGAAATGTGAGGTGCTGGTGCTGAAGAGGAGAAGGAGGAGGAGAAGATGGAGACCAATATCGTGCATGGAAATGACTATGTACATGTGTAGAGAGTCTGTGTAGAGAGCGAGGAGTACGATGCAAAGCCGGAAAATAAGCTATTAGTACGGAGCGCCACATGTATCTTACGAGCCTAGCGGTCGTTCCTTCTCCAATCGGCCTCTGGCGCCTGGCTGGTTGTACACGGTACTGGTCATTTTCTGGGGGGGTGGGCTTGAGGGAAAGTGACGAGCGACGGGCAAAGTACTGTTGTAGAGGATACCTGGGCGCACAGCAGCCAGGATGGGTCCAAGCTCGCCCAGGAACACGGCCAAATCCGGCACGGTGGGCAGCGGGTCGCGGGCAGGTACTCCGTAGACGCTACGATCGGACTGCCGACTGCGTCAGAGTGCGACGAGCACAGCCGTACGGTCCCGGGGCACGGTGAGTACAGTGTACAGTGTACCTGGGGGGTGGATCTCGCTACCGCCTCTCCTTCCCCGGAGGACAGAAGGCACAGCAGCGCCCGGACGAGAAAGGGCAGGGACGGGACGAGAAAGGGCAGGGACGAGATGAGCGAGGGCGCAGTTTACGAGTACGGACGAGAAAACTCGGCTAGGGAGCGTGAACAAGTTTGGGGGTTAGGAGCGAAAAAACATACGATTTGGAAGGCGTCGACGGGGACAGGCGCGCCAATCAGCGCGTAGGGGACGGGGTTAGGATCGCCGTGCCCGTTGTACCCCGACCGCATGCTGCTATGGACGAGGTACTTTTCCAGGACACGAAGAAGGGGAGGAGCTGTCGTCGTATCGTTCCTTCCCAATTTGAGTAATACGTGTACGAGAACTCCGTAGCTGCTAATACATAGTATGTAAGATGCAACGAGGGCGAGGAAGAGGCCCCAGCTCGGCGCAACTAAGCATGCGCGTGCTCCGTCCTCGTACTCCGTAGTCCGTACGCGAAATCGTTCCTTCCTGCGCAGCGCATTGCATGGACGAGAGAGCAGCGGCAGCCACGGCCAGGCCTGCTTGCCGCGAACCGAGAGACGCGTCCACGTTGCGAGAGAGGCATCAAGCTTTCCTTCCCCCCTCCCAAGCCCACTTGCACGGCCCAGACTAACAAGTACGGAGTAAAACCTTGAGAAATGGAAAATAGAAAATGGAAAATGGGAAATGGAAAATGGAAAATGAAAAACGGCACCGTGAAAATGGCCTGCACCATGCAATTTCGTAGTCGTCGGAAAAAGAAAATGGCCGACAGCTGATTGTGACATGATCGCTGCTCCCCCTCGCCTGGTCTGGAACAAAGCGCGCCGTTTCTGAGCGACGAGCAAGGCACAAGAGAGCTGCCGGCCGGCCGGCATAGCGGCTTCTCGCGCACTCAGAAACATGGCATTCTCGCCAAAGTACGGCGCACGAGGGCATTTCCTGGTTTGCCTCCTCGCCTCTCCAGCGTGTTTTTTTTTTCTCTTTGTCCATTTCGTTCATCCCTTTTCGAGTCAGCCCAAACTTGAGACAGTTCAAGGCAGGCCGGCCCCTCCGTCCCAAGCCAAAAGGGGAGCTTGACGATGAAAATGCTGTGATGGTCCTGCAGAAATCATACGATTTTGCATTTGGCGATTTCACCCCTCTACCGACTATACCCCATTGTCCAATTAATCCCACCCCCTCCCCACACCGGGACCGGCTGCCTGAGCCCAGCCCTTCAAAAGAACCCCCCTGCCGGTTGTGCGCTTCTGCTGCCTGCCAGACAATCCGGTACGGTACTGTAGCATATCTGCTGGCGTGCAGGGACATAGTACACCGCGATCTGAAAAGAGCTTACACTGGCGGTGGAATTTGCCATGCACAAGGAATGCATGCTAACATGACATGGCAGATGCGCGTAACTCGTGCTCATGCTCGCCTTACCCATTTAGCCTGCTACATGGGAAAAAAGTAAAACCTGTCGTTGGTTGGAAGGACGGACCCACCGTCTCCTTCCCGTCCAATCAGCAGCTACCTGTCTGCCATGGCGGTGCAAGTACTATGTACGAGTACGTAAAGTTTCAAAGTGCACTGTGTGCGATATGCTACGACGAATGCCGTATATTACTCGTTCCGATACTTTCTAGCACATGCAGCTTCACTTTCAGCGGCATCTTACGAGGAGAATCTGTCCTGCCGTGTTCTGTTGCGATTGCGGAGTCGGCCATACCCCACCATCTTTATTTACCGTGCAATGCGGCGGCTTTCTTCAGGCCGTGCGAGACCACAGTACATTTCGTATATTCATGCTGTGCTGCTGACATTTTGTCTGTGATGTACGACGAAAGATGGCTTCGTATTTCTCCGTACTATCTTGCGTATCCACAACCTGCCATCGTGAACCCGTTCCAACACACACCTCTCCAACATGGCTGCCCAGGACGGCCAAAAGGCCGCAACCACTCGACCGCGGCAGTCTTGCCTCGGCTCATCAGCCGCCCCACAGCCAGCGGGAGCTTCTTCGGGAGTTGTTTCGGCCGTCTCGGCTTCATCATCCGCATCGCAGCCACCGATAGGCACGCTGGCCGCCCAAAGAGCGGGACTGACCCAGGTCAGCTGACCTCTCTCTGCTCCTCATCGTCCGTGTGGCTGACTCCTTCCGTCTCCTGTTCTAGGCCCTGGAAGAACTGGCCAGGTAAGGCGTCCGAAGTCTGCGATCGCGCTCATGCCCTTATTCCCTTCTCGTCGATATATCCTTGTTGCGTTTCATTTTTCCACATCTCGATACCACATACACCCCCCCGTCCCCTCTCCATCTCCCCCCCTTCGGCCCTTTCCGTTCATAGTGGCTTGGACCTCAGTCCTCTTCTAGCTTGCCATTTGCTTCCCTTTCTAATCCGCAGGCTAACCTGTTCTGTAAAGAGGAGAACGGACGGCCGACAAACTCGAGCTCGAACTCGGGGCATTTGAGGCTAAGCTAGATCAGTTGCTCGGCCTGTTGGGGGTCTCTGAAGAAGATCTGGAAGACGAGGGTGGGGTCGATGATGGTGATGAGCAGATCGGGGTTAATGGCGCCGGAGATGCCAATGACAATGGCAAGCAGAGCACCGGCAATACCAATGGCACGAAGTAACCCAGTTGCTATTGCCGTGCCGTGGTCTCGGAGCCATGATGTGATTGAGACGTGCAGATATTGGACCCTTGTGTTCTGAGAGTATTTTGTGTTTTGTTATACGGAGTTAACTGGTAGATTTTTGGGGGTTGCATACGATATCTTGAATAGATACCATATATACAGAGTAGGGCATCGCCTATTGGTGGTTCAATGATTGTTGGATATTCTGTACTTGTAAGGCGATTAGATTAATTATGTTACGAAAATACTTGGCTGATGGTTTGTTTTCGTTATTTTCGTTTTTTGCGTATGATAAGTCTAACACAATGACTATGTTGGTTTACAATTTAACTCAATTGCTACCTGGAATAGTTTTCTGCCTTTTCATCTACATTCATGTTCTTCATGCAGCAAATTTGCAGACAAATACGACACGTTTAAAAAACCATACATTCACCGGCCAGTATATTGACGACTTGGATATAAGATTCATGTGTCCTAGCATTCCCATACAAACAACCGCTGAGCCCGGGCTTCTCCCGACTTCCACGCATCGTATAGGATTTGATTGCAGGCGTCCTGCCCACCGGTTGCATAGCTAAACCAGAAATATAAGCCAAAACACCCTTGGTAGATTATCCAGGATAACATATATGCCAAAAGGACAAGCCCGCAAGCCCGTAAAGAGGAAAACGCCGTGTACAATGCCAAACGTACACAAGGCTTCGCTTCCACAACGGAAGGCCAAACCCCTGGACGAAAACAGGGCAGGAAAACAAGACAGAAAGACGCAAGGACAAGGACATAAAACGCAGTACCATGCCGGATACTCCAACCCAAAAGTTGCCCCCCCCCCACTCCATCCACCCCCCTCCCTCCCCCTTCCTCCCCTTCCCAAACCAGGAAAATAGACCGAAGCAAGGAAACAGTACAGAATAGTCACGTGGCAAGGCAAGGCGCCGCGGTCGCCGTCGCCTCTTCCTGTCACGTGCTATGTGCTAAACGTTTGTGCAAGCTGCGCGCTTAATGTTAGAACAGCTATGCAACAACGGAACGCAAAAAAGGCCCGGGTGGCTTCTAGCTGCTTGCCCTTTGATTTTCTGCCGTTTGGTCGACCAGGGACGCCGCCGGATGGTCCGCATCGCCAGCTGTGACCGGCCGGCTGAGCGGCGTAAGTAGAGCCACGCGCGTCGGGACATACAGGGCCGATGTTGACTGTGTCGCCACCTTGGACTCGCTGTGCCTTGCGAGCTCGCGTTCCCGGTTCTTTTCCAGCAGAGCGCCGCCGAGCGTGGCACATTTGAGGATCGTCTCGATCAGGTGGTTCTGCTGCAGCGGCTTGGACAGGTACTCGTCCATCTGGGCCTGCAGACACTTTTCTCGGTCGCCCATCATCGCGTGAGCCGTCAGCGCAATGATGGGAGTTCGCTGGACGTTCCCAGACCGTTCGTACTCGCGGATTTTGCTCGTAGCCTCGACACCACCCTGGACGGTTAGCGGAAAAGACAGAAAAGAAGAAGACAAGAAAGATGAGGCAAGACAAAACTCACCATCACCGGCATCTGGACGTCCATCAAAATGACGTCAAAGTTCTTATGCTTTACGGCCTCTACGGCCTCCTCGCCGTTGCCGACCACCGTCACGACGTGGTGGTACTTTTCCAGAATCTTGACGGCCAGCCGCTGGTTCACGGTGTTGTCTTCGGCCAGGAGAATGTCAAACGACTTGGTGTTGTCGGTCAACGAAGGCGTCGCGTGATTCTCCAGCGCCGGCACCATGCCGTTGGCCAGATCGACTAGGTCGCAGGGCGACGTCATAAAGGACGTCACGCCCAGCTCGATGCACGACTTCAGGCTCACCTGCACAACCGGTGCCAGCAGCACGATCGGCACGTACTCAAACTTGTTGATCGACTGCAGTCGACGGGCCGTGTCGAGCGAGTCGACCACGATGACGACGTCTTTGGGCGGCGAGGCTTTGGCGCGGGCATGGGTCAGCGACGGGTTCCGCTCCGAGTCGACGACGACCGGAACTAGACCGAGCGTTTTCATCATGGCTACAATGTCACCGCTGTTCCGGTTGACGCCCTTGTCGATGAAGAGCACCTGGTGGCCGCGGTACGGGTCCAGCTGCTTGTGGATCTGGAAGATGTCGCTCACGGCCAGGCGGACGACGCAGGTGAAGTAGAACGAGCTGCCCTTGCCGTACTCGCTCTCGACCCAGACGTCGCCGCCCATCAGGCTGACCAGACGCTTGGAGATGGACAGGCCCAGGCCCGTACCGCCAAACTTGCGGGTCATGGAGCCGTCGGCCTGCTGGAAGGTGTCGAAGATGAGGTCCAGCTTGTCGGCCGGGATGCCGATGCCGGTGTCGGTCACGACAAACTCAATGGCGTACTCGCCGCTGCTGCAGTCGACCTGGCCGGCCTTACGGATCGTCAGACTGACCTTGCCGCGCTCGGTGAACTTGATCGCGTTGCCGACGAGATTGAGGATGATTTGGCGCAGCCGGAACGAGTCGCCGATCACGTGATCCGGTACCGAACTGTCCACGTGGAAGGTGAGGTCGAGGAACTTCTCGTTGGCCTTGACGGCGAGCGTCTTGAGCGCGTTGAAGACGGTGCCACGGAGCGTGTACGGGATCTCCTCGATGACCATGCGCCGCGCCTCAATCTTGGACAAGTCCAGAATGTCGTCGATGATGGTGAGCAAGCTGTTGGCCAGGTTGTTGACAATGTTGAGCATCTCGCGCTGGTAGAGCGTGAGGTCGGTGTCCAGCGTGAGCTGGGTCATGCCGATGATGCCGTTCATGGGAGTGCGGATCTCGTGCGACATGTTGGCGAGGAACTCGGACTTGGTCTTGTTGGCCAGCTCAGCCGCCTCCCGGGCCTGCGTGTTTCTCTGGATGCTGTCGCGCAGGTTGTACACCATCAGGTTGATCTTCTTTTTGAGTTCGTCCATCTCGCCCGACGCCTCAACCTCGACCAGCTTGGTGAAGTCGCCGTCTGTGGCGGCATTGGTAATGTCGCCGAAAGCACGAACCTGGGCAGTCTGGCGGTGTCAGAATAGGTTGTCAGAAACAGGAAACGAAGAACAGGGAGAAAGACCAGACATACCAGATTATTCGCCATCGTGTTCACGTCTGTCGTAATCTCCTTCCAGCGTCCCTTGAGCCCGGCAATGTCGGCCTGGCCACCCATGATGCCGTCGACACCCACGTCCTTGGCCACGCGCTGGACCTCGTTGCAGAAGACGGACAGGCGGTCAACCATGTTGTTGATGGTCACCTTGAGGATGAGTATCTCGCCCATAGCCTCGACGTCGATCTTGCGGGTCATGTCGCCGTTGGCAATGGCCTGGGTCACGCTGGAAATGCCGCGCACCTGCGACGTCAGGTTGGACGCCATCGTGTTCACGTTCTCGGTCAGGTCCTTCCACTTGCCCTCGACATTGTCGACCTGGGCCTGACCGCCGAGCGTGCCGTCGGTGCCGACTTCGCGGGCCACCTTGCTGACCTCAAAGGCAAACGTGCCCAACCGGTCGACCATGGTGTTGATGGTGTTCTTGAGGTCGAGGATCTCGCCGCGCGCCTCGACGCCGATCTTCTTGGTCAAGTCACCGCGTGCCACGGCCGTGGTCACCTTTGCGATTTCGCGCACCTGCGTCGTCAAGTTCATGGCCATGCCGTTGACGTTTTCGGTCAGGTCGCGCCACGTGCCCTCGACGTCATGCACGGTGGCCTGGCCGCCCAGGCGACCCTCCGTGCCGACTTCACGGGCGATCTTGGTAACCTCGCGGGCAAACTGCTGTAGCTGGTCCACCATGGAGTTGATCGTCTTCTTCAGCTCAAAGATCTCGCCGCGGCATTCGGCCTGGACCTTTTGGGTTAAGTCGCCCTTGGCCACGGCTGTGGTGACCTTGATGATGTCGCGCACCTGGGTCGTCAGGTTGTTGGCCATGGCGTTCACGTTGACCGTCAGCTCGTTCCACATGCCCTTGACGCCCTCGACGTCGGCCTGGCCGCCGAGCATACCCTCGGTGCCGACGTCACGGGCGACGCGCGAGACCTCGGACGCAAAAGTGCGCAGCTGGTCAACCATGGTGTTGATGGTCTGCTGCAGCTGGAATATCTCGCCGCGGGCCGGGCGCTCAATCTTCTTGGTCAGGTCGCCGTGGGCGACGGCGGTGGTGACCGAGGCGATTTCGCGCACCTGGTCGGTCAGGTTTTGGGCCATGATATTGACGTTGTCGGTCAGCTCTTTCCAGGTGCCGTCAACGCCTTCGATCTGGGCCTGGCCACCCAGCATGCCTTCGGTGCCGACTTCGCGGGCGACGCGTGAGACCTCGCTGGAGAAGACCTGCAGCTGGTCCATCATGGTGTTGATGGTGCGTTTGAAGGTGGTGATTTCGGGGTCCATCTCGACCGAGTTCATCCCGACCTTCTTGGAGAGGTCGCCGCGGGCGACGGCGGTGACGATCTCGCCAATCTCGCGCAGGGCTTTCTGGAAGGCCTCGTTGGCCTTCTGGTGCTTCCATAGTTCGCGCTCGAGTGTGGCCACGCGCTGGAGCTCAAGCTGCTGAAGGGTACGCTCCTGCAGGGTCTTCTGCTCGAGCAGCTGGGCGTTGACGCCGGCAAGCTGCTGCCGCTGGGAGTCGAGCAGCTTGGACTGGTTGTCGACGTGCTTGTGCAGGCCGACGAGCGCCTTGCTAGTCAGCTTGGTGGCAACCAGAACACTGTCTTCGGCAAAGCTGCTGCGGGCGCTGACGGCGCTGTCGGAATCCGGGGCTGGCAGTGGTGGCGGGGCGCCGCCGCAGGCGCTGCTTGTGATGGACGAGGCGGTCTCATTGCTAAAAAACGAGTCGGCCGTCTCGGGCGGGAAGTCTGGGAAGACGGTGGCGGCAGCGCAGGCGGCGCAGGCGTTGCATGGCGACTTTGACTCGAGTTTGTGTATTCTCTCGATAAGGGCTATCAACTCGACTTCCAGGCAGTGTTTCTCGGGCGAGTCATGTCCTGGGAGGTCGATATGGGACGGGACTACTGTGCCGCCCGTCGTGATGGCAAGAGGTTTGATCAGGGCAGCGATGGCTGCGAGCATTGAGTCGTCGGACATTCCGTTTGTGATCACAGTCATTGGGATGCGGGAGGGGAAAGAGAGGAGAGAGGGGGGGAGAGAGAGGGGGGGAGAGAGGGGGAGAGAGAAAGGTAGAGACAGGGAGAGAAGGAGAGGAGAGGAGGAAAGGAGAGGAGGAGAGGAGAGAGAGAGAAACAGAGAGAGAAGGGAGAGAGGAGAAAGAGAGAGGGCTAGAGAGAGTGGGAGAAAAAGCAAGAGGGAGAAAGAGAGAGAGGAAGAGAGAGACGATCCGTCAGGACAAGAAAAGAGAGAAGAAAGAGGCCAGAAGCAGATGAAAACAGATGCAGCAACAATGACCGTTCTAGGCAGTCGCGATCTCAATCAGAACGGCAGCCGGTAGCCGTGTTTGTCGACGGCGGTTTTATCGGCAGCCGGCTTCAGAAGCGGCGACTCCCCAACGGGAGAGTGCGGCCGAACACGCTGTCGCTGTCAGGAGCACCGGGGGGGGGGTTGGCAGAGAGGGCGCGTGCGTGACGGGCGGGCCAGATGGAGAGAGCGGTCGGCTGGTCCTCGTCGCAAGTCACACGCCGCTAGAGAAGGTCGGATGGAGATGGCGATGGTGAAGACAAGCTCGGGGTGGGAATTTGAGTATGGGGGATGGATGGGAAAAGAGGCGGCAGTGGAGGGCTGCCAGGCAATTGCGGGCTAAGGAGCAGAAGGCAACGTTAGCAGGGGACAGGTGCTGGTCTTTTCTTGGGTGCAGAAAGAGGTTTTGATTGGCATGGCGAGGGATCAAAAGGCCTCGACCGGGGTGGGGCACCTGCTAGAACCACTGTGATGGCTGTGATGGCCTGTGCTGGCCTGTGATGGCCTGAGGAGCCCTGTGGCAGTCTCTGGCTCTAGGAGCAGAGCATTCGCGGGAGCAGGCGGCCGATTGGGTTGGCACTGGGGGTTGGGAGTTGCTGATGGGAAATCCAAGAAGGGGGGTCTTTCACGGAGACATTCTTGGCTGCCCGGCTTCTCGATGGGGCGGTTTTTTCCGGGGGGCGAAGGATGGGAGAACAGGGCCAAAAGCGTATTTTAGGGAACGTGAAAAGTCGGTCGAAAACGGTCAATGCGGATAGAGGGATGAAGGGGGGGGGGGGGGGGTGGGAAGAAAGGGAAGAAAGGCGGAGGAGAGGGCAGAAAATGAAGAGGAAAGAGAGGATAAGGAGTTGCCGGCAGCGATTGGCGCAAACAGCAGGCAGTTTTGGCCTGGCGGGTCTAACGGCGAGGGGTTGAGCAGCAGAAGATGGATGGAAAACAGACGTGGCATGGGAAAGAGGAAAGAGGAGAGAAGCTGCCGGGACATGCGACGATAGGCCTGGAGGAGGCCTGGGCAGAGCCTGCGGCGGTCGATGGACGGCCATTCCAGGGGGTTTAGGGGGAGGAGAGGGCAGATAACGCCATCCGCCAGCAGGGCTCAAGTCCAAGTCTCAGGGCCTGTGCCCGCCGGAGTTAAGGGTAGTATGCGATGCTGGACCGTGGAGCAGGGCCGACAGCCTCACAGAAAAGCGGCTAGCGCACGTTCGCTGCAGCAAGACGGCACGCGTCGGCGGAGTACGGTACGATACGATACGATGCTGCGGTACTGAGATGAAGAGGCCGATGCTGTTCCAGACGGACACGACGTGGCCGGCGAGCCAGAGAGCGACACGGCGGGCCAGAACACGACGGGTCAGCCAGAGCGACTCGGCCTGCTGGCCTGCTGGCCGCTGGTTGATTGTCGGCACGCGCCTCACGTGTGCAGATCACGCGTTCTCCGTCGCCTGCCATGAATCCTGCTTCGCTGCCGCTCGCCTGCCGGGCTCGACTGACGTCATCGGTGGAGCCCTGCGCTGAGGGCTGTCGGTAGTGCATCTCCATTGGTGCGTGTCCACTGCTGCCAGTGGCAGCCAATCACGGCGCGGCCACCGCAGGGAGAGACAGAAAGAGACAACGTCCGAGACGAGCGAGACTAGTCGTGCTGCGAGCGCGATCTGGCTGAGACAAGAGATTTGCTGAGTGTTGTTGGGCGGGCGACTAGTGCGTACTCCGTATACGACCGTGTTTAAGCTTAGGTTCTATTTTTATTTTCCTGCATTCTTTCTCGTCTGCTTATCGAGGTCGCCATGGGGAGAGAAGGGGGGAAAGAGAGAGGAAAGAGGAAAGAGAAAGAGGGTAATCAAGAGAAGAGGTCAGAGAGAATGAAGGAAATTTGATTGACAAAGTACTCATAAAAGGACAGAAGGACAGATCAAAGATACAGGACAAAGACTCGGGACAACATAAAAAGACAAACACTACATGTCGATCTCCAACAGTCTGAATCGGGCTCACGTTCTACGGAGTTGCTCGGGTTCTTGGCACACTGTAACTCGTACTGTATGTGTAGCACTTACTATGTAGACCTCTCACACCTACACCCACACCCACACCCACACCACACCTCCCTCACACACCTTCTCCCACAGCCGTCCAGTCCTTGCGAATGTCCAGGTCCGTCAGTCCGTCGGTCTTGTCGATCACCAGTCCCTTTTCGTTAGCCAGATGCAGCAAACAAATAAAACAGAAGCTCGTCGAGATGTCGTTCATCGCCGTCTTGGGATACACCCGCTGCAGTCCGTTCATCACGTCTGTGAACTTGAGCTGCCGGTCGTCCTGCTTGTCTGCTCTGTCGGCGCTGCCTGCCTCTTCTCCGGGTGGCGGTGTCAGCAGTCTGGAGGTGTCTTTGTCTTGTCCCTCCCATCCCATCCCCTGCCACAGCTCCTCCTTCAGCCGTCGCACGTCCACCTTCTTGGCCACCCGCGCATACTGCACGTACTCAGGCCGTACGCGCCGGCTCGACGTCACCAGCGTCGTGCCAAACGCCAGATCGCCAAACGCGTTGGTCGTCCCGCCGACACCACCACCGCCCACGAGCCCCTGCGTGAACCCGAGCGCCTGCGTAAATCCGCCCGGAAACCCGTTTGTCGCCGTCATGCCGTTCTCGCCCAGCACCGGCTCGGCCCCGTCGACGCCTGGACTGAAGTGGTCACGCGCATCCGCAAACTCGTCGCCGTCGTCGTCCTCGTCGCCGCCACCACCACCGGCAAACGGAAGCCCATCGTCGGCGAAAAAGTCTGCGTCGTAGTCGCCGTGGCCGTGGGGACTGTCACGCTCCCGTCCCTCCACCGTTGGCTGTTCCGGCCCCTTTTGCGACGCCCAGAAGGCTTCGTCCATCTCGCCTTCTGGCACGTCCACCAGGCCGCCCGCACCTCCGGATCCCCCGGATCTCCCGATTCCGACTCCCCGTCCCCCCAACCACTGCCGCCGTCGACTTAGTCGCGCCCGCGGCTTCAGAAATAGAGACAGCAGCTGCTTGCTGTGGAAATGCTTGTCGTCCGGCAGCAGGTTGCGCGACTTGGCCTTCCAGTCCTTCTTGGCCAGCGTGATCGTCGTGTTGCTCGACGCCTGCGTGAACAGCTGCTCTGCCATGGCCTCGCTCAGCGGCCCGTCAAATGCAATCGCAAACGGCTCCTTCTCCTTGCGCGTCTTGGCTGCCGTTGGCTTGTTGACGTCTTTGATCCGTCGGATTCGCCAATGCTCCGCGCTCGTCCAGTTCTTGCGCAGCGCCTGGTCAAAGTAGCTCAGCATGTTCTCGTGCATCTTGTCGGGCGCCTGTGATGCCCGCGCCATCGCGATCGTAAAGTCGTCCGTCTCTGCACCGCCCGGCTGCAGCAGAAGCTCGTCTGCCACGTCGCCGTCTCCGCCTGCATCGTAAACTCGCATCTGCGGCTCCAGTCGGGCCTCGCGTGCCCATGCCTCACCGCCTTCGCCAAAGTCTACCTCCGGCCCCAGATCGAAGCCACCGAGTGCGTCCGTGTCGTCAAAGCCGAGCGGCCCGTCCTCGTCGATGAACATGGCCGTCTTGTCGCCGCTTCCGCTGCCACTGCCGCCGACTGCCTCGTCGCGGTCCTCCAGCGCCCGCAGAAACGGAATGTCCGTCGTGCCTGACGGGTCGCCCAGGTCCAACGTCTTGAGCGACGGACACACGTCCAGCTCGTCCAGCCGGTGCAGCTCCGGGAAGAACCGCTGGCCCAGGGCTGCAATGTCGATCGGCACGTCCTCTTCATCTGTGCCCTCTTCTCCTTTTTCGTTTTCCCCTTCCACTTCATCGTCACCGCCCTCCTCCTCATCGTCAACCCTTGCCGCCTCTTCCTCCCCTTTCTTGCCCTTTACCTCCGCGTCGTCGCTGCTGTCAAACACGATGCGTCCCTGCGCATCGACCATCAGGTGGTTCAGCAGCAGTCCCTTGGCGCCGCCCTCGTCAAAGTCGGCCGAGGCCTTCTTGAAGAGCGGGTCGACGGCAAACTCGAGCTCCAGCTTTTTGAGCTGCAGCGACGCAAACGACGGCGCCAGCGTCACCTCTGACCGCTGCTTCTTGCGCTGCTTCTTCTTGACGTTGCCGTCCTCGTCGAGCTCATCTTCGTCTTCGTCATCGCTGCCGTCGACGCCGTCGTCACCACTGCCGCCAACTGCCTTTTTCTTGTTATCCCGGCTGTCGGCTAGGCCGCTCAGCAGCTTGCCCGTCTCCGTGGCCACGCTGTCGACGCGGCTGGTGTAGATCTTGACGCAGCCGTCGAGCGTGCAGCTGGCCTTTTGGAAGTTGACCCCGTCGCCTTCCTTCAGCAGCGACATGTCGTGGAAGTAGTCGATCAGGGCAAAGTTCCACGAGTTGGCCGCGTTGATCTTGTTGTCCGTCGCCATCTTCATCCACTCCTCAAAGTTGGCCAGGATCGGCACCCGCTTCATAGGCGTCACCGCCGATCCGCCCACTACCACTCGGTCATCGTCATCGTCATCGTCGTCGTCGTCGTGACCACGGCCACGACCAGCTCCCGCGCTGATCGACTCCCGCCGTGAGGCTGCCGCCGCCGCCACACTGCCCAGGCTCTGGCGGGCTGCCCGGCCGCGTGGTGTCCGCGGGCTTGACCCCGCCGATCTGTTCTCCAGCTCGTCCAGCCGGATCGCGCTCACCTTGCGTGATGTCGGCGTCGCTGACGCCTTCAGCGCCTGCCGCGACTGCAGCCGGCGTGCCTTTTCCTGCACATCGTCGTTGAGTGGGATCCTGCTCGGTCAGCACAGTGGATGGAATGGCAGAAGCCGGGCGAACGTACTTCACCGGAGAGTTTTTGTATGGCGACGGCGGATGCGATGGTGGCGGCTTGCTGCCGTTCTTGGTGCTGCTCGCACGCGGTGCCTGCGCAACGCGAGGCATCTTGCCGCAGTTCTGGGATGCAATGCTGTGGTGTCGGGCTCTTTTGCTCCTGGCGGGCCGTTCGTCTTGCCGTTGCAGAATTCGGCGATGCGGCGCAACGGCCTGATTGTTTTCGTGTCCACAAACCCCCACTTGCAACGAAATGTAAACAAAGTCACGTGATGTGTATGATGACTCAGCAGAGTAGAAGATCATATTATATCATAGCTAAGAAATGCGCTAGGGGTAAATAAGCTAGCCAGAGAAAAGGAGATAATACGTCGTAAGTAGAGGTACGGCAGGAGCTATGGGGGTCTAGCCCGAAGCAAAGTAGCTATACACCACCCCAGTTCGGTAACATGACGATTCCGTGTCTGGATTCAGGGCTGCCTCCCATCCTGAAGGACAATCGGTTACGTCTTGGACTTGCTTGGCTTCCGTCGATTGTCAAACCCGGCTTTCTTGTTGGTTCTCTTTTCTTTTTCTGCGTTTGCTCTGATTTCGCCAATCCCCTCGCTCTCCTTTCCAATCCTCTAGCTCGATCGGTTCCGCGACTGCTGCACCTCAGCACAGCCCAATCTCAGCCAAGCCTTTTATTCTTTTCTCTTTTCCTCCTGCTCAGCATTTCGGACGGCACAGCGTCCTTCCTTGCAGCCGGTCTTCGCAGCTGATCCGCACAGCCACCGCTAGCCGCAGCCGTGCAGCCGCAACCGCAGGACGAGCGCGCATGCTGGCCATGGATTGAGGATCTGCGAAGAACATTGTCGATGTCGATATCGATGTCGATGCCAAAAGCCATGGCGGCCGGCCGATGGCGCAGGGTCCCGGCACGGACACGGCCCCGATTCAGCGCGCGGCCGTTTGTGGTGTCGACGGCCGTAGTGCTGACGCTGGCTGCGGTCCATGGGCTCGGAAGGATGTTCGCCTCGGACAGCCGCCTGATTCAGCCCCTGACCAGACGACTGGTCGAGACTGACACGACACCCTGCCGCATGGTGCATCAGGCGGCCGACCAGTGTGCTTTTGTGCGGGCGCACTGCCACGACGAGACGGCCGGGCTGCTGCCGTACCTCTCGCTCTACTACTGCACGCTGAACCGGGCGCTGCAGCCGGCTGGTTTTGCCATCCTAGTCGTCTGGCTCGGACTGCTCTTTACGACGATCGGCATCGCGGCCAGCGACTTCTTTTCAGTCAATCTCGGCACCATTTCTGGGCTGCTCGGCCTCAGCGAGAGCCTCGCCGGCGTGACGTTTCTCGCCTTGGGCAACGGATCGCCCGACGTGTTCAGCACCTTTGCCGCCATGGGGTCCAATAGCGGCAGCATGGCCGTCGGCGAGCTCATCGGGGCGGCCAGCTTCATCACGGCCGTCGTGGCTGGGTCCATGGCTCTCGTGCGCGAGTTTCGCGTCAGCCGCTATACGTTTGTGCGCGACATCTGCTTCTTCATCGCTGCCGTCGCCTTTGCCATCGTCTTTCTCGCCGATGGCCGCCTGCTCCTTTGGGAGTGTTGCACCATGATCGCCTTTTACCTCTTCTACGTCGTCACCGTCGTCGGCTGGCATTGGGTCGTCAAGCGCCGCAAGCGTCGCCGTGTTCGCGAGGCCCTGCTGCGGGATGGCGCAAGCCCTGAGTCTGGTGAATCCTATCGGGACGAGTCAGAGGGCGAGAACAACGGCATGAACACCAGCACGAACAACAGTACCAACACCCCCCCAATGTCACCTCGCGACGTCAACGAACGCGGTCCGCGCATCGAGATCAACAGCGTGGCCGCTCCACTAGAAGAGAGCCTCGATGCTCACCAACACCAACATCACCACCACACCCACAGCCACCATCATCACCACCTTGACGACGACGACGACGAGCGCAACCGCCACATCAACGCCGAGATGACCAGCAGCATGCGTGTCAATCGTCCGCGCGGCCGTCGCAGCACTACCGTTACGCCCATCCGGCCGAGTCTTCTGGGCGCCCTCGAGTTCCGGTCCGTGCTGTCGTCGCTGCAGCGCTCCGGCACCGTCCATCTGGCGCCCATCGACCGTCGCCGAGCATCGGCCCAGGCCGGCATCCCCACCGGCGGCAGTGGCTACGGCTTCGGCGTCTCTGCTCATCACGCTAGCGGTAGCAGCAGCGCCATCCTGCCCACTCGACGCAGCTTTCTCGAGCCGCCCTTTTCGTTTGCCGGAAGCGGTCGAGGCCGTGCTCTTTCTTCTGGCGACGTGCCACGCAGCTTCCAGCCGGCCTCAACGGCTGACGACATGATTGGCCAGCAGACATATGCCATCGACGGTTCTTCTGCCTCTGCTTCGGCTTCGGCTTCGGCTTCGACATCGGCCTCGCCTTCGATCACCGTGTCCGCTTCGGTGTCGCCGGAAAACAGCAGCGAGACAGATGCGCCTCCACTCGTGTTGCCAGAGCCTTCGGCGAGCAGCAGCAGCCAGGCTTACCCGCGACCCGGCCTCCCCAGTCTGCACCTACACATTCCCACCACCACCAGCCATCATAACCACGGCTCTCCACGATCGTCCCCGTCGTTGTCGCCGTTTCCCGGCTACGCTGACTCGCCCAGCATGCTCTCACCCACTCGGCCGTCACGCAGGTCCAGCTTCGGCCTCTCGACGCCCGTCTCTGAACACTACCACGCCCACCACCACGCCCACGGCCACTCGTCCTACTTCCCCGTCCAGGCGCCGAGCGACGTTGACGACTCCAACAGCCAGCGCACCGTGCTGCCGAAGCCGCTGCGCTGGTGGCCCTACGGCGTGCTGCCACCGCCGCACATCATCCTCTGCACACTCTTCCCGACGCTGCAGCGATGGCGCGAGAAGAGCGTGTGGGACAAGTTTGTCAGCCTCATATCCGTGCCGACCGTCTTTCTGCTGGTCATCACGCTGCCGGTCGTCGAGATGGAGGAAGAGCTGGAGGGCGAGGGGGAGGACGAGGACGAGGACGAAGCCGAGGCTGAGGCTGACGACGACATTGAGCGCCGGGGCCAGCAGGACAGCCACAGCTCGCCCTACCGAGACGACGTGCGCAGCCTGTCGGACGCTGGAAGCCCAGCCTTGGTCGTGCCCGAGGAGACCGAGTGGCAGCGCTATCGGCGGAGCACCAGCGTGAGCTACGTGCGGCGGCCGAGCCGCGAGCTGGCACTGCCACCACCGATCCTGCAGACGGCCGAAGAGCTCGAGCAGGACGCGGCCGGGTCGTCGTCGCCGGGCGAGCAGACGGTGCCGATGGCGGGGGGGATGGGAGGGATGACTAAGCCTCAAATTGGAACAGGATTGGTAGGATTGCTGACTAAGCCACAAACCGCGGCGTCTGTGGAGCAGGACAGCGTCGACGGCGGCTCGGTGGCGACGAACAAGGCGACGGCAGCAGAAGAAGAAGCAGAGGCAGCAGAGTCGTCGACAGGTACGTGGAACCGCTGGCTGGTGGCAGTGCAGCTGTTTGCGGGACCGCAGTTCACGGTGTTGGTGGTATGGGCGAACACGGAGGACGACAGCGGCGGGCTGCCATGGATGATGCTGGCAGCGCTGGTGACGTCGCTGGGCATGCTGGGGCTGCTGCTGTGGCGGACGACGGCGGAGGAGCGGCCGCGGCGGCACGCGCTACTCTGCTTCCTGGGTTTTGTGATCAGCGTGGCCTGGATCTCGACGGTGGCCGGCGAGGTGGTTGGGGTGCTCAAGGCGTTTGGCGTCGTGGCCGGCATCTCGGAAGCGGTGCTGGGCCTAACTATCTTTGCGGTGGGCAACTCGCTGGGCGACCTGGTGGCCGACATCACCGTCGCCCGGCTCGGCTATCCGGTCATGGCGCTCTCGGCCTGTTTTGGCGGCCCGATGCTGAATATCTTGCTGGGCGTCGGCATCGGCGGCGCCTGGATGACGACGCGGTCAGCCACGACCACAAACGCTGGCATGGCCACTCGCACGCACGCTCACACGGATGCCTACGAGATCGAGGTGGGTGAGTCGCTGATGGTATCGGCCATCACGGTTCTCGTCACGCTCGTCACGCTGCTGGTGGTCGTGCCGGCCAACGGCTGGATGATGAGCCGGCGCATCGGCATTGTGCTGATCTGCATGTGGGTCGTCAGCACGACCGTCAACGTGGCCACGGAGGTGGCCGGAGGGTGGGCGAAAACATGAGGCGAAAGCAGAACAGACATACAAGTACTGATAGTAGAATACCCGATAGTAGAATATGATCGAGCATCCGGTCCACTTTATTTCCACACTATTTCTCGATCGCTTCGACCTGTGTAATTTCATTGTCTACGGAGTACATAGTAGCTCCGTGGACTGTGAGCTGCCAGGTGCAGTCTTCTTTCGGTGCTTCTTCTTTACCTTTGTTTCTTTCCCCTCTCCTCACTCCTCTCTCTTCTTTCTCCTTCTCCTCTCCTCTCTCCTCCCTTCCTCTTCGCTTCCTCCTCTTTGTCCCCGTTTTTCTCTTTTTCTTTTTCGTCCTTCCTTTTTCCTCTCAGCCGCCGATCCATACTGCTATCTTACCATTTCAGCTTGTCTGGCACGCACCTTACCGCATACGGCCACAGCGTGTGACGAGCAGCCGGCAGGGGTTGGCGCCTCTGCGTAGTGCATTCAGTTCTGGATGCCCCCCTCGGCGCAAGCTGCTGGGTCCGATGGAGGGGGCATGGATTGGTGGTGGACAGCGTGTGCTGCTGGGCGACCAGGGAAGAGGGATTAAACGACTGAAAAAGAAAAAAAAAAACGATGGTCGGCGTGGCCGCACCGTCGCATTCGGTACGCTCTGTCGGGCCAGGTGGACGAGACGGCGGGCATCTGGGTCCCACTTCAGCGCATTCCATCCCTCGCTCTTCATCGGACGCAGTAGGGCAGCCGGAAAGGGGGAAGGAGAACAGGAGGAGCTAAGTTGGAGGGGTAACCGGTCGGGACTGGAAACGGCTCGCCTGGGACGAGTATAAGAAGCCGCTTGGAGCCGGCCTCTGGCTGCCGTCTCGTCTTTGTCCAGTCTTCCGTACAGAACTTGCCATCTTTTGATCCACGGTTCCTTTATATCTTCATCTTTCTCCTCCACTTCCAAACATCTTACCACAATGGATTTCGGCAAGCTTGCGCAGAGTGCCATCTCGTCCTTTGAGGGCAGCAGCAGCAGCAATGACAACAACAATGACAACAACAACAACAGCAGCAACAACAACAACAACAACAACAACAACTCTGGCAGCTCCGGCAGCTCGTGGGGTGATGTTGGCACTGCCGCCAAGCAGGCCTACTCGGACTACCAGTCCAAGGGCAACGTCGACTACTCTGAGCTAGGCAACGTTGCCAAGATGGCCGCTTCCGCCTACAAGGGTGGCAACAGCAGCAGCGGCAGTAGCGGCAACGACAGCTATGGTAGCAACGACAACAGCAACAGCAGCAACAACAGCGGCAGCTACGGCAACAACAACGACAACAGCAACAGCTATGGTAGCAGCAACGACGGTAGCAGCAACGACAACAGCAGCAACGACAACAGCAGCAACAGCTATGGCAACAGCAGCAACAACAGCAGCAACAACAACAGCAACGATGACAACAGCTATGGCAGCAACAACAAGAGCAGCTATGGCGGCAACAGTGACGATAGCAGCTACGGCGGCAACAGCAACAAGAACAACGATAGCAACAGCTATGGCAACAACAACGACAGCAGCAGCTACGGCGGCAACAACAGAAACAACGACAACAACAGCTACGGTGGCAACAGCAACAGCAACAGCGACAGCTACGGCAGCAACAGCAACAACAGCAGCTATGGCAACAACAACAACGACAGCAGCAGCTACGGTGGCAACAGCAACAACAGCTATGGCAACAACGACAACAACTACTAGGCTACTCTGAAGCCGAAATGCTGGCCGGTCAAGTCACTTAAGCGTAGCAGCGAGCGTTTGTATATAGCGTAATTGACAGGCGAGCCAAAGAGTTGTATTTCATATCGAAGTGAACAGTGATGTATGTGCTTTTATTGTGTTTACGACGTATGAACTGTCCGTTCGGGCTTACCTTTCTATCTGGTCGTCCCCCTCGCCCTCCTCCAGGTCGTCCTCTTATACATGGCTCTCCGTCACCTGTCACCCAAGGTTCCTCCGTCTTACGCACACCGCTCGTCGTGACGACAGCACTGGCATTCGTCCTGATGCATCTCATACAAGACGAACTCAGACACGCTAGTCTCCATTGAGCGTCTGCGCGCGGATGTCCAGAACGGGCTAGCGTACTACATTCGCACGACTCGAGTACATGTCGCCGTAAGCGCATATCGCCTGCACTGTCCCGATACATGCATGTAGCCAAGTACCCCTCCGTAGCCTCACTGCGCGTAATAGTTCCCGCGGGGTTAGTGGGCCACTGGCGCGGAAGCTGCTGCCAGTCTGAACAAGCTGTCCCTTCCGAGTCTGGCAGCCCGGCCATTGAGCTGCGCAGACCGCTTTTTATGCTCGCCGTCCCCTCTGCTGCTCCATATTTCGAGTTCCAATCTCACTCTCTGCTTCGTCGCCTCGTCTCTCCGTCTTCGCCTCTTGTCTCTGCCTGTCCCTCCGACCATGGCTGCCCCCTCGTTTGTGCCGCTCACCGAGCGCCCCCTCAAGAACACCATCTGCCTGTTTGACGTGGACGGCACGCTGACGCCAGCTCGTCTGGTAAGACTGTCTCTTGTTGTTCCTGTCTGCGACAAACGTACTGACACTCCCCCCAGCACGTCGCCCCAGAGACGCTCGATGTGCTGCACCGCCTGCGCCAGCGCTGCGCCATCGGCTTCGTCGGCGGCTCCGACCTGTCCAAGCAGGAGGAGCAGCTTGGCGGCGCGGACGTCTCGGTCAAGCAGCTGTTTGACTTTTGCTTCTCCGAGAACGGCCTGACGGCCTTTAAGCTGGGCGAGCAGCTGCCGAGCAACTCGTTCATCCAGTACATTGGCGAGGACAACTACAAGGACTTTGTCCGCTTCGTCCTGCACTACATTGCCGACATCGACATCCCCGTCAAGCGCGGCACCTTTATCGAGTTCCGCAATGGCATGATCAACGTCTCGCCCATCGGTCGCAACGCCTCCACCGCTGAGCGCCTCGCCTTTGAGGCCTACGACAAGGTCCACGGCATCCGCAAGGCCCTGGTCGAGCAGCTGCGCGAGAAGTTTGGCCACCACGGGTTGACGTGAGTTTTTTTTCTATTTCTTTTTCTTTCAAATGTCTTCCCTTTTCCCTTTCTCTTTCTTTCTTCCTTCCCCCCCTTTTAACTTTCCTAGATTCTCCATTGGCGGTCAGATCTCCTTTGACGTCTTCCCCACCGGCTGGGACAAGACCTACTGCTTGCGTCACCTCGAGGCCGAGGCCAAGAAGCCCGACGGCGTCGAGTACACCACCATCCACTTCTTCGGCGACAAGACCTTTGAGGGCGGCAACGACTACGAGATTTTCTCCGACCCTCGCACCATCGGGCACTCCGTCACCTGCCCCGAGGACACCGTTGCCGAAATCAAAAAGCTGTTCGACCTGTAGACGGGAAAAGATAACAGATCTCTCACGAACAACCACGATAGACGGGAAATAAACGAGCACGCACACTGCAGATATATAGCACATAGTTGCAAGGGAATACAAGCAGTCTTTGGTCTAGCAATCTTCACTAAACACGTCATAATTCACAAACCCCAATATACAGTCATACCCCCTCTAACGCCCAAACTCAAGATGCGGGATGATCACCGGCCCATATTTGGTCGGCGTGCCGCTGAAGCCGCCGTCACCCTGCACGACATAATCGACGGCTAGGCTGAGCTTGCTGAGGCCCTGCTGGCCGCCACCCGGCGTCGAAGCTACACTGCCGCCGGCTGCAAGCGTGTCTGGGTCGTAGGCCACCACGGCCACGTAGTTGCGGCGGTTCATCAACTTCTTGTACTCGCGCATCATGCCCGACGCGTCCAGCTGGAAAATTTCCATCATGTCTTCCTTTGTGTCTGATGCCTCGTGTGTCGACAGGTGGCCGTTCTGCGGCACGTAAAGCAGCCGGTTGTTGTGCAGCAGCTTGAGCATGTATCCGTTGGCTGGAGCCCCAACCACCGGCGACGAGATGATCTGGTACATTGTCTTGTGGTTCGACGGGTGCGACGGGTCGTGCAACAGGCCGGCGCCGCATGAATGGACGTCTGACAGTGTTAGCATCCAACCATGGTTTTCTTTCTTTTTGGGGTCCTCTCTGTTCTGCTCCCCCCTTCGCCATTGCTCACCTCCTGATAGAAATGTCATGCGGATCCCCTTTTGCTGCGCGATGCCCTGCAACGTCCGGATCAGATAGGTCCGCTCCAGGTCCTTGGACTCGTGTGTCCACAGGTCGCGCAACTCTTCCGCCAGTCCAAACTCGCCAAAGTTGTTGAGCATGTTGCCCATCAACCCCGACTTGCCAATCGCCTTCTTGACCGACGAGAAGCCCTGCTGCACCACCTCCCGCCCACCGACCACGCCGGCTACCGAGCTTGTCAGCTTGCCCACCAGGTTGTACGTCGTGTTGACCGCCTTCTTGCCCGTCTGGAATGTATTGGCCAACGTCTCCATCGTCTCTAGCCGCGGATACACCACCGGCACCGACAGCATCCAGAGGCAGTGCTGCACGCTCGGCGGCAGCAGCGCCACCTTGGGAAACAGTCCCTGGTACGTCGGGCCTGCCAGCACGCGCGTTTGTGTCCGCTCCGAGCGGCAGTCGGGGCCCACCACCACCACCGCCGGCCCGAGGTACTTGACAAAGTGCCATCCCGCACCCGTGATCGTGAACACGTCGTGGTCCGTGTGTACATTGCGCAGGATCTCGATCGTCGTGTGGTGCTGGAAGAGCAGGTACATCTCCACGGCGATGCGGCCAATGTTCTTGAACACCGCCGTCTGCTGCATGTAGTCAGGGTACGATCCAAAGCCGTCGAATCTGTTTCAGTGTGTCAGATTCTGAATAAATAAGGGGAAGCGGCATGAGAAAATACGGACATGTCGTGATCGTTCACCTGCAGGATATGCGGAATTTGCGCAAAAGCCTCGCGCAGAAACGGCTGGTCAAAGTGCGACGTGTAGTAGTGGAAGTAGGCGTGCAGCACGTCTTCCTCGTGTCGGGCCGTCCACTGCACATTCCTGCGGTTCTCGCGCCCAGAGATGGCCAGCCACTGCTGCAGCAGCGGCACCTCGCGCCATAGCCGATCGCCGTAGATCTGGTCGCCCAGCCCCAGCTGCACGTGGAAACCGCCACACTCGACGTTCTTCTGCAGCACGTCCTTCCACATAAAATCCAGGCCACCTAGCCGATTGCGCTCGGTCTGCGACGTCGATGGTGCAAAATCGTTGCCCGAATGCGCGATGAACCGCCAGCCCAGCTCGTGCCGCCCGGCCACGGCAAACTCGTAGCGCGTGCAGCCTAGGTGCGACGTCACCGCATACGTCCAGCGCTCCGTGCCGTGCTCGCTCATCTGCAGGTCGATATCGTACTTGTAAAACGTCCAGCGCTGGTGCGTCGAGATGCTGTACGACACCAGCTGCCGCGGGTTGGGCGACAGGTCGACGCTCAGGTGGATGTGGATTGTCGGCGGCTGTGGCGCGTCTGTTACGATCATGATGCTGCCTAGCCAGATGCCCTTCTCCACGTCCATGTTGACATAGCGTAGATACGGCCCAAAGTACACCCCGTTGGTGGGCGCGATCTTGTACATGTCCACGCCTGCGCTGGGCGGTGGTCCCGCAAAGCCGGCCGTCGGTGCCGCCGATGCGGCCAAGCTCGTGATGCTCTCTGCGTAGCCCGGCGTCGGTGGGTACATGGGCGATGCGATTGACTGCTTTGCAAACGGCGACCCCAGCGGATTGCCGTACGTCGATGTGGCCGGTGACAGCGGCGTGGGATCGTGGTGGATCGGGTTCGGACCCTTGGGAAACTCCCATTGCGTGGCCTGTGTGGCTAGATGGATGTAGTAGTACTGGCCCGAGTTCTGGTCCAGATGTGAGATCCAGCCTTCTGGCAGCGGTGGTGGCGACTGCATTCCCTGAACGGACGGTTTGTGTGCTAGTCCACCTGCTGCAGCGTTTTGCTGCGTGCTTTCGGGCCGGTCGTTGGCAAATGCCGGATGGCCAGCATTGTGCAGGCCTGGTGACGCCAGAGGATTGCTCATGATAGGATGCTTGACCTCAGAAGCCGGTATCGAAGCAGCCGCTGCCACGCCCCCTGCCATGGCTGCTGCTGCCGGGGCATAGCCCGACGTCGCCACAGGCACAGCTGCTGCTGGGGTTACTGCCACCACTGCCGGGGTGGATTGCGGACGAGATATTGCCGCAGTCTGGGGTTGTGCCTGAGCCTGAGCCTGTGCTTGGGCCTGAGCCTGGGCCTGAGCCTGGGCCTGAGCCTGGGCCTGAGCCTGAGCCTGAGCCTGAGCCTGAGCCTGAGCCTGAGCCTGAGCTTGTGCTTGTGCTTGTGCTTGTGCTTGTGCTTGTGCTTGTGCCTGGGCCTGGGCCTGGGCCTGTGCCTGTGCCAGTGCTTGTGCCTGTGCCAGTGCTTGTGCCTGTGCCAGTGCTTGTGCCTGTGCCTGGGCCTGTGCCTGAGCCTGGGCCGCCTGCTGGGCTTGGGCTGCTTGTTGGGCTTGGGCCGCCTGTTGCTTCTCCTGTGGGTAGGACGAGGGACCGCTGGGATTTACACTGGTGTAGGCTGGCGGAGGCGTGGATGCCTGCATCCGCTGAAAGTCCTGCTCCAACACGCTCACCTGCAGGTTCGTCTGGTTTGTGTTGCCGTCGCCGGCGCCAGCAAGGGCCGGGTGCACTGGCGGGGCCGAGCTCCCAACAGGCGGAGGTGGGCTCTGCACAGGAGTGGTTCCTTGGTACACGGTGGGTGGCCCGTGTGGCTGACTGTCCGGTGACTCGGTTGGTGTCCACGGACGCTGAATTGGTGGCGCCGGCTGGGGTGTCGCAACTGGGCGTCCGTAATGTGCCAGACGCTGTGCAGCTGCCGCACTTGGAGACTGGAAGCTGTTGAGCGTAGCCGTGCCAGAGATGCCGGCAGCCGCATAGCGCGCCTCGATGCCGCCACCGGGAACGTTGCCTGGTTCCACAATAGGCGTCTCCGGCGGAGGCGGCGACCCGCGGCTGGCGCGTGTGGTCGACGTGGAGGCCGTGGATGCAAACCGGTTCATGCCACTGCCACCACCGCCACCACCATCGAGTTCCACGGCCATTTGCAGCGAGTCGGAATCGGTGCGTGGCCGACCGACCGACCCGGGTCCAGCTGCCGGGGCTGTAGTGGGGACAGACGAAGATGAGGACGATGACGCGGCCGGCGGCGGGTAATAGGGCTTGTTCTGGTAGCTGGTGGATATTTTCTGCTTGGGGGCTTGGCTTATTGGCTTGGCAAAGAACTCATCGTTGTCGACAGGACTCGTCGGCGACAGTGACGTTGGCACAGCCCCTCGTCTCTCGGCCAGGCCGGGCTTCTTTCCAGTAGGACTAAGGGGCAACCGCGGCGAAATGTCGTTGTAGCTGCCGCCTGTAGACACATGTGGCCGTCCACTGTTGCTAGGGCGGTCGTCGTCGGGATACGGTGGCCGGCTGACTTTGTGAGCCTGTGGCAGAATCTCGTCGTCAACCGGATACGGCAGCGGGTTGGCCGAGCTTGAAGCACCCGGAGGCAGGGGAAATGAGGGCCGTGTCGAGCTGGTACCGACAGGCCTGGACGCTGTGGACGAAGAGGACGGCGGCGGCGGATAGCGAAAGCGCTCGGAGCTAGAGTGGTCAGTCGTCCCTGTGTTCGGGCTCTGGGGCCTGAATATTCTCAGAGGCTCGACCGTAGGGCTGTCGCATTCATCTGCCGGACGGCTCATGAAGAGCTCTTCCTCGGAGATGCCCCGCGATCTGTTGGCCATGGCGGGGGCTTGTGTACCCTTTTGTTCGAAAGGCGACGCGTGGGCAAAGATGGATGCGCTGTATGATGGCCGCGGGATCGAAAAGCGCAAAGGGTACTGGCCGATGTTCTGCTGGGTCGCAGCTCTGGTCGGTATGAGGAAAAAGGAGGAGTGTAAGACGGCAGGAATGGGTGTGAGAAGCAAGAAGCACAAAACGTTTCAAGATCAACAAAAGTTAGAGAAAAGTGAGGGGAGAGGAGGCAGAGGAGAGCCAAGGTGCAAGAAAATAAGAAGCAGGGCGCTCTGCGATCGATATGCGGCCAGTTTCGCGGCCTGACAGGGGACAATCGAAGGAGGGGGGAAGGGCATCAGAGAAGAGGAGCGAGGGGTTCGAGTCCGGTCTCGAGGGCCTGTCCATCCACTAGGGAAGTCTAGCGGCGGCATCGCTGCTGGAGGCCGCGCAACCGCCAGCCAGTTGGAAGAGACCGCTGCTGCATAATGACATTATGCTTGGTGACGGGTCGCTGTGGCGCTGTGATTGGCCGCTGGGCCTGGGCGCTTAGAATGGAGAACGGGTGGCTCCTCTTCTCCTTGTTGTAGTCCAGCGCTTGCAGCAGACGACCACTGAGCTGCTGGCTTTGCCTCTTTGTCGCCGGAGAGACAACGCGTTTGACCGGGATCTAACATCCCCTGGAATCACGGAAGGTGCCCGACATGCTTGGGCTCTGCAATCAGGCAGCCGCATTGAGGGTGAGGGTGTGCTTTGTCCGAGTCTTTCGAGACAGTCCTCTTTACAAGGCTGAGACATGTGGAAAAACAGCCTGGCAGCTAAATTAAACTGGCCAGCGACGGAGCCAAACATGGTGCATGTCCGTGGAGGCCCAACATTTCGCTCTTTAGCCGCCAGGCAATTTGCTGCTCACAATTCGAAGACTGGTCATCGCCATGGTCTGGCAGCGTGTATTCTGGTCTTTCCAGCGTAAAGGTACCATATTAGCTGACTGCTTATTGCGAATTGATTCCTTTTGTAATAGGATACTCACTTTTGTTCGATAGCTGACAGCGGCGTACTGGGGTTACGACAAAAGTCGATAATAGAAAAGTTGAACTTCAATGGTTTGTCTTGAACAAAATATGGAGAGGCGAAAATACTTGAAAGCGTTTCTCGTCAAATGTCCAAGAAGCAGATCATTCGGCAAATCCCTGGAGTCGGCAGGTGTGACGTACGGGTTGCATTTGCACTTTCTTCTTTGGTTCAAATCAGTGAAAACTGACAATGAAAGTAAGACACAATCGACGGCCCCTTCCCAAGTAGTCGCATCCAGACTAGGGGTGTGCCTTTCACGACAGTCTCCTAACTACAGATAACACGTGAATCACGACGCGGGCGGCCTACATTTTTACTCGTGAAGGACATTGGGAATTAAAAAGCCGGGCAGGGGAAGTGAAAGTCAGGACTGCTGAAAAGTTAGACTTTACTTATTAGGCTTTGCCGTGCCATGATTTGGTGCCCTTGAAGCAAGGCCAGGAACTTAGGAAGTAAGCCGACGTCGCCATACATTGCAACATAATGTAATGACTGTGTCTATGGAGATCAATAGGGACAATGTAACTTACTGGTCTTCAGTCATTAGTCACTGCTGGAGCTAGAGGACTCTTGTTACCTCAATCGGTGACGCTTCCAGCACGTAGCATTTGTTCTTCTTTTATACTTGAAGAAAATAGTCTTCCTACAACATCTTACTCACTACGAGCAGCCGCAACTTACGACGTGTCACCCGGTACCCGGCTTCTCTATGTGCCAAAACGAGCATCTGCTGCTTATATGAATCTATCGAGGCGCCCCAATTTAAAGACCGGCCTACCATCACGTGTATACCCCACTGTTATCTCTCGTTCCTCTTAACTAAAACCACTGTTGTTTTCTTCGCTGTTAGCACCCCCATGCATCACACACCTTCCGAAGAATCTGTTTCTCTAATAATCCACACAAACCTTACGGACCACCACCGCCACCACCACCACCACCACTTCACAGAGGCCTTGGGCAGAGATTCTTTCTTAGGATCTCGGTCTGGATAACTTAGAACTACCTCTGGTGAGTCTGGAACGTGCTTGCCTGCTCCACGTACTTGTCTTTCTGCTGTTGCACACCATTCATATCGTGGGCCTTCCATCAAATATCGTCAAAACCAAGGCATGTGCATCGCGTGCATCATGAATGCTCCTTGATCAGGGCCTCTATTCTTGATATTGAGCGTCCCTATAGAGATACTGGGCTCTCGCGAATTTCCTGATCGGGCTATCTCTGCTCGCTGCTCGCTCAGGCGTCCGCAATTCCTTCCCGTCATCTCCCAGCCTCGTCTATCATCGAGTCTATCGCCAGTATGCGACAAGCTGCCTGTCTTGGCCTGCTTGCTTCTTCCTAGACTTTCTTGCCTATCTCTGGGTCGCGTGAATCCTGCAAACAATGTCACGCTGCTACAACCTGCTCCATGCGTGGAAAACTCTGCAAACCCAACTTTCATCAAGCTGACCGCGCTCTCCATCACCAGCCATCCGCCTCCCACATGTTCAAAGATGTCGGCCTCACCAGATTCGGGTCCAGAAGATGGACACTCGTCTCCGACAAGATATGATGTTGCTGCGGCTCGAACACCCGTTCGCCAGAGCGAGAGCGACTTGTCTGAGGCCGAGCCGACATACGAGGACGACCCATCACCAGATTCCGACGATGACCGGATAGAAGAAGATGCCGGTATCGATGAACAGCTCTCTGGGGAGGATGCCTCTGAGCCTAGCGATAATGATGCATCGGACGATGCTGATTTCGATGGAGTCCAGAGCGACGTCGACATCGACGCCGATGCTGACATTGTCCGCGACCAAAGCGAGTCCTCGAGCGATTCGCGTCGCGCTCCGAAGCGGAAGGCCGACTCCATGCTGGAGGACGACTATATCCGAAAGGACCCCGCGCTCTACGGACTCAGGAGAAGCGTACGTATCTGGCCATGGACAACCTGCCAAGCTATCTTTGCCTGTGCTAACTTGTGTCAGTCCCGTCCTGTCCAGCGCCGCAAAATCGTGAGTCGATGTGGCAAGAGGCATTGCTGCACAGTGCCACCATATTGCTCTGTCATATCTAACCAGACGTACGGATAGGTTGCATCTGATGACGACTCTGACGAGGAACCTGTTCCTCGACGCAAACCAAAAGCACGACGCGTATTGCTCGAAACATCACGGCAGTGTAAGTTTCTCCCGTCCCTCTTCCCCTCCCAGTGTGTAGCATCTCTAGACTGGACGCATCCCATGACTGGTCTTCCCACCTTCCTCGGCGTTGTTTGGTTGTCGTAAATCCCTCACGGCCATCTCTACGTTTCGCCTTATCATTGCTGGCAACCATACCTAACACGCGCTCTTTCCAACCGCCTAGCCTCAAAACGAGGAACTCCTGCTCGCAATACCTCCATCGATGAATCCGATTCGGACAATTACGGCGGTGCCCGGGCACGAAGCTTCCAGAAGAAAGCACGACGACAGCAAGAGGCACAACCATCTCTGGCATATGCCGAGAAACGGTGGTCTAGCCGTCGCGCTGCGCAAGTCTCTGTCGGCGCCTACAATGAGAGTGATGTCGAAGAGGACGAGGAAGCATCCGAGATGACTCTCGGCTACTACCAGCCCGAAGTGGAGGACAATTCTCCCTACATCGAAAGAATTGTACGCCACCGCGTGAAAGAGGGTGTCGAATTGACACCCGACTCCAACCGCCACGATTACGAATACTACATAAAGTGGCAGGGTCAATCGCATCTCCACGACACATGGGAAACGACTGACAGTGTTGCGGGATTCCGTGGCTTCCGTCGTCTGGAGAACTATTTTCGGAAGGTTGTTGACGTCGAGCTGGACATGCGGTTTGGTGGTGATGATTATACCCCGGAGCTGAGAGAGCAGTGGCTGTTGGACCGTGAGCGTGATGAAGAGGCACACGAGGACTACACCAAAGTCGAACGCGTCGTTGCTAAGCGGAACGGTGTTGACGGCATCGAGTACTTCATCAAATGGAAGGGCTTGCAATACGATGAATGCACCTGGGAAGCCGCCGATTTGGTCAGCTCACACGCACAAGACAAAATCGACCAGTTTCTCGACCGCATCTCGCGCTCTTGGACCTCTGACCGCAGCGAGTCCAATGTCAACACCCGGTCTCGCATGACCAAGATCGATAAGCAGCCATCATACGTCACGGGCGGCGAGCTGCGCGAGTTCCAATTGAAGGGATTGAACTTTCTTGCGCTCAATTGGACCCGTGATAATAACGTCATCTTGGCCGATGAAATGGGTCTGGGAAAGACCGTGCAGTCTGTGTCGTTTTTGAGTTGGCTGCGGAATGAGCGTGACCAAGAGGGCCCCTTCCTCGTTGTGGCCCCTCTCAGTGTCATTCCCGCCTGGTGTGATACCTTCAGCTTCTGGGCTCCAGATATCAACTATGTCGTCTACCTCGGCCCGGAGGCTGCTCGCAGCGTCATCCGGGACCACGAGCTCATCGTCGATGGCAACCCCAAGAAAACCAAGTTCAACGTGCTCGTCACCTCGTATGACTTCATCCTCCAGGATTGGGAGTTCCTGCGCACTATCAAGTGGCAGGTCCTGGCCGTTGACGAGGCCCACCGCCTGAAGAACCGCGAATCCCAGCTGTACAACCGGCTTGTCAGCTTCAATATCCCTTGCCGTGTACTCATTACGGGCACGCCTATCCAGAACAACCTCCACGAGCTGTCCGCCTTGCTGGACTTTCTCAACCCGGGCAAGGTGGTTGTTGACAAGGATCTTGAGGAGCTCGGTCAAGCCGAGGTGAAGGTGGATGATGAGGACAAGGACGAGGTGAAGGATGAGCTCAAGCGCCGGGAGACCCAGGAGAAGCTGACAAAATTCCACGCTGCTATCGCGCCGTTTATCCTTCGCCGCACCAAGGAGACTGTCGAGTCTGATCTGCCTCCGAAGACAGAGAAGATCATCCGCGTCGAGCTCTCGGACGTGCAACTGGACTACTACAAAAACATCCTGACGCGCAACTACGCGGCTCTGAGCGATGCCAGCGGTGGCCACAAGCAATCTCTCCTGAACATCATGATGGAGCTGAAGAAGATTAGCAACCATCCGTACATGTTTGCAGGTGTCGAGGAGCGTGTTCTCAAGGGCAGCGTCCGGAGGGAAGACCAGATTAAGGGCCTCATCACCAGCAGTGGCAAGATGATGCTGCTGGACCAGCTGCTTGCCAAACTGAAGAAGGACAACCATCGCGTCCTGATCTTCAGTCAGATGGTGAAGATGCTGGATCTTCTTGCCGACTACCTTCGTGTCCGCGGCTATCAGTTCCAGCGACTGGACGGTACTATTCCAGCAGGTCCCCGTCGCATGGCCATCAACCATTTCAACGCCGAGAACAGCGATGATTTTTGTTTCCTCCTATCGACGCGTGCTGGCGGTCTTGGTATCAATCTCATGACTGCGGACACAGTCATCATCTACGACTCCGACTGGAACCCCCAGGCTGACTTGCAGGCCATGGCTCGTGCTCACCGTATCGGACAGAAGCGGCCAGTCAACGTCTACCGCCTAGTGGCCAAGCAAACCATTGAAGAGGAAGTGGTGAAGCGTGCCCGAAACAAGCTGTTCCTCGAGTATCTCACTATCCAGGCCGGCGTCACCGACGAGGGCAAAGCATTCCGCGAGCAATTTATGGACAAGGGTCTCCAGATTGACGAGGCCAAGACGGCGGAAGACATTCAGTGGATTCTCAAGATGCGGTCTCAGAATCTCTTCGAGCAGTCTGGCAACCAAGAGAAGCTGGAGCAGCTGGACATTGACAGCATCCTGGAGAATGCCGAAGTCACCAAGACAAATGTCGACGACAAGCTCAACCTCAGCAGCGGTGGTATCGACTGGGACAACTGGATGCAGGTTACGGACGTCAAGGTAGACGACCTCGCACTGGACTGGGATCAGATCATTCCAGCCGAGCAGCTCGCTGTCATCAAGGCCGAAGAGGACGAGAAGAAGCATGAAGAATATCTGGCGAAGGCGGTAGAGGAGAACGCTCCCAGACGAGCGACACTGAAGAACCAGAGACGGAACCCAGACACCGATCGCGCCGACCGGCTGGCAAAGAAGCGGCAGCGGGAGAAGCAAGAGCAGGAAGAGTTTGAGGAGCGGCAAGCAGCACTGAAAGACCCCCACCGGCCACTGAACGAAAAGGAGACGCGGAATCTGATCCGAGCCCTGTTTCGATACGGTTCGATCGAAGACCGGGGGGATGATATCATTGCGGATGCTCGGCTTGGAGATCGTGATCGTGATTTTGTAGTGTCTGTTGTGCACGATCTTGTGAACACCAGTCGCCAAGCGATTGACAACAACACGTCACGCGTCCGCGAGGAGCTGGAAAAGGTGGGCAAGACGCCGTCTCGGAAGGACAAGAAGGCAGTGCTGGTGGACTTTGGGGAAGTAAAGAAGATCAATGCGGAAACGATTGTCGAACGTCCGCCGCAATTGCGGCTGCTTCGACAGGTGATCGAAAACCACGGGAACCCGCACTCGTTCCGGCTTCACGACGCGACCAAGGCGGCTCACTACACATGCGAATGGGGCGCCCGCGAAGATGGCATGCTTTTGGTAGGCATCGACCGCTACGGCTTTGGGGCCTGGGCGCAGATTCGCGATGACCAGGAGCTGCTGATGACGGATAAGTGCTTCTTGGAGGAGCACCGGGTGGAAAAGAAGGAAGAGCGCAAGAAGGGCGAGGAGAAGATCATCCAGTCTCCTGGTGCGGTGCACCTGGTCCGACGTGCGGAGTATCTCCTCTCTGTTTTGCTGGCCAAGTACTCGGACGACGCGGCGGCCCAGAAGGCCGTCGAGAACCATCACAGGAGCAAGAAGGGCGGTGCCAACGGCTATCGGCGAAACCATTCGGGCTCCCCAGCGCCTGCCATGTCCAAGCGGCCGAGCCAGACGAAGGAGAAGCAGCGAGAAAGGCCGATCTCGCACAGCGACTACCTCAACCTCCGGCCACAAAGCAACGGCGGCGAGCGGTTGTTGACGCCCCGCAGCGAGTTCAAGCGCAAGCACGACTATGACCGTGGTGATCATGATGAGCGGGACCGCAAGCAGCGACGGGCATATGAGGCAGATCGTCGCGAAGGCAGCTCGGCAACGGCGGTGCAGAAAGAGGGTGGGCCGAAGGAGAAGGAAAAGCGCAAGAAGCTCGATGCGGAGACGTTGGAGCGACTGAAAAATGCGCAAGGCAAGGCAGTGCAGCGGTTCGAGGAGCTGATGAAGCTAGACGACAACAAGCTCAACTACGGCGACGACGAGCAGGTGATGTGGTCACTTCTGAAGCCTGTGCGGCGAAACTTTAAGAACATCATGGAGACGACGCCGGAACGGGTGGAGAAGGCCAAGGAGCGGGCGGCCATCATGGGCAAGGAGCTACGGCAGATTGGCGACTGCGTGGTGGGACTGAAGAAGAACCAAGCAGTACCTGCACAGAAACTGGATGCCCTAATGCCGCGCTTCTGGTATGTTGTGTACGAACTTCTGCCTGGTGGTTGTGATGTTAACGATGCGTTTAGGGACTTTTTGTCATCGATCTGGCCGATCAACGACTTTGCCGTTTCGGGAAGCCAGCTGTCAAAGATGTATGAGGCGCTGCGAGCCAAGGACAAGGGTGCCAAGGACCGAGCAGAGAAGCCGGAGCGGGCAGACAGGCTGGAGCGTGACGATCTGGAAGACGGCGAGATCGACAGCGAGCGGGACGGACGTCGGGACGGGAGACACGACCACGAGCGAGACCGTGATCGAGAGCGCGACCGTGACCGCGATCGCAATCGGGACGGCAGACGCAGCGGTGTTGTAGGCGAAGGGCCGGAAACCGGAGATCGGCTGAGCTTCCGCAAAGAGCGGCGTGACTATCAGCCACCACGTGACTGGGAGCGGCTGAGGCCGTCTCCATGGCAGCAGCAGCAGCCACAGTACACTTCGCGGCCGAGTCCATACTAATGGAGTGGCTGTTTGAGCAGGGTTTGAGCGACCAGTGATACCACAGCGAGGCTGGATAATTTTGGAGACTTGGATTGTTTCCGGAGGGGTGTGGATTAGGCGGCAGATGGTGTGGTTGTGGTGTGCAATGATAGACAATTCTGGGACGAGTGCTGATGTATCAACTGATGTATACGATTGGCCCGTGAACTAGCAGGCGTTTGAATAGGAAGGGATCAATGGGCAAAGCATGAGCATCTATGTCACGGAGTACTGGGACAGAAAAAGCGGCAGCGTTTGGGTTGAGCAAGATAGAAGCATGCTGCTCATACTATGTATGTATCTGAAGTGGAATACGAAAGGCGAAGGTGGCACTAAGCAGCGGCTGGAATACGATGTGGCGAGCCCCTCATCTTAGCATGGTCCGAGCTCGTTGAGCAATATTGGACACGTCAGATATTAGCAGGAGGAGCTCGGGGCCCTCTGTGGCTGGGGCGAGGGCCACAGACGTGGGCACGTGGTCTGCAGTACGGACGTAAGAAATCTTATCTTGAGACAGGGCCAAAGGAAAAAGGAAAGTGGAAAGAAGACAGCGGCAGGGCGAAAGGGCAGGAGCAGGATACGCAGCCGGACAGGCCGTTTCAACGGCTGAGACAGGCTGGCAGGTGCTCGTGGGGCTGGAATGGTGCTGTTTATATAAGATACGATAGCACGTCGTCAGTACTTACACGGTGCTCCGTTCGGCGGCTTCCTTATTTATCGCTCAAATTCCCGGCCGCTTCGCGCGTCAGCTGAATAGGGGCACAGCTGAGGGCATCTTTCCTTTTTGGTGCTCAGACGACGTTCCACAGCGTGCTCGGTCCTGTCTGCTCGGTGCCGACGTCTCTGGCATGCGAGCTCTGCACATAAGATACATCGTACAGCACTCCATGCAGCATTTCGCCGTCTTGGCGAGCTGGAGCTATTTTTAGTGTAGTGTCGCTGTAGCGAGGTCGAACAGCGCCCAATTTCCAGTCTGGACGGCGATGCTCCGTACGAATGCTCCGTAATAGCAGAGCTCCCCCACCTACCCGACAACGGGCGAGCTGTCCTCTTGGAGCCTCGAGATGTGTACTATGTACGGCATACGAAGGAGATGGCTAGATGGCTGCCTCGTCAACGCACGATTGGAGCAAAAGAATCGTGTGGCTGCTTCAGCTGATCCGTTGCTGGGCGCTACGCCGTGCCAGGCAGCAACTGGCAAACGGATCGGGAAGCGACGAGAGGGCCTAGACGTGTAAAAAGAAAAGCTTCTTTCGCTCTTCACCAGACGGCGGCGGCCCCACCAGCCTACGGAGCAGGAGCGAAGGCGAAAACGGAAAACCAGGCAAGACCAAGACAGAAGAATTAAACGACAGAATTAAACATACTCCGTACATTCCACCGAAAAGCTACCCCCCCTGGTTCGTACTTTCCCGACTAGCTCTGGCTGCGACTTTGTTTCTTCCTGACAAGTGGCCGACCAGCTTCGTTCCCTGATTTTCTCGCGAGAACGGCGACTGTTCATTTCTCTCCCCTCCTTCTTGTCCGTGTGTTACGTGTCTCTGCCTCCCATTGTCTGCCCATCCACCTCACCGTTTCTCCCCCCCCACCTGCGCTGTCGTCCTTCGTTGCCAGTCTCGCTGCGGCAGAATCGTCGGCAGAGCCCATTCTGCCGAGCGGAATTGGGAGCCACTCAAGAAGGACAGCCGTGCACCCATTCTGTGTCCGGCCCTTTTATTCGTCGGCAAGCCTGCCACTACTGCATCCATGCTACCGTGCTAACCCGCCCGCAAGATAGCGAACCCGCAACGCAATAAATAAAACTACACTCTCCGGAGCTATTTAGTTGGTCTATCCCTTCCTCTTTTCTTCCTCCCATCCTGCCCAAGCTTTCTCTAACGTCTGCCCCCCATTGGCTCAGTTCTGCATTCTCTGCGCTCTCCTGCCGCCTTTGTGTTCCCTCATCTTCACTCGCACAGGCAACCCAACCATTCTCTCCGCTGCCAACATGTCCTCCCTTCACAAGAGCCTCCTCCCGTCGCACGCCATTCGGGACGGCGGTGATGGCGAGTACTCCGGCAGACACCACGGCAAGACTCAGTCTCACATGGTGCGTTTTCCGTCCTCTGGCCAGATTTCTGGCTCTTGCTCTCGCTTTCACCCCAGCTCTTCTGCCTGGCCATCTCTCCCCTCTTACTGACAGCTACGACGCCATGCAGGCTTTCGAAAACACCTCCACAAACATTGCCGCTGCCCAGATGAGAAACTCTCTGACGGCCCTCTCCGAGTCGGTCAGCGACCCGGCAGAGAAGAAGGTGAGCAAGTCTAGATCCAAGCCCACATCCCTGTAAACCCTCACCGCCGGACGATGCTCAGATTCGTCCCGCACAAGTCTCCCCGCTCAGGGGTTGTGGCGCACACCGCTGACCCCCCATTTCCTCCCACCCTCCCCTGTATCAGCTCTTCGAGACGGAAATGGACAACTTCTTTGCCCTCTTTCGCCGCTACCTCAACGACAAGGCCAAGAGCAATGCCGTCGACTGGGACCGCATCCGTCCGCCTGCCCAGGGCCAGGTCGTCGACTACGAGCAGCTCGGCAGCACCGAGGGCGTCAGCTTCCTCAACAAGCTCGCCGTGCTGAAGCTCAACGGTGGTCTCGGTACCTCCATGGGCTGCGTCGGCCCCAAGTCGGTCATCGAAGTCCGTGATGGCATGTCCTTCCTGGACCTGTCCGTCCGCCAGGTCGAGTACCTCAACCGTACCTATGGTTGCAATGTGCCCTTCATCTTGATGAACTCGTTCAACACCGACGCCGACACTGCTTCCATCATTAAGAAGTATGAGGGACACAACGTCGATATCCTTACCTTCAACCAGTCCCGCTATCCCCGCATCCTCAAGGACTCGCTCCTGCCTGTCCCCAAGTCCTACGCCGACTCCAACGAGGCCTGGTACCCACCCGGCCACGGTGACGTCTTCGAGTCACTCTACAACTCGGGCGTGCTTGACAAGCTGATTGACCGCGGCATCGAGATCGTCTTCCTGTCCAACGTCGACAACCTGGGCGCCGTCGTCGACCTGCGCATCCTCGAGCACATGGTCGAGACCAAGGCCGAGTACATCATGGAGCTGACCAACAAGACCAAGGCCGACGTCAAGGGTGGCACCATCATCGACTACGACGGCTCCGTCCGCCTGCTCGAGATCGCCCAGGTCCCCAAGGAACACGTCAACGAGTTCAAGTCTATCAAGAAGTTCCGCTACTTCAACACCAACAACATCTGGATGAACCTGCAGGCCGTCAAGCGCGTTGTCGAGAACAACGAGCTGGCCATGGAGATCATCCCCAACGGCAAGACCATCCCCGGCGACAAGAAGGGTGAGTCCGACATCTCCATTGTCCAGCTCGAGACGGCCGTCGGCGCCGCCATCCGCCACTTCAACAACGCCCACGGTGTCAACGTGCCGCGTCGCCGCTTCCTACCCGTCAAGACCTGCTCCGACCTGATGCTCGTCAAGTCTGACCTCTACACCGTTAAGCACGGCCAGCTGCAAATGAGCGCTAACCGCTTTGGTGATGCCCCGCTCATCAAGCTCGGCAGCGACTTCAAGAAGGTGTCCGACTTCCAGAAGCGCATCCCCTCCATCCCCAGGATCATCGAGCTTGATCACCTGACCATCACCGGTGCCGTCAACCTTGGCCGCGGGGTCACGCTCAAGGGTACCGTCATCATCGTCGCCACTGAGGGCAGCACCATCGACGTCCCGCCTGGTTCCATTCTGGAGAACGTTGTGGTCCAGGGTAGCCTGCGGCTGCTGGAGCACTAAGTGCATGTCTTGGCACAGCTCTTGGATGGCTTTGGTTTTGTCCTCTATTTTTGGTCGGGGAGGATTAGGGTGTCCCCCCCCTTCTGAACGAAGCCACTTCTCTATTCTTATTCCTTGCGATAGACGATAACCAGCACCGCAAAAATAGCAAAATTAACGAAAAAAGGGGGACGCTGCATCCGTTCCATCGCCAGCACGGTAATGGGTAGGGACGACGAGTGGTATCACATGACCTCCGGGTGGAAACGGATGGCCACATGGAAGGGGGGATGTCGGCCGCTGAATTGGCTGTTCGGTATCTTCGTTTTGTTCTTTTACCGTCGCGCTACAACTGTTGTAATAGATTCCATCCGCATGCATTTTGAATCGTAAGATTGCAAGTAAACGTGGCTTGATTGCCAAAAGCCGTAAAAGACTCATACTATAGGATCCTACGGAGTACTCGTACTCGTATATCGTACACTGCATCGATAGCCCTCTGTCTGTGACAGGTCATTCACTTGGCCTTCCTCGTTGTGGCCGGCATACCACCGTTTCCATTGCTGCCTGAGCCACCCAGATGACCAGCACCGTGGCCGCTCGTGCTGCTCAGCACATGGCCGGACCCTTTCACGTTTTCCGTACAGACTGGGCAATACCACGTTCCGTTGGGCTCGCTCTTCAGCCCGACACACGACCAATGGAACCACTCAAACGGACAGTCCTCGTTGTCGCACGCCACCATGTCACCAAAACTGACGTTCTGACACAGGCAGTACTTGCGATCGTCACCGGCCTCGTCATCGTCCACGTCCATCCGGTCATCGCTCGACGGCAAACCACCGGCAGCCCCGCGTGGTGCATGCTTAGTCACGGCAGCCCCACCGTTGCCTCCGTGGCTGCCACCTCGATTGGGGCCGTTGCCGCTGCCAGCAATGGCCGAGACGGCCGAGACACCAGACATGCCGCCCATGCTGTCCCTTTCTCGCTTGAGCTGAGGCTGCGCCGAGCCCTCCTTCTCGCCGGATCCACCATTGCCTCCGTTGCCGTTGCCGTTGGCCGCTCCCGGTCCCGATCCCCCCGTGTTTCCACCGTGTGATAAGCTGCGGGCAGGCGTTCCGCGGCGAGACGATCCATTGGACTCGGACGCAGAATCTGCCTCCGACAGCTCTGACTCGGCCGTGGAGGAGGTAGCCGAGTTCTTCGGCCGCTTGACCCGCGAAAGCGTCTTCATCGAAGGGTTCGTGCCGTTGCCCTTTTTGCGGCCAGGACCAGAAGCGGTCACAACGCCGGCAGCAGCTGCCACCAAGCTCGACGAGACAGACGGTGTTCCTAGCTTGCGTCCCGGACCAGCCCCGATGCCCTTCATCAATGTGGCTCGGGGGCCAGCGCTCCCAGCACGCTGTATGCCGGCTGCAGTCTGGTGGTGGGTCTTGGGTGTACCGGGCCCAAGAGAGGAGTGTCGTGCAAGTCCGCTAGATGTTGCCGGTGCGTTGGACAGAGAACTGTTGGCACGTGGGCCGCGTTTCCCGGGACCAGGACCAATCGACCCCTCTCGCGCGTGGCGCCCGATGATCATAGATGCCGCAGGGCTTGCGGGGGCAGATGACGAATGCCCCTGGTGTACCTGTGCTTGGCGAGATTGGACGATGCTGGATGCACGGCCTGCTCCAGAGCCGAGCAATTCCCTATTTGCACTGCTGTTGACAGCAGACGACGCTGATGCCGATGCATGCTCTTTGTGCATACCATTTGACGGGTTGTAAACCATGGCTGTTGACGAGGAGATTATGGAGGAGCGAACGGAAAGGGAGACTGGATTCGCGGCATTCGTTCGCAGTAAGGAGGGCAGTTCGTCAGGCTCGGAGAAGCCAGGCTCGTTGCGGTCGTAGAGCTGCTTGATTTGCATATCGAGCTGGCGGACATGGCGATCCATGACGGCCTGCATCTTCTGGGCGAGCGCAATCTTCTCGTCTGCCAGCTTCTCGGCCTTGTCGAAGTTCTCGGCGATGACCTTTCGATAGCCCTCTTCACGTGGGTTGACTTCGTGGCTGCCATTGGCTTTGATGCATTTCTGGATGCGGGCATCGCGCTCCTCGATGATCTTGATGCAATCGGCATACCGGCGGTCTCGGTCGGCAATCTCGTCCTGGAGAAAGCGAATCTCTTCGGGCAAGTTGGCCACGCGGTTGATCCAGTCGTCGAGGATCAGAGCCGGATCAAGAGCCTCACCACCCGGCGGCATTCTCTTGACGAAGTCGATGGAAAGATCGTCTCTAGGCATGGTGTCAACCTGACCGTTGGGACTGTGGGAAAATTATGCGCGTTGCGAGTGATACGGGCAGAAAAGATACTGCTCGCCGATAAATCATTTATGAAGACGCGGCGAGAAAGGTATCAAACAGATGCAAGAGCTATGCCACTATGCAATATGGGCCATAACGAAGTGGACAGGAGGGGAAAGGGTGCTCAATAAAAGATATACATAAAAATCTAAGGCAGCACAAAAAAATATGAAAGGAATTGTGTGGCTCACCTCGCGTCTGCTTTGTTTTTTTTTTCCAAATTTTGAGATGGAGATGCGGGATGGGAGCGAATTACGAGTATTGGGGGCAAAAAGGCGCTAGGCAGAATGGAGACTTGTGGGACACTCGTGAAATGCAAGAACCGAAGGTGGCTCCTTGGCCAGAGTTGATCACCTGTTGAGTTAGCCGGGGGGTGTGAAGGTGGGCGGGACCCAGTCGTTGTAACGTACTGTGGCGACCTGGAGCCAGCGAGGAAGCAGGCGTGCAGAGACAGAAGTGAGACGAGGCCCTTGTGAGAGATGATAAGAGGGAGGATGACGAAAGGGAAGGAAGGCCTCGGCGGAGAATGACGCTTTCTGCATACAGCTCCGGGATGAGCACAGAGAAGCACGGAAGGAGCTAGTCGGCTGCCCGAGAGAGGGCAGGAGCAGGGCAGTGGAGAAGGCACGACCCCAGGGAGTAGAACTGGCGATGGAGACCAGGCAGCAGAGAGGAGAGAGCAACTCGGATGCAGCAGCGACACGGAATAGGAAAAAGTTTGAGCCTCGTGCAAACGAAAATGTGGTCCGAGCGCCTATCAAATGCTGCGGGCCCGCGGCCTGCCTCTCCGCTGATGCACGCCTTTCCGGATGGGGACTGGTGCCAAAATGGCTGCCACCTGCAGACTACGAGTCAAGGCCCAGCTGGAAAATGCGACCAAAGCCAGGACGCTTCAAGAAAGCCGGATCTGCCACGACAGACCGACAGAAAGACTTCTTGGGATCGACGACGGCCTGTGGCTTCTTTCGGCTGAGTTACTTTTAATTGTGAGGAAGGAAGGCAAAGTTAGCAACAGCACGAACCAAAACCACGACTGCAGTGAGAACCAGGCGAGAGAGCCGGCTCTGCGAGCCACTGCAGACGCGATGTTGAGTCTCGATGTCGATACGTATCGGTACCGCGCACCGCGGCCAAACTACCTTCCACACACAGTCGCGGCGGACCGGCCAATTGTGGAGGACTATGCACAGCTGGACCGGCCAGGCGACCTCGACAATGCAGAGTATCTGGCCAAGGCTAAGCGGGCGGCACAGGAGTTTAATATCGTGCGGCCAAAGGGCTACAATGTGACGTTTCACACGAATCCGGAGATGGAAAAGCACCACTTTGGGCAGACACACCCGATGAAGCCGTGGCGGCTGACGCTGTCGAAGAGCCTGATCATGTCCTACGGCATGCCGTTTGCCATGGACAGCTACGTGTGTCGGGCAGCGACCTACGAAGAGCTGAGCTCGTTTCACTCAGGCGACTACCTGGACTACCTGGCGACGGTGCAGCCGGAGGCAGTGCCGCGCGACCTGGAGAACCCGTACTCGGACCTGCAGTTCAACATGGGCGGGTCGGACTGTCCGCTGTTCGAGGGCCTGTACGACTACTGCTCGATGTCGGCGGGTGGCTCGCTGGATGCGGCGCGCAAGGTGTGCAACAAGGAGTCGGACATTGCGATCAGCTGGGGTGGCGGGCTTCACCACGCCAAGAAGGCGGAGGCGTCGGGCTTCTGCTACATCAACGACATTGTGATTGCGATCCTGCAGTTGCTGCGCTGCTACCCACGGGTGCTGTACGTGGACATTGACGTGCACCACGGCGACGGGGTGGAGGAGGCTTTCTTCTCGACGGACCGGGTGATGACGTGCTCTTTCCACAAGTACGATCCGCAGGCCTTCTTTCCCGGCACCGGAGGGCTGAGCGACAACGGGCCCAAGAACGAGCACAACCCGGGGGCACACCACGCGATCAACGTGCCGCTCAACGACGGGATCACGGACGAGCAGTACGGGATGCTGTTCCGCAGCGTGATCGGGGCGGTGGTGGACAAGTTCCGGCCGAGCGCGATAGCGATGCAGTGCGGAGCCGACTCGCTTGCGGGCGACCGGCTGGGGCGCTTCAACCTGCAGGTGCAGGGCCACGGGCAGTGCGTGTCGTACATCAAGTCGCTAGGCCTGCCGCTGATCCTGTTTGGCGGCGGCGGATACACGCCGCGCAACGTGGCACGGGCCTGGTCGTGGGAGACGGCCATTGCGCTGGAGTGCGACGACCGCATCGATCCGATCATCCCGCTGCACACACCGTGGCGGTCGCAGTTCCGGCAGGAAGAGCTGCTGCCAACGCTGGAGCAGATTGTGGGCGAGCGACGGCCGAACAAGAATCCGGCCAAACGGATCCAAGAGATTATTCAGCACGTGCACGAGCAGCTGCGGTTTGTGGAGCAGGCGCCGAGTGTGGCCATGCGCGTGATCCCGCCGGACCTGGGAGGCATCCGGGAGGACGTAGAGGACCGTCTGCGCGAGGAGGCCGAGGAGAAGAACGAGGAGGCATTGCGGAAGCCGCGGGAAGAGGGACTTGGAACGGCCATGGAGTATTGAGTGGGTGATTTGAAGAGCAATGTTTGTCGTTTAAGTTTTGACTATACTGCATATACTGCATAGACGAATAAATTCACTAGTGCGATACTCCGGTAAACTCCATACAAAAGACAAAACCAAACAAGTTCCCAATTACTCGTGCATAAAGGCGTCTTCGGCCTCTTGCTCCAGCAGCCGCCGCTTGATGCCGCGCGACTGCACGCCCACATAGGTGACCAGGCCGAGGCCCACGGCCAGGGCGACGCTCAGCAGAATGACGTTGACCGGGATCGGGTTTCCACGGAAGACCTGGTGGAAAAGGTAGTCAAGGAAGGACTGGGAGAAGTTGAAGAGGCCGGCCAGACAGATGATGGCGCCGTAGACGGTGCCAAAGGTGCGAAAGCCAAAGACCTTGGCGCTGTAGTCGGACACGGCGGTGTAGTAAAAGGGGCGATACAGGACAAAGATGCAGATGTTGACATAGGCAGCCCACTCGCGCGGGATGAGCCCGAAGACGCCAATGGTGGTGGCCGTGGTGACGAGAACGGCGAGCACCAAGACCGTGCTGTTGTTGTCGAGGAAGAGGCCAATAAAAGGGATGGACAGGATGCCGCCAAGCGGCAGGGCCATGTCGAAGAAGTTGTTGATGGCCACGGCCTTTTCATGCGAGCCGAGCAGGGCCTCGTACTGCGGCCGCACGGTGGCGACAAAGTAGTTGATCCGGGTCATCTGGATGACGGTGAAGCAGCAGATGAGAACGAACCAGGGCGAGCGGACCTGCTCGAGCGCCGTGTAGTTGTGCATGACGCCCCAGACGCCCGAGATTTCGTTTTTCTTCTCTTCGCGGACGGCCTGCTTGTCGGCCTTGGCCGAGCCGAGCAGCTCCTCGATCTCGGCCGCGACCGACTCGTGCCGCACGCGCGCCTCCTCCTGCAGCAGGGCTGTGTGCTCATCGACCTGGTCAACGGGCTGGCGGCTGGCGGCCGCGGCTGCAGGCCCGACATCGTCCTCGATCTGCTCCATCAGCTCGCCGACGGTCTTGTACGACTGCCGCGGCAGCAGCGTCAGCTGCAACACCACGATGGCGACCGGCACGACGAGGTAGGCCAAGAAGAACTGGCGCTGGCCAAAGGCGCCGCCGGTCCGCTCGTACACGACGCGGTAGCCGAGAAAGAGCGCGCTGGACGCGTCAAAGGCGCCCGTGAGCATGGCCAGGATCAGGCCCGAGTGGCGCGGGAACGCGTTCGACAGCTGGAAGGACGAGATGTACGTAAAGGGGCCGCCGCAGGCCAGCAACAGATAGCCGACCAGATAGCCGTCAAAGGGAAGCGCGCGTGCGTGGGCCATCGTCAGGGCGCCGAAGAAGAGAAAGCCGGCGCCGAGGAGACCACAGAGACGCGGCCCGCGATGATCCAGGATGGCGCCGATCGGCAGCGCCGCCACGTTGGTCCCCACAGCTGCGACGGTGAACATGAAGTTGAGGTGCATCTCGACGCAGGTCTCGCGGTCGGTCCGGTCGCCCGCATTCGCACAGCGCTCCTGGTATGCGCCCTCCTTCTTAAGCACCGGCTTGATAGCTGCATAGCCGAACACAATGCCGGCCGCCAGCAGACAGTAGACCACCGTGGCCAGCACCTGCAGCACGCGCTTCCATTGGGGCACCTCGAACGCGCTGATGGCCTGGATGTTGTCGGTCCGCTCGTCGGGCGGATCCCACTCGTCGGGCAGCGGGTTGAAGCTGATGCGACGCGACCGCACCGAGACGTCCGAGCCTCGCCGCGACGAGTGGTCGCTGCGGACGTAACCAAACGACTCGAGCGAAGCCACCCGGTTGAGAGACATGATGGAAAAAAGGGAGTAGACAGGAAGAGGAGAGAGGAGAGAGGAGAGAGGAGAGAGGAGAGAGGAGAGAGGAGAGAGAGGAGAGGAGAGAGAGGAGAGGAGAGAGGAGAGTAGAGAGTCGGGTAAATCGAGGAGATGAGAAGAGTCGAGGTCGATAAATCAAAAAAGTCGTAAACAGGTCAGAAGTTCCCCTCGATAATAGGTCACACGGCTTTAGGTCTTCCCTCCGACCTAGTTCCAGGCTGAATGTCCTTCCAATTGTGATAGAACCTCCCGCCTCAAAGCGTACTCCCCAATTGCGGCCTTTCTTGGCCTTCTTATATCTGTATCGATGCAACCGCTCGCCTCTTTGTCGAGATCTGGGGCTGGCCGAGTGTGAGAAGTACAGTAGCTTCTGAACCAGACATGGGTCCTTGATGCACAGATAAGAGCTTTCGACTGACCCACCTTCTCTCTGGTGGATCGATGATGCAGAGTCTCCACCCTAGTGCATTACGGCCAATAAAAGGGCCGCATGTCGGAAGATACGATGAACAAGTCCACTATTACGCTTAGATAAGCACACGGCCTACCCCTCAGCAGGCTCCTACGAGTAGGCGCTGAGCCTCGGAATAGGGCTAAACAAGGCCTAATCAACATGTCTCGGCCTGCTTCTTGGTCCTTATTATGGGCTCGTACGGAGTAGTGCGCGGCGAAACCGATCCGATGCAAATTTTCAGGCTCCATCGAGGCGGGAGAAACTGCAGGCCGGTCCGCTCGTTCATGCGCCGAAGGAGTGGCAAAGACCCCCTGGAAGAAAAAGTCTGCTCGCATGTGGACGAAGCCCCGCCTGGTTCTCGAAATTTTAGCACCACCAGATCTGTCAATCAGCAGCTACTATGTACGGTAACCTCCGCCTGCCGAACGTCTCGGCCACCGGCACGGACTCTACGCTTTCCGTCGACCGGGCTGCAATAGCGTCATGGCTGTTAGAAAACCCTCGATGGGAAGAAAATTCTTGCCCGTGAAACGTTACTGCGGGAGCGGCCGTGTCTAGAGATAGGAGCTTGCTAGATTGGGTGCTTGCCAGATGCTGTCAAGAAACCAGAGTGTGGCTCGAAACTGGTGAAGACGTACTTTGCGCTGCGGTGTCTGTTCTTAGCCCTGACGAGGATGCAGACAACCATGGCGATGACAATATGGCAGCAGTCTATAGGACCATGTAAGCATTTACATACACGCACGCACTCATAGACGACACGTGGAGCAGCGAGACAGATGAACGACGAGCATCGGTGCCATTGATTACTCCACAACTACTATCTTATGACAGACAAGTAACTTGGAGAGCAAGGCTTCTTGACAGAAATGGAACAGGTAAACAGATGTTCCATTTTTTCGCCAAATCGTAACCTATTCCTTTACCCTTCACGCTCAAGATGAAACCAATTTCACAGCCGGTTTGGTCATTCCACGTGGCACCTTTCTCAGTCTTAGCATCCGTGTATCATATGCACTGCTGGCAGTCCACCCTCTTGCACTCAGCAACTCTTCATTCTATTAGGCCTGAAAAGGAGCCAATCACAGCTTACAATACCGTCTGCCCACGGCACAGCGGCAACCTATCAATTTCTCTAAAATCAGGATTACTCGCGCTTTGCAGTTGCAAAGCTGCCCCGCACAAAATCGCCCTAGCGTAGTTGCCCTCTTCACCACAAAATTTTTTGGCATTGTTCGATTGTTCATTCTGTAACCGGTTTCTGCTGCTCACCACCTCCTCCCACTCTGTCCCTTTCCGACATATTCGCTTGTCTTCTCTCTCTGACAGGCCTCTCTTTTGTTTTGCCACCTTCTAGCAGTCGGCTTCTCGAAGAACGTCCACTTCCAAACCCTTCTCATCGCTGGACTACCCCGCCTAAAATCGCAGGGCAGCAAATCATATTTTCACCATGGCTGACAAACTTACACGGTAAGAAGCCGCCTTCTTGACCAAGCAACCGGTTTATGTCTTTAGCAGAAACGGCTATACACATGGGAGAATACCAAAGACCTAGATGCTGACCCTCCAACAGTATAGCCATTGTCAGCAGTGACAAGGTTCGTCTACGAAACATCCCTCTTCTGCTCACCTTGCCCGACGTTAAACCCGATATCATGATCACAAAACGCTCGAGCACGGTCGTTGGGATGATGGGGGTGCAATCAAGTATAATGTGACATGTGCTGACATGACTCCTGCTCCATAGTGCAAGCCGAAGGTATGTGCAAGGTGTACCTGTCTGCTCTGCCTGTTCTAGGAGGAAGTCGCTGACGTGCTTTCCAGAAATGTCGGCAAGAATGCAAAAAGTCCTGCCCGGTTGTCCGCAGTGGAAAGCTGTGTATCGAAGTGGCGTCGGACTCCAGAATCGCCTTCCTGTCTGAGAGCCTGTGCATTGGATGTGGTATCTGCCCGAAGAAGTGCCCTTTCGGCGCCATCACGATCATCAACCTGCCGACCAATCTCGATACCCAGCTGACCCACCGCTACTCTGCAAACAGCTTCAAGCTGCACCGTCTGCCTATGCCGCGCCCCGGCCAGGTCTTGGGTCTCGTGGGAACAAACGGTATCGGCAAGAGCACGGCGCTGAAGATTCTGAGTGGCAAGCTCAAGCCCAACTTGGGTCGTTTCGACAACCCGCCGGACTGGGAGGATGTCATCAAACATTTCCGTGGCTCTGAGCTTCAGAGTATGTTTGCCTGCGTTCCTGTCAACGGCGAGACGAAATGCTGACTCAGCAAATAGACTACTTCACGAAGCTGCTCGAGGACGACCTCAAGGCGGTCGTCAAGCCGCAGTACGTCGACCAGATCCCCAAGGCCATCCGCGGCCCCATCAAGTCGGTGCAGAAGCTCATCGAGAGCCGGGCCACGATGGACAACCTGGATGACGTGCTCGACGTGCTGGAGCTGCGCCACATCTACGACCGTGACGTGACGCTCCTCTCGGGTGGTGAGCTGCAGCGCTTCGCCATCGGCACCGTGTGCGTGCAGAAGGCGGATGTGTACATGTTTGACGAACCGTCGTCGTACCTGGATGTGAAGCAGCGTCTGGCAGCGGCGCGCATGATCCGGTCTCTGGTGCGATCCGACGACTACGTGATTGTGGTGGAGCACGATCTGTCGGTGCTCGACTACCTGTCCGACTACATCTGCGTGTTGTACGGACAGCCGGCGGTGTATGGCGTTGTGACACTGCCGTATTCGGTGCGCGAGGGTATCAACATCTTCTTGGACGGCCACATCCCGACGGAGAACCTGCGGTTCCGGCAGGAGTCGTTGACGTTTAAGCTGTCGGAGGGTGCGGACGACTTCATCGCCGACCGCTCACGGGCCTTCCACTACCCCAAGATGGAGAAGACGATGGGCAACTTCAAGCTGGACATTGATTCGGGCGATTTTACCGACTCGGAGATCCTGGTGCTGATGGGCGAGAACGGCACGGGCAAGACGACGTTCTGCCGACTGCTGGCGGGTGCCCTCAAACCAGATGGCACGCGGCGTGTGCCGGAGATGAAGATCAGCATGAAGCCGCAGACGATCACGCCCAAGTTCGACGGCACGGTGCGTCAACTCTTCTTCAAGAAGATCCGGCCGGCTTTTTTGTCGCCGCAGTTCCAGACGGACGTGGTCAAGCCGCTCAAGTTGGACGACTTTATCGACCAAGAGGTCAAGAACCTGTCGGGTGGTGAGCTGCAGCGTGTGGCCATTGTGTTGGCGCTGGGCCTTCCGGCCGACATCTACCTGATCGACGAGCCATCGGCGTACCTGGACTCGGAGCAGCGCATCATCTGCGCGCGCGTGATCAAGCGCTTCATCATGCACGCGAAGAAGACGGCCTTTATCGTCGAGCACGACTTTATCATGGCCACGTACCTGGCCGACCGCGTGATCGTGTTTGACGGCCAGCCGGGCATCCACTCGCACGCCAACGAGCCCGAGTCGCTGCTGACGGGCTGCAACACCTTCCTCAAGAACCTCGACGTGAGCTTCCGTCGCGACCCGGTCAACTACCGTCCTCGCATCAACAAGGCCAACTCGCAGCTGGACCAGGAGCAGAAGGCTGCTGGCAACTACGTATGTGGGATCTTGTTTTGTTTTTTGTTTTATGTTGCTTGTCGATATCGACTAACACGTCCAGTTCTTCCTCGAGGAGGATAACAGCAAGGCGTCTTGAAAGGCAGCTTCAAGGGCACTTTCTACAAATTCGCGCCGTCTTCGCAGCAGCCGCAGCCCGCGCCACAAGCGTCGCCTGGCACGCCGCCATCGGGGCCGTTTGGTAGCAGTGATGGCAGCTACAGCAGCAGCGGTGCCATCGAGAATGAGAATGGCAGCAGTGAAGACGACGACAATGACGATGACGATGACGGCAAGCCGGACGGCTAACATTGGCGACGGCAGTCGACCGCCTGTTGTGATGGTGGACGGAGGCGTCCTGGTGTACATTGGCAACGGATTAAGACGGATGACTGCCGTCGGATGACTGAGGACTCGTGATGGAACGAAAACACGGTGTGGATGGCGATTACGGAGCAGATAGACCGTGACCAAATCAAGAGTATCTTACAATCACTGCATTTGTTGCGCCTGCTATTACCGATTTATTACATACTGTTATTGACTACAACTCTCCCGAAAGTGTTACCCTCTTTTCTCTCCTTTTTTGGGGGCGCAAAAAGCAAAAAACACTACAGATAAAGAAAGCAAGCTACATTCCCTGGGCGAGAAAGGACGGTAGCATGACGGGAAATGGAAAAGCAGGACAAGAACGATACAAAACACAATGATGACGGAAAAAAGCAAAAAAGAAACTGCGGTCCGGTACGTACTGAATGGGCGGAAGAGCTGAGAGGTGTGAAGCGTTTGTGTGTAGTCTGTCTCGTTGCCGAGCGTCTGTCCTGGCATGCTCAGTCTTCCTCAATCTCGCCCTCCTCGCTGCCGCTGTGCACGCCTGCCGCATCGACACCAGAAGCAGTGGTGGCAGTGGTGGCAGTGGTGGCAGCGGTGACAGCGGCAGAGACAGGAGTAATAGCCGCAGCAGGAACAGCAGGAGCAGCTGCAGCCGTCGTCGTCGCCACTGCGGCAGACGTGGACGCCGAGCCGACCGTGGAAGCGGGACCTGAAGCAGAAGCAGTAGCTGGCAGGTCCTTGCCGCGACGAGGCTCATGTTGAGGGGTTCGCTCACGAGGAGAATCGCGTCTCAGTCTCTGTGATTAGTCAGCATGGATAATGACCGATAAGGAGTGGAATAGGACAAGAAAGAAAAGACGTTCCCACCTTTGAATCGCGCGAGTCGCGCCTGTCGGCGTCGTCTTCCTCGCGGCGACGACGCACCGACGGCGGCTTCTCGTCGCCGTAGTTGAGCTCGTCCGGGTTGCGTTCAGCCACGCGCCGACGATACTGGCGCTCCCGCTCTTCTTCGCGGTCCCGTCGCTCGCGGTCGTAGTGGCTCTCGTCCCGTCGTGACATGCGAGGCGGCCGATCATCGTCATCACGCACGCGGTCCCGCTGATCGCGATCCCGGTCCCGGTCTCGGTCTCGGGGCCGTTCGCTACGATCCCGTCCTCCCCGGTCTCGTTCCCGGTCTCGTTCCCGATCGCGATCCCGTTCACGATCCCGTTCACGATCTCGGTCCCGGAATCGGTCTCGGTCTCGTTCCCGGTCTCGGTCCCGTTCTCGTTCTCGGACCCGGTCTCGCTCCCGCTCCCGATCCCGGTCTCGATCACGGTCTCGATACTCACGCGAGTCGACCGATCGGCGATCGTCGTTGACGCCCTCCGAGACGCTCGGCTTCCGGTGGTTTCGCTCCCGCTCAGCCATCGCTCGACGCCGGTCTGCTTCGTACATGTCTGTCTCTGGTGACCGTGACCTGCCACCTGTCCGGGGCACTGCTCCGGCTCCGGCTCCAGTTCCGGCTCCAGCTGCACTGCGGGGCGGTCGCTCACCTCTGTCTCGGTCGCGGTGCGAGGTGCTGCCTCGTTCCTCGACCCGATCGCGCCGTCGCTGTCGGTCCCGATCGGCCTCTTCCTCCTTGTCGTGCAGACGGCGGAGGTACTTCTCGACGGCGCCCTGTCGCGCTTCTTCCGAGCTGACCGCCTGGTATTCTTCAGCCTTTTGGAGACGGGGCTTCACCTTCTCGTATGTATCGCTGGCGGTGAGCGCCGGGTGCATTCGCTTCAGGAACGCGCGGAACTCGTCGAGGGCGCGGCGCTGCTGCCGCTCGGCCTGGCGGTCCTCGTCCGACCGTTTCTCTTTCTTCTTCTCTTGCAGCTGGGAGAGTTAGCGGACGGGTCGCAGTGGAAGTGGACGAGTGCCAGACGTACACGCTCAAAAATCAGCGCGAGAACCTCTCGGTCAATGTTAGCAGTACGACGATCGTCTCTCATAACTGCAAGGAAGCTTTCGAACGTGGTTTTGGGTGTGACCTCAAAGCGTTTGTCCTGGCTGGTTAGCAGGAGTCGGGCCACCCGAACAGCAGACAGACACTCACATCAATGACATCCTCGACGTCGTTGCGCGTGCCACGAAGAGCGCGCTGCTCCTCGTCGACGAGATCCCAGAAGAGCTCCTGAGGCGAGGAGCCGCTCTGGCCGACCATGGCGCGGTAGCGCTCGTCGGTCTCGAGGAGGGGAAAGATGTTGGACCACTTGCTGCCGGCCTTGATCTTGCCGTCCCTCCTGAGGTCGCCAAGCAGGGCGACAAAGGCCTCGCGGTTCTTGCGCTCGACCCGCTGCTTCTGCTGCTTCTCCTCCTGCTTCTGGTCGTTCAAGGTGCGCTCGAGCCCCTTGATGTGGTTTTGGAACACGGTCAGGACGTCATACTGGCTGATGGATGGGTACCTGTCAACGCCCTCGCCCTCGCCCTCGCCCTCGCCCTCGTCCCCGGGGTGCAGGTGCTTCTGCACCAGTGGTGCCGCCTCGATCAGCGGCCGCGCATCGGCCCAGCGCGTATAGGGCTCCAGGTGCAGCTGCGGCAGCAGTTCGACGAGTCCGTCCATGGCCGTCTTGCGTGCCGCCGCCCGCTGTTCCCGGTGGCTGCGCCGTAGGTCGGCCACATAGTCGTCAAACAGCTGCCGCCGCTCGCTCTCGCTGCTCGTCGACCGGAAGATGGTCTCGCCCTCGATCATCGGCCGCGCTGTCCGCCAGTGAGTATAGTGCCCGATCTCGGGGTGGCTCTTCAGCATCGTTGCAAAGTCGGCACGTAGCTTGTTCAGCCTCTCGCGGGCCCGCTCCTTGTCCTGTGCCACCACGTCCTGGCAGTACCGCTCAAAGGCTGCCTTGCGGTCGCGTGGGTCTTGGATCGCCCGGTACTGCGGGTCGCGCACGATCGCTCGCAGCGTCTGCTCCCACGTCCACTCCGGCTGCACCCCGTTGCGCCGCAGCGCCTTGACAAATGTTGCTTCGGCCTCCTCTGCGCTCGCCTGCTCTGTCTGCGGCTCGGCCTCGCCGCCGGTCGGCACCAGCGCTGCCGCCCGTTGCTGCTGCTGCTGCTGTTGATCGCTGAAGCTGCTGTAGGCCAGCTGGCGTGACTCGGGCACTGCGCCGTCGCGCAGGTCACGCTGTCCATAGCCGTGGCCGTGGCCATGACCGTGGTCGTGATTGTTGTCGCCACCACCATATCCTGCTGCAGGCCCAGTCGGAATGGAAACAGGCGTTCTTCAAAAGAGCTTGTCAGTACCATTGCACATGTTTCATACTGAGAGGGTCAGACTCAACATACGCTGGCGTCGTCGGCGTCGTCGCCGGTCCCAGAGCCTTTCTGTAGGCCTCTGGCATCTCCCACGAGCTCTGTTTCGTCTCTGTGTTGTACCAATACTTTCTGCCTCCTTCGGCCGTGTATTCCTTCCATGGCTGATTCAGGAGAGCGCGCTGTAGTTTGAGTTTGTTAGCAAGCCACACTACCTAAAGCTCCAAGAGAATGAACTCACCTCTCCCGGACTCATCATGTCCTCCGGCTTCGTCCACTGCGTGACCTTGGTCATCGCATTGTAGTAATAGACGCGTCCATCAGCACTGCGATATTCCTGCCACGCACTTGCGGCCGGCGGAGGCTGGCCGAACTGGCCGTTGACCGCACTCATCGTCGGTGCCTCTCCTCTGATAACACTGTATGGATGGATGATACGCGCCCGCAAGATGTCGCTATTGCTGTTTCGCCCGCTGCGGTCTGTTTGTCGCGGGAGACGTGCACCAGACTTTATGCGCTGCCAGCCATCGCGACAGCCCTGCTTTTTCTTCCGCCTTCTGAGTGGGCCGTTGAGCCGGTCACGTGTGGGCGGTCAGATTCTGCCGATTGAGACGTGGTCACGTGGAACACGGCGTTTAGAACTTCGTATTTGATGTCTGCCTTGCACCACAGCCACGGCGACCAGCCGAGAACGAATGAGGCTCTTTCATAGAAAGACGCATTATCTCTGCCCAATCGTTCTACTCCACGCGTCATGTCAGCTCCGCTACGGAGTACGCATATAAATACTCATAGAGAACCCCAGCGCGGGGCAGTGGGGAGCCAGCGTAACATGCACAACTGCACATACTATGGACCACGACCGCAGCATCGGGAGCGTCTCGCCGCACCGATCAGTGGCCGGATCGAGAGGTCAAAGTCCTACAACTCCGTACTGCGGAGTATGCTACTTTCGCTTGCCCCCGGGTGCCCTTTCCTTCGAGACGCACGATGGCGGGGCGTTTGCGCCGGAGGAGCCGGAGTCTTTCTATCATTCGACACCGCGCGACCGCAGTGAACCCTTTATAGATGGGACTAGGAGCTTTTATAAGTCTGAATATTATAGAACCAATTGGTTCGCCTTATCAGCGGGTTGTGGCTGTACCACCTGTGCTGCCCTGCGCGACGTCCTTGCCGAGCAACACCCATCGCTATTCGCTAGTAGGAGCGGTAGTAAAACGAAGGACCAAAGCAACTACGAACCTGTATATTATTGGCTCTTTGACTCGGTTAATAGTGCTACGCGGCTGCGTATATTGAACAGTATTACAACAATTACATACCACCTTCTCTTTACGCCCGCTACTAAGTACGCCAAGTCGTTGCCGTTGCCTACAGGTAAGTTAGCATTGCTGCATAGGAGTGATCGTTCATTGATGACATTTTCTTCTGTACAGAGTCCGCACAAGTTATCCCTTTCAGAGACTTTCCTTCCTATGATACGGCCAGCGATACCGCTCTTTCTCGAGTCAAAACGTGGCTAGCCGAATGCACAGCAAATCATACGCCGTGCGGTGATGGCGGCGAGCCGTCTATACTGCCACGACGGGTTCTACGTATTACCGACGACGACGAAACAGGGATCATGCTGAAGCTGGTCGACGGGGCGGGCCTCAAGGAGCCGTATGCGTGCCTAAGTTACCGTTGGGTCACAAAGACGCAGTCGCTGCAGCTTGGGAAAGACACCGAAAAACAGTTCCGGGAAGGCATCACTAAGGAACAGCTGCCTCGACTATTTACGGACGTACGCAACGTCGTGCGCCGTCTGGGTTTGCGCTACCTGTGGATCGACAGCCTATGCATCCGGCAGGACGACTTACACGACTGGCGCACCGAGGCTGCTGCTATGGCTTCCATCTATAGCGGCCGTCAGTAACGGCTGCGATGACAGCCTCTTCCGGACGTACGACCCAGGCCGAACTCACGAACCCGTGGCCACTACTGCGGATGGCAGTCCCGTGTACATAATGCGGGAACTGGCGCATCCTTCTGACTACGATGAAGATTTTGTTGCCTTGCCTTTGCTGGAACGGGGCTGAGCGTTCCAAGAGAGACTGCTGTCGCGACGTGTTGTCTACTTTTCTGAAAACGAGGTGACTTGGAACTGCTGTGCAGCTGAGAGATGCGAATGCCGCGGCTTTGAGGAAGAAAGTCCAACTGATAAAAGAACGCCTCGGCTTTTCAACAACACAGATTGGCTTTTATGTGTCAACTCGTATACACGTCTAAGCTTGACTGAATCTTCTGATAAACTGCCAGCGTTAGCCGGTATTGCTAAGATGCTGAAGAGCCAACCGGATGACCCGTTACAGCCTCCACTACTTTGGGACCCCTCTTTGAATGGCTGTAAGTACAAGTTTATTGTATGCATCTGTTGCCCTGGCACAGCAGCACAGCAGCGTCGTCTTGTGGCTGACTGCATCTATCAACGTCAACCCTACTTAGCTAGAGGGTCTGAACCTAAATGTTTACGCGGGCCTTACCTAGCCAGCCTCTGGGCCAGCGATATCTATGGGGGCCTACAATGGTATAGTATGGTTGCCGAATTCTTACTTCCAAGACCGGAGCCGCTGTTGGCCCCAACCTGGTCTTGGGCCTCAACGTTTTTACCAGTTTGGACCGCCTCGGAACAAGCTTGCTATCCGGTCACGGTGCAGAAGTGGGACATGGAGTTTCTTGGCCCGGACGACTTTGGCCACGTAAAACACGGACGTTTAACGGTCACAGCGCACGTCTTTTCCGCCACTATCCATTACGGAAAGGAGGATTACGAAGCCTGTGACGAGGCACCTCTACATCCTAACTTCCGGCGAGAGGACGGTACCAGCGATACCGTTAGCTCAAGCAGATTTGTCCCACCGCCTCTGTCGCATAACGGCCAAAACTGTCTAATAACCAAGTATGAATTTATGTTGGTGGTAGATGGCTACGCCTTCAAGTGGACCCCCGACTACACACTGCAGATGCCGGGCGATGGTTATGTGGCATCGGGCACACCGGTGCGCTGTCTCATCCTAAGCAGAAAATTTGTGCTTGTCGCACGCTGCGTGGATGTGGCTCAGGGCTACTACGAGCGACTAGGTTGCTATCTCAAGGAGAACGGCTTCAGATGGAAGAAGGGCCATGGGTTTTCTCTAAGTGATAATATGACGACTGAGTGGATAAAGAATTCGGTCATGGAGGGCACTGTACTCGTTTAAGTTCATTATTGGCTGACTTCGCCTGTTGTGTTGATCTTCCGTACCAGAGTCTTGTAATACCCAAAGATACTTAGCTTCCCTAAACACATACCATAGAGCCCGTGTTCCATTGAGATGATGCTATCCAACCGGCAGCGAAGCCAACGACCGGCAGAGAAGCCACGGTAAAAACGATCACAGGCGGCGGAACTCGTCCTATCAGCTCGAAGCCGTCCATCCACCAGCGCCGCGACAGGTTGAAGCGGCCGATGCGCATGTGACAGATCTCCCGCCTGCCTTTGCGAGTAGATCCCGCCTGTCTGTCACCATTGTCTGTGTTCGACGGGGCCGGCTTTGGCTCTTGTGCGCTCTCTTTTGATTGTCTCTCCGTGCTCTTCGTCTTCGTCTTCTCTGTAAGTCCTTTGATTTTGACACTGTCCTCAAGCTCACTTTCGTCCTCACTCTCGACGTCATCTGCGTCCTCGTATCTATCGTCTTCTTCCGCCACGAGTCGGCCGTTGTTGGTCTTTTTCAGCCGCAGTTCCGGCGACTTGCGGGGAGCTCTCTTGGCCTCTTCTTCCATCCTTAACAACTCCTAGTCAGCAGTCAGCAACGAATATGGGAGGGACGTGAACGTGAAAGACGCCAAAGACCTACACGAGCGTCAGACATATGTCACCCTGCACCTTGGACTTGAGCTCCATCTCCGCATCCAGATCCAGACCGATAATGAGCCGTGGATGGCGAGACCGACGCGGCTTGTTGTTGCTGTCTCGTGTCGAGGCAGCCTCATGGGAGTAGGGACCATTGGTGGCATTCCGGCTGCGTCGTACAACAGGTCCTGGTGATGAATCTCTGCCCGGATTGGCGCTCTTGACGTCTCTGTTTCTGCTGTTGGTCTTCACCGTTGCTGTTTTGGCGCTGCGTGTCTTGTTATTCCTGCTCTTTAGCTCGTTTGGGGTGACGGAGTCGGCAACAGACGCAGTCTTGTATGCCGTTTCGGAAGCTGCCTCTGATGCTGCCACAGACGATTGACCGCGGTTGTTTCTCCGCCGTCGACGACGACCGTTTCTACCGCCGCCGCCGGCACCAGCGTTGCTTGGCAATCCTCCACCAATGGCCTTGGACGGTGCTACGCTGCCACTTTCGCTGATGCTTGTGACGCTGGTTATGTCACTGTACTGGCTGCGACCGCGGCTGCTGACAGAACTCTTGTCATTGTCAGCACCCGCCGTGACGCTGGAGCAGGTTGACACGCTATCCTCGTCGTCCACGTCGTGTATGGTAGGGCGTAGTAGTCGCGGCCGCGAATGTGTCGGCCCGACAAGATCGTCCAAGATGTCACCCTCATCGCAGGCATATTCGTGGCTGCCGTTCCGGCTTGCGGCAAACGTGGACGCTGTTGGTGTGGTGAAATGGTCTGCGAGTGTTCTGCTCAGCAGGACAAGCCCTGATGTATGGTTGGCTGTCATGATGGACCGATATGTTGGGTATAGTGTACACCAAGGAGGTAAGGCAGAGGTATGTCTGTACAGCGGTTTCGCGATGTTATCAGAGTGGAAGACGGTCTACTTGGATCGACTGGGCTTCGTAACAGAATAGTTGTCAAGGCAAATTCAACGAGAATCTACGCAAAACGGAACCAGGATGTGCGAATCACAATATAATAAGTACTGTAAGGCGCGCTGAATGCACTGACACGGTCAGATTGCTTCTGACGTTGTTCTTGAAGTCACGTGCATTTCAGGGGTGCGTTGAATCGCTTTGACACAGGAATCCGACTCTGTGATCCCCCCTCGTACGATTGCTGCTAGCCAGGCAAACAATCTTGAAACAGGCTGCAACATCCAAAGCAGCACATCGGCTGTTTGGTTGCAGGTATGGCAAGCCCCTAAAGCCACCGGAGGGGACTGGAAACTTTACTGTGTCTATTCGCGGGGTTTCATCGTACCACTCGGAAGCCCGAGTCCTTTGAACGGTCGCATCCTTCTAGGAACGGGACAAAAAGGGTTTGATGTGGCATAACCGTCTTGTTCTATTCTCTAGAGCAAGGTTTTGTGAACGGGCATATGACATTTAGATGTTTGATGAGGCGAAGACATTAGGCCACTTCGAGGTGATATGATTTTGGATTTGTGGCAGTGCAATGCATCTTGTGTCTTGACAATCAAGACGTTGCAAGTTCTCCAGTCATCCACGTTCTCTGTGAACATCCAAGTGGGGACGTCGGATTGACTTTCAAGCGGACTCAGGACTGACCGTTGTCTCGTCTTATTAACAGCTCGGCCTTCTAATACCTAGCTACAAGTCTGCTCAGCGACATCTAGTTCCCTCAGCGGAGATGCTGTGTCCGTTATGTAAGTGTAGTAAATCCTCTGGCAGTTGACACTAGCAGATGGGTGATACAAAAGGATAGAGAAGGCGTAAACCGAACAAGTTTCTGTTTTCGTCTTAAGCATCACCGGTGAGGAGTCTTACTTTGCCTGACATTACATGTTTGCTCCTTATGGACATGTGTCCCAATTCCTAACAACGGTACGGAGTACAGAGGTGAAAATGACTTGATACAAGTGATTATCTCGTATAACTTGATTTAGCCCTCAAGTACTCATCAAGCATCTACTATCTAGGATCGAGCCGAGGCAATCTGTTGATGATACATCGCCATACGCCTTTGTTTGTCTCACTCATCGCCACTCTCTCCATTGCTCTCTATCTGCCGCAGGTTTTTATTTTTTTATCATTTCAATGAGTGCATGCTGCCAACTGGTTAACGAGGCAATCCTTCATGACCTCCTCTGCTCCAAGCTGTAACAGCACTGTAAAGAAACAGGTCCGTTGAAGAGTAAGCGCATGCGTTGTATGGATATTCCGTATCTAGTATAGCAGCTGAATAGCACGCCGAAAACCCTTGCAGAGACAGCTCAACTGACAAGCGGCTGCTCTGCCTAGCTGTAAATCAGACAACACCACACACTTTGAACTCAAACAATATCTGGCAGGGCTTACAAGAGTTGGTGGCTCATCGTTACACGTATCAAATTACCAACATAGAATCAAGACAAGCCTCGTCCAGAGGCCGGTTTCCTTCACATCATTCTCTAACAAGCGGCATGCAAAAATAGAACATCAGACCTGCGAGTTGTCGTGAATCGTCAAAAGTTAGGCAAAACAATCCAATACAGGCCAATTTATGTCGCCTAGAGGCGAGGAGGTCGAGAAGCGGTAGAGGCCGGGCTGGTGCCACTGGTCTCCGTGGATGTGGTATTCTGGAAGTCGGATTCTCTCATCGAGCATCCTGGAGTATGTCAGCATGGGCATCAAGGCAAAATGGCACGCAGAACTGCCGATGGTGGAGAAGCGAGGCCTTACAGGTGGTCCCGGTTTGTGTCCATGATCATGCCCGAGGCGAAGTGACGGCTTCCGAGTCTGTAGTGGAACCAGTCCTTCCTCGACTGTGCCTGGAGATATGGCTCGGCCGGATGGGCATCCGGATCGGGGGCGGCGCATATGCTGGGCTGGTCGTCTAGGTGGTGCTCTCGTCTCGAGCGAGCCCGGCCAGGTCGGTATGTCTGGACTGCGGAAGAGGGGCAAAAAAGCGCGGGGCAAAGTCGCAGGCGACATCCTCGTCCGCATCGAGATCGTCGAGGACGTCGACGGACATTGCCTGCAGCTGTGCGCTGCTGACGGTGGCAATCTTGACGGCACACAGCTTGTCAATGAGCTCACAGATGGAGTAAAAGTATTAGGTGTGGGCGGCGCGCCGCGCGTCGGCCAGAGAGCATTCGAATTGGCTCCATTGCGGATAAAGAAAGATGAAGCAGCTCTGTTCCAGGGTTGGACAGGGAGAGAAAAGGAAAGCTCGCGGAGACCGGAGGTATGGGACTTTTTTTCATGTGGACAGACAGGCTGTGTGGTAGTGTTCGTGGAAGGAGTATTGCCAATTCAACATGTCTGCGGTCGTTGTAGACAGCGGTTCACTTGTCGTGGCGGCATTGTTCTGTTTCCACGTCAACTACCATCCGATGCCGATTACATAATCCATTGCAATGCAATACATCACGTGCAAGGCCCCGGCCTCGAGAAACGGCCGCCGACACGTTGTGTATCTTACGACGTATGGAGTACATTGCTATTCTTTCTGGCTAATGCATCACAGTATACTATTATTATCCTGGTCGTCGAGAACGCGGTCGACCAAGTTTGACACCCATGCCTGTACCTATGGGCAGAGCAATCCTCTTATTAGCGGCTGTGCTGTTCTCCACCTGTTGGCGATTCTTTGAATAGCCGCTGAATTTAGCGCTTCGCGCCCCTGAAACATACGATTAGACCTCAACGGTCCTTGTCTGTGACCTTTTACGCGCTGCTCAGTGTGTAGCAGCAGTCTTGAGGGCTACAAAATCCAACCATGTGTGCAGAGCCGCCATGCGGATCTTATGAATGTCTAACCGTGGTTTCACCATGTCGTCCACTTTTCAGCCTTGCGCAGGCTGTGCTGTTTCAAAGATATCTGGGCGGCTTAGGCTCGACATGCTTGGGCTGCACTCTGACTGCGTTGGCTCTTTCGGGCAGCCATCACGGCGCCTAATCTGCTTAAGATTGAACAGAGACAGTGCTTCCTTAAACCAGCTACCTGCTATGGTATCGTATGTAGAGCGGTCCGGAGTCATCTAAATACTGGTCATCCAGTCTGTCTTCTTTCAGCTGAGATCTATTCCGATGTCTCCCAACTCTGCTTAATCTTTTCATTTTCTCTGAAATCATGATCTTCGCCCTCTGACTTCACCCTAAACTGATTGTGTATTTTCTATTCTGCTCCTACTGACCCATTGGAGGCTTTGGTTGCTTCCTTTTTGCTATTTTTGTGCTGTGCCCAGGCAAGAAACCACCGCACACGCGATATATGGTTAGATCTTCCACGATGACGAATCCTGGAACGGAAGATGAGTGGAGAGCTTCAGTTGCGAATGTGATGATGCAACCTGAAGCAGTCCCGGTACAGAATAGTCCATACAATTCGGCGCCGAGAATGACATTCACAGAGTTCCTTCACCTGAAGGTTCTCTGGACAAGAGGTGACATCAACGACTTGTTCCCTCAGGAAAATGAGCCGGATTTCTTTTCTCGCTCCGCCCTGCAGTGCGTTCACAAGGACTCTTTCAGAAATATCGAGAGCGACCTCGAGGCTACCAAAGGTCGCGATCCGCATGCTCTGATCCACAGCGGCAAGATGGCGGCGGGACTGTTCAGTGTGTTCGAAGCATACATTCCTCTCATCATGTCGATAGACGCACAGCCGGGCGTGGATTCGTCGCCCAAGGTGATAAACCTGGGCATTGTCCAGCCGCAGCCGAAAGCATCTGACACGTCGGGCATGGCGAGGCAGCTTAACAGAATGACGCTGCAAAAAACGCCCATGTCGTCTTTCGGGAGCCCCCTGACGCCGGAAACTCCGGAATTGTCCCTTCGGGCAGAATATGAGGCTCTGGTAAGCTTCTCTTTAATTGAACTGCTGAATGCGGTGAGAATCCAGACGAAACAGCTCGACCACGCCACTTGGGTGCCCGACCCCAAGGTATTTGTTCTGAATGACAAGAAGAACTCGAGGCGTCTTCTCGAGGCTCGGGTGGACGGCTATCTGCGAAAGAGGATGGGTGCAAGCGCGTACGGGATTGTGGAAGTCAAGCCGTACGTGCGCACCTCGCACACAGACCAGATCGAATGGCAGGAAGGCGCTCAGATGGCGGCTTGGATCTCACAGACTCCGGGCACCGTCAACAATGGCGTCTTTATGGCTCCGGGAGGTGCGGGTATCATGCGGTATGTTTTTTGTGATTGTCTTTGCTGGTCCTTGCAGAAACCGGCTGACGAATGGTCCTCGCAGACGATTTATGATTACACAGAACCGACAGGAGATCTACGTCACAGTCGCCGAGTACGACAAGACGTACGAAGAATATCTCCACGGCGGACCTCAGACGCCGCCGCTCCCATCCAAAGGCCCGGCTCCGAGAGCGCCGATGCAGATAGGCAAACCGCCGCAGGCTGTGCCCCTGGCACCACGCAAGGGAGCTCGGGCAGAGTACTACGGTGGCGGATACGACGGCAGTGTGAATCGGCCGTCCGGCTACGGCCAAGGACAGTCTTCGAAACAGCCACTGGTGGATCCAACGCCTGGATTCCTTCTTATGCGCTGCTTCGGGCCTGTCCCGATCAACGACCCGAGGAGGATGCGCAAGCTGTGCCAGGCTATAGTTGCGCTCAGCATTGAGGCAGTCGGTGCTTGTTCTTAGGAGTTGACTCTAGATTTGGTGGTTGAATTTTCCGTCTGTTCTCAGGATACTACTGGATAATGTATTCGTCCCAGGCCACCTGAAGGTCTGACAATACTATTTTTTAATTTGAAGTCTGTCTGTCTGCTATGTTGAATTATGAATTTGGCTCTGGGAGTCACTGCATCCCGACCACCCCTCGCTCACCCCCTCTCTGCATAGCGTTCCTGTGCCGGCAGGGCATCGCAGTTGATGCCGACCATGGCCTCGCCGAGGCCGGCGCTGATGTCGGCCAGCACCTTGGGGTCTTTGAAGTGGGTGGTGGCCTGGACGATAGCGCGGGCGCGCTTGGCGGCGTCGCCGCTCTTGAAGATGCCGCTGCCGACAAAGACGCCGTCGCAGCCGAGCTGCATGAGGAGGGCAGCGTCCGCAGGCGTGGCGACGCCGCCGGCAGCAAACGTGACGACGGGCAGGCGGCCAAGCCGGGCAGTAAGCAACAGCAAATCCGGGTCGCAATCGAGCGTGGCGGCGAGGCGACGGATACCGGGAACGCCGTCGCGAGAGAGAGCCTGACGGGCGTCGGTGATGCCGCGGCCAACCTCGCGAACATGGCGAACGGCTGCCGAGACGTCTCCGGTGCCGGCTTCGCCCTTTGTCCGCAGCATGACGGCGCCTTCGGCGATGCGGCGCAGGGCCTGGCCCAGGTCGCGACAGCCGCAGACAAAGGGCGCACGGAAGACGTCCTTGCCGATGTGGCGCTCGTGATCGGCCACCGTGAGGACCTCGCTCTCGTCGATGAAATCGACGCCCAGCGCTTCCAGGATCTGCGCCTCGACTGAGTGGCCGATGCGCGCCTTGGCCATGACCGGGATCGTGACGGCGGCCTGCACGGCGCGGATGACATCTGGGTCTGCCATGCGGGCCACGCCACCGTCATGCCGGATGTCGGCTGGCACACGCTCCAGCGCCATCACGGCACAGGCACCGGCTTCCTCGGCAATGCGGGCTTGCTCCGCCGTCGTCACGTCCATGATGACGCCGCCCTTGAGCATCTGCGCCAGGCCGGCCTTGACCGTGCGGCTGGGCGTGGCCGTCGGCACGGTCGCAGCCAAGCCAGACGCTGCTGGTGTTGACCCGCTCTGGTCGATCATCGTGGGATTCGTGCTGATGGCGGACGACGGGAAACCTTCCGTGTTGCCCATGGTGACGGTAAAGGAGAATGCCAAGAATTGATTCCTTTGCGGGATCAATGTTCTTTCTCGCTGTTTCGCCGCTCTGCATCCAGGATCGACGAGATATATTCGGGAAACCAGCCGTTCGAGATGGAGCAGAAGGGCAAAAACGAGGCAAAAATGGCTTTTCGTTGCACACATAGGCGCCTTGGCCGAATGGGAAAGATCAACCGATCGGCGTGAGTCACTGGTGGCTGGGCCACGGCACAGTTTGCTCCTTCCCCATCGCGCAAGGTGTGTGTGTGTGTGTGTGTGTGCCGTGCTTACCCGACCAACAGCCAACGCCAGCTTAGAACGAGTAGCAGAAATTTTCGTGTTGATCGCCTGCGCCTTTTTGACTCGTGCCGTGTCTCTTGTGTCAGCACGTGCATCTCTGACGATTCGTCCATCGCCATGGCCGCCCAGACCGTCACTGTCGGCGTCCTCGCCTTGCAGGGCGCCTTTGTCGAGCACATTTCGCTGCTGCAGCAGGCAGCCGCATCGTCACCTGGCCTGGCCTTGCGCTCGTTTGACTTTGTGCAGGTTCGCACGGTTGACGAATTGGGACGTTGTGACGGCCTCGTCATTCCAGGCGGCGAGAGCACCACGCTCGCGCTCGTGGCCACGCGCTCTGGCCTGATGGATGGGCTGCGCCAGTTTGTCGGCGCCAAAAAACCCACCTGGGGCACCTGTGCTGGTCTCATCCTCCTGGCCGAACGGGTCGACGCAGCCAAAGAAGGCGGCCAGCAGCATATTGGCGGCCTCGACGTCTGTGTCCACCGCAACCATTTTGGCCGCCAGATCAACAGCTTCGAGGCTGACGTCGAACTGCCCTTTTTGAAGGATCTCTTCCACGCCGTCTTCATCCGCGCCCCCGTCGTGTCCGAGCTGCTCGATCCCGGTCATGGCCACCATCCGGTTCGTGTGCTTGGCCGCGTCAATGGCGACATCGTGGCTGTCCAACAGGACAATATCTTTGGCACGAGCTTCCACCCCGAACTCACCGACGACACGCGCATTCACGCCTGGTGGCTGGAGCAATTGTGTGGTGGTACGAATGAAGGATGTATGATATAGAAGCGATCTGCTAGATACTACACAATTTTCTCAGACATCCGATGCATCAAAGTTGCGGATCAGATTGTAATAGAACCTGATGACCCCCATGTGGGCGTGCATGTCGATGCCCTCGTCGACTGTGTGCGGGTTCATGCCTGCGTTTTCCATCATTGGCAGCCATCGGTAAATGTTGCGTGTGAGGTCTAGACGTTAGAATCTTTCCTTAACGTGACAGGCGCAAAAGACGTACTCAAATAATGCCGCGTGTCCGTGTTCCCGTTCATCAGGTCGCCCGCTGGCACCACCTTGCCGCCCTCAAAGGCGAACGTGTGCTGGATCGTGCCGGAAAAGAGATCCCAGACCGGACCTGTTGTCGGTGAGACAGGAGCCGGTTGGGTCTCCTGATCTGTTGTGAGTCGCAACGTGCCGTTATAGTCGACTTGGTATAGGGGTTTCACCGCGTCCAGAAGGACCACCACGTTCGAGTCGACAGTGTCCTCGGCCTCGCCGAACCCGCTGTCCTTGAACGCCTCGAGCGTGAGGCCGTACTTTTCCGCAATCGGCCGCATCAGTTGCACTGTCTTGCGCTTGACCGCGTCGATCGACTCGTGTGTGGCCACCCGGTAGTTGACCCCAAGCCGCACCACCTCGGGCATCGCGTTGATCTTGACGCCGCCCGCGATGAGATCGACCGACTGTGATGTCTGCAGCCGGAAGTTGGTCGGCCGGTCGATGGCCGCGAGCAGTGTGGCGAGCTCGTCGAGCCGGTCTTGCCGTATGAGCCGCGTGATCTCAGGGTTGGCCTCTGGTGCATACCGTGCCTTGCAGCAGTAGCTCTGGTGCAGCGGCGAGCCCGGCAGGATGGCCGGCGCGTATGGGTTCTGCTCCAACGCCGCCACCATCTCGGCCGCGATCCCGATGCCCGTGTGTGGAAACGGCATTGACGAGTGTCCGCCCGCCACCCGGAGCTCGTACAGCACGTCCACATGCCCCTTCTCGAGCACCGATGGTAGCGCAAACACGACGTCGCCGAGCCGCTCCAAGCCAGCACTGCCCTCGTCCAGCAGCAGCGCCATCGAGTCGCGTCCGAAGCGTCTTTCGAGGTACGGCGCCATCGTGCCGGCGCCGCGCTGTCCCGACGTCTCCTCGTCGAAGCCCAGCGCCAGCACGAGCCCACGTCGTGGCGTCCAGCCGGTCTTGGTCAGGAACAATGCCTCCAGCGCCGACATCAGCGCTGTCAGGCTGTTCTTGTCGTCGTATGCCCCCCGACCCCATAGCATCGTGCCGTCAAAGTGCCCCGAAAAGGGCGCGTGCGTCCACGTCGACCCGTCTGCCACCGGCACCACGTCTTGGTGCGCCGTCAGCATCACCGGCCGCAGTGATGGATCACTGCCCGCGATCGTGTACACCAGCCCCAGCCGGTTGACCTTGGTCCGGTTCATCCGCGCGTGTCTATCCGGTTAGCGGCGCTAGCAGCTGTAGACCTGGAGACATTAAACATACACCGCCGGATACAGTTCCTCCAGCAGCCGGTGCACGTCCAGAAATACGTCCCAGCGCGGATCCTCGTTCACGTCTGCCATGTCGTCGTAGCTGATCGACGGAATCCGCACCAGGGCCCCGTGCCGCTCAACCTGCTTCTGGAGTGCCTCCGGGCCCGAGAAGAGCTCGTCCGCCGAGGGCAGGCCGTCAGAATCAGGCGAGACTGCCGGCGGGACATCGCATTCGAATGAGCTGCTGCTGCTGAGCACTCGCTGTGATGCTTCGTCTTCGGTCGGGCCGACCGCCGCCGATAGCCCATGACCAGCGGCCAAAGACAGAACTGCAAACGTGTGCAGACGCATCGTGTTAGTGAGAAGGAAAAAACGGCTGCCTGAGCTTCCGACGAGGAGTACTCCGTAGAAGTCAAGATATGGGAAGACAAAAAGATATAAACATAAAAAGAACACAAGTCGGAGGATGCCGAAAAAGAGAAAGGAATTACGGAGATAAGAGCTGCATATCGTGACGGCATAATGGCTAAATTGGCTTACACTACCTAAGTTGCCAATCATCTAGGTATCAAGCACAAGGAGGAAATACCATTATGCACGTCTGTGGGGTGTTGATTAAAATGGAGAGGATCGTAACGATTTCCTTAGTATCGTGGAAGTAACGCCTGTTAGTATCTTATAAGGACAAATCTACTTAGCAAAGAGAAGGAGTTTTCCTTATCACAACTAGGTACTGTAAAATAAAATAAATAATACAAGGTAGCAAAACCGAATCAGCCGTACCACAGCACCAACGCGAGATTTCACCTCGCTACAAAGTACACCCCGTCCCCTCTGTCTACAGAAGAACGACCTTCTGTCCATGCTCCTTTTCGATATCGGCAAGGCCAAGCTCTGCCGGCGTAGCATATGTGATATCCACGTCCAGCCCGAGATCCGTTTTCGTGCCCCTAGTCACAAATCCGCCCAGACGTCCTTGAAGATCAAACACAGCCGCTCCCGAATCGCCAGCTCCGCTGAAAGGAACCGTCTTTTTCGGAAGCGAGCCGTGAATGGCCCACTCGTATGATGTGAATATACTTCCGTCGGGCATGCAATCCCGCACCGTCGACTCCAAATCCAAAGCAGCGCCCCAGGTCAAGCCGGAGATTGCTCCCCGCTTCCCGACTATGATGCAGTTCTCGCCATCTTTGTCACACATGGTCGGATTTCGAATCTCGGCCAATGGAATGACGCCGGGGAGACGAAGGAGTCCATTGTCGGGGAACTCGAACCTCTTCTCGTCTCGTACATGGGAGTTGAGCAGCTCGTTCACGGCTGAGGGTGCCATGTACGTGCGGAGATCCACAACATTGACGGGCTTTTCGCCGCCCAGAAACTTGCTCTGGTCGAGCTCCAGCAGACACCAATCCCGTGTCCAAGTGGCCGCCGTCTGCTGCAGGCCGATGGGCGGAGACAAAATCACATGCCCGATCTTCCGGGCGTCGTCGGACCCAAAAACTTTGACGGCTTCGTAGAATTCGGTCACCTCTGCTCCCACTGCGCTTCCAGCTGTCGTATTTTTGAGGTCGGACAGTTCCTTGATCCATTCTTTCGCCTTGCTCTGCACACTAAGGCCCACTGCGCGCTTCTTGCCGTCATCTTGAAACCGAAAGTAGGCATTGTCGGGGTTGTCTTTGCTCGGGATTCCGACATGGCGGCAAGTGACCGCCAGTAGCGGTCCGTCTCCAGCCGTCTTACTTTCGGTGGTCAGAAACACTCCCAGTGAGCCCTCTAGTGTGGGCCGTTCGAGCGGGGAGAATGACAAGCCGATAGACGCCGTGAATCTTTGACCGATGTAGTGCCACGGGCCGTATACCATGGGAAGAGGCTTCAGCAGCCGTGGGCCCGCCAGCGAGATCACTCTGGAGATGCGAAGCTGGCAATCGACGTCGTCCAAGCCCGCGTGATCGAGGATCTGCCGGCACGAACGAAACGCCTCCGCAACATCCTCCCACGGCAGATCGCATGATTTTGTGGAATCCCCATTGATGCCGACCCACACAACGATGGGCCGCTCCGAGGGAGCTGCGGCCGAGAAACCGATGCGGCATACGTCCACTGACGACCAAGGGAGGCGGTCTATGGCCGTGAGGATGTCGGGACGCACGTCTTTCCAACAGACCAGGATTTTGTGGGCGCCAACTGCACTAAGCACCTTCTCTGCAGGTCTTTTGTGACTGACGTGTTTCTGCCGAGTATACTGCTCTTTGAATGTCTCCCATCGCTCTATTCCAGCAGAAGCACGACCGACAAGGCGCGGAAACGATGGTAGACCAAAGTAATACTGTCGTGCTTCTTCATCAGAAGGGGGACAAAGAAAGGGCAGGATTTGTTTCTTGTCTGGGCTCGTCGTGGGAACCGTTCCTGGATCGCTTTCGACTAATGTACTTCCAGAAAACGTGGTTTCGTCGCTGCCTTCCTTCCGGGAAGACTTCGATGCTTGGCCTATCTATTAGCTTAGTGACTTTTAATTTGAAAATCACAAACCACACGTACCGCCCATTGTGATAGTTAGACTGGGATGGTTGTGACGATCGAGAAACACGCAGCCGGTGTCATAGTTGTTAAAGATGTGGTCGAGCTTGTTTCTGTATGAAAAAGGAAAGGGTTGTACGGAGTAACTTTTTAAATATTACTGTGACTACGCGCACTAAGCGGTGACGAAACGCAGCTGTCACAATCGCTTTGTGTTACCTGGAGGACCCCCGCGGTTTGAATTTACGTGACTGTGTCATCAATAAAGGGAGCATAATCCAGCTGTTGCGACAGGAGTCGTCGTGTTGAAAACAGTGAAGAAAGAGAAGGGAAGATGAATAAAAAGGCCACTGAAATTATATATTAGACCTTCCAATCTGAGTATCACTCGATGACGGTAGCGAAGTTGGCGTGCAAAGGCCGTATACAGAGTACTTTAGCCTAGTTGCCGTTCTCTTAGTATTACGCTACGTAAAGCTTGGCCTTCCGCTTAACTAATAAGAATATAAATTATTAGATCATAAGCACGAAGTAAGTACAGACGTATATATTTTGAATTTACTAGAGGAGGGGTGATAGTTACTCCGTACAAGTAGGATTCATAGTACTTTACACTTTAGATTATTTATGCATTAAGCACTTTTTACATAGGATTGCATGCCTTCTGGAACATAGGTCCCAGATGCTCTTTCTTTTTGCCATACGAAAAGGCCACGTCTTACTATGATCAAGCTGCGTGTCCGTCCGTCTGTCGCTAACAGGCTAGAATGAGTCAGCAAATATATCCATGGGTGGATACGGCGGCGGAAGTGCTCTTGTCCAGAAATTGATCTCGATCTCCCCCTCTTGGTACGATCTGGCCGTCCGGCCCAAGCGGTCCTCTCGTGTCGCATCAGCGCCGCTGGCCAGCAACAAGGCCACCATCTCCTCCTTCTGAACGCAACATGCGTAATGCAGAGCGGTCCAGCCGTCCTTGTCGGCCGCGTTGACGGCAGCATCATGTGCCAGCAGCAGGACAGCAATGGCCATGCTGTGGGTATTCTTGCACCACGCCGCATAGTGCAGCGCTGTGCGTTTGAAGCCATCGCGGTGCCGTGCCGTGACGTCTCTGCCGACCAGAAAGCGCACGGCTTCGAGGTGGCCCATGAGTGCAGCGTATTCGAGCGCCCCTTGGCCGGCTTCTTCCCGGGCATCCATCCGGGCTCCATGCTCAGCCATCGTTCGCAGCACGGCCTCGCGCCCGTCCTCACGGCCGGCAATGACAAAGGGCGTCGAGCCGTACTTGTCCCGGGCCTGCAGCAGGGTCCGGCCGGCTGCCTGTTCCACCATCATCTGTGCGATCGTGCCGCTGCCTAGCCGAGAGGCTTGGTGGAGAGCCGTGCTCTGGTCGTTGTCCTTGGCGGTCACGTCCACGCCGCCGCGGCTCAGCAACCACTGCACCATCTCGGCGTCGCTGTTCGTGACACTGATGTGAAGCATCGTCCGGCCGGACTCGTCTCGGGCATTGACGTCGAACCCGTGCTTCACCAGCAGCCTGGCCATGTCCAGCTGCCCCTCTTCTGCGGCCAGATGCAGACACGTCCTCTTCTTGCTGTCCCGAGCGTCCTTGCTTGAGCCCGCGTGCAGGACAAGGCCGACGACAGACTCGTGTCGCCCCAGCACGGCCAGATGCAGAGCTGTTTGTTTCAAAGGCGTCTGTGCTTCCAGATCGACTTTCTTCTCCAGAAGGGCCTGGACAACCCGCTCCTTGCCCCGATTCGAGGCGATATGCACCGGCGTCAGCCCGTCCTTGTTCTTCGCCGTTGCGTCGATGCCCGACTCGAGCAGAATGTCGATCAGAAAGGCCGTGTTTCCGTGTCCGGTCATGCAGGCCTCCAGCAACACATTGTCCTCGTCCCGGAAATTGAGCAGCAACAGCCGCAGGATCATCTGGTTGGCCTCCGCCTGCAGAGTCTGGCCCATATGCTCGATCGCCATGAGACCAGCTGGTGGTCCACGGGCGCACCAAAGAACATGACCAGCCGAGTGATGTCCAGGTGTCCGTGCTTGATCGACAAGGCTGATGGGCGTCTCGTGCTCATCGTCCCACGTGTCCACGCCCAGTCCGTCCAAGACTCCCTGGAGCACCTGTCCGATCAAGCCGTGTCTCGATGCCGCGTGCAGCCAGAACAGCTCGTCGAGACTTCGGAGGCGGTCCTTCTGCCTGGCCGACGCTGTCGTTCTCCAGTCTATAAAGTCTGCGGCAAATGCCTGCATAGCGTCAGTCGCGCGCGCCGTCTCTGGCGCATAGGGCCCCAAGGCATCGGAAAACGTGTCGATCAGCTTCCTGAACGTTGCCCCCGTCCCGGCCCAACGGTCCTGTTCGCTCTGCAGCTTCGCCTTTCTCTCGCACAGGTAGAGAAGACGCATGCAGACTGTGCTGCTCTTTTCATCCTCCTTCGCGACGGCCACTTATCCTCCAGAACGTCGAGGGCATCCGGGAGAAGGCCGGCGTCACTCAGTGAAGGCACCAACAGTCTGTGTGCATCCTCTAACGAAACTATACCGCCACCGCCTTGATGCAACGTCTCGGCCAGTAATTGGACCGAGTCGTTCATCAGATGGATTTCGCCCGAGGTCACACCTGGTGCCACGCTCGTCTTCCCGTTCAGTTTCTCCACACATCCGATGACGGACTTTAGAAAACAGCCCAAGAGGTACTGGCTGCACGCTCTGGGTAGGCTGTCACTGGTCAGAATGCTGATCTGGCCCGTGCTGCCGTCGACTCGTCCCATCACGTCCGGCCTGCACCGTAAATCAAATACGCGGTCACCAACGACGGATCTGAGCCGGGGATCCAACTCGAAACTGTCCTGCCGCCGCTTTTCTGTCCCGCGATAAATCCACCAGTCGTAGAGAATATCAGTCAAATCGTCGTCGGGGCCAATGACCCACAGGTTCTTCTTCTCCTGCTGTGCTGAGCTTCCCGGCTGGCTAAAGTATGATAGCCAGAGCGATAGCACCGCCCTAATCTTTTCGTTGTCCGCCTTCCAGGGTGTCCACGTGTCATCTGACCGTTTCCTTGTGAATGAGACGCCCACGTCACCGGCTGTCGGGCCACAGCTGCCCTCCTTAGAGACAGACACACCCAGCGTCAATTCAAACTTTTCTTGATTTTGGAGAAACGTTTTGATGACAACATCGCCATTGGGTCGGTACAAGTGGTTCAAAATCGTTTCTATTGCGTTGGAAAGCTGGTCGGCCTCGGCAACAAAGCTATCTGACCACCCGGATATTTGCGTTAGTCTGATACGTGTCTTCAGTACTTGAGACGCAAGATAGATATGACGGCAAGTCGACACTTTTTTCTCCCTCTTTTTTTTCAAACACGGGAGAGGTCATGGAATCCAAGTTCGCATATGGGCGTGGTGGGAGGACCTCCCAATTTTTGCAGTCGTTTATCTTCTTTGCTACTGCGTCCAGTTCATGTCCAGAGGGAAGCCTCTCGCTTTCTGGAACCGTGGAAATTCGGTTGTATAGCCAGAGCCTAGTCACGGTCATAACAGCGGTCGCAACTAGTTGTGCAACCGACGCCGGCCAAGGCATCCCTCGGAGTCTGTCTACCCGTCAGAACATCGATGAAGAAGAGGAAAGAGGATTGCGCCAGCTGCGACGACCGTACCCAACGAATTGTAGGACGAAGCCTGCATCGGTTGTTAAACGGAAAGTACCAGAAGATTACAGAGAACCCAAAACTTGGGGCTGGACTTACTGACGACCGTCAACGATGATCCGACCAGAGTCCAAAGCTCGAGATGCGTGGTATTGTTGGATTTCCGCGAGACGCGTATCTTTTGCTCTCCCTTCGTACCGTAAATGGCATAGGAATCGAACGCTTGATCGCCAACATTCTTCCCTCTTTGTAGCCACATGACATGGATAGGCATGGCCTCTGGATCTGCAGCCCGCCAGACTTCTTCCTTTGTGCCTGCCTCAACTATTGCTGCGCAAATGAAAGTGCCAGCCATGATCCCCAACGTGCCCGTTATTGTCAACGCATAGCTTTGCTTCTTAGCGCCTCTGTCCGAGTTGTATTCGCGCCGTAGGTGATCCATCCGTCGAACGCTAGGATGCCAGCCTGCAAAGCTATCCCAAGCGCCAGGGCGACCATCAACTCCCAGCCTCTAACGACGCCACCGGATACGTTTAGAACTATATTGGGTGGACTTATGGCTGTGCTCACGGAGGACTCATAGTCGTCGCTATCAAGTGTGTTCGCTGTGTGTCTCTCCACGTCGTGGGATTGCCGACTGTGTCCCCTTGAAACTGAAACAAGCCCTTGTTTTTTTCCGCAACAAACTGGCCATTGCGAGAGGCAGTCTCAAGCGTATCGACGAGTGGTACTTCTGGTCCGTCGCCAAAACCCCGAATATTCACCTCTGAAGGTTTACGATATACCAGCTCGATAATCGATGGATCTCCGATGACCCGCACAATTCCGACACCATTCCAGACTTCGCAGACATCTGAGGAGGTAGAGCTGGGAGCCAGAGACGAGAATCAGCACAGGCTGCAGGCCACAAGCCACGGGACTGGTGAAGATGAGGTAGGAAGTTGTGAAAAGAACCTTACCTAAGCAGTTCTAGCTCGACTTCGGCATCTGGTTCCCGCGCTCTTCCGATCACGCCATTGAGCCATATGCTACCGCCAACTCGTATAGAACAGGTAACGGCCGTCAAAATCCCTATAGGCGCACAGGCAAATATGATACACTCTACCCACGACGTGCTGTGACTCAGGTGTTGTACTGCTACCCGCTCTCCGAACAGCGCTAGGAGAGGACCTTTGACGCTGAGTTAATACGGGCGAAGGAGCCAGACTACGCATAATGGAGGGATAGCTTTACCCAAATCGCTGAAGATATTGTTGGAGACATCCTCGCCGTTTCCAAAGACGGGTCTTATGAATCCCCAAAGCAAAGCAAGAGTCAGGATTGACATGGCGGCTACTTAAAATGAGAGTTTTTTGTACAGGAGAAGAAAAAGCGAAGTGCGAGACTGTCTTTAAGGGTGGGCATCGGAAGAAACAGCTGCTGCGTCTTCCTGATGGAAGCCAGGCTTACAGAGTTCAGACTGCATGCTGACATGCACGAAAGTGTACGAAGTACGACATTGTGTGGGTCGCCTTAAGACTCGGTATACTCTATCGATTCTGTCAAATAAAGCCAGCCTGCCGTTAGCATCGGTAGCCAAATGAAAACTTTTGTTTTTTACATTTTTGAAAAATCAGCGTGCAGTATTAGACCTGATACAAAATGTGCTGCAGTTGTTATTGGCAGGGAGAGACTTGAATACCGCTGTGAAATGCTGTGGTCTGTAGAATGTGATATATTCATCGTTAATAATTCGCCCAATTTACATGGACACTGCATTAACGCATAATAGAAAGGGAATTGATAGAGCGGCGGACCCACGTGATTTATTTGGTGGTCAGATGGCGGCAGAATTCGGTAGGTTGTAATAGATTCGAAGTCCGTACAAAGTAAAATAACGAAAACTTTGGATAGGAACAAAAAATACTAGCGAATACCACACAAAACCAGTTGCGCAGCCGTGTCCTCCATTATTACATTCAAAATCCTTCTGTCACGTACGCTAAGCTAGGTGCATAGTATACGAGGGCAGCCACCGTGACAGTGCTGCACGCTGACCTGCTAAACAGTATTATAACCGAGCTAGGCGCAGCGATACTAACAAACAGCCTTATTTGACGAATTATGTGTGCCCCGTAAGCAGAGATGTATTGTTATGGTTAGGCACTTCCGAGATATGCCGACGTGCGTCAAAACACGTACTAAATAGCCCCCTGCGCCACACAGTACATGTATTCTTTCATCACACTGCATAATCCCGCACACCCCTCCCATTCTGGTCCGGTTTATTCGACATTATTAGGCAACACTATGCGCTGGGCGGCGCTAGGCTGCACAGAATTAGGAGGTATAACAGTTACATTAGTAACGCCGATTAGGTCTATTCGTCTTGAGATGGAAGGCATCGCAAGACGAATAGGTCGATGCTTCTACTCTGTATTCGGAGATGCTTTGGTTAGGGTCCGAGCACTTATTACGGAGTACAGTGACGCGCGATGTGGTTGCGCCCCTTGCGACGTACATTTTCAAAGTGGTATTGTGTCCTCTGCGGCCGTCAACTTACTTGAGCCATCGCCTAATCCGTACATAGCTCCGTTCCCCTCTATGTTCCCCACATTTCACGGGCTTACTATCTGTCAAGCATTGGAATCCGCCACACTGTGGCCCTTCCGCCCCACTTGGCCGTACGGGCCTGTAATTGGTCAGAAGGCACAAAAAGCGGGGCCTGACACTAGTATTAATACGGATCCCCAGAAGGGTCGCGATGTATCTATTTCTTCCTTAGTACACAACACTCTTTCGCCCACACTAGACCCTATTCAGCCTCCTGCTCCTCACAGTGCATCACGTTATATGACCGCTACGTATAGCCTCCTTTAACCTTCACACTATCTCCAATGTACAGCCGCTTACAGACGGGACGGCAAAGATGGTGGCTATTGTAAGAATTTGTCAAGCTTTAGGGTGCTGTCAATATTATCCCGCCGTTCAAGTACCCCGTTTTCTGTCATCAACGTGGGCATTAGCTTCTTGGGAAACAGCATGTCAAATTTAACTTCTGTCAGCAATGACAAAACTTTCAACGATCACTCAACCATGAACATTACAACTTCCACCAGACCAAAAATCATCCCAGAATGACAAACAAGGGTATAACAAAGGCAAAATATATAAATCAAGGAGCGAGACCAGAATTGTATCATCGTCCGTGACTATCGTATACTTGTACGGCTGAGTGCGAATTCTGACAAGTCCAACTACAAAATGGCACACCACTGTGAATTAGGTTGCAGAAATGATGGCAGTGGCGAAGATGTGGGTTCGGATGTAGGCAATGCAGGTGTCGTTGAAGGATCGACATTGATGAGCTTGAGTTTATTGTTCTGGACAAGCCGAATCAGCCGCTGAAGGTCTTGGTGCAGTTCATTCGATGTTGAGCGCTTATCTGCCTCGATCTGCAACAGCTTTGTGTCGACTATGTCGACAACCCGCTCGATGACAGTACCGCGGCACCGCTGGTCATTCCGCAGCTCCTTCAAAAACGTGTCGACCGCCGGGTGATTCACAGCGTTCGAATTATTGGGAACTTTTTCAAAGATGTAAAATGGATCTTCCCCATCATCACGGGCGGCCTGGAAGCGCTTGAGACTCTGCGCGTCAAGCAGCCAGATGAGAAACTCGAGCATAATGCAGCCGAGGGACCACGAGTCAAAAGTGCGCGAACGGGGCTTGGAAACGCTGAGTCTGCTCGCTTCGGGGCCTTCGTAGGCTTGAGTAGATTCATTGGTTACTGTGGGCTTATTGCGGTTCGTGGTCGGATCCTGGTGGAAGCGGGAGATGCCGAGGTCAGCAATGCGCAAAATACCCTGGGGGTCATTGGTAGACGAGAAGTGCAAAATATTGCCTGGCTTCAGGTCGCCGTGGCGACAGTTGATTGTATGGAGGTTCTTCACACCTTCAGCCAAGCCTGCCATCTGCCGCAGTGACCAAAGAACCAAAGACGGATCGGCAGGTTGAGACCGGTTCTCGCGCTGCCAAAAGTTTTCGAGACTGCCACCAGTCGCCCAGGGAAATATGATGATCGAGGCCTCTGCACAGACGGCGAGGTGTTGAGTGATGTGCGAACTCTTGAGAGCTCGTGCCCGCTCGAGATTATTCTGCTCCTCTCTGAACATAAGCTCATTATTGAATTTTTTGATAGCAACAGGCGATGGATCCTGTCTGCTATCATCGCGCCAGTGCCCTGGCTGCAGGGTAGCTTTGTATACAATGTTGGACTGGGTCTTGATGCCTTTCTCGCAATGAAATGGCAGGCCACAACCGCGTTGGAGCTTGATATCGGTTGGCTTGTCCGTATTAAAGTCTAGTACCGGTGCCAGGACTCGCCACTGCATTTCCAAGAAAAGATTGTAGCCCACAGGAGTCCAACCTTTAAAGCAAGATGACATCTTGGGATGCCTGTGGTCCAGCGGGAGGTCGTCGTCGGTGAGGCCATTGCCGAGCAAAGTTTTGATCTCTCTGATCTTGTCTATCTTTACAAGGATGGAAATCAGTTTCTTTGAACGTTCAATTTTAGTCACAAGAGAGTCATCCCAGATATCAGGTAGCTCGGCCTTGATCCGCTCTGCAGTGACGGTCTTGTTGATGCAGTCGCGAGTGATGTATTTGTTCTTGGTCAACTTGCAGTCGAAGTCGACCAGACCTTTATATAGCGAGTCTTCCATGGTGCCGCTGCTGGTACGAATCACAACAAACTAAGAATGTAGGCGAGTAGGCCGGCTTTTTAGAGGCGACTAAATCTACAGAGTACTAACCAGCCTTGCTACTCACCGAGTCCACTCGGATGTGCACGAGTGATAAGACACGGGTAAAGTCGGAGTGTGATATCCTGCTTGCAGCCTGCGTATAAATCCATTATGTACCAATTGGGCATGTAGTTTTCCTGCCCTCACGGTGTGAAATGCTCACCCTTTCTGTTGCAGATGTACGCTGACCATTGTACCGACCTCAGCCTTCTCTGCCGCATGAAATCTGCCTTCCTGGGACCCACTATGATGCAACACACACCCAATATAAAGAAGCCACATCAAGCCAATCAGCAACGCTAAAACAAGTCAGATCTTGTGGTTATTGTGGAGTGTGACTGCGCCCCACGCTACATAGTACCCAACTTCGGGCGTCGCGCGAAATATAGCATCAGCAACTTCACAATCCTTGTCAATAAGCAACTAACCTCAGCAGACTACATGAACTAGCGTGCCGGTCGGTACCGTTTGATACTAACTTAAAGAACTAGCAGGAACCCAACAGCATTTGTATGCCAAAATGGATTTCCTCTACTTTGTCTTCGGGATAGCACGACGCGTCGCGCCCAACGGGACACATCGCAAATTGATCCTCGATACCGAAAACACCATGAGTCAGGTAGAGTCGAACGATGATATTGATCTCCCCAAGACGATAGAAGAAGCATGTCGTCTTCTCAGGAGACGCTTCAATAATATCAAAGTGCAACCAATCTCGGATGGAACCCGTGACTTTTTTCCGGAGGGAAGTATAGAAAACCTAGTGTCCCGGTCTATTATGAGGAACATCTTATCAGGTTCGCCCGAATCCTTGGTCGACTACGTCTGCGAGAAGGCTCCTTTTGCCTTTTCACATTTTGTTCCCCGAGGCTTTCATGGCCATTCGCTGTCGGAACTTGCACAGCTGCTTGAACAAGTCGGATACAACGACACTCTGCTCCCTCTCGTGAAAGCCGATCCAAGAATCAAGTGGCAAATCTCGGGTCACCCAGATTGCGGAAAGTTAGAGGATCTGAAGATGGACCTCGATGACTTTAGTTTGGGTCCGCAGTGGGAACGTATTCCAGTGAGCTTCGAACACATCAAACTGGAATGCTTCGATGATCAGCGCCGCATGCCGTTTGTGTCCTGCGAGGAGAAGGGTAAAGAGACCTACTACAGTGCAATGCTGGAATGCCGAGTTCACAAAAAGCATCTCAAAACTACTGTGGTAGGATGTTCGGCCGATCTTTGTACTTAACAAGCGCTAACAATCCAGGGGGTGCCTACCGACGCAAAAGGACACTTCCATGTTGCCGTTAAGAGGCTGAGATCGATGGATGAAGAAGCCGACGGGAAAGCTATAATCGAAGAGGAAGTGAAGGCCTTGAAGCTGGCTAGGGGTCTCGAGACGGAGCACATCATCAAATTCATCGCCCATTATAAATGGAAGGGCAAGCATTTTCTTATGTTTCCCTGGGCCGGTCGGGGCGATCTAAGAGAGCTTTGGGAAAAAAACAATACCCCACCTGCTCTGAGCAAGGATGTTATGCTCTGGATGATGGGACAGTTTTCTGGTATGGCCGGCGCCATTGAGGAATTGCATAACAGATCTGGCGAGGATCGACAAAATTATTGCCGCCACGGCGACATCAAGCCACAGAATATCCTGTGTTTCGGCAAACCCGACGATCTACTCACCCAGCTCCGTCTTGTCATTGCAGACGTCGGCATAGCCCGGATTCATGAGAAAGTCACAAAAGACCGATCTCGCACGAAGCCCTCAGCATCGACAATCATGTACGAAGCCCCCGAGATGGGAGTGGGCAGTTCGACTGAGCCCAAGTCGCGGGACATAGATGTATGGTCAATGGGTTGCGTTTTTCTCGAATTTATTGTGTGGCTGCTCTATGGCTACTCGGAACTCGACCTCTTCAGTAACGATCATGGGGATAAGTTCTATAAGATTGAGAAAGACGAAACTGGAAACACAGCAGTTTTGCACCCGGGCGTACGTCATTGGATCAAACACATTCAGGACAATGACTGGCGATGTGCCAAGGGGACGCCCCTGCGGTCATTGGTTGATCTCATTGCTACGCGACTGCTGGCGGTGGCCATTAGGGAACATCCTGGAACACCCCCTGACGATGAAGTTAGTCTCGCGAACGGTGTAAGCGGTATACAACTTTTCGTGAGGGCAGCCACGGTATATGACGATGCACTGGACAACAACAGGATCGTGCGAATGACATCAACGGAACTAAAAGAGCGTTTACAGACCATCAGGGATACTGTAGAAGCTTCAGATGTTTACGATTGCCATCCAAAGGATGTGCCGCTAGCACCCAGGAGCTACGTTCGTCAAAATCTAGATGTTCCCAGCGAAGGGGACAAGCAAGTGCGTGTTCCCAAGCTTTAGCTTAAGCCTAGCTGACAACCAAGCTGCTTATCAATGGTTTCTTTGTTGGTGTACAATAGCTAACAACATCCAAGGTTGGAAACGAAGTAGGTAGATAGTAACGTTGATCGATCGAAACCAGCACTAACACGCTCCTTTTCGATAGTATGTAAGTTAATGGCTTGCTTATTAGGCTATAAAATCACGGCTAATTATCACAGAGAGTGAGTATCCCTCTTTTTCTTGGAAGGGGGGTTTCTAATAAATTTAGTTTGTAAGTAATGATCGAAACCCCGAATAATGTTGTTACTAATATGTTCCAGACGGTCAGTTAGTTGAATCAAGGACATGCTATTCGGAGCATCAAACTGACATGTCTAGCCGGTATGTCGTTCCCCTGTCTATATTACGACTAGCCTTCTGCTAATGTTACTAGTTGGATGACCGGTGGGAATACACACCGGACACAAATTTGGCCATGGAACTTTCTCACACCCCCGATTCTAACGAACTCTTTCCTGCATCTCTTTCCGCCAAATCTTCTCAACTTTGTGCTCGTTGCAGTAGCTTAAGTCTGCTCGAATTAAGCCGTGAAATACCAGACACATGCACCGACCTTCAAAGACGATCAAAAGAGGATAATTGCACCCTCTGTAGTCTACTTGCGTTTCAAATACAGGGTCGCGTGAAAAACACTCGCGATGTTGTAAAAATTATCCAGATTGGTACCTTTTTGACCATCCGAAACCAGACGCCAGTTGCGATTATCTACTCCACCCCAGGTGCATACCCTTAATGTTCTTTCTGTCTTTCTTCACTCCCCCTCTCCTGCTAACTAGCAGATTTCCATCCAATCTACCCTAAACTTCAGGTAGGCATCCCGAAACTGCCGGAGGCTGGGAGCCTAGCACACCTTCGCATTCTCAAGGCGTGGATTGAAGACTGTGATGAAACACATCAATGCGTCCCAAAAGGAATAGATTTCCTGCCGACAAGACTATTAGAGGTCACAGATGACGGTTTTATACGACTTGTGCATACCGTCCCCGATCAAGCCAAAAAGAAACGTTATGTCGCTTTTTCCCACCGTTGGGGAAAGTCTACGTGGGAGCCACAGTTCCGCGTGTACAATACCAACATTAGTCAATGGCAAAATGGTGTTCATAAGGCCCAGCTACCTCAAAGCTTCCGGGACGCCGTACGCATCACGCGTGGCCTCGACATGCGTTATCTCTGGATCGACTCGCTCTGTATAATTCAGGATAACACCGAGGACAAGATAAGAGAATTGCAACGGATGGAACACGTCTTCAGCTCGGCATACGTGACGATAGCGGCCACCTGTGCCACTGACAGCAACGACAGATTTCTCAAGACGCGCTATAAGCGCCGCTATGTGTCTATGGGGAGGTACACCGTCTGCGAGCCCATTGATGACTTCAGCAAAGACGTCGACCAGGCCAGTATCAATCGGCGCGGTTGGGTGCTACAAGAGCGCGCGCTATCGCGGCGGACCATTCACTTTACAAGCAGACAAACATACTGGGAATGCGGTGGCGGCGTGCGCTGTGAGACGATGACGCGGATGAAAAAGTACTTTCTCTTCCGTCCTTCCTCTATTCACAATTACTGACCAACAGCCCTAAAGCGTCCATCCTAAGTGACCCCAACTTCCCACAGTCACTAAGCGCTTTTGTTCGCGGCAAGAGAATAAAGACATTCCAGAGCCTCTACGAGCGCTACTCGGGCCTCGAGCTATCCTTTCTTACGGACCGGCCTCACGCTATCCGTGGGCTCGAGACCCGTCTCCTCGACACGTTTCGTACTACCGGTGGCTTTGGCGTCTTTGACCGTTACCTGCACCACTCTCTGCTCTGGCAGAGGCCGGCTGGAGGGGAATTGAAGCGCATAGAATTTCTTGAAGGGATGCCCAAGCCACCGTCCTGGTCTTGGATGTCTTATTCCGGAGTCATTGAATATATGAAGGTGCCACTGGGAAAAGTTAGCTGGCGCGACGACATCAAATCGCCCTTCTCGCACGATGGGACGCAAGATGGCCAAGTTCCCCAGCTAGAGTGTCCCGTTTGGTACATTTCAGATACAGATGATGGGGAGATATACCTGGACGAGCCGGAACGTTTCCCTCGTCCTTGCCAGTGCGTTGTTATGGGAAAGAGTGCGGAACAGCCCGATGGTGCTGACCAGCTGCATTATCTGCTGCTGGTGCAACTTGTCGAGGGCCGCGATATCTACGAGCGCATGGGAGTGGCCATTCTTAAGAGAGAATACATTCATCTTCAAAAAAGCATGGAAGGCCGGATTCGTTGATCACAGAACTTACCAACCCGATCACGGATGTTGTATGCCCAATGATTCTTGTACTATTACTGCCGGAAGGTCGGAGTGTTGCACCTTCGAATGCCGTTTAGTGAGAAAGCGCCTGCACAAGTTTGTATAGAGATAAAAGCCGTGCAGCTGATCCTCCGCGCGGGATGGAATCCCACGTGGGATCTTTATTTAGACAGACATCTTTAAACCAATCAAGATAAAACAGCTTATGCCCCCTGTCACCGATTGTAAAAGACAAGAAGCAATCCTTTCACTTTGTCCTTCATTTTCAAAGAGCTTAGCGAAATATCATTACTCCTAGCCGCGGGTAGATTTCTTTTGGCCTCCTATAGTCAACACACCCGCTCAAGCCGCCCGATATTCTAATAATAGATTTTGAAACTCTGCTGTTTGAAATAGGCACCAAGGTACGGAGGTCCCTACCAAAAGTCATGCCCACCCTGTTTCACCGCTTTTCCTAATAAAGACATAAAGTTACAGTATAAAAGGTTTTACATGCACTGTACATTCTCGCTAAGCTATCAGCACGTATTATGCTGTAATTTCCTTATATGCAGTAATTCTTAGTGGGACTATAAGCTAACTGTTATCAGTCTATCGCTAAGTTTGTTCTCCGTGCACACAGAAAATCAGACTGTATACTGCCGATGTCACATCGAAGGGGGTGGGCACGACTTTAGGTAGGGACCTCCGTACGGGTGGAAATGTAAATATATAATAATTCCTCGGTTACGTAACAGCTGCTTAGCGCCTACAATCTACATGTTGTGGATTTCCCCGAGGTCACCTGACATGACCTCGGCCGCCGAAATTACTAGATAAGACGAAGCCCTGATCTGCGCGCATACTGCGCACAGTCTGGTCTTCAATCAGTCAACCACCGAACGAAATATTGTCACTATATCTTCTAAAGGCCTTAGAGCTTACTACGATACGTGCAACTGGTCCGGACGAATATCCCACAAGGATTACCGTACGGGTCTTACACTGGTGATCACGCAGAACCTGCGTGACAGACTAGTGGTGCACGGAGTAGAAGCCACAAAAAATCGATTTTTTGTACCAGTATCTACTGGATACAAGATCTACTGCTTTAATTAGCAAGGGACGAATTTGCTGCTTCTTTTCCAGCAAATCCGATAATTATACGATTTTTTCTGCATTTTTAACAATTTTTTAAAAACCCCCCTTCCGCCGTTATGCCGCTAAAGAGAGCCGCCGCTGCCGCCAAGCCCGAGACTCCCGGACCTAGCAACGAAGGTGACAGCGACGTTACAATCGAAGTCACTACTAGGTCCTCTAGTCCCCAGCTCTTAGGCCGGCTTTCGGAGCACCTTGGCCGACTGTTAGACTAGGAAGCTCGTCTCTAGTCTCTAAATGTAAGGGTATTCCACACACGTAACCCTACGCACCGGTTCGGCAACCAGTCGCTTACCAAGCGTCGGACTTAACGAACTATCTTGACGTGTTGCACGGGACTAGCACAGCCACCAAGCTGCGCCACGCCCTACTAGGGTTGCGCTACACCGCATCTTCTAGCCACGTATAAATTAACTGGCAGGCCTTCGCCTACCAGTCCCCTATAGTTCGTTAAGTTGAAGTCTTAATATAACAGTACAAACTAGTTAAGCCTTCGTGACCACGCATTGCACACCAGCCCCTTACATTCTTCAACTTCTTTTCCACGAGGAGCAATGTCCGATCATGGGGCGGCCACTCCGCGATTAGCACGCGAACTGTTAGAAGCCGAGGACGTGCTAATGCCACCCCCTACGCTAATGCACGGCAGCCACACCTTGCGCGCAGCATTTGCAGGCACCCCGACCTTGTCCGTCGAATTAGAAACAAGACCGGTATACGTGCTGCTTAACGATACCTTGCCGGCTAAAAAGCAGCTGTAAAGTAATGAATATACTTGCATTATGCAGACGCTAAAGGCACTAACTAATATTATAGCCGTAAGGGTTATAGGGCTACTGCCTAGCAGTCGCTACCGTAACGACAAGCTACTATAATACGGTATTAAGAGGCTGGAAATTAGTGCCTCTACTACGAAGATGGAAGAGTAGTTGGCGATAATAGAGGACGCCTACAACATTAATGCACGCAGCGACGCGTTAGAAGACATAAAGATTATTTAGGCAGGTAGTCGGCTAACTACTATACTAGCAGCTAATTGGCAAAAGCACCGCGACTAACTTTACGCTAGTAAACCCCTAGTTATACGCCTTATATAGACGCACTTTGTTGCGTTTATCTATTAGGAATACTTAAACCTTAAATTCTAGATGCACTGCATCTATAAGGAAAGCTGGACGCTTTAGTAAGGCAGCAAGTTGCCGATAGCGTACTAGCGGAAATAAGACTACTTATAACAAAAGATTAGTAATACTTTTAACTAGGTAAGCAAGATTGCTTAGAGGTATTAGCAAGGGCTTAACGACTACTTAGCAAAGTAGTATTAGAATAAGACTATTAGTAAGTCTTTTAGTATAGCAATAAAGATTGCTAATGCTTGCGAAGAGTATTAGTTTTAGGGCTAGGAATAGAGGAAAAGATAAGACGACTAAAAGTAGGCAGTTATAGTTAATAGCGTGCTAGCTAGCAAGCTAATAAAGAAATAGCGCTGCAATAATAATAGGATAGAGAACTATAGTCTTATAGAGAGTAACCTAAGCCTATAACTAGTTGCCAGCTAAAGCTAGTCTACTTCTTAACTTGCTAACCTTAGTAGTTTAAACAACATTAATGTTGCATTAAAGTGCTAGAATTATAGTAAGAGTAAGCATACTTTTTAAGAGTGCTTTAAGCTTAAAACTTATATATAAGTTAAGAAGCTTTAAGTAAAACTAAAAGATAGTCTTTAAGAGCTTAATAACTAAAAGGCAACTTACTTTAACTAGGAAAACTAGTAAGGTTAATAAAGAAGCTTTACTTTTTATTAAACTTACTAGTATAGCTAACTAAGGATATAATTTCTTACTATTATACCTTAGCTAAGGCATAGACGCCTAGTAATCGCTAGGCTGCCGTTATTATAAACTTAGATTCTTATACTAACTTAAACGTAGTTAACTTAAAGGTTATTTAATAGCTTAGTTTAAAGCTGCTTTAGTAGCACTTAAACCTAAACCTAATCTTTATTAATAAGAAAACACTATAAGCTTATAGCCTATATAAGCTAACTATTATACTAATAAAGAATAAGGTCTTTTATACGTTAATATAAGTCTTTATAGCTGTTTACTAAGTAGGCGCTAACTATAAAAATATTATCTTAAGTTATAAAGGACTAAGGTTTTTAGGCGTTATTATTAATATTATCTAATAGGCCTAGTTATTTACTATTATAGTTTTTAAGACCTTTAAGCAAATAAGCTAACGCCTATATAATAATAAAGAGTTGTTTGCTATTTACTTAACGTAGTTAGATTTAAGTCTTTATAAACTAGATATCCTTACTATAAACAATAATCTAGCTTTACTAAACCTTAGCTAGCGACTACTGTTTTATATATAACTGTTTACTAAAGTGTTTAATACTAATAAGGTAAAGGAACTACTCTTATTAGCAAACGCAAAGTACCTAATTAAGCTAGAAGACGGTATAAAGGTGCTATATAGCCCTTTATACCTACTATCTCTTACCTAGCAAAAGAAGCTTTGCTGCTTTATTAATAAGTTGTTAGTAAACAAGTAGATTACTTATAGCAATAGTCTAGTTAAAGCCTTAGTAATCTTTATCTTAAAAAAGAATAGTACTTTGCGTATATACGTTAACTACTAGGGTTTAAATTAAGTAACTAAGAAGAACCGCTACTCTCTTTTATTAATTAGTAAGCTATTAAATTGCTTAGATAGCGTAAAGGTGTTCTTTAAGGTAGATATAAAAGAAGCGTACTATAAGATTTAGGTTAAGGCCTTTAATTAGTAAAAGATTGCTTTTTAAATAAAATATAGGCTCTTTAAGTTTTATATTATACCCTTTAAACTAACTAACGCGCTAGCTATATTTTAAGTATATGTTTACTACGTACTAGCAAGGCTAGTAAGTATAGTTTATAAGGTATACCTAAATAATATCTTAATCTACTTTTAGACTAAGAAGGAGTATAAGAAGCACCTCTAATTAGTTTTTGAGCGGCTAAAGGCCGCGTAGCTATATATAAATCTTAAAAAGTATAAATTCTTTAAAAAGAAAATTAATTTCTTAAGGTTTATTATTACTATAAAGAGGCTAGCTATAAACCTTAAGCAGGTTAAAGCTATTACTAAATAAAAAGCCCTTAAGTGCGTATAAGACATGCAATCTTTCTTAGGGTTTATAAACTTTTATAGACGCTTTATTTCCTACTACTCTTATATTATACAAGCCTTAACAAAGTTAATAAAGACAAGCCCTAGCCTACTATATAAGCGTAGAGCTATTACTATGCAACTGTTTATATTAACTAAAGAGGTAAAGGTTGCTTTTAAATCGCTAAAGATAGCATTTATAATAGTAATAATTCTTTACTACTATAATAATATAAAGCCTACGCAAGTAAAAACGAATATATTAGGCTACGCTATCTCTAGCATTATCTCCTAGCTTATAAATAGTAAGTAGCAACTAGTCGCTTACTACTTATACAAGCTAATAGCCTATAAAATGCAGTAAAGAGTAAGATAGTAAGAGCTCTTAGGTATTATTAAAAGCTTAAAGCACTAGCGTTACTATTTAAAAGGTTTAAAGGACTTATTTATAGTCCTAACTAACTACTAGGCGCTAAAAGGCGTTATTAAGGTATTAGTAAAGAATCTTTAAAACTAAATTGCCTAATAAGTTTTAACTTTAAGATTAAGCACTACCTAGGGTCTACTAACCTAGTAGATAGTCTATCCTACTAACTAGACTATATAAAAGGTAATATTATATATAATAACGTGCTCCCCTTGCTTCTTAGCAAGCTATAGATTGTAGACTAGTCGTTAAGGCT